ATGTTCTGGCGTAAAATTAACTAAGGGTCAAAAACACACTAACACACAGAGATAGACACCCCCTCGAGAGATGAATGTTGCTGACCGCTTGCTTCTCTAGTTATACCAACTTCAGTAACAACCACAGGATAGCAATACACAGGAGTCCATGTTTCCACACGCAAACCTCAACCAAAAATCCACTCTATAGCCACAAATAATGCTCAAAACAGCATCTAACTTCATCAACAGTACATATAGGGTCCTAGCCATAGCACTAGCCACCAAACATCTTTTTAGCTTTGCCTCATTTCTTTAGCAAAGAGACTAAACACAACTCACCTACTCTCTTCCAGCAGCCGTTTGTTTGTAGCGAGACCTCTGGCCAGTCCATTACAGACTACAGCGGGGAGACGCAGCTCAAGGAAGAACATTTATGATCATTTCTTCATGGAAATGCAATCAGACAGAGATGCTAAGGCAGAAGAACTACCACGTCTGCAGTGCAAAATGATTATTATGATGATTATTACTTCAAGGACATAACAAAGTCTCGCCATAAACAAGCAGCTGCTGGAGGAGAGTGGGTGAGTTGTGTTTAGTCTCTTTGCTTAAGAAATTCGGCAAAGCTAAAAAGATGTTTGATGACTAGTGCTATGGCTACTGTTAGTGAAGTTAGATGCTGTTCTGAGCATTATTTGTGACTATAGAGTGGCCTTTGGGTTGAGGTTGGGGGGGGTCTGTCTGTGTGTGTATGTATGACCCTAAATTATTTACGCTGGAATATCCATTTAACAGCACTTTTTTGTTGAGAGTACCTGGTGCCTGGTTCTCCTCTTAGTCTCACCCTCAGGCTGTGTAAAAAGATGAACATCCTCCCAGGAGTTTGGTGAGTAGCTGCAGTAAAGATAATCAACCTAACATCTCCATTTCAGAAGCTGGGACATGGTTCGATCAAAAAAAAACAAATGCAGGCTCTGTTTGCTATTTTGTTCTGTTTATTATTGAATTGGCTGAGATGAGGAGAAACAGTGTAGTGTGACGTATGTGTATAACAACACCATCACAAGAGTCCCTGAACTGTCCATATCAGTGAGTGTCAGCTTCAGGGATGTTTGATGTGATGAGTTCATTTCTGAGTTTACATACTGCAGACCAAAGACTGAGTCAAGGATTACATGCAGGACCTACTGCATAAGAGCAAGTAAAAAAAGTGAAGGATCTTACAACCTAATTAATGAAAAAGTTTTGAATAAGTAACTGTACACAACGTTCAGAGAGGAAACTATTTGGTGTCACCTCCCTGTCTGTTAGTGGGCATGTTTGAGACCCCCAAAAAAGGTGACACATGTATGATTTATAGATTTTTTTTAATAGCCCAAGAACCTTATCTCATGTCTGCAGGAACTTTCTGCAGGAGGAATGAATATACAGCTGATAAATCTGGTCACTGCACTGAGGACGTTCAGGTTTACAATCTTGCGACAGGAAATCAGTTTTTTGAATAATCTCAGAGGGAGATGGGGTTGGTTTGAAAAGAGGTGATAGAAAGTCAAAGAAGCTGCGTCATGCTGGGCCAGCATACACACACAAACACGCACACACACACACTGCAGGGGATCAATATGCTGTGACTCAGCCAAACCAAGCTGTGGTGAGTCAGCAGTAAATCTTCAACACCCCTTTCTCTCCTCCTGCTGCTCCTCCTAACTCTCTCCATCTTCTTTCTTGTCTTCTCTAACACTCATCTTCTAGTGTTTTCTCCTAATCATCCCCTCTCTCACAGCTCAATCCCTCACCTTATCTGAGTCACAATCATATTTTTGGAGTAACTGCTGTTTACAGTGATTTTTGTCTTATGCAGGAAGGTTAAAGGTTGTTCAGTAAATCCTCTGACAGTGTGAACAAAGGAGCAGGGTGAGATCAAGAGAGGAAAAAAGCCTCTTATCAAATCCTGCTCATGGCAAGTGGTAAAAAAAGATTTTCACATCTTTACCTCTGAAGAGACGATGCTGCCTACTGTCACTGAGGGATTTGTATTAAAAAAAAATACCAAATTGTTATAAAAGTCTATTTAATCTAGGTGAATGAAGAACTTTATAAATGCAGTCTTTTTAAAAAATGTACGTAGATTGTTAGGATGGATGTGTGTTTACTAAGTTCAGGACTGCCAGAGACTGCAGAGTTGGTGGTTAAGTTTAGGTACCAAAAGTTCTTCATTTGAGGATATACGGTGCTCGACATAAGTCAGTACACTCCCTATTAAAAGTGATGTATTACTCAATATCTAGATGAGCAAACGTACAATTTCTAAAGTTTTGACAAAGCTGAGTTTAACATAACATTTTATTTACCATAGGGTGAAACTAAGGGTGATATGGTAACTGAAATTTAGCTTTGCTCCCAGAACTTTGATTGGGGTGTACTCATTTTTGCATCCTGATTTTAAATTGAAAAAAATATATATACTTTTTTTGTATGCAAATTAAAAAAAAATCTTGTTGTATAGTCTGACATCGAAAATGTTGTTTTTAAAAGGAAACTAAAGGTTTTCTGACAACTCTGAAGGGGTGTACTCATTTTTCATCAAAACATGAATAAAAATCACAAGACTCTTTTGCATTTGCCTGATTTTTGCATTTCTTTTTCCACGACCTGATGGATTTGTTCAACTTTTGTCATTGGACTTGGAAGCATGTTGTGGGTAATGTGTTTGAAAGGTGCTCAGTCAATAAATTTCATTTGCACATTTACTAAACAATGGGCTTCTACTGTCTGCCGGCCGTTTATGGACGAGTGGGAGTCAGTTTGTTCTCTATGGTGTGGATCAGATTAAGGCCTGCAGCAACACAAAGGCTCCCCTGTTTGAGCCGCCGAGCGTGTGTTTCCACAAGTTAGAAGGACTTGTGAGGACGTTTCATAGCCTCTCAAACTGCCTATGGAGTTTTTAATTCAGATTACTGGATAACTGGGGCTAGATTAATGGTGAAAAGATTAAATCAAATTTGCAGGGCCAATTTATTAGATTGTGCAGCCCTGGGGTGAGAAAACTTCCACCTCCTTGAAAGAGATCTACCCTGTCAGATAAACTGTTGACAGGCTGTTTTTTCTGCTCCACTGTTTGCCTGACTCCCAATCTAAACTCTTTTAACTTAGATAAAAATTACAAAAATGTACTTGGTGGTAGGCTAGGATATTATCTCTAAGAATTCAGCACACTAACAAAAAAGGAGAAATTCCCTGTTAGCTTTAGTTTTGATTATCTGACACCAACTTTATCTCCTCTGGATTCCTGAGATTTCTGTACTGCACAATGAGTCGACATTTTTCCTCGGTCTGTTAAAGGGTGCAAGTTTTTTCTCTTTTAAGTGTCAGGGAGTTCAGAAACACTCTTCTGTATAATTTTTGTTTTTAGTTTCATCATTTCTCTTTTCATTAAAGTTGAGTGATTATATCTTTGAGCCCATCCTGCCTCCCCTACTAAAGCTAAAGAACTGCTGAAATATTTAACCAGAAATTAGAAATTTGCTGGTATGGTTAGATTTTTTACTTTTACCTAAACTATTATGGGCTATTTCTGCAAACAGACAACTTTGGAGCTTTGAGCCTGACTAAAGAAAAGGGACATAAATGGAGATGAGGATGAGTGATAAAACTGAAAAGACAGCCTGAAGCTGATAAACTCAGACATACTTCGCACTTTTTTTTTGCTGCACTAAGTCTGTCTTACATTGTTGAGCGTCCAGTGGGGCTATAATGATTTAACCATTTTTCCTTTGTATTATTACAGTAGCGTAGAGTATCATAAAAACAGGCTTTTTAATGTATGTGAGGCATCAAAAGTAGAATTACTCATCAGGTTATGAAGATAACTCTAAATACAGGAACTGTTTTAGACTGTTTATACACCAATGTGCAAACTTGACTTATCTTACAGCTACTATTACATAACTGCAGGGTAGATAAAGGCATCATACGCTTGTTGATGGTATGCAGCAAAGGAATTTAGAGTTCGTTTCACACAGAAGAGGGTAACAGGGTATATCTCACAACTCTGGCCTCTAAAATGCAGTGTTGTGGTACGGATATATTAAGTGGAATAGAACGGACACACTTAAGTAAACACCAAATAAACAAGGCGTGCTTTTATCTAAACACGTTTTCTTCATTACTGTACCAAAGCAAATCTTAAAGGTACTAACCTTATTATTGCTGGATCATCTTCATAGGATTCACCTTTCTTACAAGATCCACTAGAGGGAGGTATTTCAGCATGTTCTCATTTTAAAGTGCATGCTGAAATACTGTACCTCCCTCTTGAAGCTGTTAGATGAGCAGGCATTTATCTTATTGTTGTGAAACTACCAAGAAGCATCTGAATAGCTTAAACAAGATTGAAAACATGGTACATGTGCATATGTACCATGTATTTAATTTTAAGGCTCTTTTTTAAGTAGAAAAAATAATCTCTATAACTCTAGTGCACCATTGTTTTGAATGAATAAGTTTATACTTATCCAAAAGTTATCCTAAAATAAGATACATTATTACTGATATCTGTCTTAATTACATTTAAATCAGACAGTTTTTTAGATCTACCGTGTTCCTTTTTCAAATTCATGACTTTCTCTGCCATCTGCTGGTTATCCGCCATCACTGTTCCTGTTTTTTTTTTACCTTAGTCATTTCAATGTTGTAAATCCAACCCCAGAAGTCAAAGGTTGCCTTGATTATGATTGGATCACATAAAAAGGTGTAAATGTGATCATGATGATAAAACATTGAAAAAAACTAACTCGATAATAAAAGAGGAAAAACAATATTTAAAGCTTACAAATCCTTCGTGTTATTCTACATCAGTGGTTCTCAAGTCCAGTCCTCGAGGCCCACTGTCCTGCATGCTTTGGATCTTTCCCTGCTCCAACACACCTGATTCAAATGATTAGCTCGTTATTAAGCCATTACAGAGCTTGATAACGAGCTGATCATTTGAATCAGGTGTGTTGGAGCAGGGAAACATCCAAAGCATGCAGGACAGTGGACCTCCAGGACTGGACTTGAGAACCACTGTTCTACATGTATGACCGACCTGACCCTCAGTTTATAGAGTCATTTTTACTTTAAAGCTTCAGACACACAGAAGGAGCTTGTGTGTTTTATTGTCTACACCAGAAGAAGAAGAAGAAGTCTTTAGTCTTTCTGCCGTGAATCCTCCGTCTGCAAATGAGTGGTCAATGTCAGTTTTTAAAGGAAGATGTGCTCTACAAGCTGGGCTCCCTCCAGGTCAGGGGACAGGGCTCTGGTTCCACTCTGGTTCAGTAAGACAGACAGGATAGCCCTGCTCAGATCTGCCCGGTTCAGCTCAGAACACATGGACTCCACATCAGTCCAGTCCTCCAGTGTGGACCTCATATCCTCCAGGATCAGGTCCTCCAACACACCTGAGAGGACATATGGCACAGTTAGAGGTCACCTTGGGTCATGTGTTATGTTGGTTTTGGTTCACTTCCCCCTTTCAGTTTTATTGGGAATTATCAGATTCGGGATCTCTATCTCCTGTCCTGTTACTTGAGCAATAAAACCAAGATCTTAATCACCACATTTTTACTCTCACTACAGCTGGCGTCTTGCCTGCTGACAGCTTCTGTTTACCTTGGCCTCTGCTGACAAAGCTGTCAAGGAGTCGCAGTGCAAGCTCCTGCTGCCGAGGGTCTGACAGCAGAGAGGAAAGGACCACGCCTGCTGACAAGATGGCTGCTTGGCCCTGCTGAGGCTCCGTCAAAAGCTGGAGGAGGGAGAGGCTGGGGGATTGGTAAAAAACCCACATACAGTCCTCTAGAAGAGAGAGAGAGAGTGATTCATACAGATATTATAACAGGTATCTATTTGTATTTTGAAACATAGGAACCATTTTTCAGAATTTGGTGTTATAGCTGGTTTGGAAATTGTCCATTGAGGCCCTTCTATTCACACACCAGCTGTGAGACCCTTGCAGTTGTTCATGAACTCAGCCACACTGTGGATTAGTCCTCTCTTGCAAATGCTGAGTGCAGTTTTCCTGTCCAGTCTGCAGGTCTTGTAGACAACAGTCGCCAAAGCCAGACACAAGTCAGCCACACGGGTGTCCTTCTGAGCATGCTCAGTCAGAATGTCGCCCAGGTCTTCAGAGCTGGTCAGTCTTAGGGGACAAGAAGTGTGAAAATCTAAGCTACAGTACAGTGCAGATACAGGCATTTTGTTGATCTGTTTGTTTACTTGTTGTACGTGACACTGTGGTTGATGAGCTGTGTGTCACCATGCTGCAGAGCACAGCGGACCATCTCAGTGGAGAGAGCGGCTGACAGCTTGTCACCAGCTGGGAGGGTCATGAGGAGGGCCTGGAAGAAGAGCAAGAGAGGGTGGGCAGAGCTCGATGGTCCATGTACACCTGAGAGAGAGACACAAAAGTGAAGAATATGTCAACAACAAACATCCAGGAAACAAAAACATACTTGGCAATTCAGCTTCCATTGGTGTGAAACTGGGCGTCTGACAGGACCAGAAAATCCAGTGTTCACACATTAAAGACTGTCTGGATTAAAAAAGAAAAATAAACAACGTTTTTCTGAGCATGTAAATGGAAATATTTTGAAAATGCTGAGCTAATGATGGGAAATTCAAGAGCAGCAACATTTCTTTGGGGTGTCTGTGTTTTTATTAAGGCTGTGACATAGACGCTGATTTCTCTTTAACATGGAGGAGGTCATGGAAGTTGACTTTTTTTCTGTGGACAGTTCATACTGTACATAAAAATAAATTCCAATTTCAATCATCTGAAGTCTTTCTTTTTGTACATGCCCCTGGTAAATGTTGATATACGTAATGGTCTAGTCTCTTTCTTATACATTCTTTGATTTACTGTATTTTGTTATAATCACCAGGCCTCCATCCCCTCTGAGAGAGACGTGAAGCCAACATATCACCTTGATGGGCATCGGCATATTCTGCCAGTGCGATCAATATGCAGGAATAATCTGGACTGTGGGGCTGTGGGATCGATCCCTTCCACTGATCAAAACACACATTTAAGTTACCCTGAAAATATTGGAGATCTTCATGTTGACACAACCCACAGAGGAACAGCTTCTTGGGTTGATTTGAAGAAAACTCTAAAGGTTATGAAAAGATGACTCTTGTTTTCGTGTTTTTTTAGGAGGTTTTCTTTCAATCCTCCTCCTCTACTAATCCAATAAGGGCTGCAGTTGTCATAAGTAAGTAAGTAAATTTAATTTAATATTTAATTAATTAATTTTAAATTAAAATTCAATTTCACTTGTCATAGATAAAATGACAAAGTGTTTTACAACAAGGATAAAATGCAACAAAATACAGAGAAACACAATATATATAATGGCATAGATTAAGCCAACTTCACAAAAGCCCCACAACAACCACATCAGTTAAGCCTGTCTAAAAAGATAGCTGTCAATCAATCATTTTTTAAAACATGGAATGGCTTATGAAAACTAAACTTGTTGGAAAAATGGCCGCCCTTGTATATCAGCAGAATTTACAGCGAACAGAGAGCATCTAAGAACTTTTTTCCTCATGAACTGAATTTACACACAGACAGCTATAATGGATGAGGTGGGCTTTAATGCCTGTACTGCAGTCAGTCACCAGGGGGAGCTCTAAAAGCCCTGCCCTCACTCTGGACTGCTGCCGTTCTATCCATACTGAATTTGCATGTTTAATTCAGCAAATGCAGAGGGCATTATTACACTGTCTCCACCACCCTGACATAACTGAAACATGTGCACCTGAGGGTGTTTAGGGTTGTAACTTAAATGGTTAAATTCCATACTTAAAAGCTCTCATGGACAAGGACTTTTTTTCTTCTTGGGTCGACAGTTCCTCAAGAAAACCTTCCTAAAAGCACTAGCCTAAGAGAGGACTATACTGTAAAGTAGTTTTTTTAGAAAAACAAGTGTGTCATGATCATTAGTGCTCTCTTCTCAGGTCACTATGAAAACTAGAGGAACCAAACTCAGGAACTGAAAGTCTCTTTTCAGAAAGATCTTGACTGAATGAGGGAAGCTAGAGTGAAGACGGACATAATATGGTGGCTTCAAACGTGACAAAGGAGGCATTATTTTGCTTTTCTGTTTCCTGTGGTTGAACGGGGATCGTTGAATAATAAAAGAGAAAATGAAAGTCTTGACTATTGAGCCAAAATGATTCGGAGTGATTTTTTTCATAGATTTGTTTTAGAGAGCAACTAAAATGACTTGATGAGACATGACCAAATTTGATTAAAAAGACTCATGTACTTTGAATTTGCTCCTCTTAAGATTCACCTTTGAACATCCCCATGATGTCGAGGTTCCTCAGGATTCCTTGGGGAGACCTGGCAGCATGTAGAGCAGCTTCCTCGTACTCAGCTGCTTCAAAGAGCTCCAAGAACCTGTCGGAGAGTGAAAGAGGAACATTTCAGAGAGACATCAGAAAACCTGTGAAGTCCCCAGAGATAAATGCAGCACCTGTTCAGGTAGTCTGTCAAGAATTTAGACTCATCAACTCCAGTGGGCTCCTCATTCTCAAACAGCTCAACGATGATGCTGCTGACATCTTCTTCAGTCACTGCAGGAGAAGATGAGAGCGACTTCAATAGATGCAAGATATTTAATCACCTCATCTGTAACTCTGAGGGTATTATCAATCACAGATTCATTATTTTGCAGATAGAGAGTTTTCAGTAGCTCACACCGGTGGAGATGTGTTTGTTGAAGACAAAATAACACTTCAAGACAGATTCTTCTGAAGTGAGAAAGAGTTTTGTCAATGTGTTATCATTTCAAAACACAAAGAAGTATAAATCTTTTCTCTAAATTTTCACCCTTTTTGAGTCTAAAATCCTTGATAGGTATTATGTCATTATCCGTCTTTGTACCAGGACTGATTTGATCAAAAGGTTGAATAGCTGCTGTGTCTCACTACTGTTCTGTTTGATGTTCTTCACTGTTGAACCTAGAAGTTGCTCCAAAGAAACCTGCTGCGTTTCCCTCTCCCAGCAGGACACATGGTTCGACACAAATCTTAAACGCTTAAACCTGAAGATGCAGAGAGATCAGAGAAATAATTTTACATAATACTCCATCAAAGAAATGAATGATACGACTCAGGTGTTTGTAACATCTTCATCAGACAAGTATAGATTTAGAGTTTAAGCCCTCACAAAGCTTTCAGTCTGTTGTTCTCAGCCCTCAGCTGATCCCTGTGCTGCTCAGCAGCCTGCAGTTTGGCCTCCAGCTCAGCTTTGACCTCCACTGACACACAGTGACTCTTCCTGTCCAGAAGAGAGTCTCTCTGGGCTTTAAGTCGCTCTAGATATCTATCAAGAGCCTCAGGATCCTTGGACTCAGCCACCGTCATACCTGAGAGACAGGACAGACATGAGCTTCAAAGTTGAAACAGAGGTGATGTTCAGTACCAACTACCTGCTAAACTCTGATAGTACACTTCAAAAACATCCATGCTCTGCTGTATTATTAAAACACCTTAAGCAGAGATCTTATAGGGTCCATCTTGCTTTGAGACTTGACCCACAATAACAAAGTGGAGCTCTGTGTTTGTTTGAGATGGTTTTGGATCAGATTAAAACAATGAAGTAAAACAATTTAATACAAAACAGTTAAACCTCTCCTCTGCTTATTAACCCTTAAATCAGGAAGATCTGGGTCTTACAACCACTGACCTTACTGCAATAAGAAACTGACAACAGAATAAAGTAAAACTAAACTGGATCAGATTGGACTGAAGATCCCTTCAGTAATCCTTCCTGAAACTGATTTTTGTTTTGATTCCATTCAGCAAGTGTTTGAAGGACAGGTGCTGAGATGGGGCCAAATCACTGAAAATAACTACACAAAACCACCTTTGTCTAAACACACATCTGGGCAGTGTATAAGACTGTCACCTACAAACACTCAATATACATCCCTTAACACCATGTCTTCTAATGTCAGCAGTACCAGGTATCCACATGCTCTGCTCTTTAAGGGACTGTTGTTTCTTGATCTCCTGTTGAAGATCTGCTGTTTCTCTTTGAAGGACACAGAGTCTGGAGAGACAGAGATGATCGGTCAATGGCTGGATGACTTCAACATTTTGTTATGTGTTCCAACCATCACAACACCCTGCATACTAATGTCATTCTCAGACATCAGCACCATAAAAGTTACATACACACCTTTCCTTTAGATTGGTAGCTCGTCTCTGGCAGGTTGTCAGTGACTTCTGGTGTAAAGTTGAAGCCTTAAGGATTCGCTGAGCCTCCTTGCTCTCCTCCTCCCTCCTCTGCAGCACCTTGATTGTATCATCATACTCTCCCTTTATGGTGAGAAGGAGTTTCTTGTATGATGTTGCTCTGCCAATCACCTATTAAAAAACAGGACGAGGAGGAAGATCAAAGAGTGAGTATTTTTTTAAATCCTGTTTTTTACTGGTCCAACAAAGTAGTAACTTATAATTACAGGGAACACGGTGGAAAATTGTGAAAAACTTTCACTGTTTTGTGCTATAGAATGTCATATTGGAGAGCATCACATGCTGTACTTGATAGTTTCATCTATTTTTTAAAGTAATTTCATACCTTGTTAAACACGGAGCGGTAGATGATGAAGCGCAGCTCATCCGGGCCCTCTGCTGGACACTGCAGGTACTGTTTTTCATATTCAATAAACTCGTACAGAGACTTGAAGAAACTTTCGTCGTTCCCCGATAACAGTGTTTCAGGTGTAGATTGCCTTTCTTCTTGTATTGTACATGAACTGCTCGATTTTTGTGGCTCACACATTTTTTTTCCGTCTATCCGTGGAGGATTTTTTCTCCAGCCACTACGTTTATAGCTCCCACGTTGCTATAGTTACCAGTAAATCCAACATTTCATAAGCATGTCAAAAAAATTCTAATTTTACCATCCTTTCATACAATCTTCAATGTAGATGATGAGGTTTGTATATCAATTGATTCAAGCACGTCTAACAGAAGAAACTTAATGTTTATTGAGAATTTTAATCAGGCACAAAAACGGTTACCTAGCCCGTGGAATTCTGTGCAGAAAACCCCGTCTCTCCCTCTGAAAGCCCTCTTCTCATGATCCGCCATTAGGAGTGAGCCTGTGGTAAGATCGTGCTCTGGATTTTAACTCATTTTCTTTAAAATAACCACTTCATATGAACGTTTAAGCACAAATAACATGATGAAATCGTTGTGTATATTTCTACTTTAGGTGGGTTGAACGGCAGGATGCAGATTTTCGTCAAAACCCTCACGGGGAAGACTATAACCCTCGAGGTAGGAGCCGGAGTGTGATGGAGGGAGGCGGCGTTTAGCTGCTAACCTCAGCTCACCCTAACTGCTTAAAATGTCTGATAATATCACATTTAATCACAACATTTTGTATATATCAAGTGAATTGTATCTTGAGTATGTTTAAACTCCGGCTAACTTCCCGTCATGACTCGTCCTACTTGAGTTTACCAACTTTGATGCTAAGCTAACAGTTAGCAGCCGCTCCGCAGCATAAACACGTGTGTCAGAGAACAGCAGAGATATACAGGGTTATTATCCTTGTAATGTGAACTTAACACCGTACTCATAGAATAAATAGACCATAACGCCACTGATAAGTAGTTATTAATCTGAAGCGGCCTGTGATTGTGTCTTTGACCCGGTGATCGTTTCCTGTCTGAGCTGACTTCACTTGTCTTCATGGTTTTCGCAGGTTGAGCCTTCAGATACTATAGAAAATGTCAAGGCCAAGATCCAGGACAAAGAGGGTGAGTTGGTCTTTTAAACTGCATTGAATATAGAGTTTAATGTCTGGTGTCAAAGAGTTAGACATGGAGGTGAATGAATGTGGTCATTGAGACCTCCACAGAAATCTGCACTCCATTATGATAGGTAGACAGATAGACAGACCTAATTGATTCCAAACTGGGAAATTTCGATGTTACAGCAGCAACAAAAACACAAAATAAAATTCAATATAAGTATGTACAATACAGATTAAAGATACTAAATATGCACAATAAATACACACTAAATATACTAAATAACCTGAGAGAAAAAAAGTGGGATATCCACTGGTAATACTAATATGAAATGAGTAATAAATATGGAATTTTAAATATACAGATGGGATAATGAATAGACAAGTTAAGGTGCTCAGTAATGTAATGTGATGTGGTAGGAGTTTTTAAAAATGGACTATACAGCAGACAGATGTGAGTCTCTGTGTGACAGATGTGAGTTATTGAATAGTGCAATTTCTTGTGGCAGGAAAGATTTCCTGTATCTGTCCCTACGACAGTGGAGCTGCAACAGTCTGTTGGAGAAGGAGCTCAGCTGTCTGTCCAGAGTGAGGTTGAGAGGGTGGTCAGGGTTATCCATGATGGATAACAGTTTGATCAGTGTCTTCCTCTCCACCACAGCCTCTACAGTGATTATGAATGTTATGTTTTAGTTATGGACCGACTTGGTCCCTAATCTCTATTCACCCCACTCTTTGGCTAGATAATAGATGAAGTCCAATTTCAGTCTGTCTCTGTGCTGTTGGCACTGTACTTGGACTAATGGGAAACAAAGTTTAGCAGTAATAATGAATATAATACATTTTATTTGTAGTGCCCTTTATATCAAGAGACCTCAAAGGGCTACATCTTAAAGCAAAGAAATGTCACTGTTAAGGAATATAAAAATAGGTTATTGGAGCAGGTTTAAAAAAAAAAAAGTCCATGAGGAGGACCCAAAAGTTCTACTATAAAGGAATTTTGGGTCTTTTTATTTTAAACTGTTAAATTGTGGGGAAATTGTCATTGCTGCCTACTCTGTTAAGAGAGGCCGCTGTATCATATCTTTGTGTTTTGAGAATACAAACTGTCATTCAGCTACAATTAAAAGACGATGGCCAATTAGCACTGCCAGGTAGAAGAGCAGGAGGAGGCAGGTGTGTGTTGGTAAAACAGAGGGAAAGTGTGAGCAATGACTAAGGCGAACAAGATTGAACCAGCTATCAATTGCCTGGTTTGATTTATTTACTTTAAGTATTTTGTCATAAGTCTGAACAAGCTTAGTTTGGTGCAGATGCTGGCAAATCAGAGCAACATATTCAGTGGTTGTGATCTTCATACATAAACTGAATTAGTTATTGCTGTCATGAGCAGCTCTACAGTGAGCCACACATTTTGTACTGAATCTAGAATCTCTGAGAGTCTGTCTTCAGATGGCACTGATGCACTATGATGAGTGAAATGTGGATTATTAGAGAGATAGATACTTTGATTTCACATAAAGTGCAGAGGAAAACGAGCAGGTCTAATATAAATCATCAGTGTGACTTGATTTGCTGTTTTGACACAAGAGTTTCCTTGAATTGAGGGAGTAAAGGTTGTGAAAGTGTGCAAATGAATGTCCCACCTCTGGGTTTCCTGTGGATCTGAGTGTTTTTAGTTCTTAATAGGAACTGCATGGTCATTGTTACTAATTTAAGTTGAAAAGTTGGTACTGATCTCTCCCTGAGAGACCATCAGTGTGTAGACCACCTGCTTGATCTGGAGTTGATGTTCTGGTCTCTGATCTGCAGGTATCCCTCCTGATCAGCAGAGGTTGATCTTTGCCGGAAAGCAGCTGGAGGATGGACGCACGCTGTCAGACTACAACATCCAGAAGGTGAGCTGTCACTGTCTGCTGAGAATAAACAGGAAGTTTTGACAAATGGTGTTACCATTGAGTTTGATAAATGAGCAGATAATGTACAGATCAAATCACGGTGCAGGACATGGCAAACGGTTTACTTTGAACCCTGGACTGCTATCATTGGGTTCAGGTTTTTTTTGCCTAACTGATCAAACTCCAACCTCATCATGAATAAATACAGACATAGGGGGCACAATGGGCATATAAAGCCATTACAAATTAAGCTGATGTTTTCAGCAGCAGCTCAATTTGAAGGCCCCTCAGATATGTTGTCCTCCAAAGAGTCGGAGAAACAGTGTTATACATCATGAAGCAACTTTAATTTACTTTAGCTGTGACTATCAGTGCATTCCTCTTTAGCACGGTACTAAATCCCTGATCTTATAAGAGACTAAAAGTCCGTTTTTTGTGAGGAAGAAACTTTTTAGTGAAACAAGTAAATTTTGTCCAGTGTGGATAGACGATCAGATCTGTGTAAAGATGGATGTTATCAATGGCTGATCCAACATTTCAGGTACTTCTAATGCTGGGGACAGAGTTACCGCCCGGCTGCAAAAGAGCGTTTCACACTAAAGAAGCCTTTTTTTGTTGTCTTCCTCAGGAGTCCACTCTGCACTTGGTGCTGAGGCTGCGCGGTGGTGCAAAGAAGAGGAAGAAGAAGTCCTACACCACCCCCAAGAAGAACAAGCACAAGAGGAAGAAGGTCAAGCTCGCTGTGCTCAAATACTACAAGGTACGAAAGCTTCACTCCTGACTGGCTCTGCGTTTATGTTAAAGGCTGACACTGAAAAAAAAAGACATTTAAATAGAGGGATATCTAAGGAAGGGGCAAAGCTAGATAAGCTGTTTTTTCTTTGAACATTAGGTCAGCTTTTTTAAAAAGGGGAAACATTGATGTGATTTTAAAGACTCAAGAACAAAATCGGTTATCAGCACAATTTAAAATGGAGTATTTTAAGGATTCAAATCCACTAAGAAGTAAGGTCTGCGTCATGAATACTTTAATTTCATCAGAGTTAAAGATGTCTTCTAATTCCATCAGGTGGACGAGAACGGAAAAATCCACCGACTGAGGCGTGAGTGTCCTGCTGACGAGTGCGGCGCTGGCGTCTTCATGGCGAGCCACTTCGACCGTCATTACTGCGGGAAGTGCTGCCTCACCTACTGCTTCAACAAGCCTGAGGACAAGTAGACAGGGACACTCTGATGGGCGTTGATAATAAAGACAAAACTGTTTGACAAAAACCTCAACCTCTGCGTGTTTTTACTCTCTCAGACCTGACCGGATTGTGTCAAGTTTCAACATTCACTTTTTAACTCGAGCTGGACTTGTCTTAAACTTTTTTAAGTCTTTGAACTCAAGTCCCACTTTATTCTTGAAATTAAACAAAGAGGTAATTAAGTATTTTAAAATAAACAGTTTTATTACACTGTATGAGGGTGTGCAATGTGGAGTTCTTAGATTTTGTTTATAAGGCCTCTTCACAGCCAGGCTTACTGAGGTTTTGGACAGGCAAGATAAAATGACTCGACATAAAAGTAAAACCCCAAAAAGTGATGGTTTGGTAAAGAGTCAATTGAGAACCGTGAATATTAGCAACTGACTTAAACTTCAAATTTGTTACATGTATAACCATACGAATTGTCAGTTTGTCTATTTTCATTAGTTTCAAATTGTGTGACTCAGGGGAATTGCCAGAGCTACAGTTGCTCAAGTATCTAATTAGTAGTTAAAGAGTTATTTCCAACATGCTGCGTGGTGTGAACGGTACAGTATCAGATGGAGGTGTTATTGAAGATTCTGGTGTGCTTCAGTTTAACATCCCCAGTATGAGGAGGGTCATGACTTTGCTTCATTAGCCCCATGTTTAACTCCAACACTAGGCCCCTTCAGGTAAAAGGCTCATCTGCACTCAATGTGCTGCTAGTTTGAGTTCAGAAGTGACTGTTGTGTCTCTGGATGTGTTGTGTAATAAGCATGATCAGATGTTGGTGGAGTTTGTTATTCACAGAAGTCTCTGGACTTTAAACAATACTGTTACCAGACACAATGTCATTTAATATAATATACATAATCTAAATACAAGCTTTATTCTGAATGAATGAACACCTCTTATGTCTCCTTTTGCCACTTGGTCCTTTTCTCAAAGTGCAACACTGAATGTTGTCCAGTAGAGGGAGCTCTTCTCACAGACACTGTAGGATTCAAACAAAAGAGATACTTGAGTTACATTTGAACCTTGACTCAGGCTGACAGGAGCTGAAGACAATTTCTACCAAGAAAAGCACTGTTTTATTTTAAGAAATTATATTAAAAAAAATATGTAGTTATAAAATTTCAAGTGAGGTAACACTCTTCAAATCACACGTTTTAAGCAGAAAGCTGGCTACAGCTTTTGACTTTTATCAGTGCTTTGGCCTGTGATAACAGGATTCATTAATGAAATGGGCCAAAAGTAAGGTTAATTAAAAGGCTGATTAAAATTGCAACTTATCACCAGGTACTCTGGAAATTATGGGCTAAAATTTGTGCCACTAGAAACTGAAATTGAGTAATTATATTGGATTAATTCAGTTTCAAAACATTATTTTAAATTTCAATACAATTGTTCAATTTTAGTTTCTAGTGGCACAAATCTCAGCCCACAAAGAATCCCCTTTTCAAATTTTGACTTTGCATCATTAAACCAGCTATAAAAAGTTATTAAATCTATAATTGATTTTGAAAAGTATTTTCTTAATCCATGGTGAAAGACTCTTCTTTCCTTGTGCAGACGTGTTTCTGAACAGGTGAAGTCAACAAACATCAGGTAGAGGGTAAAGAAGCAGAGAGAACACAGTGAGTTTGTGTACTAAAATAAGGTTATTTACTTAAAAATCGTTACATTGGACAGACTGTATACAGAGTTTTTTTCATTTCCTTGGTAAACTCATAAGGCACCAAACCAGATGCTGTACAAAACAACAAAAAAAACAAAAAACATGAAAGATTTACATATTAGAAATAATTCCTATAATGGGGGTTTGTTTTGCATATTTATTACAGAGACACACTAAGTTACTGCTCTTAAATAGCTACTGTACCAACAGCTGGCTTCTCTCTCTCTCTCACACACAAACACACACACACAATGAACTTGTTCACAGCCAACACATGCACATCTTTCTGCTGCTGAGGAGAGAATTAAGGCAAATTATTTAAAGGAACAGTCCAACATATTTCTGAGTCTAGTCTGGAGGATTAGGATGTTTCGCCTAGTTTAGCGTAAAAACTGGAACAAGGGTTAACTTCTAGCCCAGCTCCGAGTATGTAACACCTCATTTTACATTTTTAACCTCAGAACTTTCCAATAAGACTGATGAAACAATTTTGAGTGCCACTCAGGCACTTCAGCCTGCATCCAGTCTTCAAACTAAACTAAGTAAACTGCAATTTTCAAAAAATTTTGTCTGAGACTTTTGCATCTGAAACAGGTCAGTGATTTTACTGCTGAAGGAAGACAAAACAGGGTTACAAAGATGGCTGTCTGAACAGTATTAAGTTATACTAAAATTTAAGAAACGGTCTGATTGGATGAGTGAACCTAAGGGGAAGGAGCCAAAGTTAACCTTTGCGTTAGTTATAATAATCTGGTTGAAGAGAGAAGACGTTAAACCAGTGGTTCTCAAGTCCAGTCCTCGAGGCCCACTGTCCTGCATGTTTCCCTGCTCCAACACACCTGATTCAAATGATCAGCTCGTTATTAAGCCATTACAGAGCTTGATAACGAGCTGATCATTTGAATCAGGTGTGTTGGAGCAGGAAAACATCAAAACATGCGGGACAGTGGGCCTCGAGGACTGGATTTGAGAACCACTGCTATAGTCCCACTTTGACACCCTGGTCCTTTGGCTCCACCCACTGAGATCTCAACCAATCACCTTCCTATCCTGACAACAGAGCAGCTCCACCTGTTTATGACAGCTGATAGACAGACATTAACCACGATGTGGACAGACAGACACAAAGACAGACAGGACGGGAGACGTCTCCAATGGCAACCCCATCCTCTCCTGGGGTCAACTGGACGTCAACACCACTGCAGCATAGTGTTCTGGTTTTCAAATCTTCTTATGAGTAGGCACGGCATCCAATGATAACATTTATTTACACATTAAAATTCACATATTATAATAGTACCTTATTTTCTTTATAATTAACTCTACTTTCAGAGTGGAGATATATTTCAATATGGCAGGAGAACTCAGTCCTGAAGAGAAAGTAACAACAGCAACAAAATAAAAATTGGCATTTGAAAAGTTTTCAAACAGACAGAAGAAGTGGGGGAAGTCAGGCGGGTCCTTAAAAAACAAGATCCAATGTTTTCCCTCTCATCAAGCATCAGGAACAGCCTTCCTCCTTTCTCCTCCAAAGACAGTCATCTTTTAAAATTATTGTCTCGTTTGGCTTTCACAGAAAGCGTCAAACTGGTTGTCTCGCCACCTACGAGCCAGGAGGAGGAAGAAGAGGAGGATGATGAGGATGTTTTATTTCCACAGACAGACTGATGGCAGAGGAAGAGGAGGAGCCGGAGGTCTACAGTTCAGCCCTCAGGGGACAGTCTTAATCTCCTAGCTCTCCTCCTCTTCCTCCTGATGAGGGTGATTTCCTGGGGATGCTGATCCAGTCTGATCTGTATCAAACCTGTCAGGCTGAGTGTGGTCTGGGTTTTACGTGAGTCTGATGGTGTTAGGACGATGACAGGGACGAGGGCGGTCAAATCTTGATGTCCTGCGACTCCACCATCTTGGCGAGTGTCTTCTTCACTCTGAGGATGGTGAGGCGGGAGGCGGGGTTATGAGCCCAGCACTCTGACATCAGCTTCAGCATGGCTCGAAGGCACTGTGGAAACAAAAGAGCACCGCATTAGAGGACTGTGGGTCATCTGAGACTTTGGTTCCCAGCAGAGTCCATCCCCTCCAGAAAAACAGCGACTGAAACAGAGTTCCAGGTCTGCTAAGTCATCTATGAGCCTCACCTCATCACTGTTCCAGCGGTTGGACACTGTGGGCCGAAGTCCTTTAACACACACCACCTCCAGCATGTCTTCATAGGAGGGGTCAGAGGGCACCATCTCATAGTATGGCAGCTGGTAGTCCTCCACAATACCTGAGCAGAGAGAGAGAGAGAGAGTTCATTTCTTCTGAGGGCAGACTTCTTCATTTGGTGCCTCTTCAGTCTAATCCAACACAATAGTTTAGTGTGAAGTGTAAGTATGTCTTTGTGTGTATATGTTGGTGTGTGTGCGCGTTTGTACCTCCAGTGACACATCGTCGGGCCATCTCCCAGATGACCAGGCCGTAGCTGTACATGTCGGCCATGATGTAAGCCTGGAAGTGGTTCTTGTTGAGGCTCTCGTCTAAGACCTCAGGGGCCATGTAGCGCCTCGTACCTACCCGGCTGTTCGGAGGGATGTCCACCTCATTGGTGTCACTGTGGGGAAATAAGAGACAGACAGCTGCTTTGAGGTTCAGTGTAGAGGATGACATATTTCGAGAATTCCTGTGGGTAACGTGATTCCCGCGGGATTCTGGGAGTCATTTTTTAATTAATCCAGTGATCGGGACGGGACGGGAAAAAAAGCAACGGGAGCAGGCAGGAGTGGGAACAACATTAATAGATGATCAATTTCAGCCGTGTTAAACAACCACACGAACAGATGTGTCCATTTTTGTAGTCCTCTCTCAGTGAGAGCCAACACTCTTGACTGCGCTAGCAACACAAAAGAACTACAACAGTGGTTTGACTTCCTGTCACCACCGGAAGTGAAAAGCGACTCGGAGCGGTCGCCGGAGCTCCAACTCGGGCTGCCGCTTTCACCTAAAATTCTTTATTTTAAAATAAAAAATACAACGTTTTTCAACATGTTTGGTTTTATTCAAACGGGAGCGGGACAGGAGTGGGAGTGATTTTGAGTGGGAGTGGGATGGGAGTGGGAGTCATTCTACTACTCGGGTCTGGGATTGGGACAGGAAAGTTGAGTTTTGAAAAAAGAGAGCTGGATAAGAAATAAGGCAGCGTCATATTAGGATTCAAATATAAACAGACAATTTAACCAACACAACATCACACTGTTCATTAAACGAGTCAGTTATCTCCTATCAAACACACCAATAACTGCTGTAAAATTCAATGACCTTCTGCTCTTTTTTTTTGTTTTTTTCCATTTCTTTTTTCATTTCATATTATTATTTTTTTCTTCCTTCTGCTTTTGTCCAACAGTTCTAGAGAACTTGGTACTGTGTATAAAAAAAAAACCCTGTTGCAACAATGTTTACCTGTTGAACTTTACGGCGAGGCCGAGGTCTGCGATGCAGCAGGTTCCGTTCTTCTTGATCAGGATGTTTTTGCTCTTCAGGTCTCGGTGGGCGATGGCCGGTTTTCCCTGCGTGCCGTAGATTTCTGTGTGCAGGTGGCAGAGGCCGCAGGCAGCGGAGTACGCCAGCCGCAGCAGAGCCTGCGTGTCGAGTGTGGTCAGCTTCAGGTAGTCGTAGAGAGAGCCGTTCTCGTGATAGTCAGTGATGAGGAAGAGCTGCGTGTAGGTGCCGGTGCCCTTGATATCAGCCGCAATAAAGCCTGCAGGTGGGAGAGATGATTGACAGGTCAGGTCTCAGGAAACAATCCTAACTGTACTAACTGCTGACATTATGCATCTTGCATGTATGCTTCACAATTTCACCTAAAAGCAGGTTGTCCAAGTCACCCACAACATTTAAGATGTTAAAGGAAAAGATTAAAGAACTTAACTTCTATTTTCTAGTTTCCATTCATTTACTACAAATTATAATAACTTAGCAGCGAGCTGACTGTGACTTGACCAGGTTCTCAAAGAAAGTCGTTAAAATCTTATCATGAAGAAGTGCAACTTAAGACCAATCTGCACTTCAGTATCTTCATACAGTATATATATTTAATTAAGCTTTTAGGAGCATAAGCCTTATGCTGCGTTCCAGTTGTACTCGGAAGTCAGAATTTCAGAGCTCTGAGTCAGAAATTCATCTGGAAAGCCCCCCTGAAGTCGGATTTCAGACTTGGAAAGTTGGACGATCCTCACCAACCCTCACTTGACGACAGTGTCATAATCCAAGATGGCAGCGCAGTGCATCAACGGCCAAGAGTAACAGTGAAAACTCTCGTAATGTTTTATTTATTAACACTTTGGTTTTGTTTTTGTGAAATTTAATAGGTGGTACATGTTGTGCTGCTCAACGTCTAACTGTGAACACGGTGCTATAGAGTAAAATACTGTGTTATGCATTGGTTAACACTGGTATTGCTAACAACAACTAACAACCGCTGACAACTGTAAACAACAGCTAACTGTAGGCGTCCATCTTGGTTTTTCGACTTGTTAACTGGAACACTGTCAACTAGGGTGTAACGTCATTCCCAGCTTCGACATCCAACTTCTAAGTACTGAAGTACTGGAACGCAGCATAACTCCTGTCGTTCTTTTTCATTTTTGTGTAAATGTTTCTTTGCTATATTTAATTTGGTAAACTCTGTCACTATAAAGCCACACACACACACACACACACACACACACACACACACACACACAGTCCATCCCTCTCCGAGTGAATTATAGTCCTCAGTACATCAGAGCACCTTCTGTCTCTATTAAACAGTGTCGTCATTGAGTCTCATCGGTCTGATAGACTGCAGGCGGCGCTCTGTGTCATTAGTTTAAATCATCAGCTTAATTAAAAATCAATCATCATATTGATCTGTTTTGGAGTCCACCAGTTTTCAGGGTTTAAAGTCTTCTGCAGGTTTTATGGTTCGTCAGATGGTTGAGCTGCAGTCAGATAAACTCTCATTTTCCTCCCGTCTAATCAAACTCTCAGATGTAGAAGAGGAAATGCCCAAACTTATCCCCCTTTATCTTGATGCCCCTTTTTTATCCCCTTTTTGTGTGTGAGTGAAGGAAGACATGGACGTGATCCGTACCCAGGATGTTTTCGTGTCTCATCAGGACGGTCTGGTAGATCTCAGTCTCTCTGAACCAGCTGGCTTCCTCTCGGGTGAAGAAGACTTTCACGGCCACCTTCTCTCCCCTCCAGCGGCCCAGCCACACCTCGCCGTACCGCCCCTTTCCAATCTGACGTACCATCTGGATTTGCTTGGCGATGGTTCGCTGCACCTGAACACCAGAGAGACACAGGGGGGTTTAAATAAGTCTGATATGTGAAGTTTGAAGGATTCTCTGTAGTTCTGTCTCTTCTCTTTTGGTCCTGAGAAACAGTTTGACTCAAACCAGAAAAACCTCAGCTGCAGATTCACCTCAAACTGATTACATTATCTGACTGTACGGGGGTTAGTTTTGATTTCTTTTTTTTAATAAACCTATGAATTTTACAAAATATTTTGGTATTTGAAATAATTATGGTACCTTCTTCAAGTCCCTATATTCTCCAAGATCCCTTAGGTTAGTTGCAAATATCTCAATTTTTAATAAGTTATTTTAGGCTCGTAAAACAAGATCAGGGATGTCACATTTTTTAATTTTCAGTAATACTTTATAAAAGGCAATCCATTTTCAACACTGAACACACCAGATCTACAGTATGTACAGTATATAGTTTGTATATAAGGACGGTGTGTAAAGGTGCAGTCTGGCGTCCTTACCAGCAGAGGGAGCCCCGAGCCACTGCCTGAGCTCTGTGATTGGTGGATGAGGTCTTTGAGTGACTCTCCCGCAGGGATGAAAACTTCCTGCTCCAGATCCTTGTGATACCGCTGACGCTCAGTCTGCCACTTGTACCTGTTGAACACACACGAACACAAACACTTGGTGTGTTACGCATGTACACATGTACATCGTTTCTTTGAGAATAAGAGCCAAAGCAGGCGTGTTAGTTGCATTTAAATACTGCCTGTGGGGGTAGGAACAAAACAGACCGGGTCTTTATGTCATTACAATGTTTGAATGGCTTCTGTAGAGCCCTCAGAAACACCACTACCATAGTGGTACAACCCCTAAATCAGAGTGTTAATTAATGATATCAGAGGAGGTCTGTCAGTGATGTTGTACCTGTAGTAACAGACGACGGTGACACAGATGAGTGTGCAGCAGCAGACCATCATCGAGATGAGGAAGGCCAGCCAGTGAGGACTTCCCTCTACAAAGAGAAGAGACCACAGTGATTAACTCAGGTCTACAATCACCTCATGAACACCTGAACATCTTAGAGATGTGGGGGGGAGGGTTACCTGGGGGAGCCTGAGGGGGGAGGGTGGGCTGCAGGTCTCTGTTGCAGAAGTCGGTGTTGCAGCACTCGATGGTCCTCCTGGTCTGAGCTTTCGGAGAGTCCTGTCAGTCAAACCAATCACACAATGGATTAGATAAACATGACATGATCAACAGCTGCTGCAGCTCCTGTCTGTTGTGATCCTGGACTGAGCTTTAGTTATAGTTACTCTATGATATTCTTTATCAGTGTGTGTGTGTGTGTGTGTGTGTTTGCATGTGCGTACCTTGCACTGGAAGTGTGAGCCTTCATATTTCATGCAGCCAGAAGTGAGGATGGCCTCACCGTGCTCATCTTCCTCAATGATGGCAAAACACTGACCGTTGGTCCTGAGGAGACAAACACACAGTGTGTATCAGCAAGAATGATCGGAGCCTGTCAGCTGATCAAACGACAATGACTCTCCTGAACTCATGATGGGGTTGTGATGAAATCAAAGACTTGAATACATATATCCATCTACTTTAAAACTCTCCATTTATAATCTGACATGTTTTTTTGTGTCTTTGCAGTCTTCACATGGTAACGTTGAATCCCAAAACTGTTTAAACTCTTTACACCAGTCACCGTAGAGCTCTCTATTAGCAGATTTCAAACTGTGAGAATACTTTTAAGACCAGCTGGGTTAATAACCAGATCTCAGGTCATAGTTCAGATTTCTCTTGCTGTGTGCCTCTCTACTCACTGGCAGGTGTTGTTGGTGGCGTCCTCGGGACAATGTCCTGAGCAGTAACAGCTAAGGAACCGGGCAGCATCCTCTGGCGCAATGGTTGAGTCCTCGCCAGGTCTTCTTGCTTCAGGTTTCACCCCTGTCCCTTGCAGGACATGGTCTGGATTCTGACCTGCAGCTGGACAGAGAAACAAAAAGTGAGTCAGAAGAACCAGATTTAATAGACTAAGAGCACAGCTGAATTTTAGGTTTCATGCATCAGCGTGATTTCCTGCTGTGTGTCATTCAGAGTTTGATGAAATGTGTTTTCAATAAAAGAAAAGGTTTTTAATCTAAGGTCTGCCGCAGCGAATCTAATCAAAACTCTGAATTTAAAGCTGGTTTCAAGTCGAAGACCCCAGGCAAAGCTTGAGGAGCAGAATTCAGGTCTGATTTATCAGGGTGAGTCCTGCTGGAGGTGAAACATTCCTCCTCTATCAGCAGGACCGCAGACAGAGAGGAGGAGGAGGAGGAGAGACAGAGGTCCATATAAGGAGTAAAGGTTATTTATACTGGCTAACTGTAAGTGTGTCATCACAATCTCACATTTGAACCACTTTTGACAAATAAGACATGTAGTCCGAACCAGCGGTGAAAAGTTATGACACACCAAGTCAGCCAAAGTGATCAAGAGTGGGGTCAGAGGTCACAGCTCACAAGTAAAAAATGCGTGTTGATGCAAACCCATCCCCCACACATCTCTTCAGATCCTCAACTCTGCTGCTTTCATATGAGTATCAGCGTTTTTAAGAATCTTTATCATAAACATCTGCTCCTTTTTCCATGATCTGTCTGTAAATTCTTCATAAACACGTTTTGATCACACATCACAAACATTTGATTGTGTTAAGATCTTCATTTAACTCCTGGTTGATGTTTGTATATGCAGTGGACATAAAGTCTACACACCCCTGTTCAACTGCCAGGTTTTTGTCATGTTAAAAAAAATTACAAGATAAATAATTTCATAACCTAGGGTTAGGGTGGCAAGACGGAAACCTTATCTTACAAAGAAAATCATCAGAGCCCGGCTTAATTTTGCAAAAAGACATCTGAAATCTCCCAAACGCATGTGGGAAAATGTGTTATGGTCTGATGTAACCAAAGTTGAACTTTTTGGGACATCATTGCAAAAGGTATATTTGGTGCAAAATCAACACTGCTCATCACCAAAAGAACACCATACCTACAATGAAGCATGGTGGTGGCAGCATCATGCTTTGGGGCTGTTTTTCTTCAGCTGGAACTGGTGTCTTAGTCAGGGTGGAGGGAATTATGAACAGTTACAAATACCAGTCAGTGTTAACACAAAACCTTCAGCCTTCTGCTAGAAAGCTGAAGATGAAGAGGACCTTCATCTTTCAGCACAACAATGACCCGAAGAACACATCTAAATCAACAAAACAATGGCTTCACTGGAATAAGATTGAGACTTTGGAATGGCCCAGCCAGCGCCCAGTCCTGAATCCCATCATGATCCCATGATCTGAAGAGGGCTGTGCATAGGAGATGCTCTCGCAATCTGTCAGATTTGGAGCGGTTTTGCAAAGAAGAGTGGGCAAATATTGCCACATCAAGATGTGCCCCGCTGATAGGCTCCAAAAAGACTGAGTGCTGTAATGAAAGCCAAAGTTGCTGCAACAAAGTATTAGTTTAAGGATGTGCATATTTATACAACCAGGTTATTTTAACTTTTCTATTTTTTTATTTTTCCCCTTAAAGGTTTCAGTTTGTTTTTCAATTGCATTGTACAGGTTATAGGTCACATTGAAGGTGGAAAAAGTTGTGAAAATGTTTATCTTGCTGTCATTTTCTTACATCACAAAAACCTGGCAGTTGAACGGGGGTGTGTAGACTTTTTATATCCGCTGTACCTGATCTCATTGCCTGTTGTTTGTCCAGCATTGCTTTGTCTTTTTCTGTTTCAGTACATTAAGACTGACAGGCAGCAGCACAGATTCCTCATTTATGTCCACAGACTTTGAACGCAGCTTTTAAAAATGTGACTCATAATGAAGAGATCACAGGCATCCGTGTAACCCCTCACATTTACTTTCTTCGTCTTTTTCATAAGTGTTACCTTCTTTGTACATGCCTTTAAGCAAAGTGTCTCTTCAAATTTTTCAGTATCATTTTCTTTTGCTTCCTCCTTTTACTACTTCAAATAAAAAAATCATATTATCCCCTCAAACAGACTCTCTGATATTCCTATTATTCAGAAACAGCCAAAGACCATATTCAATCTGCCCTCGAGTAAAATGATTTCTTGATCCAAACCACAGATTTAACATCAATACAATAACATTATTTTTTTTTACAGTTTTCCTTAAAAGAACCAGGATTCCTGTTTTATATGTACTTGTTTTGCAGAAATTGCAAATAAAATCATTCACCAAAACTGAAGTGAAAAGTAAGTTCTTTAAAGGCTTCAGCTTCTTCAAATATTACCTATCTGCTAAATGCAACACAACAAGGTGTTTCACATTGGATTCTTTCCTTATAATTGCACTAATGAACTGACCGATCTATTCAGTGTCAGGAAATAGTGACAAAAGTCTGAGTTAAATGCTAAGAGGAGGTTTTCAAAACTCTTCAAAACAAATCCATATGACTTAGTTTACTGCGATATCAAATCAGAGAAAATCTTCAAGTTTTTAAAATTGATAGTGGCAGAAAGTTGTGAGTAATTTTCTGTCAGTGAACAACCAAATTCACAGAGAAAAGACCCTGAAAATGTTAACCAGAGGGACAAACGGAGAAAGAGATCAGACAAGTCTTAATCCTTCATCCTGCTGCTGTTCCTCTTTCCTGTCCTCCTCTGATCCCTCTATTTTGCAATGTTGTTTGCTTGACTCTCTTTTACTCTCTCCATTCTTTCTTTATCTATCTTCAACATCGACTCCCTTTCAGCTCCTTTACCTTTACTCTCCTTTCTTTTTCTTCTCTCCTCTCCCTGCAGCTCAGAGTGAAAACACTCAGAGGTGTGTGGACGCAAACTCTGTCATGTCTGGACATGACCGACCTGCACACCTACACTTTGAGCTGCCGGGTAGCCGTGGTAACAGCCTGTCTGTCTGTCCCCTGTCACAGTACGGCTGGGTCCTGTGGTTCAGCGAGTGTACCAGAGGATCTAACAGAGATCTGCTGTGACTCTGCAGACTGGAACGCAGACTCTGACTCATGTTTGACACAGAGAGAAAAACAGAAACCAGAAAATCCTCTCAAGACTTCTCACTGTGACGTCCGCCTCACACTGAGCTGAGTCTGCACATTAAATCCTACCCAACAAACTGAGAACATCCACACAGAGCTGCCACTCTTCTCCGAATTCCATCCCTCCATCCAGACGTAATTGCATTTAATTTTACAAAACAGCTAAAAAACACCAGCTTGTTGTTTCTGTGTGTACATGGAAAAGGAGCTTTTGTGGAACTTTCAAATTAGCTGCTAGCTAGCTGCACACTGAACCTTAAAGACAGACCCAAAAATGTCTCTTTTTGATGTGAAAGTTTCTTTTCAGGATTAAAGCTCCACTTTTTTCACAAATATCACACCGAAGAGAAAAACTATAACTGTCAGCCGGAGCGCTTGTGACTTCAAATCTTTTCAGAAGGGTTTGAGAGAACAGGAGGAAGCACCTATTACCTGCTCTTAACTTTATGTGTGTGTGCCATCACAGAGGAGCTTGTTTTTAAAGTCCAACATGTAAATTTGAAGAGGAGTTCATTTGGTTATAAACTGGATTCACCTGGTCAAACAAAAGGCTGAATGACTCTGTTTCACCCCTGCTGAGGTTGTGATGTGCAGCGTTGGCAGAAGATGACAGTCATCTCCTTTCATAACCTTAAAATGAGTCAATAATGGGAATGAACTAAAAATGATAAGGCAGCAAATCTGGGTGTTAAGTGTTTGTTTTGTTTCAAGGTGAACTGCTCAATATATTGTGATATTGATTTGAGGCCATACAGCCCAGCCCTACCTTGGAATATACCCAAATAAAGATGCAGAATTTTTCTTGCATGTGGTAATGTCCATTTCCAATCACATAATTAGTTATGTACAAAATCAAATACTCAGCTATTAAAAAATATCAAAAATTAAAACTGCACCATAAGTTTCTCTGTAGTATAGAAGTCAGTTTATACACATCTAGTATCTTTAATGCTAATTTGTGTTTACAGACACTGACCCCTGACCTCTCTGAGTGAAGACAGAGGAGTGCTGCATTTATGTGCTCCTAAGTTTGATTCTTTGAGGTCATTCCCCTGACATTTGTGTGTTCATAGTTTGAATTCAGAAAGTCGGACTGTTGTTACAGTCAGACAACAAAAATATATAAGAGGAAGGAATGTGGACTGTCGCTACAAAGAGAGTTTAAACTCTAGACCAGTGGTTCTCAAGTCCAGTCCTGGAGGCCCACTGTCCTGCATGTTTTGGATGTTTCCCTGCTCCAACACACCTGATTCAAATGATCAGCTCGTTATTAAGCCATTACAGAGCTTGATAACGAGCTGATCATTTGAATCAGGTGTGCTGATCTGCTCTAGACTGATCGATATTATCAGCATTTTTGTCAGATTTTCTTACTATTTACAAGACAACGCTGTCCTGTAATGTTGATGGCAAACATGTCAAGTTGGAAAATTCTTTCCTGACTTCACAAATTGTTACGTTGAGTGAAAACTGTCTCCTGTATCATGTATCACCACATAAAGTGCAGCTGTTTGAAAATGTAAACGCTGCTCACATGTCGTCATTTTACAGCTTTGATAGAAAAAAAGGACCTTTTTTGTCATCACCGTGTAGCTCTTACAATCTTCACTGACAAGTCCTGCCTTCTTTTCAGGCCAAGGAAGGCAGTGATTGGCTCAAAAGTTATGAAGAAGTGAAAGATGGGTGGGAGTGTTAAGGCTGGAAATGGCTGCTCTGCTCCCGACTCCATCCACATGTGTACTTAATTGTGCCGGCAGTCAGAGTGGAGACTGAGGTCTGGCAAAGAGGACGCTGGGTAATCAGACTCTCTCCATGTGCTCTTAAAGTAACAGTGCTGCTTCAGACTGGCTGTTTATTTACATTCAGGAGCAGCCGGCTGATGAATCGCTCTGATCTCTGGTCCTCTGTAGTGAACACATCTGAGCGTCCAGAGGGACCATGAGCGATGACGATGATGTGTTTGATGATGAAGCAGCCGGTGTGGTCTGCAGACACAATGTTAGCTGCTCTTGATGTTTTATATCTGTGGACTGGTTCAAAAATACACACTGACTGCAAATATGATGTGTAGAAGAGACGAGGGAACTTGTACTTAAATCTGCACAGCTAAAAGAAGAAGATAAGACACGAAACTATTTTGATGATCTAACTCTGGTTTTCCTCTCATTTCCCACCTTTGAAATCAACAAGATGTGTGCTTGTAAGTGTTCAGTTTGTCTATGAAGGACGGAATGTGCTGCGAGCTGCTCTGCTCTCATATAGAGAAGCTTGAAGACTGCAAGTTCATTCAACATGACTCACTGACGGCAAATATGCAGACTAAGACACTTGATTTATGGATGACTGTAATGTGGAGGAGTGTCATATGGATTTCATGCATTAAAGGGATATTATGGCGTAAAATTAAGTTAGGGTCAAGAGATGAATGTTGTCCAGACTGCTTGCTTCTCTATTTATATTAACTTTAGTGACGATCGCACAATAGCAATATACAGCGGTCTATGTTTCCACGCGCACACCTCAACCAAAAAGCCACTCTATAGCCACAAATAATGCTCAGAACAGCACCTAACTTCATCAACAGGACATATAGGGTCCCAGCCAGAGTACGAGCCCCCAAACATCTTTTTAGCTTTGCCTGATTTCTTTAGCAAAGAGACTAAACACAACTCACCCACTCTCCTCCAGCAGCTGTTCGTTAGTACGGACACCTGACAAGTTGATCACTGAGGGCAGCGGATCATTTTCATGAAGTAATAATCATCATCATAATCATTTTGCACTGCAGACGCATCAGTTCTTCTGCCTTAGCGTCTCGGTATAATTATATTTCCATAAAGTAATAATCATAAATGTTCTTCCTTGAGCTGCGAAGCTCCGCTGCACTCGGTGATCTACTCATCAGGGCTCCTCCACAAACAAATGGCTGCTGGAGGAGAGTGGGTGGGTGAGTTGTGTTTGGTCTCTTTGCTAAAGAAATTAGGCAAAGCTAAAAAAAAGTTTGATAGCTGGTACTATGGCTGGGACCCTATATTTACTGTTGATGAAGTTAGGTGCTGTTTTGAGCATTATTTGTGGCTATAGAGTGGCTTTTTGGTTAAGGACTGCGGGTGGAGACGTAGACTGCTGTGTATTGCTATCATACAGTCACTGCTGAAGTTGGTATAACTAGAGAAGCAAACAGTCGGCAACATTCATCTCTCGAGGAGGGTTCTTACTTGGTGTTGTGGTGTGTTTGACCCTAACTTAAATTTCCTCTGGAGTATCCCTTTAATCTAAAAAAAATATTGCTTATTTTAAAGTGTCTTGTATTAACTTGGAATTTTTATTCTTTTGCTGCATTAACCTGCAAATACTTTTCACACAATTTTTAATTTCTTGGTTTGCGGTGTGGATGCAGTAATTCTCAAATCAAGAACAAGTGGCTTAAACCTACAATAAAACTAATTATTTGAAACAAAAGAACTACAAACAGCAGAGATTCAGTAAGAAGTTTGAACCTTAAAACAAGGATCAGTCAAGAATTTGTCCTCATTTTACTTTTTGAACTATTGATTCATTTAAGTAATAAAAAAATACCATATGATTATTGTTTTATTATCTCAAATCAAAGCAACTAGAGACTCCTGTGTTCATTTCAGGAGCCTGAACTAATAATTTTAAATGGTTTTAAATGTCTGATATAACTCCAAGGATTCTAAAGTGCGGTCCCTAAATGAACATCTCTGTGTGGCTGGTGTGTGCTCGTGCTCTGGCTCCAGTGAAGCCTGCAGGGAATCACCAACACATCCTGAGTGACGCCTACTGCTACAGAAACACTGCTGCTGCTTCTCAAACAGAGACAAACAAGAGGGAAGAGGAGGGAGGGGAGGAAGGACAGATCAGCTGTCAACCACAGAGAAACCTCCAGAGAACGATCAGTGTCACCCTCCTGCTCCGACCTTGAAAAGACGGGATGAAAACAAAGGATGGGAGAAAGAGAGCAAACAAAAGCAGAAGGGACAACCTCACAGGCTGGGCAGGTGAGGAGGAGTGTCTCGCACTGGAAAATGCTTAAGGTTAAATTGTAAAAACAGGCTGCCTAAAGCTACATGTAATAACTTGAACAAATGAAGAATGCGTTTAGGTTTCTGGAAGGATTATTTGTTTTTTTGGGACAGTGGATAGTGTAGAAAACAGGGAATAACAGGTGAGTGATCTGCACAGAAGGCTGCAGGTTGGTGCACATTGGGCATATAAATGTTAACCCCAAGGTTAACCAGCAGCCTCAAGGTTGATGTGTTGCTGAGGTGATTAAAAGTTAATGTACTAAGTATTAGCAGAGGTCTAATTTGTCCATCATGAATGGTTCTTCTGTCGGTGAGAGCAGGACAAAGAGGGGTTTGCAGGTTTTCTCTGATTTCCAATCGTCATCACTTTCTGCAGGACGACAGGAGAGGATGACACATCCTGAACTCGATCTGCCTCCTGATACAACACGGTGCACAAGTTATGTCACCCCTTTCATGTCCCAAAAGCTCAGCACCTCCATTGACCAGGATGACCTGAAGTTGCTCAAACCTTTCAAACCCTTTTTGTTTGTGTAAATAAGGAGTAAACTCAACCTACATCCACAGCTGAGTAGTCACAGGAACGAAACTGTGCTATCAGGATTGTTTCCATCTCCAAAATCACAACATCACTTTAAGTCTAGAATGTGAAATAAAGGTACAGTGTGTAAAAAAAAAGCTACATTCATGATTTCTGTGAATCTATCCCTGTGTCCCCCTTTCAGCTCAACTAATATTGTGTAGAAAATGTAGACAAATGTATTAAGGTGCAAAACAATACTGTTCATATCACTTCAGGTTCAGAATATAATCTAGTTCAATCTAGTGTGTGTAGTTCCTACTCAGTGTGAAAATTTTCTGCTTGGTACCTATAAAGGGGACCAAAAAAAGGGGGACCATACAGATTGTTACTTTGGAAACTTTTGACATAGGAAATGCAAATAACTATGTACAGAAGCACAAATGACTATGGCCATTTCCCTTTCTCCTGTCTGCTTTCCACTTTTACAACCAATACAACCTTTTTTTATTAGAGCAGCCCCAACAACAACATCTTTACTGAGATGTTTATTTGAACCAGCCTCTGTTGCCTGGCACCGGCAGGTTGTTGAAAACGTCCCACTGAGGAAATAACCGGCCTGCGCTCGTTAAAACGGAGCAGAGCTGTGAAGTTAAGAAGCCTCAGGTGACGACTTTTCAATCTACCTAATGCAGCCATGTGGCTCTTCAGTTTACTGTAAAAGAAACATAAATACCCCTCCCATTAGAGTGACGGTCTTCATTATCATATCATCTAAATGTTTGATTGAGAATCAGACCAATATACACTAAACAAATAAGGAGAGCTCTGAAATCAGACAGAAGGAGACTTAAAAATGTCTGAGTTATTAGTTACCTTCCTGACACAGTGAAGATCAGTGCTCTGATTAATGGCATACACATAATACCGAGTGTACCTCTGTTTTGTACCAACAGGTCTCAGTTGATTTCTAGTTGAAAATAATTTTGGTTTAGGTCTGCAGCAATCAAATATTTTGGTAATGGAGTATTCTACAGAATATTCCATCGGTTAATCGAGTAATCGGATAAAACTTTATTTTTTAGTTTAAGTGCAATTAATATACAAGAGAAAATAAGACTTTTATAGAAGTAAGGAATGCGGAACAAGTGTATAGCGGATTGTAATGCTTGTAAGAAAGCTAATTATGAGTGTCCTAATTAGTGCCCATGAGCTGAATAGCTTCTATGTTACCTGCTTCTGCAACTACACTGGCAATGTTAGGCTACAAGATAGCATGAAGAGGAGTGTGCAGAGCAGCACTGTCTCCACCCACGCATCAGAGGCGAATTGCTAATGATCTACTGGAGCTCCTCCTGGAGAACAATATACAACGTGTGAATGTGTGTGTGTAGGTGTTACTAATACCTGCAGTGATATTTTGGACTGTTTTGAAAGTTAAAATCTGTGACCCTTCCCACTTAGAAACTTCTAAAACCCGTCTGTGCTGAAATTATGTGTGCATGTCCTTGTAGTAATGGGTGAAACCTTTGGCACTAAAATCATCAAGTTAAAAAAAAAATCCATTGATATCAGCTTCAAAAAGGCACAAGGGTTGATAACTTTTCCTGTTGGATGCCTAAAGAGAAATATTGGGGCTTGTAATTTTCACAGACTAAAAAAGAACACAAATCTTTTTAAAAATAAAAGACTGGGTGACCCTTTTTTTCTTTTTCTTCAGAGTCACAGCCCTTCTACTGGGTTAAAACGAAAAGGAAAAAAAGGGTTACGAAACAGGTTGTTGCCATGTTGTGCGTTGTGGGACTGCCAGCCTTCGCGGGCCGTGGCAGAAATAAATCCAGAGAGAGGAAACAAACACTGTTTCAAAGGGCGAATAAGTCTCCAGAGGGACTGAAGGATATTTCCGGAGAACAATGACTGTTTGGAGCTTTTAGCACCGCTGACAGCTCGTACAGTGCCATTCAGGAAACAGTTAATGTGCAGAGAGGAAGTGAGAGCGACAACAATCATTTCAACAGCTTCCTGCAGAGAGGAGTGGAGGACCGGACACAGGGAGAGTTTCAGAGAGCAGCTGATCCAGCTGCCAGCAGCAGACACCTCTATTTTTTTTTAACTTGCACTACGAGGATGCAATTTTTTCTTTCTGGGAGAGGCTTAAAAAGATTTGTACCCCATAAGGCTGAAGGGGACTGTAGATTCAGTTCACCATTAACCTCTGAGAGAGCACTCATCCCGTCTCTGTTTGAAGTTTTGGGGAGGCCTGTATACTTTTTAATCAATAAATCAATTAACAGGAGCATTTGAAACATGATGAGGAATGTAATAGAAAGGATGATATCTTAAATTGTTTATGAAGGCTCTTTATTCACTCTGACCAGGACTGGTATTTTCCAGATTATCAAGTGGATAATCAGACAAATGTGAATATCTTTTATTCTTAATATGCGGAACAAAAAGGGGAAAAAGAAATTAAAACACCAGTTTGATATGATGGGAGAAAAAGAGTCTGTTCTTTTCCTTTCCAGACTGCTGTGTGTGGGTGTGTGGGTGTGTTTGTGTGCATGTGGCAAGTGTGAGTGTGTTATCGGAGAGTTTGAGTCAATCACGGCCTGCAACACTTTAGTGAGCACCGCCCTGCTCTTATCAGTCTGCTCTGTGTATTTGGAGGTCTGTGGTTTGTAGCTCAGACTGTGACATTTCTCGTGACGCTAAACTCATTTCACACAATGAGGACAACGTCTGAAAATAGTCATATTTATCCTCTCTGCGCGGAGCATTTGTGAAGGTTGGCCTTTAAAGCTCACTGAACACACAACACTGAGAAGACACAGATTTAAAGAAAACGACCCCATCACAAAGCTTAGCATGCATTTCAAAGAACCAGGGGGGTCTCTTTTGTTTCACAAGTTGATTTCTTAAGCCCCCCCCCCCCCCCCCTCATTATCAGCCAATTGACACTGCATCAGGCCTTAAACAAAAGGCTGCTGATACTCTTATATGTGTACTGGGAGGGGGGCACTGATTACACAGGAGGTGCAGAACGACTTTTTATGTTAAGGTCAGTATCAAAGTTCAGCTTATCTCACTTCAAACAAACTCTAGAGTTAATGACAAACTAAGTAGCAAAAACTGCTCAGGTTACCATGGAGGACCGAGAGTCCTTACCTTAACTTTTGGATTTTTTATGAAAATTTGAAAAAGTGTAAACTGCTGCTTTCAAGTCTTGTTCTTTGACGTTACAAAAGCAAAAAGTGTGGTTGTTATCTCTCCGGATTTTACTGAGCACGTTATATATAATACTCACTTTCAGATCCAGCAAACACACAGACTGGCCTGAATGTAGGTTGACTGTTGTGTAATAATAAATAGCTCTGGTAAAAGGTTAGGTAACATTTGTGTAGATTGTCCATCAACAAACTTACAGACTTTGTTGAACTGATTTTCTCTGAGTTTGTGATACAGACTTTAGTGCCACAGTGTTCTTCTCTTGATTTGTGATCTGTCTGGAACTGTTCAGTTAAGTAGAAACAAATATACCAGTGAGGAGAACAAAATGGAAAAGCATGAAAATCAAAATCAAAGCTTTAAAATCACAGATGCTGTATGACAAGTCAAACCAACCAGCCGCCATGAGAGCCAAAGTTACCAAAGCCTTAATACCAGGAGTGTCCTGACAGAACTTTTTTTTTAACCTCCGATATGATACCGATATTGTTGCCTTCAATACTGGCCGATACCTATATTGATCCGATATTAGCACAAACTTCTGCATTACAAGTTTAGCACTGAGCTGCAATGTCTTTTTCGGACTTTAATGAAAAATACTGCCACAGGGTCGACATCACTCCAACTCATTAGTTCTTTATTTGTACCTTTGTACACACTGTTGTTGTGATCACATGGGCTCTACAAGCTGGATCCGGGTCTGGAATGGACTGCCTGTATCAGAGTGCTGATATAGAAGATTTTGGATGCAGGCCGATATCATCTAATATTGAAATTTTTGCTGATATCGGACCGATATCTGATATCAGATCGGGATGGGAATTGATAAGATTTTATTGATATCGATGCCATTATCGATTCTGCTTATCAATTCAATTCTTTAACGATTCCCTTATCAATGCCTTTCTTCGATTAAAAAAAGTAGACTATAGGTTTTCACTGTTAACTCAAAATTTTGAGTCTCTGATAAATAAAAATATTATGTTCTCTACCTTGACAGCTTACTGTAACGTTTATACACCCAAGTACACCTTTATGTTTGTATATTTGGGATACATAAAATGGAACGAAAGTTTGCTGCTCCATTTGAAGTGTTGTCATGATCTGATACTAGTGTTTTTTTTTTTTTTTAAATATGAGATCATATTTCTTCCTCTTTAAGAAGCTAATGAACAGATGGGATGCATTCTATGGCACAACACTGGAGGAGAACATGGACTACATGTGACTCATTATATTTGATACCGTGCCCCGTTGACACATGTTGAAGCATGTTGCTGGTGTTCCCACCTTTGCATGTTATCACTGCTTGACAAACATTGCACTGTTGTCGTCTTTCTCAGCAAAATTAAGCCACTCTTTAGCTCGTTACTGCCTACTCGTCATATCTTCCGCTATTTTTTTCCTCCGTCTCTGTTCCCGTTCGCGTAGACTGGCACTCGCGGGACTGTTCTTCAAGGCACCCGCAAAAAAGGAATCGTTAAGGGAATCGTTAAGATAAAATGTAAATGATGTCGATGGATTGAACCATTTAGAACCGGTTCCCAACAAGAATCAGTTCTTGGTTCCCATCCCTAATGTCAGATACCCCTCACCTGAGAGGATGCTTAGTGCTCAATTTCACCATAGTTATGAGCTTTTAGTGTATCCGGTCTGTGACAAAGATTGTTCGGAGATGGTAACAGTTTTACCACAGAGAAAGAGCAGAAAGTAGATTGTGAGAGTCTTACCATCAGCTCTTGGAGTCAGGAGAGAGGCTGCAGCCATCATAGCCAAACAGAATGTTAGACCTGCCATCCTGCAGCAGGACTGGACCTCGACTGGGCCCAGATGAGGCCTCGCTCTAGGATAAGGGGGGTTCTGGATCAGCTGGTCAGGACGCTGAACACCGAAGACACACTCAGGTCTTGTCAAAAAGTCTTTAATCCACAGCAGTGGTATGAGGAGAGGGAAAGGTGGGTTGAGCTGGCCAGGTGGAGTGCAAGAGATGGTGGAGGAAGAGGAGGGGTGGGGGGAGACCACTGGGTGTGATTCAGGTACTGGGGTTGGTATCACAATATCAGGCCCTCTTCTGTCTCATGGGCTCTTTGGGTCCAAAACCCTGAAAACATGAAGAAAATACAGAGTTAATACGAAGTCATAAACAGCTGATTAATATGGACTTTGATCTGAACGGATATCAGAACAGCACACTTCAACATTCAGACGCCACAAGCTCAAGTCAAAAACGTTGAAATAAATCTCAGGTTTTTTATGTTTATGGATCGACTGTCAGAATAAATTGTTTTTGAAACTTGGGACCACAGAAGTATAATCTCAGATTGCTAAGAGGCTCTCTCTCTCTCTTACTCTCTCTCTCTCTCTCGTCTTCAGGGCACTATGACCTGTTGACCCCTGTTGGCCCTGTGCTGGCCTCCAACAGTCTGACTAACTACCAAATTATTTGTCCAGGGATGTTCTGCAATTACCGGCGCTGGCCCTACGCAGCGCTAGCAACGGCATGTCGCAATTAGTGGGCGCCGAAGGGATGGAAAGGGTGTGTGTGTGTGTGTGTGTGAGTGAGTGTGTGTTTGTGAGTTAGAGTTAGAGAGAGGGAGAGTGTATGTGTGTGTGCATGTGTGTGTGTGCAAAGATGAATTAGTGGCAGTGCCCGGCCGGTGTCTGTCACTTTTCATTTGCCTTGGGGGGACAAAGAGGTCCGACCTGTGACCCACTTTTCACACATCTCTGGTTGAAGAGGCACAGAACAAAGACTCACAACTACACACACTGAGCACAGGACGAGTGTGTGAATAAGTGTGTGGATGTGTGTATTGCCTCCTTTCTGCGGGGGGGTGGGGTGGGGGTACTTGTAGGATGGGAAAGTGCGTGGACCAGTGCCAAGTTTAAGACTGAGTGGATGTATGAAATAATGAGTGTGTGTGTGTGTGTGTTTGATAGTGAAGCCCTTTCATGTATCTCTGTGAGGACAAATTATATTAATTCTCAGATTTAAAATATGAGAATGGTAAAGGTTGAGGTCCAGCCTGTGACTGTGATCATTTATAAAGATTAAAAGTACAATTGTAGAGGATGGAATGGTTAAAGAAGGAGACCAAAATTACAATTTAAGTACATAATATGCACTATTATCTCTTTTTGTTAAACATTACAGAAGGTCAAATGATCAATTTATTCTTTTTTTTTTTTTTGGTCCCAATATGATGCAGTCTGAATTTGACCTCCTTATGCATAAAGTAAAAACCTGAGATCATAAACTCAGCGTAGGACTGGGCAATTTGGCAAAAAAAAAAGAAGATATATATCGGCAAGCTGTGCAGACTCCGCTCACGTTTTCATGCTTTCCATATAATCACTCAGGGGGTATTTCTTCAAATGATACAACTGATCTGGTGTATTGCCGGTTTTTGAGGGCACCAGCCATCGACATACCTTGCACATCGGCTTAATTGTGTGACCTCACTTTGGATGGACAGATGTTGAGTAACTTTTCTTCTCAACAATGGCATCTTTAGAGGATGACTCTAAAGGCCCTTACACACCAGGGCCGACGCGAGTACAGAACGCGAAATATTCAGAGGCAAATTTTGATGCGCCTGACTATACACATCAAGCCCGATGTGACTTTCCTAGGGGAAAAAGATGCATCCCAAGGAAGACTTTTCCCTGGGAAAGTCCTTCAACAAGTTCATAAACTATGAACTTGTTCTCTTTGTTGCAGCAGCAGACGGTGCCAAAGGTCAGATTTCACTTTGCTGTACACATCACTGAGCATCTTTCCTTGTTAAGTGACATATGTAATCTGTGACAACAGTGATGCAACAAGTTAAGTTCTTTGGTGCTAGCATCTTTGCTATTTTGCTTCTTTTACCAACCAGAGGTGTGCTTAACAAAAACTGCACCTTTTGGAAGCTTTGACTTCAGCTCATAGGACAGGATTAACCATGACTCACACTCTAGCTCAAGTAAGCCGGTGATTAAAACAACCTTTATTAACCTGTTTTGAAACTACAGAATAAAGGGCAACTAATCTTGTTTTTGTTTCTCTGCAAAGGATGCAATTATAACAAGTATTTTCTGATTCAGACTCTAAAACAATCAATCAACATTGACAAACACCAAATATCCCTGTAATAGTAGTATGATTGAAAGACCACAGTGCTGACATTTTGCCTGTGTGACTAAGATTACAGTCTCTGCTGGTATCTCAGGTATTCTTTTATTACACTAAATAAAACTAACTAAAACCAGCTGTTTTGGGGGCTAATTGGTTATGGTGTTTGATTGGTGCATTAGCCTATATACTTGGTATTTCTCTATGTTACATTTGTGGCGCTTAGACATTGATACAACGAAACTTTTTGATGCAGTGATTGTGCACAGTTGTCCTCCATGAAATGATGCTACTAACACAGACCAGCCCTGGTTTAGTCAGACCCCATTGTGCTGTCTGATTTGAATGTAAAAGTTTGATTGTAAAAAAGGACAAGAGTACTTTTTTCAATCATAGGTGCAGAGTCCAGGTCAGGAATTGTGCAGAATAGACAAAGGCAATAACAGACAGAGAGAAGAGTGTGAGAGTAGTGCAGTAACTGAGGGAGTGACTTCAGAGTGTGCAGGGGCCACATAAACACACACACTTGTCTGTGTATCGGCGTCAGTGTGTCGATAACGGTAAGTGGAAATATCTTCACCTCACTGCCACAACAAATCCTGATGTTTGTTTGTGGCTCTTTGCTCCATTTACAGACTGACAACAACAACAGCAGCAGTAGATAACACACATACACACACAAAGACACATTCAGACATTCAGGCTGAGCGAGGGAGGGAGGGCAAGATGAGGCAGGTTCAGGAAGGACCGTCTGTTGTGAGCCCCCAAGACAGGAAGCTGACCCCCCCTCCCCCGCCCCCTTCTCCCAAACACACACATACCCTTTTGCAAATCACCCAACACATCCACTTCCCTTTGAAAACACAAGGCATGACGACTTTACACACACATATGGAGACTAAGTGTTATCACTACATGCAGTTAAAACCATTTAGGGCACTGGGAAAGTGAGACACACGGAAAGCATGTAAATTGTGAAGTGTATTTCTAGAGATGTAATAAAAAAGGGGTTAAAAAACTGTCCTCGGGAGCAGGATTCCTCCACCAGCGCAGTGTCGGTGTAGTGTAACTTTCACTCCTCCTTCTCCCCCTCCTCCTCTTCCTTCTTGTCCTCATGTTTTAACTTGTCTCTGATCCTTTGGTCTGCTTCACATTCGAACAACAAACTCATTCTTCTAACAGAACAGTAGATCAGTCTCCTGAATGCAGATAACAGCATCTTGTTTCTGCAAACTCATGTTCTGCAGATACCGAGTGCTACATTTACAACATTCATGGCAGGTTAGGCTGTCTGGAGCTCACATCTGCTAATAATCAAATGTCATGAGGAGTGTAGATGCTCATGTTATCTACAGCTATGAGGCACAGGAGATAGGAAATAGGAGGTATGTGGGGTAGGGCTGGGCGATAAACCGAAAATTTGTCGATAGCAAAATTGACGACAATAACCAACGTCATTTTGCCCATATCAATATATTCGGTGTCAAATAAATAAACAAATAAAAGTTGGTTTTGGATGTGTGTAGCTAGGCTATCATCTCATGTACTTTTAAGATGCTGGCCTACATCAGAGACATGACTCCACCCCATCCAGTCCGTAACAAAGAGGGAAAGACAGGTGAGAAGATGGAGGACGGTTCAAAAGTTGTAGCGGCTGAAGTAAACAAGTTAATGTGGGAGGAGGTGAGCAGCTTGTGGAGTAGTTATCGTCCATTTATCGTTATCAAGGTGACCTGCTCAATATATCGTGATATTGATTTGAGGCCATATCACCCAGCCCTACTGTTGGGTATCACAATGAGCTTCTGAACTGCTCAACCTCTAGCTCTTTCTGCATATGCACTGCATAGCTGCTCCCAGCACCGTCCAGGTGGGCTTCATGTTATAATCTTAGAACAAACGCAATGTCATGCCAGCAAACGACAAAGTGTGCCATCCCTCAAGTGAAATATTGAGGGTGGGCTAATGTGTTAATGTAGGTAGGAGAGAGTGGGTGGAGTGATGGCGTGGTTCATAATGATCAGAGTAGGTTTTTCTGCTCTATAATGCAACTGCTCAGCCTGGCTGTCAGCATTATGTCTGTTGTATCAGCCGAAACGTACTTAGACATGTTGTAATGTAAACATAAAAACAGTCACCATTACACGGGACTCCACCTCCTCCTGCACACAGAGCCCTCACCCAAACCAAACACAGTCTGTTGTTGTAAGTGAGTATGACAGAGAAAACCTCTCACTGTGAGGTCAATTTGTGAACAAGTTCCTTAAAACAACAGACCTTAAAATATTACAGAAAATGCCGTGTATGAAACAGACTTCTGACACTTTCAACACAAGCTGCAGAGTGAAGTAGGGATCAAACACAGTTTTGTTGAGATCCTGGTTCTACATTTTAAAAACCCAAACATATTAAATGTCGATACTGCCCCTAAGTCTCCCGTTTCCCGAATCATTAAAAACTCTGTATAGTGGACTCAGTATCAATAAAAAAGGACAATCTCCATCCTTATAGGTGGAGTACTTTTACCCAGACGCTTAAATAGAGGACGCCCAGGATACAAGGGTCGTCGTCGTACAGTACTGAACCTGTTTTTGGCTGATCACAACACTGTTCTTCTGGCACTTCAGATGAATTTATGAGTATGTGCAAGTCAGACAGGACAGAGCTGACAGGAAATGAAGAGCCAGATCTGGTATGAAAGACTTAAACCCAAACCAGGGATGATGTTGTGATTACACAGACAACCTCTCAGCCCCCAAGGCAAACTGAGGTCCCCATCTTACATTTGGAAAATCAGACTGACCTGTAGAAAATGTTCTCTATATTTTTTAACCCTTAGGGCAAAGCACATTTATGCTCTGAAATTTATTACTATTTTACTGTATTAGCTGCAATCTATAAAGCATCAAAGTTTAAGCTCTTTGCTTCATTCTGTTCCTTCTCAAACTGTTTGTTTTTGACATGAATTTGTTAGCGTAAATTTATCTTTGACATGTACAGTTGTTTGGTGTACATATGTATTATTTTGCTTGGTGTTTTTTTGTTGTTCTTAAAGTTTGAGATCAATGAATAAATGAATAAATGAATACAAACAAAAAGATAGAAAGAATGTAAAAAAAGAAAGAATATAAAGAAAGGAAGAAAGAATATAAAGAAAGAAAGAAAGAAAAAAAGAATATAAAGAAAGAAAGAAAGAAAGCATACAGAGATAGGAAGAAAGAATATAAAGAAAGAAAGAATATAGAGAAAGGAAGAAAGAATATAAAGAAAGAAAGAAAGAATATAAAGGAAGACAGAATATAGAGAAAGGAAGAAAGAATATAAAGAAAGAAATAATATAAAGAAAGGAAGAAAGAATATGAAGAAATAAAGAAAAAGAATATAAAGAAAGGAAGAATATAAAAGAGAAAGGAAGAAAGAATGTTAAGAAAAATATACTTAAAGGAAAAGAAAGAAAGAAAGAAAGAAAGAAAGAAAGAAAACATTTAAAAAATTGTAGTCAATGACCGATCTTTGATGGTCTGAAAACATTATTCATGGAGAAGATTTTATAAAGTGGTGTATTGTTGCTGATTAATATCAAATACTTAATCTAGTCCTTTTAACAGACCAACACTGTAAATTTCCTCAAAATGAAGCTTTATTGTGTTTGATGAATACCCATCCATTTAATAATGGACATATCTTTTTATGCTGATATATGAATAGATTTGGAGTAAATGAAGGTTCCACTGATCAAAAATGAAGGCATGTTATAAAAGCTGCTTGTTATCTGATCTAAGGACTTTCCATCCCGCCAGTCTGACTTTTAAAAGTCCATATTGATGTTTACAGACTTCTGCAGGGTTTCACTTGTGTATTTTTTGTACACACTAGTCTGTCCTCTGGCGTCCTGTCTCCCCCCCTCCTCTGCTCACCTCCTCCGCTAACAGCAGTTAATGTAGCGTAGCTGCTTTGGCTAGCCCGACATGACATCAGAGTCTTGGAGAAGGAACATTCAGCGTGTCGGGAATGAAAGGAGGTATTGTTAGAGGTCCCACCTGTACGGAATAAACCGCCCTTATAGGGAGCCACTGAGCCATAACTGGCCCCCCCTCAGGGGAAGGAATTTGAGGTCACACCGCTCCAGGGATGCTGGGAAATTTGGTGGGATAGAAACCCAAGCAGTAGGTTAAGACTGGTAGAAGAAACAGAGCTCTTTAGAGGCTTTTATAGAAGCTCTGTGCTTCTGAGTATAATAACTTTTCATTTGGCTTGAGAGGTAGCCGGCCAGTAAAACAGTTATGTAAAATGATATTACTCCGCCATGAGTGCAGCAGTCTGTATGAGCAGATTGAGAAAGGAAACACAATGGGATTTCTTTTATTATTACCTGGATCTGTGTGCTTCATGACCACAGCCTATGTGAATCTTTCAGCTAGTTTAACTCAGCAAGGCACAAACAGGGATGGAGGTTCAATTCTCATAAGAATAACTATCAAGGATAATGGTTTGATCAACTTCAATCAAGGTTTAATCAGGTTATCAATTGGCAGACTGTTCGCTTAGTTTAAAAGGTTTAACACAGGGTTACAGGTATAAGTCAATTGTTGTCAGAGATGGGAACTTAACAATCCTTAACCCCTGTGTTTAAAAAAAAAAAGAAAAGAATGAGCTGACAACATACTGCAGTTCCTAAAATGTCCACTTGAGATCATTTGTTGACATACTATATATTTGGAAAAGTTCTGCTTCATTGACAGAATTAGGGGCAGGACAAAGTTGACAAACAGGTGATCGAGTTGTAGCTGATTTCAGGGACAGTCTCCACCTTTGCTCCAACTCTTCGCCTGTTTCTAATTGAAAGCACAATTTCCTATATCCACCATTTCTGGGCTTCAAAGTGTTTCTCCAGAAAGTGATGAACAGCCTCACAGATTATGTATATGAACATTGATCTTTGGGCAAATTGGCGCGCTGCGAGTCGTTCCCTTGGACACTTCAGTTTTGTATCAAAATAAAAGGTAGACGGTCATTCAAGATTACGGTACACCCTTTTTCTAACGTTAGCTAGTTCTCTTATTTTGACAGAAAACTGAAGCGCCAACTGTTTACTTCTGCAAAAATAATTGTGCAAATAATCGCACCGACAGTTACTCGGATGGGCGTTTAATATGCACAAAGGGTGCTGACCCCGAGGGTTTAAAAGGACCAGGCGGCTATTTGTGGCCCAGTGATTAATTGGTAAAATATGGTATTCAATCAAGCAAAAGTATTTGTGGCGCCATTTTTTTGTGTCATAATTTGCAGATTTTTTAAAAATATGAATAGGATTGAAAACAGACTTGAATCACCACTGATGCTGATGAGGGGAATTACTTGTCATTATAACATAATAGGAAAAGGAAAACACTCCCCAACAGTCGATGTAGACAAAGGTAAATAACATACGTGTACTGTGTATGCTGTCAGATGTGATGAATACATGAAATTCTAGAAATTGTATCACCATGATCACAAGATTAATCAATAACAGAAAAAAAGGCCAGCACAACTTACTCAGAGTGTGAAACGACTTCGAGATTATTTCACAAATTTAAAAGATAAATGGTGCAAAAGTGCTTTTAAAAAACTCTAACTACTAAAATGTGTTTGTTGGGGAAAGGTTTTGTAAACACTCCCTCTGAAGAACAGCACACTGTGTCCAGATTTGATTCACTACCTTCACCACTCCTCAAAGACCTATTACAGGTTGTAAAATGACACTCTGCCTTGCTAGGGGTAATGGGGGTTACCCGCATTAATAATCCATCCCTGTCATTTCCCCCCACCTCAATCCCAGGACGGGCTGCAGCATAAGGGGCCAGACATCAATAATCAGGCCTTAATGCGTCTCCACTTCCTGCTCTGGAAGAATGGCGGCAGACTAAATAAACGACTCAAAGGCCTGATTGGAGGAGCAGCGCACTCCGACAGCTCCTGAGCTCTACAAATAAATGCAGTAATGAGGGAGATCGAGATCTGAACTGGGCAAGAAGGAGAATACTTACACAACAGCTGAGAAGAAATGCAGCAAGGTTTGTTTTCGTGCATTACTGTTTCATCCCTGCCCTCTCAGCCAACAGAGTATTTGTTGACTGATCTTTAGCCTATAAAATGTCAATGAGAAAATGTTGACCAAAAGTTTCCAAGAGCTCAATGTGACTTCTTTATTGGTCTTGTTTTGTACAGAGCCCAGGGACACTCTCTAAATACATGTTCAATGGAGAAAGGAAGCAAATATTCAAAAGTAAGAAGTTAGGAATAAAATGCTGTTTTTAAATGCCTAGAAAAGGATTCAGAGAGTTAACACTTAAGACGGGCCTTGATTATTGTGTATTGCATTTGTATGTAACACTCAGTTTACCTTATGTAAACATGCTTGTCTGACTGAAATCACATTAAGTCAATTTTCTGGAAGTCAAACTAATTATCTTTTTATAATGTGGTTGGGATTGATTTTCTCTCACATGTATAAACCTCCATCAGCCCAGGCTGGTCTAGACGTCCTGTGCATACACAACAGTCGAACAGCACTAGAGCAGAAAGGCTGGGGAGAGAGCCGGTGTTGTTGTCTGCATCTGGATCTGACCATAAGCCAAAGAGATAGCGTGCATCTCATCTATACCATCTACAGTGTCACAGATTTAGAAACATGCAGAGCTACAAAACCGTCCATGTTTTTGGCCTGCAACAGTTGACCTCTTGTTGATTTGTTTGCTGACTGTTTTGGTATGTGATGTAACAGGCCAACCACAACAAGGTTCATCAGTAGCTTGCTGAAAAGGGACAGAACCTGAGGATTGCACTTTCTTTTGTCTTCTGATCACTCAAAGCACTTTTTACATTACCAGTCACATTCACTCATTCACAACATTTTAATACACTGATGGTATAGGCTGCTATGTAAAGCATCCATTAGGGCTATAATCAACTGAAGAAATTCTTGGTCGACTAAAACCCTGAAATTCTCTGCCAAAAATCCACTGATCGGGGGGGATTTTTCAGACTCTGACAGCAACGAAGCTCAGCGGGTTGAAAATATACTGATATCAGCACAATAAATTAAAACAATAAGCATTGAACAATAAAAAGAAATATTCAGCAAACCACCGGATGTTGATTAACGTGGACGTTCTTCAATCTTCCTGTCTCTAGTCAGTCCCCAGTGGGTTGGGTGAATCCAAAATGGTGAAAAAAAAAGGGGATGTTCAGAGACAGGCTGTTACCTGTGAAACAGTGGTGCTCTGAAGACACCCCCATTAAACACTTGGTACGTTCCTCCTGATGAAATTAATCATAGACTGTTAATTGACGCAGAAAAAAAATAGAGTCGACCAATCAGAATTTTGGTCGACTCCGCATGTATTGACCAAAAAGGCAACCAGTCTACCAGGACTTTACAGCCCTAGCATCCATCAGACTTAACTAATACTGATGCATACACTACCAGGTGCAGTCAGCAGGGACAGGTTGGGGTCAAGTGTCTCCCCCAAGGATACTACGGCATGTAGGCAGTGGGACCTGGGAACAAACCCTGACCTTCCGATTAGGAGACGACTGGCTCTACCAATCAAAGCCACCCTGCGAGTAGATTATGCATTAAAACAGATTTTTCGCACTATAAGGCGCACCTGATTATAAGGCGCACCATTAATGAACGCGTCTATTCACGTCTATTTTCATACATAGGACGCATTAAGCCAAACAAAACAGCCAGATAAGGCAAACTTTATGTAACTCATTCAATTACTCTGCGAGGCTACGGTAGCTGCAGTGCTCCGACAAGCCAAAAGGATTTTAAGTGCGCCTTATAGTACGAAAGATATGGTGATTTCAAAAATGTATGGGCTGTTCTTGCAGCAGTCAGGCTTTTTCCTACGGCAGTAACTTTTCTCTCAATTACTTTGACAGCTACAAAACCATAGAAGAAGACTTTATGAGAGCAGTAATGGTATAGCAGTAATACATGCGTTCTTCTTTTCCCTCTCATTGAAATGATCCCTTTTGCCCTCTTGAATTCTGTCTCTCAGGTCCAGTCTCTCCTTCCCTCTCTTTTTTTTCTCTGTCACTTTTCTGTATCTTGTATTACCTTTCTTCATTTGTTTCTTACCCTTTCTCATTTCTCCCTTCTTCCTTCTCTCTGCGCACTAGTCTCCCCCCACTGCTGCTTCTCATTTCTCCACCCCTCTCCTCTCTCCCTCCATCTTGGCCCCGTTCCCCATCCCCTCCAGGGGCCCCTCCTTGCAGGCGGGCCTCTGGGTGCTGCAGCAGCCTCCCGTTGGTGTCGGCGCCCTGCCCGACATGCCTTTCAGGGCCTGGGAGACTGCAGGCCAGACTTTCTGGCTCCACTGCCATTGTTTGCTTGGCTGCTCTGCGCCTCATCCACAGCGATGGATTAGCATAAGAATACCCAGAATACCCCGAGCCTTGGTGAGCAATGCTGCGGGCCTCTTCATCCTTGCATCTTCTGCCTCCTCTTCTTCCTTATCGACTTTTATTTAATCCAAAAATTAATCTCAATGCTAATCTACGCTGAGAAGCTTGTAAAACACACCACATTACAAAGGTGAGCTTTGGACTACTCGAAAGAAACAAAAAAGTAGAGACATCTTGAATTAACGGGCATCACAGGAAAGAAATCAACAACATTGACTTTAATTATTCTATTTGGAAGAAAGTAATTTCTTCTCACTTGCGGTATAAAATCTCTGAAAATACAGAAATAAATATGTAGAATATCTTGGTGATTAAAGTCTCATCAGCTACTTCTGTATACAAAAGTTGTTTACATTCTGACTAATTACAAGATTAACTATCCACTGTGTAGAAACATCTTGGTTCACACAAGCAGACCTGCAGCACAGACAAGAATCTGGTTTATGTTTTAAGGGTTCTAAACTGGGAGGCTGTGGGGTCAAGTGTCCACGTTATTTCGTTACACTACTATATTTGATTCCTGAGCAAAGTTGATCATTGTTTTCTTTCATGGACATAAGACATCCAAAATGGTGTTGATGTAAAACTTCCGATGTCCAATGTAACAATCTTAAATCTGTTTTTCCACAGCCAAAATATATCCACATCACTGGCAAAGATATGGGGAAACTTAAACCCTCAAGCTAATAAATTTACACCTCGCTACAAGAGAAGATCAGAGGAGGGACATCTTTGCCCAAACATCATGTCTCTGTGCCTGACACAACCCAGATGAGGTGTAACAGAGGCATGAACAGCCTTGAAATGGCAGTATGGAAGAACCTATCATGTTTCATGTTTCACTACTCTCTCTTATACACTCACACACAGCCTCCTCTTATTTGTTTGTGTGTGTGTCAGACAGAGTGGGCAGCAGTGAAGCTTAATTTCATTAGAAGCTAACAGGAGATCTGCTGAGCAGCTGCAGCTACAAACTGGAGGAGGAACATTTACTTCATCAGCTTCCCCTCAATGCTTATTAAGTTATAGCGGAACAAATTACCCAGCATCCACGGGGCGCAACATGGGTTTGAACCACCAGAGAGAGGGAACACTTTGACTTCATACACAATCAGCTGCCCCACGGACACTCCATATAGAGACGCAGACATTGAGCCTGGTCACACTGTAATAAAGCCATAAAGTGGCACAATGAGGTTCCCTTGAGGTGATTTTAATTACTCTATTGCCATAGAAACAGGTCTATCCATCACTGGCGCAGGGATCCCTTTGTCCCACAGCTGAGTCATAAAACAAACACACTCAGACCATAAAAACAACATTAAGATCATAAATTATACTGATGAGGGTTACCAACGCTCTCCTCCCAGTTCAACCCAACAACCAGCTAACTGTGTGCCTTCCCCAGTAGCAAGTTTTATGGCTTTTACTCAGTGTACACACACATTCATCATATATGTAACTGCTAACTGTTGACTTATATGCTCAGTCCTGTATCCAACACAACAGACATCTTCTCCATACAGCAGCAGCACAAAGTTGCAGGTTGAACTTTTGAGAGAAAGCTAAAATCAGAATCATGTTTACAGACAGCTGATGAAAAGATGAAGATGAGGGATCTGACGTTTGAGATTTAAGGTTCTTTCACACCGGGACCATTTTTGTTGTGCGACCATTTTGGCGTCAATGTGTTTTTGAACCCGTATCCTGTCAATACAAGCGTTCACATCAGCGACGTTTTCCCGTCCTGCGATATTGCAGCATTTATTTTTTTCCGATCACGGTCGATTTTTTTTAAGTTTTGCATACTGTGTGTCCACTTCTGACCAATCAGATTGCGTGTTGTTGCGGTATATCCAACATGGCCGACCGGCCGATTGTTTACGTGTTGGAGAACAGAGTGCTTTTTGATAATAGACACAAACATTACAAAGATAACAACCTGAAGGACAACTTGTGGTTTGTGTGCTTTAACAGTTTGCTAAACGTCTTTGTTTTAACTTTCATCTGTGCTAACGTAAGCTAACGGTTGTTACCATAGGTTCATGTGCTTATCTGGTATTTCGCCCCAACTGTTTAGTCAGGCGCGTCAAATTTCGCCTCCGAATATTTCCTTATTTCGAGTTCTATATTCACGTTGGCCCCTGTGTGTAAGGACCTTAACACATGAAGAAGGTCACGGGGAAAATGAGAAACAAGAAAATTAAATGTTGAGCTTTTGCATGTCCAGATCTTTGTGTTTTTTTGTTGGAGGCTTTTCCACAAAAGGCATGAATTTGGTTTCCATCAATCCACCTAACCCTAACCTAAACTTTCTTTCTCCTTCTATCCTCAGAAATGTCTTGTGTGTCATCTTACATCTGCCCAAGTCAATGTCAGCTCAGTTTGGTTGCTCTAACCAATTGTGTAAAATGTCCACTTTGGAAAGTATTCAACCAATAGCTGCTGAAGGCACTAAAAAAAAACAAACAAAAAAAAACACAACACGCTCCTTGTCTGATGTTTGCTGACAGCTGATCATAGTTGTGAAGAGCAAACTGTTCCTGGAATCACAGACTTTGGCGGACCAAGTGTAATGAAATTATTGTGCACAGAGATGTCTGGGTAATGTAGTTTTGGTTTGTTAATAAAAGGGGGAAAACAAAAGGACAAAAACAAATAAGAAAACGCAGGAGAGGATGATAACACATGAGCGGAGGAAAACAACAGGGAAATCTTAGAATCATTTTATTCACCGCTTTTCCTTTTTTACGATATTTTTTAACACACACCTAATCTGTGGCTTTTCTTCTGATACCCTTCATTTTCTGTCTTTGTATCTGAGCTTTTAACAGAATTCACCTCTTGGTTGATTATCTAAATCATTGACAACAGATGATTATGTCATGAGTTAAAAAAAGTATCAAAGAAAAAACAGATCAATACTACAAATACAAGCCATGAATATCTACAGCAGATACAAGGAACTAAGAGTTCATATAAACTGCCGACAGTCAGGTCATGTAAACAGCATGAGATATCAGTACTTGGGAATAGTATTGACTTAATAGAAATGTTATCCAGTCGTGGCCGAGGATGAACTTCCTATTTTATTCAGTCTTGCTCTTGTTTTTTTTTTTTTGTTTGTTTGTTTCTGCTCTGCCTGTTTTGTGTTTTGTTGAATGTCTTGTCCACTTGTATTTATGATTAAGCATCCCCTCTCCACAGTGTGAAGGAACATCTCAAATTCATTCATCCTCTGTCATTGAGTAGAGCTGATTTCTGGATGCCACTAGATTCTTTAAAAGCATTTTGAGAAGAGTATGCACTGTTTTGCATTTTCCTGACTTGGGTATAAGACTATTTCTCAGAGGATAAATCTCATCCTTGAAGCTCTCTTAAAAACACTGTTAACATTATCTCGCCCTGTTTTTGTGAATTTTGTGTTATGTCTCCTGAGCTGAGAGTACTGACCCGCCCTGACAGCAGAGTTACCTTAACAGATATTTTTCCCACTAATCTCAGTCTTCTCTGTTGTAAAGACGGTGTAACGATCTTAGCCACTTATCACTGACAACCCCCTCCTACTCCTCCATTTCCCTGACTCCTTTGCCCTTTTCCTTTCTCCTTTTCCACCCTGCTGCTGGAATGTGGGTATCAGGTAATGGAAAAAAAACACCCTAACACACACGGACACCACAAACACGCAACACATACATCCTACTCTGTACTCCAGGAAACTGCAGCCCTGATAGTGTCCCCGCTTTCTGTGGGAACAGCAACACTGTGACACGTTTCCCAGACACAGGAAGTTTCATGATAAGCCCCGCCCTCCTCACACCCAGTTAATTACGTTCTTGCCTTTATCTGCTGTCGGCCATATTTAACCTGATGTCATCTGTGCAGCCTCATCATCTAGAGCCAGTTGTTTTCTGCTCGGCTGGTTGATTTTTCTGTTTCGAGAGGGTCATTTTCTGCCTCATCTGCAGCAGTGGAGCCGCAGCAGTCTGGACTGGTGTGATCCCAGTGTGAAGGAGTGGAAACTGGAAGAACTGGAGCTCAGACAACTTTCCCCAGAGGCATCAAAACGTTGAATTAAAAAATATCGGTAACTGTAGCAGACAGCTCATTGGCCCTAATTAGGAAAGAGAGAGACTGAGAGAAAGAGAGAGAGAGAGAGGTGTGTGAGAGCGCGACTGTGTGTACGCGTGGGTGGGTGGTCTGGTCAGAGACTGGACTCCGTGCAGGGAGGCCGGATGGTTTCATCCACCGTGTCATCTTGGAAACTTCAGCCAGGCCACAGAGCCGAGCACGGTCCACACAACGATATAGGTGGTCCAGTGTGTTCGTCTGTGAGCGTGTGTGTGTGTGTTTTTTGTGTGTGTGTGTTACAAGGAAGGAAGCTGAGAAATACAGGAGGTAGAAAATTACAGATTTATTCAGAGCAAGAGGAAGGTATGAAATAAAAGTTCAAGTCTTTGAGGCTACAGAAAAGGGGAGAAATAAACTCAGAAATAGTGTTTGCAGGTGAAAAGTCGAAATGGAGAAGGATTTGGATGAAATGGCGAGGGTAGCATTCATGTCAAAACCACAACAAAAGCGAGCAAAAGCGAACCTCCTATAACATGAGTTGAAAATGAGACCTCAGGTATAGCCTGACTTTTAGATCATTGTCTAATTTTTCTGACTTTGGTGTGCTTGCAATGTGTAATTAAAAGGGACCATTAAAAAGTAAGACGGAAAATAGTTTCAAATTTTTTTAAGTCTAAAACAAAAGACTTAAGGCATGACTGAACACTCTTAACAGAGACTTGTAAACAGTCAGAGTAGTGTTTGAGGAATTTATGACCAGCTGCCTGAGTTCCTGATAAAAGTAGTGTAGAAACACAGACCGACCATAGAGAGTGCTGTAAAGATTTACACTCCTCATATACTCGGTTCTGTACAGACATCCCTTCACACCAGTGAGGTTGTACTTGATTCTGACTCAAATACAACTTTAGTCTTAATCTTCAGGACTTGGACTTGGACCTAAGCTTGACTGCATGTGGAGTTGGACGGTGGAGATGGACTTCAACTTGTTTATTCTCTGAAGACTGTTTTGTTTGTTCTTTAGTTGAAGGCCTTCAGTTCAGAATTTATTTTGAATAGGGCATGTATTCACCTGAGGTACCAGGGATTATGCTTTTTGCTTTTAATTTCTTTTTTTTATGGCTAATACCAAGTAACAATGGAGCGATACGTTCAATACACCAAGGAGCTAACAAGAAGAAGTCACAGGGTCTAAGATGTTTAGTCTGTTAAATTTCTGAACATAATCAGGTCGGCTGAAGGTATTTTGAGTTGATCAGACTATGGCTGGGCGATATGGCCTCAAATCAATATCACAATATATTGAGCACGTCACCTCCATAACCATAAATGGACAATAACTACTCCACAAGCTGCTCTCCCCCTTCCATATTAACTTCGTCTACTTCAGCCGCCGCTCCAGCCGCTCCAACTTCTAAACCGTCCTCCATCTTGTCACCTGTCTTTCCCTCTGGACTGGATGGGGTGGAGTCATGTCTCTGAAGTAGGACAGCGTCTTAAAGGGACATGAGACCATAGCCTACCTACACACATCCAACACCAACTTTTAACTGTTTTGACACCGAATATATTGACATGGGAAAAATGACGTGGGTTATTGTTGTAAATTTCAGTATCGGTAAACTTTTGGTTTATCGCCCAGCCCTAGATCAGACCCCTGCAGTGATTCCACCACAGCAGAAATGATGAGTGTGTCTCCCCATTGACCCACAGCGCTGTCATTATTGTAGTAATTTCAATCCTGACATACACAGAAAGCTTTAGTGACATAATCTACAATTAACAAATAGCCCTTCTGATGTTGCCAGTTCATAGCGATACATTTATGCTTTTGTAGGGTCTTTCCTTTGATATGGATGTCACAGTATGATACAGATGCCCCAACTCTGTGCTGGCATCAGGGCACACAGCGGCACAGATGGCAAGATCATGTGAGCCAAGGGACTGGGGCTTTAGACTTGCACTTGATGACCGGAAGCTCAGGACTTGACTTGACATTTAGTGAACTGACTATTGCAGCCAGTACAACTCATCATGTTTGACCCCATTTATCCACAAAACAACTTCACTGATACGTGAGTTTGATTCAAAAAATAACTGAGAACAAGGGCATCAGTTAGAGGTCTGGTTATAACTTGATTCTTGCTACCAAACCTAGAAACCCAACTCTTTTAGAAACAGGTCGGCTATATTTTTATCCTGTATATAACTTGGCAATAGAACAAACTTGATTACAATACAATAAGTTTATTGATCATTATTATGATTGATCATTCTTACTGTTTTAAATATGATGACTGTATCATGTTTAGCTTTAATAGGATGCAGGTCCTGACTGAAAAACTTAATATGACAACTAAAGAGTGATACTTTTTTTGGACTCTGTAGATTTCAACTCCAAACTTTACAAAGATCCCATTAGTATTCCAGGTTGTGTTTAAAACATGCGGGCGCTGATTGGAATCTGAGCCATGCTGTGATCGTGTGTGAGAGAAGCATGCAGGGCGGTTGAAGGGGGCAGGCCCAGCTGCTGAGGAACATATGGGAGTGATTTGGAGCTGCAGACTGGACGGCTCTGTTTGAAAATCAGACACTTGAGTCACGCCGTCATGAAACAAAAGGCAGCGAACAGACTCAATTCCACAGACCCTCACGTTCCTATAGGAAACTCATCAGCGGGATTAGACGGCCAAGGAAAAACTGACCTCATCGTGGACAAGATAAAGTGCGGTATCAAAAGTTTGTGCGGTCCACAAGTTTTAGGATCTTGAGGATACAACAGCATGTTGGAGAACTGCTGTATCTCACCAGTTGAGGGTATTTACTCCTGCATTTCTAAACCTTTATTAAACTGCACACTTTGTTGATAAAAACAAGCCCTGTGAAACATGTTGATAATCTGTTCAGCATGAATCATTTTAGGAGAGCAACATAGTCTTAAACAGACCCATTTTTGGATTAATTGACAACTAAATAACATTTGCAGCATGAGTCTCATGTCTCTTGTTTTCAGAAAAGCCAAACCTGTAACAATGAACAACAACTTTAGATAGATATGTAAAATAAATTCAAACTTTTTCGGGGATTTGAAGACTTGATGGAGCCGTCACACTGACACGTATATGCTGATCAGTGCTTTGGTTTACTAACAGAGAAAAGTAACTGTTGCACATCTAAACTTTCAAACACCGAACTTTAGACAACTTTCTGGGGTGATAAAAAACAAAAGTTTTTAATTTTAAGCAGGCACACATGCTGACTTTTTTCACATCAAGGCATGACTTCACCTTTCGCACTCGCACAGATAAACACACTGACACACACTCTCCTTGCAGAGCATGACTTCACCTTCATCTCACACACACAGAAATCCAGACGCAGCCCCCCGGCTCAGTGTAATCACCCCCTTCCTGCTCTCCTGCACTATGGTTATTAATCAAACCAGATGACAGCTCAAATGACCCAATCAGAACCTGCAATTAAAAGCCAGGAAGCCTTCTGATTGGTTAGCCCTGCCTCAAGCCCGGAGGTCACAGGTTAATCTTCCCAAGGAGGAGGTTGGGGGAGGAAGACTGGGGTCCAATCAAGCTTTAAGAAGTAATCAACTGTGCTCCTACACTCAGAAATGTTTATTTTTTATGAGTGTGTATGTGTGTGTGTGTGTGTGTGTGTGTGTGTAGAAACTCAGGAGGAGCAGAGCCAGCCAACCGGTGATGTTTTTCATGTGACCACAATAAACAAGCTGCAGACATTACACACTGACTGATTGGTGTATTGTGTGCTCTCATACCTGGCTGGTGGCTCCATGGTACAACAGTGTGTGTGTCGGTACAAGGCTCCATGGGACATGTAGTGATGAAGCAGAGAAGCTGGTCAGATCAGACCAACATCACAACTACCAGCCTGTCAGAGAAGAAAAAAGTGTGTTGTTATATTTCAGTGATCACCACTTTAACACTAAATCACGGCTAAACAAGAACATTTCCTGGAACGTGTTGTTTCCACTCCACCTGGAACAAAAACAGCTTTGAGCTCAGGATACAGGAGTGAGTTTCTGCATTTTTGTAGACAGTGTTTTACTCATAAACAAAAAAACTCACACCTGGTAAAGCTGGAAGAGCCGCACATCATTAAATAAAAAAAACTTTAAGACAAGAGGTACAAAGAACCGAGGGAGGATTTTGAACATACCAAGAAATAGGGAAAGAGATCTTTTTAGAAGTACAGTGAAAACAGACAGACCGGTTTTCTATTTACAACTTGAGTTTAAAATCCAAAGTGTCATGATCAGATGCTTTCTGGGTGATAAGGTCACTAGATATATTGATTAAATATTTGTAAAAACTAAACAAAAAAAATGACTGCCCTAATGAGATATGAGGAGTTCTCACTTTGCCTTTCCCCCTTTAAAACCTCAATCGTCATTGAACCGTCCTTTTAGACCCCTAAAACTGCGCAGGGACCATGGTTTCCTCTTTTCAAGATAAATTCAAGCTCATAAAAACAACAAAAACAAGCACTAAAAAGACTAAAGGAATGCTTTTTATCAAATCCACTCACTCAAGATCATTCAAAGTGCAGTATAGGTGATGGAGCCTCCTCAAGCACCATGAATAACACCAAGATGTCATCCTCAAACTGACATCTTGCAACCCCTTCCAAGTAGGGCCGGGTGATAAACTGAAAATTTACCGATACGGAAATTTCTGACAATAATTGATGTCATTTTGCCCATATCGGTGTCAAAAAAATCACCACATGAAAGTTGGTTTTGGATGCGTGTAGGTAAGCTATGGTCTCATGTACTTTTAAGATGCTGGAGACGTGACTCCACCCCATCCAGTCCATAACAAAGAGGGAAAGACAGGTGGATGGTTCAAAAGTTGTAGCGGCTGGAGCGGTGGCTGAAGTAGGTGAAGTTAATGTGGGAGGGGGTGAGCAGCTTGTGGAGTAGTTATTGTCCAGTTATCGTTATCAAGGTGAACTGCTCAATATATCGTGATATTGATTTGAGGCCATATCGCCCAGGCCTACTTCAAAGGAGTCTTTGCATCTTTTTCTTGTTGGCCTCACACAAAAATGACTATTTGAGATGAACTTGAATTTCAGCTTCATAAAAACCTTTAGTCCCCTTCAAGGGCTAGTCTTCTGAGGAAGTTTATCAAAGTCTCATGTAAGGCCCAAACAGAAACCCAGGAGGCCTTGGATCAGCTCCATCATCAGCTCAGTGTTGAGGTCAGTGTGTGTGTTTGTGGCTTGTTGCTGTTTGTAAAGAGATAAGTGGAGCAGTGTGGCAGACAGTTGGAGTGTCCTCCTTTTTCCTCTCCTCAGAGACAGAGGCCTTTTTATTTGACAGCTCAGAGCTCCTTAAAGGAGGCTTTATCTAATGGAGGAGGCCAACGGCTGGAGAGCGAGTTAATATTCACACCATGAAAGAGGAGAGGAGGGTCAAACACTGAGCAGCAGTTTAGAGGGTCTGGGTAGAGATACTAAACAGGAAGCTCAACACACTGCAGACAATCTAAGAAAATAAAACTGAATGAAGTCAAGGAATGAAGTCATTAGGATATCAGTGATTTCTCCAGTTTGATGTCATTTAGAAAATTTAGCCCCGCTGTTAGGAAAAGAGGTCTTACTGTTAGCGATGAACTCTTAAAATTTACCATTATGGCTATTATTTTATAAAATGCTGATCAATAATGAGTGTTTGGTTTGAAAAGTGTGACATGATTGTTATTTTTACTCAGACTTTAAACCTTATAAATAACTTTTGGTGCCAAATATACATAATGTATATACTTAAGAACTAGGGCTGGGCGATCACATCAATATCAAGATATATTGAGCAGTTCACCTTCGTAACGATTAATGGACGATAACTACTCCACAAGCTGCTCACCCCCTCCAACATTAATTTCGTCAACTTCAGCCGCTCCAACTTTTGAACCGTCCTCCATCTCCTCACCTGTCTTTCCCTCTTTGATACGGACTGGATGGGGTGGAGTCACGTCTTTGATGTAGGACAGCGTCCTAAAGGGACATGAGACCATAGCCTACCTACACACATCCAAAACCAACTTTTATTTATTTATTTGACATGGGCAAAATGACATTGGTTATTGTTGTAAATTTTCAGTTTATCACTCAGCCCTATTAAGAAGGTATTAAATAATTATGACACTATTTACCAGTAAAAACTATACATATGGTTATAAGCTGGTTATATAGGTGACGTACAGAAGAAGCCTGTTCACCGTGTGCTTTATCAGACTAAATGCTGTGTAGACACAAACAAATGTCAAAGCTGACTGACAGCTGATCCATCTGTAATCAGCTGATGCCATCAGCACAAAAACGTGCTTTAAGTGACCATCCATAAGAAGGAAGCATGACTGATGTCTCTTTCCCCTGTTTCCTTGTTTCCCACCATGTCTCTCTGCTGGAAGGACTACGATGCAAGAAAAGATGCAAGTGGGGGACACATTGATGCAATTTTAGGGAACCGAGTCACAGCCCAAGTTAATGTGAACCAGGACAAAAATACTCTTGAGTGTTATTGTCAACACAGAGCCGCAGCTCTTCAGCAGCTTGTGCCGAGTTTGAGCCTGTCCCCTCTGAGCTTCACACTACACCACCCTGCTGCTGCCAAAGCTAACAAACTCAGCTGGAAAATGTACTTAAGGACAGTGTGGAAAACTGTGTTGATGAGTTGACCAGCAGCATCAGTGTGTGTGTTTGTGTATGTGTATGTGTGTGGGACAGGGAGAGTTTGTGTTTGGCTCCACCCCATGGGAGGAAAAACGACAGCGGTAGGGATTCAGCCGCTGAGTTATTATAGAACAGACAAGGAGAAAATAGATGTCCGAAGACGGGGGCTGAGAGCGGTCACGAGGTTGGCGAAAAAACAGCTGCTGCCTCTCCGTCCAACACACACATACAAACACACACACACACACACACACACACACACACACACACACACACACACACACACACACACACACACACACACACCGCTCGTTTATGGATGGACAGGCAAAGCCAAGAAAAAGAGACAGACAGAGGGAAAAAAAGATCCTGCTCTCCCACACACGAGGATGAACTCAAGTGAAACATACTGTAGCTCTGCTCTCCATCTATTTTTTCTTTAATATGACCTATGATTAACTCCAACAGCTGAGTGGAAACAGCAAAATGCAGCAAAAAAAGGGTAATGTAAACGTAAACACCAGCTGCTTGAGCACATTTCTCTGCAGGATTTCTTTAATTCTCACAACATGCGGCTTGTTGGACCAAAAGTAGATCAATGTGTGAGAGTGCGGAGTTGCTTATTCCTATGTTGAATAAACAGAGAGCATGAAGTGCTTTCAAAAGGATTCGCTAAAACTAAATTTCAGTTAAGACAGAGCCAGTAATTTTAAGTCTTCAAAAAGCTCTTAAAGTTACAATGAAACTGAAGAGGATTAAATCTTTAAATCACACAGCATAAAACCATAAAATTGATGTATGATTAGATTAAACACAATGAACTTCATTATGTTCATGAAGAACTTTGTCCTGTCTTCAATACTGCATAGATACAGCTCCACCAATAACAACAGATAAGAACACAATGAGGCTATTTTGCATCTAAGCTGCTCCGAGCAGAAACAGACTTCAACTGTGAGGAAGAACCCATTATGCTCTTCTGACCGGCTCGACATCACAGAGAAAGTTATTCAGTTTTAAAAGACTATAACCCAAATGATCTGTGTTGAGTGTGTCGATGTGTGCTACGTAGCAAATCCATTCCGATTTTAATGCAATGTAGCATAGCCCAGAGGAAGCATCGCTGCTCTGTTTAAGATTCACACCGAGTCTATTTTCGCTGCAACACGCGACAACTGACACAGAACAGATAACATCAAACAAGAGGTCAAGCTCAAGCAGAGTATAGTAAATCCTGTGAATTCCAAAATAAAACACCATGCGCAGACTCCCGATTGTTTATTAGATTGCGTAGATAAGAAATATTTTCTTTTAGCTTCTAACTCTGATGGTAACTGAACAGCAAAGTGCAGTGTTTCCCCTACATTCATTCAGCAGCGATGCACCGCCACTGCTAAATTATGTGCGCCACTACTAAAATTTCACATGATCATTAAAATCAACGCGCCACTAATGCTTTCTACTCGCACTGTGTGAGCACAACAACATACAACATTATTTTTGACTTGTTTCGAGTCATCAATGAGTGCTTAAAGTCCTGAAGGACTCTCTTCCATCAATGTGAAGGCTAACGTTCAAGCTTATACACAGTCTATGTAGCGAGTAGCGCAGTTAACGTAACGTGAACGTAACAGCGTAGCTTCTTGAGCTCATGTGTTTGTTTACACACAGTGGAAGAACAACAGAGAACATGAATAAAAAACAATTAGCTTGAAATCCACCACAGAAAGGAAAAAAACCCTGTTGTTAGCTTTTTTCTATACACTGAGTCTAGCTGACCATGGCTGCTCTACGCTGCCCCGGAGCCGGGACACAACGCTGACAGAACATGCCCACCACACAGATCCAGTGTGTTCTGGGATTGAGGTTGAGACTCTGTCCAGTTTCAGGCAAACAGAATGCTAACAATATCTTTAAATCTGATTTTTCTTTTCAGGAATAACAAATTCTTTTCAAATAAGCACTTCCTTCATTTAAAAGGTTTTGTTTTCTATGCAAGGTACTTTTCACTGATGTTTGCCTTTTCTAGAAAAAAAAATCGCAAAGTGAAAACCGGCTGGAAAGAGAAACACAGATCAATTGATGTTATGAATGGCTGGAACAACTCATTGTCTTAATCAAGTAATCAATGTAATGGGTTTCATCAATGTTTGTGATGCGCTGCAAGAAGTGGCTTGCTGAGCCCAATCTGAGCATGAATTCAGCGGATGAAAACTACCAAACCTCGCTTATGGTCATCTTAAGAGCTGTAATATTTTCAGCAGAGACCAAACAACCTGGTGCTCTGCATCTGCAAACACAGCAAAGAAGAAATGGCTTTTCACAGCACTACTACTGCAAGTCTGGAGTCTTTGTAGCAGGAGCACAGAAGAAGCAGCTTCTCTACTTTCATTTTTGGATCAACTTTCTGGATACAATAAAAAAACGATTCCACATATAACATTTTGAGAAAAAGTGTCTTTTGTGTTGTTAGCTGACTATGCTCAACAGAAGCTGTCGATTTTGTGCTGGTCTGTTGAATTGTTTACATTTTACTCATCCACCACAGACACAGAAACTCCTCTGCTCTGTATGGTTCCATTGTGAAAGACAATACTGAAAAAAGTGAAAAGAAAAGAGAAAACAAGCCTAGCAAAAAAAAAAAAAAAACAACTTGACACAATCCAGAAAAATTCTAACAGTTTGTAGAGGCCGACTCACCACCATGGCTCTGGGCTGTTTACACCCTGTAACACACCAGCCAGCTATTTAAAAGGAAGCCAGAAACAGAGGGAACATCTGCGACAACACACAGACCTCGTCCTTACACTACATTTTTTTTCTCCCAAACTCTCTCTCTCTCTATTGCTGGATGACAAGATACCACTCATATCGTTTAATGAAAGTAAACTGTTAGCACGTTACCTACTGAACGCCTCTGTGATATGACCTGCTGTACGAGTGGAACCAGATTTTCTGTGTCAGCATTAAAAAACAAACACATGTGGCCTGAAAAAAATTTACATCTCCTACACATCAGTGACGTTTTTGAAGCCAGTGTGATCAAAATCTTTCCACTGGACCGAGATAAACTTGCACATGCAGTCAAAGCTGATGGATACTCTTACAATTTGGCATTTTTGAAAAGATAATTGGTCCATCAGGAACGTTTAGTTTTTTTTTTTTTTCCAGTAATTTGATTTTCCCAACAACAAAATTCCACCCGCATGTTATTTTGGCAACATCTAGGGAGTTCACTGTTCATTCTGTTGAGCAGCACCGAGGTGGTTGATAGTTAAAAATGTAAATTCCTAGGTCTGAGCTACGTGTCAGACGAAGGTGTGAAACCACAGTATGAGGGGAAAGCTGTGAAACCAGTCCTCGTCACGTCAGGCAAGCAGAGGTATGCAGGCATAAACACAGCACAAGCCAAGAGCACAAACACAGACTCATACTATGCAGCTCGCAGCGTACACTCCAATAAGCAGCCAACTAAAAGTTTCTTAAGTGTCTCCAAATCTGATAACCGTTTCATCTTTTCTGGCGTGTCAGCTAGAATCTCAAAGATCAGCTGCTTTTCTTTGTGTCTTTTTGCTCCCGATGATTGTAACGGACAGTTTTCCGTATCTCAGCCATTTTCTTGTTACGTGATCGATAGAGAAAATAATCAGGTGTGGTCAAATGCTGAGGCAGCGTATATGAAGATGGGAATTATACTCTGAAAGTGAATGTATCCATTATGGCTGATCTATACACACCACAAGGATAGATATTGGTGTTTTCCAGTTTTTTGTTTTCTTTTTAAACAAAAAAAAATAACTTACATTCTTATCAAGCACAACTTTGATAAGCAAAATACACACATCAATACAACACTTACTGAACAGAAAACTTCATTACTGATGAACAACAAGGCTTAAGAGAGACTCTTGCACTTTTTTGCATGCATTAACTCTGACATTGACAAAAAACAAACATCGGATTAAATCGGCCTCCAATATCAGCACTCCGATACAAGCAGTCCATTCCAGACTCTGCTTCGGCACCTCTATCTAGCATCGCCCAGATCTAGCATGCAGAGCCCACGTGATCACAATAACAGTGTGTATTAAGTAGGGCCCGAACGATTTGTTGGCGAGCTGATTAAATCAGCCAATTTTAGCCTGTTTGAGACTAATCGGTAATCAGCCAAAACTCACCGATTTTTGCCGGTATTTTCAGAAACAAAATGCGGAGAATAAGATTCGGTTTCACTTCAAAAATGTTCTGCCATTTGAAAAGTTCCGCGACTTATCCTGTAGATGGCGCAGCGGCCTTGCTGTTAGCCTTGCTACACTGTTTGCCGTGCCAGTAACGGTAGAATAAACAACAGTACACATTACGTGATCGAGCTACTTCTCTTACTGAGGCAGCTGCACTCTCCAGATGAAACCGGACCGGAAATGAGTACTTAAAACACGGAGGCACTGATTGGCGGGGGGTTTTGAAAACGCTTTTCTGGTCCGGGATTAATCAGTCGGTCTTCCTTTCGGTATTGGCATCGGCCCCCAAAAAAATCCATATTGGTCAGGCCCTAGTTCTAAGTAGTAGTGGGAGTGATGTCGACCGTGTGGCAGTATTTTTTTTGTTAAAGTGCAAAAAAGACGTTGCAGCTGAGTGCAAAACCTGTCAAGCACACTTTTAAGTCAATATCAGGTTAATATCAGTATCGGCCAATATTTTACGCTACAATATCTGTATCATATCGTAAGTCAAAAAGGTGTATCGGGACACCCATAGTTTGTATTTGTGCTGGGCGATAGGACGATAGATATCGTGGGCACGATAGAAAATGTCTATCGTGCCATTTTTATTTTTATCGTTTCGGGCGATAGGCTGTATTTTATCCATAGGGCTTGTGCCATCAGATGATTCATAGTAACAACAACAATAATTGCACATTCAGTAAGTGTATTTGGTGTCGAACGGGAAAGAAAACAATATTTTCTTACAAAGAAAAGGATGCGTTGACATGTAGGCTTGCATTTCTCTTTCGATTTTGCGACATGACGCCGCTTTACGTGCCCTCTTCGTGTCCAGCGTCTCCCGCCGTTGCGGGTTACCTGGGTTACACACGTGAGGGGATCATTGTAAGCAGTGCTTAATTTGTGCCGGAGCAAGTCGGAGCGCGATCCGGGACCTCTTTTGATCGGATCCGGGACCTATTTCAGCCGCTCCGGCACCTGTTTCATCTGCTCCGGGACCTTCCCTGTGGAGGATGACATTTTTCGGGAATTCCCGTGGGTCACGTGATTCCCACGGGAATCCCACGGGATGGGAGTCATTTTTTAATTAATCCCTTGATCGGGACGGGACGGGAAAAAAAGCAACGGGAGTGGGCAGGAGCGGGAACAACATTAAAAGATGATCATTTTCAGCCGTGCTTAACAACCAGCTGAACGTGTGCGTCCATTTTTGTAGTCATCTCTCAGTGAGAGCCAACACTCTTGAGCGCGCTAGCAACACAAAAGAACTACAACAGTGGTTTGACTTCCTGTCAGCTGGGAGCGCGGCTGCGCATTTCTACCCTTCAGGCCAGCAGCGAGGAAACGTAATTTTGTGACATTCTGTAGTTTTTCAATCATTTCTGGAGTCGTGGCGAATCAAATCACCTTACCTGTCTGCTCCTGATAGGCGAATAAAGCGCTCGGATTCATGCTCGGGTCTTCCTATGTGCTTCAAGAGTAAAGTAAACAATGATGGAGGCAGAGAGCAGCTTTGGAGGAGAAACATCTAGCAGTGTGAACAACCTCTTCAAAAGAGCCCTAAAGACCTACCTGTTTAATAAAGCCTTTGGTTAACTTTCCTCTATGCTTTTACTACCTTGCCTCTTACATTGCAACTCTAGATTTTTTATTTTTTTTAAATTCTTTTTTTATGCTAATCTGTGACTGTCATTCTATTGCTTTTTTATTGTTGCTGCTCTTTTTTTACTGTGTACTGTAGCAATTTTAGATTTTTTGTAAATGTAAAGTGCATTACAAATTAAATTTATTATTATTATTATTATTATTATTATGGAGTGCTTTGGCTCAAACTATCGGCGTTTTCTGTGAGTGTTGCATAACTTTGGATGAGCGCAGACATGAACGCACTTCGGCCACGTATTTATTTATTCATTTTTCTAGTTTTAAGTGCTGGTCTTGTACTGGTACTGTACTAGTGCAGCTGTATATACTCAAATTTTTCATAGAACTGAAAGCATACCATAGCTATATCGTGATATATATCGTTATCGTGATATAAAATGATCCATATCGTGATATACATTTTTTTCCATATCGCCCAGCACTAGTTTGTATATTCATAGTCTCATCCAAACCTCATCTACTTCAGCAAAACTTTTTAAATGCTGTACAAGAGTGTCGAGACTTGAGTCCAAAAACTACCTCATCTACAGTTAGACATAAAAACAACTCTGAGTGCCAACAACAGTAGTTTGTTTCCCCCAGATTGTTTTGGTTTCCTCCCAAAAGGGTCATCTTGCTGCTTGAGGGAATCACTGGATGCTCTTATGATCATTTCCCTTTATGTTCCTGGCAGCCACCACAGGCACTATAGAGTCTGAGTTTTAGTGTATGTGTATATATATGTGTGTGTTTCTAAGTCTGTGTGAGTGAGTGGCTGCTGGGTTGCACAGTGAGCTGGATACTGGCAGGAAGTGGTAGTGAAGCATTCAGATTCTGATCGCAGCAGTTAAAGCCGGCGGCTTTCCCAAAACCAACAGACGAAGACGAGAGCAGAGGGACGAGTGTGGAGGCTGGGAGGAGAGCCTAATGCCATCAAAGTCAACCAGCAGCCAGAGCTAATTGAAATTAAAGACCAGGAACAGTGACGCAGGGAGGGGGGAGGGAGAGAGGGAGAGAGAGAGAGAGAGCAGCGCTGCCTTTACAGGAGAACAGGCAGAATGGGAAAACTCAGGGACTGGGCTGATTTTCCTCCTGGCTTCATTCTGCAGAAAATAAAAACCAAAAACTGATGCATGTTTGGCTTGAAAACCATCATCCTGCTGTAAACCACACACACTCCAAATGGTGGCCAACAGAGACAGATTCAGTGAAATTATTAGGATGATAAACTTTCTCTACAACACACACCATCTTTGTTCCTAAAGTAACATCTAAAAGACTTCCTAGACACCTGAAAAATGTAGAGTATTGAAAGTTTTTGGAACTGAAATATTTAGAAAACGCCTACAAATGTGAGAAACTCTTAACTCTTAACTGAGGAGGCAAGGTCAGGGCGAGTCTATAAATTGTAGATTAAAAGGATAGTTTTTCCTCTAAGTGGGGCTGTCAGTGGTTGGTGTATCAGCTAAAGCTGCCCCCTTTGATGAGATATCCACTGAAACCTCTGTTCCCATTAGATCTGCAAATACACCTCTCTTAAAAAAAAGAACGAGGTAGGATGGTTTACTTTAGGCTACATTTGTTCACACTATTTATTTTTCATATGTGGGTTAATGTACTCTATTTGGGTTGGGGTCAATTGGATATTGGCTGTCACCTGAGGCCTGTGAACTGAATAGTCCTGGTGTAAATAAGAAACCAACCAGGAATATTACTCCATCCCATATACAGTACAGTCAAATGCTGCACTGACTACATTAAGCCAGTGTGTCTAAGCAGGCTGAGAATTCTGAGCTTAACTTCAATAAGTACCAGATTACTGACTGTAAACAGTGTTTAACGTCATGATTAACTCATTAATTCTAAACAGGTATTTGACCCAAAACATGGAAACTTGTAGGTCTGACAACTGAAAGACAGATAGATCTGCAATAGCCAATGGAGGAGTTGTCACCCACTTATTAACCAATGGCTATTTCAAGCAATTTACTGGTCTGAGCAGTTTTTAAGATAGATTTCTCAGAGAAAAAGAACCACAAATGTTCATATCTTAGCTTTTTTAAAAGTTAAATGTGTTCCGACATAAACCATACATTTCTGGGAACTGCACGAGAGTTTCTTGGATGTCATCATGGACTTTGGAACACACAGACTGACATTTTTCATCATTAATGATACTTCCAAGTCCAAACAACCACCCAATGAAGTACATTGGAATATTAATTCATATTGACAACAGCCCATTTGTAGTCATTAAGTCTGGACTAAGAACATAAATCAGGCACTGTGTATGGTAAGCATCAAAAGAAGAAGTGTTAACACAGGCCAACTGAGCAATAAACTTCAAATGCATGAACTATTTCTTGAGGTTAGAGACAAGAATAAGCAGCAGTTCTCCAGACATCGCAGTCACTGACTATATGAGTAACTGATCAGGGATCAGTCCTCATATAAACTGACCGCCCCTCAGCAGCTGATCTGGAGGAAATTCTGACTGGTTTGAAATGAGTCTGGGTGACTGATGATTGAGTGTGTGCAGTGTCTGTGTCCACTCATGAAAGTGGGCCAGACTTTCTAATCCAGGTGGGGAAAAGACAGCTCTGTTAGTGGTGAGCTGACAGGGGTGCAGGTCTCTCAGGTCAGGGGTTAGGGGTCAGGACTGAGGTCAGGGGCCACCGTCACTTCAGAGGGATCACTGCACCTATCAGGCAGAAGGATTACCGAAGGAGGAAAGTAAATCCCCCTCAAAAATGAAAAAGGAACTTCATTCAACCAGCATGCCTGGCAGCATCAAGACTACCGAGTCGAGCCTAAAGTTTAAGAACTTTAGAGCAGTGTTCTTTCCTTCAGGAAACTACTCCCCTTTATTCCACTGCTGGAGGCATAACCTCCGTATAAGGAGTGTGTGCATAGACTGCTAGACCAGTGGTGCTCCAATCTGAATTTTTCCGAAGCTCAAATTTTATGATTGATATCTAATATGCATTTACAAAGAGATCGCCATGGCTGCAATTCCCCAATTCTTCATCCTTATGGTAATTCAGTGTTTTAGAGCCAAAAAAAAAAAGTATCATTCCTTTAGTCATGAGCCAAAAACATTTTGTTTCAACAAGTGGGTGCATTGTGGGTACAACAACCTCATTGTTTTTTCCCCATTTCGTTCAGCCCTAGCGTTCATTTCTCATTCAAAAATAACTAATTCCATCTCAAATTTTTGTCTTTTGTCAAATACGGGTGACACTATTACATTATATATATATATATATTTATCACCAGACAAAATATCGCGATACTATGCTGTATTGATTTTTTCTCCCACTTCTACACTATACTCCCTAAAGCTAGTGTTCCTGTTTTATAAAACCCCTTTAGCTTCACATTTCAGATCAAATTCTTGTATGTGAAAACAAAAAACTGGACAAAATCTGGATTAGTTCTTTCAGCAAGATGCTGCACAAAAAAAAAAAAAAGATAATGACCACCTTAACAGCACAAAAAGTGTACATATCCCCGCCCAAGACATAGCTCGAGTTATTTACTACAGTCACAAAACTCTCTCTCTTCTTCCCTGTGTAATGCTGTTTAGGAGGGGGAGACATTGGTATGAGGTTCTGATTTCAGTCCTGTGGTTTGGTGAGCCTTCAGATTTTTGAATTAGAGGAATGTAGTCCTGTTCACTGCTGTCACATGACCACACAAAATCACTCATGGCCACAAATAATCACATTTCCACAGCTGGTGGAAAACAACACAGGTTGGGAGTTGAAATGGGGTCTGGCAGAATTCCTCAACCTCAGTGCCTTCGTTAAAAACCAAGGAATTTCTTTTCTTTGCTCGAATTGAGCCACCCTGGTGGGCTGATCTGAATTATTCACTGGGATGGGCTGGGTGTATTTAAAGCAGAGATCAATACCATTAAAGGACAACTGGAGCCACTGGAGACAGTGAACATGGAGGAAGCTTCGACCTTCAACTGGAGTCAGACATGAAGAACAGGCAATACAGAAAGAAGTGTGTGATTGGTTATTTACAACATTCAAAACAACGTTTTTACTTTTGGATTCAATCAAATCATGTAAGACTTATGTGACAGGTAAACAGCGGCATGTCTCTGAAGTGCATAAACAAGACGTGGAGCTGTGAGCTTCAACTCTGATGTACAACAAGGGGAATTTCAACTACTTCCTGACATTTAAGCCCGAATGAAACGCTTCACGTTTAAACGAAATAAATAAAAATCTGCTGCCCTGCATCGATCCACTTAACGGCATGAATTAGATAAGCACTTTCTTCTACTTCAAAAAAGGAATATTTCTCCAAACACAAACCCATATTATAACAACTGCTGCTACTAAAGCCACAAGTGTCTCACTGCAACAGTCTTCACAAAACAGGAGCTGTTTCTGCTGCTGCTTTGGCCTCTCTGCAGTTACTGTTGAACACATTTTACTGATCTCTGTATGCAGGTTTGATCATTAGATTCTCAAGACACAAAAAGTCTCCCTGAAGCATTTTCACCTTTGCCACACATCCAGGAGAATGAAAACACACGGTTCAGGATATAAAATATCTCTGCAGAGATGGAGGGGGAGGTGAAAGAGGTGAAAGAATCGTCCCTCTGTGTGCTTGGCTCCCATTTACTGCCTTTATTTATCTGCTGTGCTGCAGCAAAGAGGCCGGCCGTACGGAGGAGGAGGAGTAGGAGGAGAGGGGAGGATTGCATGTTTTCCTTCCCAGCTCAGCCACTCTGTCTCCAGGCTGCCGGGAGGGGGGGAGAGGAGGAGGAGGAGGGTGGCAAGGCAGACAGAGGAGAGCGCTGGAGATGTGAAACCTGATCTCCTTCTCTACCTCCTCCCTCCATCCCTCCTCCACCTCCACCACTGCCACCTCGCCAGAGAGCCTCTGAGACTCCCTGAGTAATATGATCCTCAGCCTCTGAGACTGGAAACACACTCCAAGAGAAGGAGAGGTGGAGAGGAAAGAAAAGAAGAAATGGAGGAAAGAAAGGGGGAGGGGGGAAAAAGAGGAGAGGAAGAGAGGGATAGAAATAGAGCAGGGGAAAGAGATAGATCCCCAAGCTCAGCCTCCAAGACTGGAAACACTCCCGGGAGAGAGAAAACTGAGAAGTAGACTGGGACTGGAGCAAGAGGAGGGAAGTAAAGAAGAACAGAGCGAGAGGAAAGCAGAGAAAATAAAACCTGAGTCTGAGAACAGTTTCTACATAACATACCCTTATCACCTTTTAATTTAACTTGTTTAAACATCGTTTCAATGTTGGAACATGGAAACATTATATATATCTCAGGGTTACTTCTAGCATTGTTTTTAATGAAGACCTCAAAATTATGGTCAATTCAGAAGAGGGAAAGAGGAAATGCATCATTAAGTTTTCTCAAACTTAAAGTGGACGTAACATCTTTTTACAAGAGCTGAACCATCTTACATCCTGACAATCTCTTCTAAGGTTATCTTGATTTCCCCCTTTGTTAACACAGTAGCTCTAACCTTTACATTAATGAGGGAGTCATACTCGACTCTAGCATCTGTCTTACTTCAACACTAGCTAAATTTAAAGCCAAGAAGACCAAAATACTGCTTGAATGACACTCTTTGATGGCACATCTGGAGTTTAAAGAGTACTTGTAGAAGTGAAAAATTGCAGCTAAAAGAGTAGTTTAGTAATTTTGCTGTTTAATACCTGATCATTTTTGTTTTAATCACTGATGATTTGATGACTATCCTAACAGCCACAAAGACAGACAATAGACAAGAGCATTGGAGAAGAGTAAGACCAGATAGAAATGCCAATAAACCACTCCAGGTTCAGCCTAGGACACAAGTAACAGAGTAACAAGCTATGAAATTCAAGGAACGGGCTCCATTAGAAAAAAAACTGACACGAGGTTGGTAATATTTTTCTTCTGTTACATCATGTATTGCAGTCTAAAAAGGTACAGGAAATATGACAGTCAAACTCTACATAGAAACAATATAATAAAAGATGTTCTAAAAGATTATAACTTCTTAATCAGTTGAGAACTTGAATCTATTTACTGAAAGTCTATTCACTGCAGTGTCTAACAAACTGGTGAAGCTAGACTCAGGCTGGAGGATGTGGTGGAGAGATCTACACTGAGGAAGGTGGAGACTATTCTAAAGAACATGGATCACCCACTTCACAACACCTTGATGGACCAAAGGGCCAATGGTGGTGGACGGCTCCTCTCTCTTTTCTGCAGGACAGAAAGATTCAGAAGATCTTTTGTACCAACAGCCATTAGACTTTATAACTCTTGTGTAAATAGTAGATGACTTTTAGAGACATATTATGTGAGACAACAGACAATTTCCCTTAGGGCAATGGTTCTCAAGTCCAGTCATGGAGGCCCACTGTCCTGCATGTTTTGGATGTTTCCCTGCTCCAACACACCTGATTCAAATGATCAGCTCGTTATCAAGCTCTGTAATGGCTTAATAACGAGCTGATCATTTGAATCAGGTGTGTTGGAGCAGAGAAACATCCAAAACATGCAGGACAGTGGGCCTCCATGACTGGACTTGAGAACCACTGCTTTAGGGGATTAGTAAAGTTCTTCTTATTCTTTTTCTTAATTCAGCCTTCTGGAGGAGACTCTGACAGCCACACTGAAAAAACAGTGAGTCGACAGGTGAAAAGGAAAAACTGGAGAAGGTGAATCAGATTTTCGAACCCGTATCCTGTCAATACAAGTGTTCACATAAGCGACGTTTTCCCGTTCTGCAATATTGCGGCATTTATTTTTTTCGGATCATGGTCGATTTTCTAAAGTTCCGCATACTGTGTGTCCACTTCTGACCAATCAGATTGCGTGTTGTTGCGACATCAGATGCACCGGTATATCCAACATGGCCGATCAGCTGCATGTTTACGATCATTCACACACACATGACAAAGATAACGACCTGAAGGACAACTTGTGGAGAGTCACAGCATCGGATCTCTCATTTGACAATGTTTTGTGTGCTTTAACAGTTTGCTTAACGTTTTTGTTTCTTAACTTTTATCTGTGCTAACATAAGCTAATGGTTGTTACCATAGTTTCATGTGCTTATCTGGTAGTGGCCCCGACTCAGTACATGCTATCATGACAGAAAGCCATCTCAACACTCGTGTCTAATCAGAACTGAAAACAATCAGCGACCGTGGTACAGTTTCAGCTCCTGAACCAAGCAGCGAAACTCGCCAAGTTCTCTTCTTTGTCTTAATATTGGACGCACCCATGTGCTACGTTTCTTTTTCTTTTGAGAAAACAAAAGAGGTACCAATTCGCCATCACTTGAAGTTGAAGTAGACTCCATTTTGTCCTCTCGCTTCTACCCGGGACACTGTAGGTTGTTAAGGGAAGGTCCCGCCCTCCTTCGCCTCTGATTGGCTATAAGTGCTGACCGTTTGGCTTGAGCGTGTGATAACGTTTCCAGCCAATCAGAGGAGAAGGAGGTGGGACCTTCCCCATCGGAAAGTCGCAAAATTGCATCAAGCTTGATGTGTAGTCAGGCGCGTCAAAATTCGCCTCCGAATATTTCACGTTCTATATTCGTGTCGGCCCCGGTGTGTAAGGACCTTAAGACAAAAAATCAACATTGTTTGATACAGGAAATTTGTCTCATTATTTGAATTATGTACATCATACACATCTACCCTTTAAGCATGATTTTGATTTTCCTGACGACATTGGCTGCTCCTTTAAAACGGTGTAGAGCTGGTGTACTCCCGCTCAGGATTCAACAGGGTCTGGTGTCACTTTATAAGAATAGATCTACAGCTTACACAAGTATACATACACACAGGGTAGACTGAGTGACACCACAGACTAATCACAGCCTGATATACAATCAGAAGGTGAAAGAGATAACACGGCGTCTGTGTCCTTGGTACGAGTGATAGACGGATTGGGACAGAGAAGAAAGAGTGCTGGGACATCTTTTAACCTTTGACCGTTTCTATAGACACAAAAGACTGATGCTAAAAGAGGAGACAGGGGCCCGATGATGAGGAGCGTTTGTCACTTCAATATCAGTGATGTAAATAATCATGAAACAGGAGGACTTTTCTCTGCTCTCTGTGCTTCATATCTGCAGTGAAAGGCTCAGACGAAAACCCTGAATCCATAACAGCTGCTGGCTGGATTGAGTGTCTGATGATTTCATTTACATTTTCATGTGAAAAGTAAGAATCAATGAAAAGTTGCATCTTGCATATTTTTTTAATAAGTAAACTGATACATAGCTATTTTTTTTAATCATACCAAAAGCGTAGAAAACTGATTACAACAAACTCCACAAAAAAACCCTAAAGGACTTTTCAACAATGAGACAATTGTTTCCTACCCTTCTCAAGAGTACGTCTAGCATTTAGGTCAATTTTGGGACAACAGGAGTTCAGATGAAAATTTTCATCATGTGGACTTTTGGAACGACTGTTCAGTAATTTTATATTTTCAGAGTTTCAATACAAAACAATCAATGCGATTGTTCTCCAGATAAACTGATCATCAATTTGATTTTTTTCTAATGATGATTTGTGCGCTTTGGTAAACAGGGATGTTGATAACTCGTCCGGTAGAGGAGCCATGGACGAGAAGAAAGGTCAAACTCATCTTTCGAACTTCCTTTTATTTATTTGTCGTCTTTTTCATAAACAATACCTCCTCCGACATGTCTCTCTTTCTCTGACTGCCTCTCTCTTTCTCTTGTTGTGGCCTAGCTGGCTCGCCTACTGTCACTCACCCTTGTTATTTCAGTAACAGAGATCCTGGGCTTGGCTGAGGAATGTACAGCTGTCTGGCATATGGATAATACTAGAATTTAATTTCTAACACTGCCTCTCCCTCCTATAAGCCCTGGTTCACCTCCCGCTCTCTCTCGCCCTGATGGGGAAGGCAGAGGGGGAGCTGGAGGGAGACTCTGGTTTTGAAGAGAAAAAACTCATAACCATTTCTGTGTTTTTCATCTGTTTGTGCATATTTCGCATCTTAAAGAAAATGTGAGTTAGCGTTATTGGTACCATGATGATTGCTGGGGTTGTTCCACTTCTTGTAATCGTTCATTTATCTGAAACTAGACGGTGAGCATCAGCCAGATCCCTTGATTATGTGGAGGGCAGCATGTGGTCCAAAGTTTATCTGAGCTAATAAGATGCTGCAGCAGTCTGAGTTAATCGAATCAGGACAGTCTCTTCCAAAGCCATTTCTAGAACAAACCCTTTCTTGTTTCTCTTTCCCTCGATCCAAATTTTCAAGATAAAAATGTCATTTTAGGAACTCAAACAGCAGACACGTAATGTCTGTAACTCAGATTACTGATGTTGAAAAAGATGGATTGACCGATGTAAAAGAGAGGAACGTCCAAGACTTTCCCCAAGAGCCTGAAGTTACATTATATAATCGCATCTTTCTCCAATAAACAGTCAATATGCTTATTATTTGCTGCTATTAATGGCAACAAACAGCAAAAATATTGTCATCCACTGGGCTAAAACTAGAAATGTTTAACCACAAATGATGTAAGATGGCTGAAACAAATTAAATATGATTAGAAAAGTTGAGGAGCCTTTTTCCAAATTACTATTTTTGAGAGAATGTTTTCAATTAATCAAGTTTTGAGTAACTGATCTTCAAAAATGTACTTTAACCAGCAAGTTTTTGTTCAATTTTCTATCAGGTATAGATCAACAATGTGTGGTCTCATTTTGGATTAAGCTATCAGGATGTCACTGCCAACTAGGCTTAAAGTGTTTTTTGGAGAGCAATACACGACAGTAGCCCTGGACAAAAAGGCTGCAAACTTTTTACAGAACGTGCAAATTGTCAAAGTTGACATTTTAGTATTTCTGCAAACCAGCAACTCTGGTATCATCTGAGAGAGCATTTTCTGCTGCAGGACCAGTTGTAAACCTAGTTATGCTCCTGATAAACACAACGACCATGGGGCCATGCTTAGTTTTCTCAATAAGATCAAATAGGCAAAAAAGTGGACACTGAGTCAGAGATGTAGTCTGAACCTTACTTTGTATGACTATAGGTCTGTGGACATGATTTTTATGAGCCTGCCGCCTAAAAACGTATTCACACATTAATCTTTTAGCTTTGCAATACTGTCAGTTACATCCATGATATTGCTGTGAAACATGCATGGTTTGGGGGAAAAACCCAATTGATATCATTTTTGTCAAACAAAAAATCAAAGTTCCATTCTCTCAAGAATAACTGACATTGAAAAACTGCAAAAACCGAGTACAGCAGGCAGTTGAATTTGCATCCCTGTTGTGATCAAAACACTTCTGTCTACACAGAGACAGAAGTGAACAAAAATGAAGGCGATCTTTACTTTAAAATGAAAAAAAATCTTACAAGGCTCAGTCAACATGAAAACTACTTCTTTCCCTATTTTTGGGACATGTCCAATTAAGTTGGCATACAACAATACAGTCATCTCTCCAAAAAGGGAAATGTTTGCTCACTTTGTTTTAATTTAAAAACTATCTTTTTAAAAGTTGTAGCTTTTGTCTGCAGACAGCCTCTGAAGAGATTTCAATACAGCTTTTAATAATAACTCGCTTTGTTTTGTGCTCTTAGAAGAGAGGTTAAAAACGTAAACTTAACCATGATTCAGAATCAGAGTCATTTCTGTGACACAAATTGTCATACAGCACAATATAGACAATGAAGGAATAATATTTTTGTAGTGACAGACTGAGAGCATCCTGTTCCCATAGAAACACAGAGAGAGAAAGAGAGAGAGATGCTGCAGCTGATCACTTTGAGCAAAAAGTGTCGATTGCTGTCTTATATAGTTCAATAGTGCTGTTTTTCTGGTGTGAATAAATCTACCAAGTTCAGCTCAGGCCTGACAAACATTAGCATGAATCCATGAAAACAACTATCATCCACTTCAGCCTGTAGCGGTTGTCTTTAAAGTCTCCTCACTGCTCTGTGCAGTTTACTGTAGAAATAAAATTGATACTAACATTTATACATACTCAAATAGTGGTTAGTCTTAAAGACCGTCAACAATGTTTGATTTGAGCACAATCAAGACTCTAGAAATCACAGCAGTTTAAGTACAGGTAGTAGTGAAAGCTTCATAAGTACAGACACTCCTACTCATGATATTTTGCTCCTGTTTTCAGTTGCAACTGCTCATCGAAACAGTGTAGAAAAAAAAAAAGGAAGGTCAAACTGACAACTAAAACTGAGAGACAAAGGGACCCTCTAGCAACATGCAAAGCAGTTAGCTGTCTGATTTATTTACAACACCTTCAAAAACATGAGAAACCACAGTATCCTGAAGTTCAAGTACAACTACCACTTCGTTTAATATTGGTACTCCAACATCACTTCCACAAACACGTTCATTGTTAAAAGAGAGCAGCAGGTTGAGCCAAGATCCACATAAACATTATTGAAAAAAAGACACTGAGCCTTTAGTTTAGGGTGTCATCCATCAGCTGAGTTATGCAGGGCTCCTGCCTAATATTCAACAGGAAGTTTCAATCATCAGTGATCGCCAACATGGAGAGAAGTGAGCAACAATGCAGGGGCTGACATTTGCTCAGCTGCCTCTTAAACATAGAAAGTAATAGGACATAATTAAATAATCTTTGTTACAAGTATGAGAGAATCAAAAGTGGGGCTCTGAAAAGCAAAACATCTAACTATTTATAACTTGTCAGATATCAGCCTATTTATCTGATCTGCTTTTACTTAACATGTCAGATCATAATTAAGAATGTTCATGAGTGTTTGTGAAACAGACAACTTTGTGCAGACTGAGGTTTATTTTAACCTCTTGTCCTTAAAATGTAAGACACTTGTGAACAACCAGATAGTATGCTATATAATACAAACAAAAATTTGCATTGGGAAAACTGATCATGATTGTAGTCACCAGTTGCAGTGTCAGTGTGTTTGGGTAGGAGTTGAGTAAATATTTAATATTACTCATGAATGACATCAATCAGTGGATGGTATCAGTTATCCACTTTAGCCAACTGTGCTTCAAGTTTTTTTGTCTGTAGGCGATATAGTAATAATCAAATCATAGAGACAAAACAACAAAGATAAGAAACATGACAGAGGCTCTGTTTGTGCTTCACTTCGTTTTCTGTTGGCTAAGAAACTTAAAGAGGATCATAAATAAATGCTCAACATTAGACCTGAAAGAGAGGAGAACTTAAGAGTGACAAAGGGAGATAAAAAGAAAGATAATTATCCTATACCTGGATCACTTGGGATTTTAAAAAGCAGGTACAGCTCATTAATAGACAATTTTGGCATCATGTTTGGGTTTGTTCTGACCAAATCAATTCTGGTGTTACTTATATTTTACAGCTGTGTCATTTTCACTGTATATAATGTATATTTTCTTTTCCTTATGTTTAAAGTGGCCTGTATTAGCCATGTACAGCTCTTTAAATTGCTCCACAGTATGCGTTTTATACATAAAATAGCGTTCCCTAACTTTCCCCAGTCGATACAGCAAATTCATTCAAGTTAGACCAAAATAAAACCCGATTTAAAGTGACAATAAAGATTTAAACACAATAAAACAGCAGCATTATGAGTATGACACGATATAATACAAAACTTGACGGCACATGTTCAGAGAAAAAAAACTTACACAACGTAAACAGCTCGATTACTTTCACTATTAGTGAACAACTTTCTTAACTTCACTTGGCTTCGATAGAAAGTTTTAATGGAAATGCGTTTCCATTGAAACCTCCGATAACAGTTAAAATAGTTTGTTTTTTTTCCCTTAAAAATGCATGTCACTTTGCTAGTATACGTCCGAGTTTAGCTTTAATTACAGAGGAGCAGCGTAAACTCTGCAGCAGAGTTAGCTAACAGGAATGTGGCTAACAAGCTTTCAACAGTAAATATCTCCTTACAAACAGACTGGACGGCGGCTAACTTGGACCTAAACGTTAAACTTAGTAACATTTTGAATAGCTAATGCTCGGCGAGAATTTAGTTTCTGTTTTCCTGTGTTTTTAGAAAAAAATCACTATGATTAAACTTCGAATTGTTGCAGAGGAGGAACAAACTTTTTTCCACGACAGCAGCCAAAATGGATTCGTCTATACCCTGGCGCCAACGCTCAGCCTCCCGAAAATCTGTTCGCCGTATTGTTTTTCGTGGCGTATATTGCGACCCAATTGTATACTCACTAACAAAGCATGTAAGATAAAACACAGTACTATGAGAATATTCCAAAGGTCGATTTTAAAGCAAAAACAAAGCTTTTGACTCGATTTATCGTGAACACGAAGCAGTCTCACCCTGAGACTACGTTAGCCTCAGCACATAGACGGAGCCCAAAAAGTCCGACTCGGACCCGCAGGCTGGAATTGAAGTTTTGTATTATTTATGCTTTACCTTTCTGTCTTCAAATTCTCCCGCAGACGTGGCACTTCTTTTGATAGAATTTCATTTTGGTCGTTCACGTCCACATTTCCACCAGACCAACAGGAAAACAAGACTTATTATCCCAGCGTTTTCTTTTGATTTTCTAGCGTCGTACTCCCTCGCCTGCCCGCTCGGTCGCTCTCTCTGTGGTTTTGCTGTTTGATGATGGTGGGGAGCAAATACCAGCCTGACAAAGATCGTCTGGGACAGGGAAGATGGTTCACTCTCAGCCTCAAACAGGCGACAACACCCGAAATTAAAAACAAAGGATTGCAGCTACAAGAGGGCCTACAAGAGGCTGGTTTTTAAAAGCAGACGGCCAAATCTCTCCTCTGATTTCACCAGACTTTATCCCTGTAGCCAGCTCACAAATTTTTGTGAACCCATATGAAACTATGCCGGTTGCTTCATTCTCCTTCTGCTTTTTATTATAGGTTATTCATTGATACTTAAATAAGTCATGTAGCACTGTTAAAAAGGCAAAAAACTAACATCATAGTGTCTGGATGAAGCTCTACTTTGCTCACCATCTTGGATGCGTTGTCAGGCTATGTTATGAGCTGTGAAACTTGTGTTATGAATAAAGAACAAAGACAAAATGAAAAACAGCTAGATATGCTTTAAAAAAGGGAAAACATGATGTTTTTGTGGTCCCCTGAGTTGTGAACTGTAAATTGCAGAGGAAAACCCACTGTGTATAGTTCAAAACTTAATTTTTTATTAATCAACTGGAGATTGATATACTAAAGATAAAGGTCCAAAGACTGGAAAAAAACTGCAGATACCTCCAAGAGATCTGCCATAAAGTGGAATCAAAGTATTGTTTATGTAAAATCAAAACTTTGAGATATATCTCATAACCTGGACAGTTGGGCTAAACTTATTTACCGTTCTTCCCGAGTGTCTGTAAGTCTACCTACACGGGCTAATGTGTGCCTTTTTCAAGGCGTGAGCCCTCTTATTTATTGTGGTCGCTAACGAAGACTCAGAGTGAGAGCTCTTACTATTGTCCCCATCTCTGTCTACAATCAGTGCTGCGCCGATGTCCTACAGGGAGACTTTTATTTTGAAATACACATATAAAAAGAGACACATTCGCCCTCTGCTGTTGGTCAAAAGAACATCAGTGCCATCAAGAAAACCGCAATGAAAAAAAATTCACTTCTTTCAATTATGCTTTACTTCCAAATAGGCCCCAAGAAAAAAATACAACAGTATATCAAACATTTGGATACACCTCAGTAATTAAAAATGTGATAATTTTTTTGTGATCATACATTGATGTTTGATAGACGACATGATGTAATCAGAAAAGTCCCTACACTAAGGTCATGACCGCAGTTTTATTTCTGAAGTAATGAGCAACAAAATTGCTGAGATACGAAAAAAGGAACTTACTGTACGTATTTCAAAACTGATGGATGCATCAAACTTAAAGGGAAACGGGAGGATTCGTCAGAGTGAAAGAATGTCAGCAAAAGAAAAAAAAAGAAAAAAAAGAGGAAATTTTGTCCAGTGTTTGAAGTGCTCAGTTTATTCAACTTGCAACACATATAATTTTCAAAACCTGTTAAACAAATGTAGTGAAGCATCAACAGCCAGCAGTCTTCATGTTACTTCAGCATTTTTAGTCATTGTGTGACATTAATAAAGTGTCACCTAAAGGTCATCAAAACCAGTTCAAACTCCTGTAACAATGTTAAACAAAGAGGGTTTGCATATCTATTATTTTTTTTACCAATCCTGTCTTAACCGACATGCTTTGACAAACATTCTGCATGCACGCATTCATGCACTCTTTGAAAAACTGTATAAAATGTTCAAAGTAAAAACTGTACACCAGCTCACAAACTGGCTGAGTCTGGGCGCTGGTCAGACAAATGGATCACAGGGAGACTTAAGGCACAAAACACTGCAGGGAGATGTGTTTTAACATCGAACACTTCCAACAGGAACTTGAGTCAAAGTCATTTAAGTTATTTTGACATTTTTTCTTTCATAAAAATCACTCTGCTGTCAATCATTCAATCTGTTGAATACGGGGGCCGTCTTCAGTCTCTAAGAAAGCAGTTTGGAGGTTTAAATAGTTTTTGCTTTTCCTGTTGATCACATATTAAATGCTGTTTCTCTTTGTTAGAGTGTAAGCCTCATGTTTTGCACCAGTAAACACCTTAATTCAAGCTACAAGGCGCAAACCGTGAAAGGATCTTGAAGAAATCAGGCAGTTTGTAAGATGTAGTTCTTGTAACGGCTGGTAGAGGCCACTAAATCCCCTGTGCCTACAGTAAAAAGGAAGGAATCAGTCCCAAACTTGATACTGAGCTGACAATTTCACTTTAACAGTCTGTAGTTCTGCAGCTTGAACAGAGATATCAAATGGCCCTGTTGTCAAAAAGAGCCATTGGAAAAACATACAAACATTCAAACCCTTACAGTTTAGGATTGTAACATTCATAACGGAATAATTACAAAACAAAAATATTTCAACTCTCCAAATACATCATGTGATGCAAAACAAAGTTCAATAACAATTTCATGAGCACTGAACGCAGCAGTGATGATATATTAGCTTTTAAATAAATATCACACAGTCCAAAATAAAATCAATAAATATGATTTTCAAGGTTATTTGTTGCATAGTAACACCCGATGTACCTGGACTCAAAGCAAGATTATAAACTACAAATCCACATTACATTCTCAGACACTCTACAGCAGCCTCACCTGAGCAGGTTCCCCTGGATAATGTGCCACACATATTCTCACGCACAGAGAGGAAGCAGGATGTATGAACTTTTCATATAAACTGATCCACACAGTAAAAACATCAGCTTCATCTGAACAGTAGACTTGATGATGGATAATATCCTATTACAGAGAGCTTTTGAGGCTGAGAAGAGCTAACATGTTACTATTTTTTTTTTTTGTGTGTGTGTAAATTTGTCTTTCTTTGCATTCTTTTGTTGTTCTGTGTAGGACTGAGTTTCATGTTTGTATCTTTGCGGTTTCTTTGCGTCTCTGTATGCTCTTTCTGAAATCTGTTCTCCATGTTTATTTTGTATCTGTAGGAGATTGTTTTGTTTCTTCCTGTAGTTGTTGCATTGACGAGTGTTTGCTGTCATTTAGCATCTCTATACTGTTTTTTGTGTCTTTGCTTTCCTCTGATGTCAGTCTGCATCTTTTGATAATGTCTTTTCTGTGGTTGTTTCGCATTGACTGCACATCTGGTGGTTTGTGCCTTATACTGTCTTTTGTCTTTGTCCCTCTTCAAAGTTGTTATGCTGTTTTATCTATATATATATTTTTGATAGTTTTTTCTAAGTCTCTAAAAAAGCCTTTTTCATGTTTTGTGTGCCATATTTGTCACTTTGCAACAATGCTGTTTTTTTTGTCTTTTTCGTAGTGGTTTGACTGACTTTCTTGTTACATGAAATCATCCTATCATGTAGAGTTTTTACTCCACGGGCTTCTGGGCATGGACTCTACCTGTCCACTCACTGATCCATCATTGATACTCACAGTTGAACTACCTTGCACCTTCCTACCCTGGTAGCAAATGTCTTTGTGGGACCCTGGCCTCCAGTCCAGCCCCACTTCCATCACTGCATCACCAACCCGACTCCAAAAAAGATATGAAAATACAGGTTCATGGTGTTTGATTCCAGTGGGATAACATAACTTCATTTAAGCATTGTGCGCTTGTTTTTCATGTGTCCGTACAGGTTAACCTGCTGGAATGAGGCTGATGAAAAGTGCCACCTGGTCGTGTTACATTCAATGCCAGCTTCACAGACAGATCAGATAAGGCTTCTTCACACCTGCTCTGCTGTTCGATTCACTGTAACACAGTTGCTGTCAGACCGACACCACATCTGTCTGAGTCCTCAGGGGTCTGAGTGAGGTTTAAAGACTGAGACTGAGAGCAGACGTGCAGTGGTGTTGTTTTAAAAATCAAAACAGGAAATGAACCAAACATGAATAAAATATTTTTGTTAGTTCAGCAAAGTGAAAAAAAAAATTAAGGTAGCCTTCAAAAGACCAACACAAAAATAACTCAAACTAGGCACAGTGCTGAGGAGAGTCCAGGATATGATAGAAGCATTTTTTCTGAACACAAACTACAGCTGTGAAGTTCAAATCTATGGAGTCTTCAGAGTGCCACAGAAAAAGAATATATGTAAAGTTCACATAAATATATGGAAAATTTCAATAACCTAAAAATGCTCTTTTTAGGAAACATGAAGAGAGTTTGGAACCGAAAATGAGCATTTTTTCCATTTTCCATAAAAAAGTGTTCAATGTTATCACAATACTGCTGTTTAACGGGCGCAGAAAAGAGACCTTTAGAAATTATTCATCCACTTAGACACAAAGCAGCAAGTGATCATTTAAGTCTGCAGTACCTCTGTTTGTTTTTGACAGTTTTAATGTCCATGAAGACCTCTAGTAAATGGGGGAAAGTCAAAACTACTTGTTATTCTTATTGTTTGGCAAACTCCTGACTTCAATGAACTGCCTGTTTCTTCACCAAACAGCACCTCAGTCATATCAAACACATTGTTGTTTCAGGTAAAAAACATAAGGAAAAAAAACACTACAGTACATCAAAAAGTGGGTTGGATGGACAGACAACATGTCTTTGTAGACGCTTTGATATTCAGGGAGCGTTGTTGAATTATTAATGTTAATGCACAAATAAATATGTCTCAAACCAAAGTGTATTTTGCATAATAGCGTTTTAACACACGCCTGTAAAAGTTGATGCTGTCGGCTCGCATTCATCGGAGTAGGCGGCACTTTTGCTGCCGTAGAAGGTCAGACCTGTAGATGTGCAGCTTGTTGATCTACACATTGATGGCGTGAGCGTGCTTCTTGCACAGAGGTTTGTCTTTCTTTGAGTAGAAAGGCTGGCCCTCCAGGTTCACATGACAAACCTGTGGTGACAATGAATCATGGTGATTAATGGAAATCTGCTGCTGTAGTTGGTTTTAACTTCTATACATCTGAGATAACATAAATGCTAGATAGTATGCTTATTTTCATTAACCTAAATAATTATTTCCATCTAAACCACACACTTTTTACTAAACCGAACCAAGAAGTTTTGATGCCTAAACCTGACTTTTTCACCGCATTAACCCTTTAATACCTTTTTTATCATATTTGGTACATACTTTTATATGCTTCTATCAAATCAATATGATCAACAAATTATTAAAAAAAATCTGAATATAGTCCGATAAATGATAAAAATGTCCTCCTTTAGTTCATTAGCTTCCAAAAACATCTAATGTATCAAACAAGATAAATAAATATATTTGTTAAATTTTAAGGACATTTTGATTTTTTGGTTTTCATTGGCAACTGAAATAAACATTTCAGCTCCAAATTTTTTTTAGTTTTTTGGCCATAATTTGAGGTGTCAGGCATTAAAGGGCTACAAAAGTGTCTTTCTCTTCCATGTGTACTTAATGAATTTCTCAAGTTTCCATAATGCTGAAAAAGACATTTTTTTAGATATGTGTATTTCTTGAGAGAGTAAACAAAATAAAAACTAGGATGATTTAAAAAAAAAAAATTGTGAAGAGGCTGAACCGACTCTTCAACAAACTTCCTGTTTCTTTTTCTTACCGCACAGACGAAGCAGGTGTCATGCCAGGTGTGACCCAAAGCTTCAATGAACTTATCGCCAGCTTCCACAGGAAAGTCACATCCATGACACTTGGTGCTGAAGAGTGCGATATAATCTGACAAAGACAGGGGCAGTGAGTGATATATTTTGGACATGCAGTTTGTAGCCAAGGATACCTGAAAAAAACAAAGACAGCGCGGACACAGTCATACCTTTCTCACAGTACGGCTCTCCATCCTCCATGTGGAAGAGGCTGTTTCCAAAGGCTTTTCCACAGGCTGCGCACACAAAGCAGGTGGTGTGCCATGTCTGCCGCAGAGCGTGCATCACTTCCTGTAAAATGTCAGAGATGTCAAGTCTTTTAGAAACTTCTCGCAATTTTTGACAAATTTGATAATACATTCCAATTTGTCTCCTGTTTTTATCACTTGTGTATTGCAGATAGCTTTCTATCATTGTTGAGAAAAATTTACACAATTTCTTCTACTGTAGACTTCACTTATCTAAATTTTCTTGAATCAAAGTCAGCATTTGTACCATTTTTCTTTCTTTTCATTTTTTCTCTTTCTTTTGTTTTAAGAAATTATGCTAAGGGAGTTACTTCAATACACAGGTAGGTGACTTAAATTGAAGATTTTTACACTGTAAAAAAATAAGTAATTAAACAAATCTTTTTTTTTAATCTTATAACTGAGCTGTAGATCAGTAGCCCTCACTCTGATTAACACATATATTTGTTTAGGAGAATGGTGACCACTTACAAGCTGGAGACTTTACACAGCGATCCAAACAGATCTTTTTTTTTACACATGTATACAGGTGAAGAATCAATGTCAATATTTAGAGAAGCTCACCCCCATGATCTTAGTGTTGCAGCGAGCACAGGTTGGAGCAAAGAACTCCTCATAGCAGTTCTCACAATACACGCTGTTTTGCTCCTCCACAAAGCTGACATCAGCCAGAGACATATGGCAATAGTGACAGTTAAACTCCTCTGGGTGCCAGGACCGACCAAGAGCCACCAGGAAAGGACCCCTTGCAAAAAAACAAAAAAAAAACAAATAGACTTTAACTTGCATAGCACTCTTCTGGTATTTCTGACCACTCAGGGCACCTATAGATGACTCATTTACAGATTAATCAATTTACACACACTAACAGCAGAGGATACTATTGTAAGAGACCATCAGTATTAAACAGTCCCACACACTCATACACATCCAAACATCACTGAAGATGTCATCAGGAGCAGTTTAGAGTTCAATGGTTCACCCAGAGACACTTCAGGTTCATGAGAACAAGTTATAATTTATCAGGATGTAATCCAACACTGTGTTTGCTTTAGACTTACTATAACTTCCCCTAATGGTGTATTTGTTGTGCATACTACACCAAAACAGACTTTTTTATTAGCCAGACTTCTTCGTATGCATATCATCAAGTATTTCTTACAGTATGTGTGTTCATAGTTTACAGAATCATGCCAAAGGATTGCAAACCAGCAGGCACATATCATGAATCTGTGGGCTCCGATGAATTTATAGCTGGCACCAAGGGGACTCTGGACTCTGTAACAGATGGATGTTAGACTCCGTGGGATTTGTGATAACGTGTGGTAAACACCAGAAATTTATATGTTGAAGGCACCAATTTAAATTTTGGGTTAGTGAACACTGGACCAATGGACTCTGAATACATAAAGGGAATATTACTGATTTGTCATTTGAAATTAGGGAGGTGACATCATGGGTTGAATTGGCAAAAGTGTAAAGGACAGTGTCATCAGCATAAATATGTATTAGGTAATTGCTCAATGAATTTGTAATATCATTTATATAAATTGTAAACAATATAGGTCCAAGACCTGAGCCTTGAGGTACTCCCTTTTGAAATGCTGAGAAAAAAAGACAGAGCATCACCAACTTTGACACACTGAATCCTGTTTGAGAGGTTATTCTGAAACCACCTGAAGCTGTTCTCATCAAAACCTTGCTTAAGAAGTTGGTCTCAGAACCGTATCAAAAGAAACTCAAACAAAATTCATTCATTTTTAGCTTCATTTTTTCCCCTAAAAGTATCCAGTATATTATATTATGATCATAACCATCATAACGTAACTCCAAAGGTTCAACTCCAAATTAGATGTAAGAGCATGAAACATTGGTTGGAAGAAAAGCAGCAGAGGAAATACATATAGAGCCAGAGAGCTGCTGTGAAAATGAATACTTGACGGTGTCATATTTAGTATACCACTCCATAGCTGCAGAAAGAAGTAGATGTAATCACCTGATGACGCTGTTACAGGCCCCACACAGAGGTGTACGGCTGCTGGCAGCAAACCTCTCCGCCCTTTGAGCCACACCCCTTGCCACAGGAGTGAAGGGGGCAGGGCTTGGTGTGATGGGGGCAGGACTAGGAACTGCAGGGGAGGGGTTTGGGATATAAGCCGGTGGGGGAGGAGCGGCCTGAGGCAGCGGCTGCACCTTCATGGTGGTGGTGGTCATCTTGCTGGGGTCAAACTTATTTGCGAAGTTGGTGTCAGCCACCCAGGGGGGTCTGTTGGCGGAGGCGGCAGCAGGCGGAGCTTGGGGTGGGGCAGCGGCTGGGGGACGGGGCTGAGGTGGAACAGGAGCTGGAGCTGGAGCAGGGGCAGGAGCTGGGGGAGGCAAATATAAATCATGTCAAACTTGCAGCAACCAGAGCAGAGACATCACTTCTGAACAGTATTTGTGTGTTTACATGAAGTCTGTATATCTGGTAGCAGATGTCCTCACCTGGCTGGGAAGGGTAGATGCAGGCAGTGCTGACTACCTTGGGAGGGGCGGCGCCTAGAGGAATCTGAATGGAGCTCTGTTGAGTAAGAGGGGTCTGTTGCATCATGGGCTGCTGGTACTGCTGTGGCATTGGCTGGTATTGTTGTGGAGGTGGAACATATGGAGGCTGATGCATGGCAGGAGGCTGACCATACATGCTAGAAAGAGAATAAACATATTTATTCTTCAGCTCCATGAAGAACTAACCACCTGTGAAACTCACTGAGGTCTGAATATGACATATGTTTCACAGCTCTGAATATGTAACATTAGTGGAGGCACTGGCCAAGCTTTTCTGAGCCTGTCTCTGATAGGTGATATTTTTTCATGTTGGAAAATGAATCCTATAACAAACAAACAAAATACAAAAAAAAATTCAAACTGCCATAAAACACTCGCACAACACTTGAGATACATAACTGTCAGAACAGAAAAGTGCATAACAACTACAGAGACACACAAAGAGACAACAACAAAAATTATGAACTTAAAGCTCCTGTGAGTTTTTTCATATTTATGAAATAGAAATTTATACTGACGTGTTTTCACAGGAAACAGAAGCAAAAGAGACTGTCAGTGACAAGACTGACAATATCCATACTTTTATTCTTAATGTCTGGCAGTGGTGTATAGGGGTAGGTGTCAGTGGAGCGGCAGGAGAAACAGCCCTGATTTTATTCAATGTTTTTCAAAAATGATACATTTGACTGTCAAAAGACACAATAAGCAAAGACTGCTTTGTCCACAGGGGGGCGCCAAAACTGACACAAACTGAAAGTTCCACACAGGAGCTTTAAACAACCAAGACACACAAGACAACATCAGAGAAACATAAAACTACTGAGACACTAGACAAAACCAAAGAGGCACAAAACAACAACAAAGAAATGCAAAATAAAAACAAACTTATGGTTATTAAAAAATTTTAGTGAAGAAAGCTGACAAGTGAAAACCAGCCTGTAAGGAATGTGAAGACAAAACAGAAATAAAAAATCCGAACATTAAAAAGCCAGAGTCGATCCTTCAGAGCCTGTTAGAGGAGGTTCAGCCTGTGGATGGGTGAAGTGGTTATGTCTTGTTACAAAACAGTTACATGGTCCTGAGCTGAGCCAGACAACAACACAAGAGTTAGAGGTCCAGGTCCCTGAAGAGTCAACAAATATACCATAGAGGCGTCAGTATGGTCCAAAAGAGTCCACAATGTGTTGTTTCAGACAAACAAAGTCTGGAGTAAAGTTTAATCTGTCTTGAGTTTACCTGGGAACTTTTGAAGCATACTGATGCCTTAATTTCAGAGTTGATACTGCAAAGACTTTTATGATAAAGAAGCCTTTATTTAATGGATTGTTATGCAAAGATGAGGAGGAAGCTTGAAGCAGCAGGTGGACTTGAGCTCTGGATTCCTGCTGGTGTGGGTACCTGGAGACTGCAGCTTTGTGCTGGATGCCTTGACTAGCAGTAGAGAATCGCTTCAGGCTGCAGGCGTAGAGACAACAACAGTCATGTGTAACTTAGGGTCTAGAAGGTCACCCGGGATAGTACCGTTTTGTACATTCACATGTTTTTCAGAGTGCATGATGACGTAGACTTTTGGATCAGTCCGTCTTTCATCAATTCCTTTTTTCAGCATCTTTTTAAAAAATACACCAGTAAATCTTTAATATTCAGCCTGCAAACACTGCTGGTAGACTTAAAAAGCGAGAGTAGATGTTTCTGATTTCATAGGGCAGGATCATGTCCCTCTGTCTGCAAGATGTGTCACTTTTTTCTGCACAAAACTGACCAAAGAAGAGGTCTAACATCTCAAACCCAGTTTCTCCCAGCGCAATCCATCTTCAGCTCCAAAGAGCCAAAAAGAAACCCAGTAACATTCAACACAGTTAGAGTTGACCCTCTGACAATGATAACTGGTCAAACATGACATGAACAAAACATGTACCAGACAGCAATACCTAATCTAGATGAGAACCAAATAAAAACACACACACACACACATAAATGACAAGATGGTGGCAGACAAAGGTCAGTAGAGAAATCTTGGTTTCTGTGAAGAGAAACTTTGTAATAGGAATGATAAAGTTAGTCAGAACAAATTCAGAGTAAGTCAAACTCCACATTAGAAAAAACACTGAGTTAGGAAGCTGCAGCTTTCCAGCTAGCTGTGAATAGATTTAAGTGCCTGGGGCAGATTGGGTACCTGAGAGGATCGGGTTCAGATACAGCTGGGGCAGGGTCCACAGGCTGCATGATGGTAGCAGGCGGAGCAGAGGGGATTGGGTCTGCTGGAGCAAGCCCAACAGGGCTAAAGCATAGTAAGGGGTTAGAAGCTGCAGTGAGAGAGAGGCGGAGCCAACGGGAGCTGGAATCTCAAAATCTTCAGTATATACATTTATTTCTGTGCACATGCAGCACTTACCAATCCGCATGGTCACATACAGTATATACATAAATGTTCATGTTCTGATAATATGCAGATGAAATTAGTCAAGAGAGAAATGATCAACAAGCTTGTTATTTCACTCATGCATAAACCAAACTGCTCAATATTGCTCAAGTGATGTGAGAATTTAGTTTTGTGCTGAGTTTATGTTCAAATGTGGGTTTAAAGTGAAGGGGAGAAAAAATGAAAAAAGGAAAAGCAGATTCCTTGCTTCTTTTTTGACTAGGAGAATCTTCACATTTAGAAACTGAAACCTTAAATAGACCTTAAACTGAAATTGGATTGTGTTCCAGTTAAGTTCTAAAATCAAAGTTTCAATCTCTGCAGAGAATAAAAAATTCAACTTGACCAGCCCCTGAATTTGGAGTTGGACTCAGAAAGCTGGCGGTCATGTCATCTACAGCAGTAAAGGCAGAAAAGAGCAGTAAATAGCTATGTTCTTTTTCAGAGGTAGCTTCCTTGCATCACAAGTTGATGCTCCTGTCGCATAGCAACAGGTAGCTATCCTGCCGACAAAAGAAGTGTTAGCCCATAAATTTCAAGAAAATTACTAGCAATGTTACTTTTTTTCTTTCTTTTTCAAATATCTGTATTGATAGCTTCTCCACTGAGTTAAACACAAATACTAATACTCAACAGTGGATCACTTTAAGAGTCTTCCTTTCCATTTGAAGTGATGTACAAAAGAGGACGGTCTTTTACACAGCATCGGTACAAAATTGGTCTTGAAATGTGTCCTTTATAGAGTGCAGACTCTGAATTGGTACACAGCTTACATATAAACACATGTTTTTTTTTTTAAATCAAATCAGTCAACGACAGAACTGTCCAAAAGTGAAGACATGGTTCCAACAAATTTGTATGAACAAATGTCACATTATGTGTTGATTGTTCAGCTGCTTTTGCTAACAAAAGATATCCTGGGGAAAGCAACTATGAGTTACTTTGTCCCCATTCCTCCCCATTAGGTAAATGCAGTGTCATATCACTGATAGATAATGTGAGCAAGGCACAGCAAGTCCCAGTTCTTGGATTTACAGCCAATCTCAACACAAAAACTTCTTAAAGCCACGAAATGTGTGACCTCCCAGCCGCAGGTTGCTAGGCTAGATAGTAAGTTAGTTAGATAGTAACATCCCAACTTATCTGGATTCTGGTCTATCACAGTACACAGAAGCTTTGAATGAAATGTTTAGAGTCCAACATTTTGGTAAAGTTTTGGTCAATATTTACATGAATTTACACATAACATGAATAATATCAATCTTGAAGGGAACTAAATTGCCTGTAAACCTGCCCCATATTTGATAAATGATTGTGACCAGCTCAACCTCAATCAAGCTACAAGGAAATCTACCTTACTGGGAGGGGGCCAGTCTGCCAAAGCGTATGCAACACATGCTGGCAGCTTATAGTCGGGTTGCCAGGTTACCAAAAAATACTCCTCAAATAAAGGTAACCTTCATGAATTCAAGTGTTCTTTATCGAACCATAAGGAAATCTAAAGAACAGATTATACATGGCCTGTAATCACTGTGGTTTGGATTACGGAATAAAGAAAAACCAGTGGAAAATGGTGAACTTGAAGATTTTCTGAATCATCTGTGTGGTCACAGGTTGGGGGTCGATCAGTCTACATCCCACTGAATCTGAGATAGAAAAGCCCTTTAACGTGATTTATTTTTTTGTATCTTCTGTTTGATACCAGATGAGGAAAAACCCACAGTCTCTTTACTGGCAGATAAAAGCTTGACCCCTGCTCCCATTGATTCATGATGAGTCATTGCTCGGTGTATGCAGGCTGACAAGCTTTAAGAGGAGGGCGGGGAGGCAGAAGGGATCAATTGTGCGTAATGGAAGGATGATTAAATAAGTGCGCAGAGCACAGAAAGCTCCATCCATCAGACAGGCAGGATGGAGGAGGAGTGGAGGGTTAAAGAGTTTGTTCCTCCCTTCAGAGACGCAGCAGACCTCCATACTGTGATATACAGTGAGTGATACTCAGTTAGCATGGCTTGAATTTCTGCATATCACACCATCTATTAGGAACACTTGGGAGCAACTGCAGCTAAAAATAAAAACACAACCCAAGAGAGCAACAAGAGGTGTAAGAAGACTTGACCAACTGCTTGTTTTCAGACAGCAGTGTTTCAATTATCCTGAAAGATAAACACAACTTCCACTATACGTTTTTGCACTTCATCTAATTTTATGAGACTCTGTTTTGTGTCCCAAACAATTTTAAACTCCATACAGATAACTGTTTGTAAAGCTCTGTTGTTTAATAATACTACAGCTTAAGTTTAAGGGATTCAGCAGACAGAAATGGTAAATTAACGCTATGTGTGAGTGTACAAACATAGTTATTCCCTCTATGTAGATAGTGCTCAGGTTGGGCCATTGCAGTCAGAAGAGTGCCCCCCTAAAGTTCAACTTCCATCTCATATTTGACTTGTTTTTACAAGTTTGTCCTAACATCCCCATTTTACGTGCTACCGATGTCTCACTTTATAGAGTCCCGATAATCAGAGAACATCCCTCTGATTTGGCTGATTTTCTTCAGGGCAACATGCTGCTTACAGGTGCATGCTGTCATGCACATTTTTGTAAACTCATTAATCTAAGATTTTGTGTTTTGGATGTATCATAAAGAGCTCAGAGACAATAAATGTGACGCTGGCATGAGCAACTCTTTTCTTATTTCTCCCAGGCAGAAGTTGCAAACAAGCTCACTGCTGCTGACCGTAATGTCTGTTGGAGGAGGGATATTGACTTGGGCTGGATTTCAGTGTTTGGGATTAGTCCTTTTGTTCCAGCAAAGAGTCTTCTTAGAGCTACAGGATATGAAAACATTTGTGCCAATAGGGAGTTTCCTCCTTTTTTTGGTAACAGTGTGGAGATTATTTGCTGTGTGTGCGTGACTGTGTCCCTGTGTACAAAGCCAGGTCAAAAGAGACATGATTGGACCATTTTGTGTGGAGAATTCTGGCCAGTCGGCACATGGCTCTGACCTCAACCCTACTGAACAGGTGTATGTGAGAAGTGGAGATGTCCCATCCAAAAGATCCCTGAACCTGCTCTCTTTATCATGACCAGCCTGAGGCAGAAAAAAGTCTAAAGTCTGAAAGATTTAAATGGTCATAGCCAGATAACATATCTCTTACCATTTTCATGTTTTTTTTAGAGGTGGGACAGACTAACAGTTAGACCAGTTGCAGGAATGTTCTGAAAAACATCTGCTGGCTAGCAGGAAACATTTTCTATTCTTTTCTTATTGATTTTCTTTGACCTTTGCAGAAAGTCTCATGGACAGAGAATAATACAAAAAACGTCAACAGAACTAAAATATATCTGAAGTTTAAGTGTATAGATGGATGCCAACGCATAAAGACACACACAAAATCACATACAAATTGTGTACTGCCATTTAACCATAAATTTAGTGTGAATCATTGGTCCTTCTGCGCCCTCTGCTGGTAAAAGCAGCCCTTTAATTTCCACAAGCTCGGAAAATAACACGAGTGATCATTTTCATCCCCATGAATCAAAGCAGAATTGAGTATTTTATTGAATCTTCTTGATAAGAATCAAGAAAAATGGAAAAACTAATATGAAACCAATTATTGAGTCTTCTACAATCTTCTCTTGCATTATGCTTTTTACTTTGAGAAATCCTTTTTTCTGTTTTAACCTTTTATTGTCCTTATAATACGTTTAATATAAATTACAAACAGCTGATGTATGTGTTTGAAAACACAGGGCTTCATAGCGTTATGAACCACTCGGCTAAATTTCAATGAAAGAAAAATAGTTTGAAATGAGGTTGAAATAATGAGCAGTAATCTCTGCTCTGGGATCCTCTGTGTTAAGTGCCAAGTGTTTGGATGCCACGCCCACCAGCCGCTCGAATATGTCAATCATCTCAACAATACAGTATAAAAAATGGATGATGATTTAGTTGGCTGAGGAATGATTCTGGATTGAATGTGAGAAGTGAAGAAGTAATTGTAGCTTCTTCGCTTCAATAGTTTCCCTGTCTGAGCTCTTCTCAACTGTGTGTCAGACGCATTTGAAAAAAACACAAACTGACTGTACCGCATCACAGCTTTGCTCTCAGCAGCTTGTTGTGCTGGGGTGGCATTTTAAGCATGTTGCCTACCAACATAGCTTTAATCTGCCAGGGCATGAGTGTGAATGGTAGTGGAGAGCTGTCAATCAACTGGTTAGCTTCACTTCAAAGTACAAAGTGGCTGATGCTAAAAAAGCCAAACATTTTAATCACACCAGGAGTGCAAGGAGGATTCTTTTTCAGTTTGCTCAAATTCTATGAGTCTAGACAGTATGGGCGTTTTCATGAGGCTTAACACTGAGGGTAAAGGGCTGCAACGCCAACATTTGATCCAACCAGTCTCATTCATGATAGATACAACAAGTCCCTCATTGAAAGGGAAGTTTGTAAAGACACACGTGTTGTGTATTGGTGTCCAGGTGATAGAGGTTCAACCACAGCAAAGGCATAACATTTTCACTACAAAAAACGCTTTTAAGGCCGAAGATAATGTTGAGCATGGACATGATGAAAATTAGATCAACTATCAACTTCATGCTGACAAGTGGCTGTAAAGTAGAGTGCAGAGGTTGTCAAAGACATTAATGAGTGTTTGTGTTGTTTGTGTCAAAGAAAACCAGGATGTGTTTGTTTACCTGTTAGCAGGGGGAAGAAGTCAGGCTAAGAACAGCGGGTTAACTTCACTGTGACGTTAGCTTACAGTAATAGTGCTGTGTGATGTGTTCAGGGGCGGAGCAGAATATACAGGTGAGGAGCTGGGGGGGGTCAGCAGCTGTCTAATGAAGCTCCTCTGCCTACCTGCTCCTCTTCAGCGCCTCCTCCTCCTCCTCCCCTGGTGCTATAAGAAACAAAAACACACAGCAGAGGAGACATCAGTGAGCATGTTTAATGTAAACCACTGACTTATCAATAAGGCAGAAGAGTAATGACCAACATGAGTAAAGAAAAATGTGTGCTTTTAGATTAAGTGTTGGATTTCACCTTCACACACTAACAGACATGTTTTAAAATGCTCTCAGACAGTCTAATGTTTCTGGAGAGGAACTTACTCATTTATGGCTCCATTTATTATTAACTCTGCCAATAAAGTGACTGTCAGAATATTCTGCCTGTGTTATCCCGCGGGGCACCACCTCCCCAAAACTACAGTAAAACTGAATAAGGCTTCTCTGTCCTAAAAGCTTCCATGTCAATTCATTCATCAATACTCACAGTTCTCAGTGGCGGTCATGTGGGCCAGGACCCGGAAGGACTTAGACTGCATGTTGGAGCAGCGCCGGCTTTCCTCATTCAGGTCCAGCTCTTTGTCTGCGGTCTGGACAGCCTGGTAGACTGGGGAGGCGCTGAATGCGAGGGGATCTCTAACTGGGAAAGAACTGTAACCACAGACAGAGGACGCCAACCCCCCCAAAACCAGACCAGGTCAACACCAGACACGAAAGCCAGAGCTTCAGTAGGTCCAAGTGCTTTAGGATAAAGTTTGAGACTGGCTGCTTTTTTATTTGAAATGTGTGTTATTAAAATGTTTGATTTTTCCATAGTGCACTCGCACAAAGGGCTGATGTATAAAGAGATCGTATGTGATATAAAGAATGAACAGGAGCAGTATTGAGCAGGTTTTCATTTGATTTTGCATGACAGGGCATAAAAATGAAGAAAAGAAGAAGCGCTGAGAGTTCAGAGGAGGCGACATTCAAGCAGAGATGCTGTTAGAGTAGATAGGATAGATAGCAGATCACTGATTTAAAAAACACGGCAGCAAAAGTTCACAAAAGAGCAAAACATGAGAAATACAGTAAACTGGTGTTAATAAAATAATATTTGTTGTTATGAGCAGAAACAAATCCAAAGAAGGAGGAGAAATGGGCCCAGAACGTTCAGGTTTAGTGTCTGTTCAATTTGATCTGTTCAAGTGTAAGACAGTAAATCCTGTTTGCCTTGTGTATATTTATATTAAAGATGCTGTTTCTCAGGAGAGAGAGTTTGATTACAGCAAAGACGATGAGAAAAAAGAATCACAGGTCAGGTAACCCCCTAATAAATTTAATGGTGCTGTAAAAGAAAGACCAAACACTAGAGGGGGCAGTTTGATTAACTATCTCTTCAGAGAGGCTGCTGTTTATATTCATAAACTGACACAATTAAACCTTACATACCTAATGAAGCTCAGGATACTACATGAGGACTCTGTTCTCTAGGTTTTATATCGTAGTGCTTATGTTCTTGAAACTCTGTTCTTTCATCCTTTCATATGCTCTGTGGCCGAAAACTCAAGCTACAAATTTTGTTATTTGTCATTTAATTGCTAAGAAAATCATCTGTATTCTTCGCAGCTGTGAATGTACATTGATTATTCTGAGCATAATCAAATAGGCATCACAAGAGTAAAGCACTTCTTCTTATTTTGTTAAGATCTCCTTATTTACAATATTATAGTGCAATCATAGACAAAAAATGTCTGTTGGCAAACTGGTGGCTAATCTCTGGGGACTGGCATACCATTGGCCACACCACGTGCCACTCCACTATCAGCATTTGCTGTTATGTAAGGTGGTATGCTATTGACTACTTTCCATCATACAGGGTCCCTACACAGTTGGAATTTCCATAATTTTCCATACACTACTTTTTAGAATTATTTTTGGAAATACCAACTTTGCTATTTTAGAAAGCAGTATTTTATAACTGTGGTAAAAGTCTGGAAACATAAATATTTTTTCCATACTTGATTTTTCATTTACCATACTTTTTAAGAGCTGGAAATTGTTTAAATTACTTCCATAATTGCGTAGGAACCCTGATCATAACCTGCATTTGAGTCCTCTATTTTTAACTTACCAGCGCAACAGTTTAAAGCATCAGCACTTAATTGGACATCTGTATTCATCTTTTAGTTCAGACTTTCATCGCTTACACTGAATTTAAATGATGTGGAGTTGAAATGAATAACATAGAATAACCTTTCCTTTATCTGTGACACTACAGACAATACAGACAATCTGTATGCAGTAATACTCAATACTCAAACTCATACTGTCTGGTTAATAATAATGAGAGACACACAGAAACCACCAAGAACTGAAACAGTACGGTCTCCATCACATCAGGAGCATGTCAAACACTCATCACATGAACACACACCCTGCAGCGGTACCGACAACTTCAAAAACAACAAACTAATAACAGCTTCAATCCTCAAACAAAAGTCACTGCAGAAACATTAGTGCAACCAATGTTTTCATGACGTCTTTATAACCTTCAGAAAGTTTATCTTCAAAAACAACACCCAGACAAACTCCCAAACTTCATAGCAAACACTGGCAGGCAGCTCTTAGAAGAAAGAGGGGCTTGAGGATAAAAGAATATTTGGGATTAATTGTTATAATATCACCAAAGTGAGCTGAGGAAGGAGGAGAAATAAAGGAGAAAGAAAGTGGAGGGACATAAAGAGTGAAGACGAAGTGGAGGTTTTGTTTGACATAGTAAAAGTGTGTTATTTAAATGTTTTATCTTTGAGAAAAGTTGGAATAAATGTAAATCATAGAGATGACTCAGAGGAGGAGAAAGGGAAAAATGGGAGTGTAGGAAAAAGGAAAAAATGTTTACTGGTGAGAAAGAGGAGTATTACAAAAGAGAAAAATCAGAAAGGAGCAGAGGTGAAAAAGGAGAAGACAAGAAAAGAGGACAGAGAAAAGACAGGTGGTTTGGGTGGTCTTACCCGACATCATGCCCCTTGCCCTGCGTCTGTCCTGCAATAGCGTCCATGATGGCGTCCTGTGAATACATACTAATGGGTGTGTTGTACTGGGCATGAATAATGGTGGCCTTTCCTCCTGGGCCCTTCACCTCAATGGGCTTATGGGTGGAGAGGGCAGAGTCCAGAGCACCGGGGGGGAAGCCAGCACTGTTGGCAGGTGGGTAGACATGGCAACAGAGAGGTAGGAGAGAAAGAAGAGGAAGAAGAGGAGGTAGAAGATGACAGGAAGCAGACAGACGAAGGAAACAGTAGGAGGAGATTTGTGAGGGAAGAGAGCCAATAAATTGTGTCGTAGAGTTGATGAGTGTTGAAAAGAAGAAACAGAAACTGGAAAGCTCATGCTCACAGCAAACGGCAAAGACTACTCAAATCAAAGCCAGCAGTCAACAGGCTGCTCAAGGACTTCACGCCTTGTTTTCATGCAAGAAGAAAACCAAAGTTTGACCAATCAAAACAACCATCAAACGCCCAACAGCAGGAGAGAACTGTGAAGGACAGTGAAAATAAAACTGACAAGGCTTTTCCATCTACCAAGAGTCTCAAAACCGTTCACAACTGACAAACCAAATAAACATCTCTGTATTTATTCTTATTTTCTCAGTGGCTTATAAAAAGGCTAAACATAAAAGGAGTGATGATTCAGTAGGTCACCAGGCTAGGTGGCTTGCCCCACGATCCAACGCATACTGTTTTGAGCTTATCATAGTGTATCCAAGTTTATTGTGAGTTAAATTACTTTTTAACACTTTTGACACTCAAATTTAAATATTCTGAACAGTGTTTCAGTTCATCTAAAGTGATAGAAGTTTCAGAAAACTCCACATCTGTGTTAATCAACATGGTTGCCTACGAAAAACCCTTAAGGTTCCTACACACCAGGCGCGAATTCGCCAGGCGAATTATTCGCCTTTTTTTAAAACAGCATAAAGTCAATGCAAGCTTCCACACCGGGGGCGATTTTTCCGCGGGGCGAAAAGCGTCTTTTATTTTTTTGCTCTTGTGTCGAATTTTTTGGAGATTCGCAGGCGAATATCTGGACCTGCTAGACCTCTGGCCAATCAAAACTCATGTTGTTGATGATGTCACAGACCCATGCGGCTGCAGTTCACACGAGACACACACCACCACTGGCACCAAGAGAGAGATGGGAGAGAGTGTGTACCACAGAGTGGTCACCCAATGTGTATAAGCGAAAGCGAAAGCGATTTTTCGGACTGGTGAATATTTTCGCATTTTCGTCTAGCTTTTTCGCTTCGCTCTACAAATTCGCTGGTGTGTAAGGACCTTTAACAGCTCACAAACTCAACCCATTCCACATGAATGCTTATGGCCAGGACACTTGAAAAAAAGAGATTTTTGATCTTAATGAGTTTTTTTTTTCTTGGTTAAATAAAAGTTAAATAAAAAATAAATAATAAAGAGCAGTTATTAGCAAATTTATCTGAAAAAGGAACCAGATCAAACCATTAAAACATTAAGGCTCAGTTGGTTCCCTGGCTACTTTTTCCATCTGTGTTGGTTGGTTTGCTTTAGCAAAGCCATACTTTGATAATGTTACAACTAAAGCTTTTTTATCACCAAATTATGTTAAATCTCATCCTTCACATCAAGTCAAATCCATCTGTGGAGGGAGTCTGGCTCGTTCCAATTCTGCCTGTTGACACTATGGCAAAAACACAACTTTCTGTGAAGAGCTAAAAAAGGAGGGTTAGGGTTAGGGCTATTTCAGGACTGCTTTAATCTAATAGGACAGCAGAGAACTTTAAATTAAGCTGACCAATCCGCAGCAAAGACAAAAAGAAGAGAGGAGGCCAACAGTGAAGAAATGAGAGGGACATTGATGAGACTGACGCAGAGCAAACATGGTGGAACATGGTGTGGGCTCTGAGGTTTTGAAGCAGCTGAAGAAAATTCAACAGAGTCTTGAACTTATGTGGCAGATGACCTCAGTCAGGTGCTGCTGTTGTTTAGTAGGTTTAGAAAGCTAGATACATGCTACTATTTAGATTTTCCCACATAATATGGAAGTCCTACAAAGTGTATAATCTTGGGGACTGTTCTTTTAGCTGTACAAAATATCCCTTTAAGGCTAATTAAATCAACTTTATGTCATGAGGCATAAGTGAGATGATGTTTAATGAATGTAGTGACACAGTGTCAAGGTCCCGCTCAGCCTGTTGGCTCTCCAATCCACTGAAAACATAATAGCTGTACCTTAAATAGGTTCCTTTAAATAGTTTCCCTTCTCTGCATATAGGACTGATCATTCTGTTTCAAAAGAGCAATTGTGGCTCCTAAAGAGGTTCAAATAGGCTTTTTAATATATTATTACTCTAGATTGAAACCAATTTTGTTTAAATCTTCAATCAAGGAATTCTTTGTGTGCCAAAACCCACCCAGATCGCTTCTGCAGACTCTAGTTTCAGATAATAAAGAGATTGCTTTTGCAAGTGCAATTCATACAGAAAACCAATTAAATTCAACGCAGAGAACAGTTGCTGGAAGACAGTGCGTGCTTGCTTTAGGCTCAGATCCTGACCATTAATTCTGTTTAAAAAATCTTGATATGCGATGTTCAGGCTCTCAAAAAAGAACAAATTAATCCTTTCGCGCTACGCAGTTGTCATTTAGGGAACATGTGTCTGAATCACAGTAAGGCTGTTAAATCTCTGTTCTCTGGACTCAGGTTACAGCAGATTTACACAGCAGTCCAGCACAGCTTATCCAACCCTATCCAAAAAAAAGCTGTTCTCGTTTCACCTCATAAACCTCAACGTATTTTGTACTCCAAATCTTATCTTGTTTTACTTTGAACAGCTTCACTTTCTATCCAGCTGTTTTTGGACCAACTTTTTCTACAGTTTTCTTCACTAACAAGAGACTATATATTATTTTGACTTCCCTCACTATCTACCCATCGCTTTAATTGTGATGATTTGTGGTTTTCATACCTCTACTAACAAGAACGACACACAGGGACCTAGAAATTCAATCTGTTTGATTTGATCTGTTTTGCTCCAGTATGCCGTCATGCAGACCACAGAAAAACACATCAAACTGTAACCTTTACTTTCAGATGAGAAATGTGTCGAGATGTCATGCAATCAGATACGACACAGCCAGAAAGCTTGGGATCATCTATATTACATTACACATAAATAAGACGAATGTTTCATGCAGGATCATGCAGAGCCAACACAAACAACAGAGGAAGAAAACACTGATGGGTTTTCTGACAGCTTATTAAGACGCTGCTACTGACTTAGCTGGCGACTCATTTGTCTCTTCATTTACAACAGAAGAAGCCATCAGCCTCATAGTGATTAGCTCCACGACAACAACAACAGGAGTAACAGCTTTTCAGTCTGTAAAACAGCCAACTAACAAGATGCACTCCCACTCTGCAGTAAAAGCACACTGCACACACAAAATCTAATGAAAAGATCGACTTTGTTGGTGTTTATGTCGTTGGATAAGGTGGTTTAAACATCACTAAGACATATTTTGCAGTAATGGACTGAGAGTGTCTCATTTATTAGAAGACTTTGTCAATCTTGTGCCTCCAAAGGCTTACTCATACTGCATGGATTTATTGGATTTGCAAATCTGATAACTGGGGAAATAAAGGGATACTTTTGATGAAAACAGCAGGGACTACCAGGTTACTCTTTGAGGAACTCTATCTTTAAAAGAGCTAATAAACTAATCTATGAAGTCTTTAAAAAAAAAAAAAACTCTCAGGGAAACACTTCGCTTAATAATAAGTGTTTGATGGATAATCTGAGATCAACTGATTCCTCTTCCCCACATCTTTCCCACAACTTTTGTACTTTCTTTCAACCAGATATTGATCTTAGTTCTTTTTTCCAGGACTCACTGACACTCTAGATAATTCAAGATCAGATGTAGCCATGTTAAATAAACAGTTTTTTGACAATTTTGGCCGTTTTCTGAGTTTGACGTGTCAGTCTGAATTTAAATAACTGTTAAAATGAGCAGGAAAGTGTCACTTTGGTCAGTCCCTAATAATCTTTAGAGAAATGATCTGATCAATTGTTCTAATATGCTCTAAGTCAAGTTTAGGAAACTGTTCTTGAAGTCTGGCAACATAGTTTGAAATGAAAAGTCACCTTCAGATGGAGGAGAGCAATAGTTTTTAACTCTCTTTCTGTATCCAAGAACATCACTCTTTCTTCTTGTTTTTTAACACGACCAACCAAAAGCTCTTGCACACATTGCTCTGTTGGGACATTATGAGGCGTCTCAGATGAGCTATCCATCGTCATCAACTTGGATGGACTTAATAATCTAATTGTAGCTTATCGTTACCCCTGAAAAGCAACATCTTCGGTTCTGTCTTATGTCCTTGGTGGAACACCATACATCAGTTTATCTTTCTGCTGACATGTATCCCTAAATTTCACCTCCATTTCCATCCAAACATCCCGCTCTGGATCAGCAGCTTGAAACAGAAGATGAGCAAAAATAATTCTAGGTGGAAATACTGCTGTTGACCAAAGGACCTAACAATTTCCACCACGGTTTCATTTACGGGTAATTTTACCCAGTTGTCTATTAATGGACAATGATGCATTGATGATTAAAAAGGCAACAGCAGCACTATATCCCAACAGGGAACACTCTGACATCCACAGTCACAAACCATGCCTTAAATAGACCAAACAAAAGGCCAAGCACACACCCAAGATGCATTCAGAGGGAGAGGATACTAACTTGGGGGCAGCTGGGCTGAAAACCTTATTTGACCCGCAGAAAATAGAGAAGAGAAGAGAGGAGACAAAATTGTTAGAGAACACTTTCACTGCAAGTTTTTAATATCGAAGCTCAGCAAGGAAGAAAGGACAACAGAAACCACAGACAGAGAGAGGAGGGATAAAGGTCAGAGGTCAGGGATGAGTTATCCTCTAATATCCCAGAGTCTGCTGAACTGTCACCTCTGTGCATGAAGGGAGTCCTTAAATACAAAACACTGCAGGTAAAAAATCTGGCATTGGACTTCCAGAAAAGATAAACTATTTATAGATCAGACAATATGAAGATGGCAATAAGGAAAAAGAAAATTATGGTCACAACAACCTTACAAAAATGAACGACTGGTGGGTTCAGAATCACATAAAAATGGTTACATCAGCCCTAAACAAATTCTGGAGCATTTATTGAGTTAATAATGATTTTCACTATTCAGAATTTCAGTGTTAGTGAGTGTTGTCTAATATCTATGCTTTAGGAATCCCCTGATTATTGGAATCATGCATACTGAATTTGTGAGTTTGGTGTTGCATCACCTTAAAACTGTAAATCCAGTGAACTTCCAGTCATGATCTAGACATATTTTATACTAAATCTGTTTAACTCTCAGTGAAATACACTCTACTTTCACTTGATAACTCTTACCAACTTGCACCACAATTGCAGTTAACAGTAAGTGAAAATAAAAACCAGTAAACCTCTGTGTGAGTCAGACAAACTGTAAATCTTATAACCTTAAATCAAAGTTAAAGTTAACAACAGTGATGTGTCAGACTATTTCTTAGCTGTGAGGTTTAAATAGATGAGATGTAACCCATTAATCATCCGTTTCAGGATGTCCTCATGGGTAGATTTTGTTGCCTTTGGTCAGTCAGCCTCACTAATTCCTGTTCCTACTATAAATGTCTTGCTAAGCTTACCCCTCTTTATATGTACCCTTATAGTGATACCACAGATGGGAGGTGATATCAGTCTGAATAAAAAGCACTTTCCCCTAAGTGTCAAACTGCAGAGATATTATCACATCATTATATAAAGTAATAAAACAGGTATTCTCATAATTCACACAGATGACTGTAACTTAAACCTTCTGAGTTTGTGTATCCAGGAGACGTTAATGTTTTTTTGTGTTTAGGAAAATGCTAACTCTGCAGCGTTAATGCTCAGAGGTAAGACAAGGGCAGCTAGTGTGTGTTTCTGTGTGTGAGTTTGTTTGTGTGGTGCATGTGTGTGTGTCCAGAAGGTTCCCTGACCTTTAACAGCAGCCAGAGTAACCAACAGGTGTTTGGCCTCTCCACTGACACAGTAACCGAATCACACTGTGAACTGAGGAAACCCCACAGGCATTCTGGGTAACAGTGTGAGTGCACTTTGTGTGTGTGTGTGGGGGGGGGTGTGGGTGTTTCGCTATGATTATGAATAGTTATGGTAACAGTCAGATACTTCCTCCCATCATAGCTCTGCGATGCTGTAATACTGCAATACAGTCAAGGCTTGAAGTAGGATCTGTTTCAGAGTGTGTGTGAGTGTGAGTGTGTGTGTGTGTGTGTGAGTGCATCTTAAGGACAGTAATATATTTTTTATTCCTTGGACTAACTGCCCTTTTCCCTTCAGGTCCAGGGGAACATTTGATCCTCCCTCAGGCTCCTCGCTGACAGTCAGTTATCACCACCCAGAACCCACAAGAGGGAGAATTATTCACAAGTCGAGATTCAGTGCCACATACTCTGTCTGAAGTATAAGCACCACATTCAAAATTATACCAAATAAAAGAACTCAAGAAGCTGGGACAAAAAAGTTCCTCGTCAAAAAGCTCCAAAATGTAATGTACCATTGGTTTATATGTCAACAGAGAAGGCCTAATGGCTTGTATCCACTAGTCTTTTTTACTCATGCAGTGTCTATTTTCCATCCTGGTACCAATACACTTCAGCACTTTAAGCGTAAACTGGCCCCTGTTAAGAGGTGTTTTTGGCCCTGGACTCTCATTTGAAATTCACTGCAGCTCATTGTCACGTTCTCTTAACAGCCAATCAAAATCAAGATGGGGGGAGGACTCTCAATACCAGCGTTGTCAATGACAACTCAATAGCACCACATATCTCTGCTACTTTCAAATTCTTCAAACAGCTAATTAATTAGTTTTCTCTTTTCAAAACTGATGGGGTCCCCAGTCTCTAATGGGTTAATGTATCCATCTGGTTTAATCTTATATTTTAGTAGACACTGAATGTTCTGAAAGGCCCATATTTCTCCTTCTTATGGTTGTTGATTGATCCTTGTTTCATATGTGGTTGTCTAAGATCTTCTACAGGATATCTACTCTGCTGATATGTGGGTCAACATGGCAGGAGTCTAAAGGAAGAGCTGTGGAGGCCAGGAGCTATGTTTTAGTTTTGAGGCCAAAGACAGATTTTGCTCCTTCTTTCATGAGTTTTATTTCAGTAAAAGCTTTCTTGTTTTTGTTTCCCATTTGATGTAACAGTGACTGTTCCTAGGAGATGGGTGTTGCAAATCAAGCTAGCTTTGTTAGCTAACGAGTAAGCAATGGCTGAACCCTTTTCTTCTCCAGATCAGCTGTCTTGTCCAATCATGAAATACGTCTGGTTTCCAGAAACAAAATTAGTGCAGGACCAAAGAGTGACATCACTCCAAATAGATTCATTACCCAGCCAATGAAGAAACAAGTGCCAAGAAGACAGGAAGTGAACAGAGTTGCATGGACCAGATCAGCAAATCTACTTCACACCATGTCAGCTGATGGCAGCAGCTCTCTTCACAATGTCCTCCTGCTCTGGTTTGTCTTTTATTTTCTCTTTCAGCGCAGTGACTCTTCTGTTAGGTAACCACTTGGAGTCTCCTGCCATGTTTACACCTCGTCATTAAAGGGTCTTATCTACATACCCCGCAGGCTGACCGGCCTGAACAGCTGCCATCTCCCTCAGAGTTTCCTCTGAGTACAGGCCTATTGGTGAGTTATACTGCTTCTTTTTAGCAGGGCTGACCGCTGTTTTGCTGCCCGGAGAGTCTGCCTCTGCAGGCCCGGAGGAGGGACTGCAGGCTGACAGGCGGCCATTCACCTGCACTGACTGAGGCTTCAGGTAGAGTAGAGAGAGAGATGAAGCACAGGATGATGGAGGGGGATAGACAGTATGGGGTGGAAACTATGAGTATCTGATAAACATGCTTTGCCAAATATTATACTTTATCAATATCTCTGTTTAGTCTCTCTAAACTTTTTGTTACAGTTGTTCAGAATAAGATAAGAAGACAAGCTGATTTATCTTATCTGTTTTTGGAATTGGGAAATATCTAAAAAATACATGATTTCTTTGTTAGTTTTTTTCCTGCAAAGTAACTTATCTGGTGATGATATATTATTCTTGTTTTACTTTGTAACTGTAATTATATTTTTCAGTGTCAAAAATCAATTGGCTTACTCTGAAAAGATGGCACATTTTTCAAAGCAAAGTGTTTCTAGTACTCTAAGCTTCCAGATGTCAGCTTACAGTGGAACAATCCATTCTTTCAAGTAAAGTAACATAAAAGTTTGTAAACCTGAAAATATTTTTGTTCTGTTTTTCAACTTGTGGTCACCAGGGGGGGACAACTCATCATTTTAGGCATTGACTAAAGAGTGGCGCTGTAGGAAGAAGGAAGTGTGTTTGTGTGTGTGTTTGCATGTGTGTGTAGATTTTTTTTTCTGTTTTTTTTTTTTTTTTTACAGACACCATTTAAACAGACATAAACAATGAAACAATTCGCAGACAACTAAGCCACATGGTGTAAAACTGTTCTTGATATTAAAACATAATCAGTTAGGAAGTCTTTTTGCAACCTGTAAATGTGGTGAACTTTCATAGTGGTTTGCTTTCACTGTACACTGTAAATATACAACTATAATGGAAATATAAAGGTACAACAAACAATCCTTCAAATGATCTAGCCTGTGCAGACTTCTTAGAATAACCTGAAATTAAACTGCTGTAACACTAGCATCACATGCTGCTACCTGTCACCTGGAAACAAAGAGTTAATTGGTTAACTGGCTCACAACACGGTAGAATTAAAGATGATTTCAATTTTAAGGCATCAGCCTTTATTGACATTTGTATTGCTTGCTATTTCATTGAGTTGAGACCAGGTAATAATAACATATAACAATATATAACTGGGTAATGTGAGAGTCTGTTATCTGGTTTGAACTGGCATAAAGAATCACAGATAAGCTGGGTCAATCCAACCTTCAGGGTCCAGGAAAGTATGGCATTCAAAAAGGGCTGCCCTTACACAACCAGTCTTCAAATAAATCCCCTTTCAAAGGATGAAGTCCTTAAACTGGGATGTGACTTATTAAAGATCGCCTAAGCAGAAATGCATAATGGGTAGAGTTACCTGTTGGTGAGGGATCAAGGGAATAGCAGCGTCCATTCTTGGTGCCTGCATCGGAATGGGACGTTTCGACCTACAGGGAGAACACACCGATGGTGTTAAAGTAATATCAACAAAAATCCATGTTTATAACTGTGCCACTGTGAAAAAAATCTGTTAAATTTAGACTCAATGTCTCCATTTATGGTCTTGGGTAATTATAGATATTCTTGAGCTCTGAGGTGCAAGGAGGGATGGGTTAAACAATTCTGTAGACCAAGTTTGGGTAGAAGAGACCAAGAAAATGTTCACTAAGATAATAGAAATTCCCTCTAAAACAATGAGTAAATAACATCAATACATAAATAAAAATAATGTGAATAAGAACTTGGCAGAAAACCAGCACAAGTCAGAGGTGAACTTGGCAATACAGCAACAAGAAATGTCTTAACGGAGTGAGTCACAAGTGATGAACTCTGTACTCCATTTCACCTCCAGCCTTTAGTTTTTGATGTCATGAAACTTAAATCTTTAAGAAATGTTTGTTTTTTTTCTACTGGAAATGCTTTCTCACAAACATCTCCAGAGTACAATCTTTCTTAAACTCTCCCAGAGTGCAGAGTCATGTAATGACTGACGTGTCATTATGTAGGAAATACTCCTAACATAAAGAGACTGTGAAAGAACAAACTGAAACTGTGTCAACTATTCTTCAAAAAAGAAAAAAAAACACCTATGGAAAAGGCAGCGATAAAAGAAAAATCAATCGAAGACACAAAAGCGAAAGAGGATGTTAAAGGTTAGAGTGCTCTGACTAAAGAAAGTGTTCCTGTGAGCTTTATGGTCAAGAAAAAACGTGAGCTGTAAGTGTAACATGTTGATAAAAAGAAACCTGTTCTCTGCCAAGGGAAAAATTGACTGCCCTCTACTTGATAAATCACAGCCAGTGGAGAAAATGTTTGAATAAGAGTCCAAAACTTTATTTCGCTGTTATAAACAAAGTTGTCAAAATTTTAATACTTTCAATAATTTTTAAAGCAACATGCTTCAAAATATCAATTATTTGTTAAAGCTAATAGTCAGAGAACAGTTCAGCAAATGGCAGCTATATAATGATTTCAATGCACGGTTGTTTTTTGTCTTTATGCATTCTAGTTTAATATGCCTATCAGGATCAATCTGCATAATCCAACATACTGTATCATAACAGGAATAGTATTAAATGCTAGCAACTGACTGTTTCATTTTCAAGAAACAGACCAGGCTGTCTGCAGCCTTTGCAGATATCATTTCCTAATTTTTATTGTCAGCCTTCAAAACCCAGATTTTGCTAAAACACTAAATCTGCCTGAAAAAATTAACAAATTTGCTCTAAAATGATTTCGACAAAGAAGCTGAAGCTGCTTTATTTAAAGCATGAATGTACCCTGTACATGTTTGTAGAACTGGTTTGACATTTTAAATGAAGAGTTGATCTAAAGGACACAATCGAGTAGGAAACAAAGCTTAAACTGAGTTCAATTTGAACCCACACAAATGCTTATCTACTCCATTATTGGTGAAACTTAGATACGCCTCTGCAGGAACACGCAGGATTGCACCTGATCTCTATTGCTTGCAGACAGATTCATGCTTTATCTCCCTGCCAGCCGTGTGTGTGTGTGTGTGTGTGTGTGTGTGTGTGTGTGTGTGTGTGTGTGTGCGTGCGCTACGCCCTCTGTCAAAGTCACTACACCACTGATTCTGCTTATTACAAGTCTGCAAATACTGACATTTTTATTGAGTCTTTTAGCATCTTAGTCAGACGTTTTATGTCTTTATCTGTCTCAGACATACAGAGAGCAGAGGGGAAAGACAGCAGTATCACCTGGTCTCTCTCTGTTTTCTGTTAGTCCTGACCTGCAGACTGTAGACTGGGAGCTTCACAGCACTATAAACTGGCTGCCTTTGAGAGAAAATAAGAACATTCAGACAGAGAGCCCACTCTCTGCAAGTACACTCGCCACCACACACCTTCTCTGGATTATGACTGATAACTCAGAGTAAAAAGCTGATACAACAACAATGCTAAATGTTCTTTATTTCACCTTTAATCATTCATAACAATGTGACATGTTGGCCTCAGTAGACTTTTTTTAGTCTGCACTGTGTGCAGGTTGGAAATCAAAAATGACAAAACCTACCATTTGGGTGCTCAAGAGGGATTTTTTGTTGTTGTGGTGTTGGTATAGTTTGATTTTTACTTGTATCATTTTGAAGTTCAAACTCTTACATTGTGGCAGTTCTTGTCATGAACTCTGCAAACTCTAATACACCGACCTTGGAGCAAACTGAGTGAATGAATGTGATCAAAGGAGCAGTAATGGTAAGAAAATGTGAACAAGAGGTCAGGACAAAACCAGCCTGTTGCTGTGACTCACAGCTATGATTCACCTTCAAATCCTTCCACTCATCACAGTTAACTTAAATCTGACAAAAACAGAGGATCCACTGACTAATTTAGAACCAAGGGGGATTGCTAAGTCAAGCACAAAGGGGTTGGATAAAATGGTTGACAACTTCAAGTCTTAAAAATTAAGTCCAAAAACTAATGGATCAAATCACAGCTCTGGTTTGTAATGAATGCATTTCACAGACTTGGACTGACCATTTTTACTAACATCATGTTTTACACTTTGGAAAAGTGGTAGCTGAATAAACGTGTTGTTTTGTTCTTTTTGAATGAAAAATGTTTAAAGACAAATAAGAAAAAAGCCCTCAAAAAACAAAAACAGCCCATTCCTTACAGGCGATTCCAAAACTGTACTTAGTGATAGTGATTTAGTTTGGAGGACATGCTGGAATGAATCCTGCGTCCTTACACTCACATATCTATCCTGGACATTATTGCTGCATAAAAGAAATACGGATACAAAGCAATGACCCTGAAATGAAAAATGAAGCATTCATCACATTGTCTGCATTGTGAGTATGTCTGTGTTCTCTGCTCCGCCAATTTTATCAGAGAAAGCAGTGTGAAGGGTTAACAGCTTCAATTTTTTTTATTGACGTCTGTCTATATAAGTCCATCCACAGGACCGGTACCCTCATAGACCCTAAAACAACATGCGTGACATGAAAAAGTGATGAGAATAAAACAATCTGACAGAGGCTCCTCAGTCTTATCTTCATCACCCAGAGGGTTTGTAGTTATGAGACTCTGCACGGAGCTCCCTGTAGACCAACAATAATTTCCTAACCGAACTTATCAGATCTTCTCCGTCAGACCTCTTCAGGGTAAGAGAAGAATAATCGGACTAGCCTGAAACAGCTCAATGCCAACATCTGCTGCTAATTTTTGTCCTCCTCTGGCGTTTATTACCAAATACATTCAAGAAACCTGTAAAAAAGCAGTACAGGTTTCTTGAATCCTTCAGACCCATCTATTAGCTTCCATTTTTACCAAATCCAAAGGTTTTATTGACCTTGTATTTGTATAAATCAAAGGAGTTTTGTTTGCTTTCAGTCAAAAATATACAGGTGTCACAATTATATACTTTTCTTTACCCAATTCTTCTTTACTTTTTAGAGGGGTATTTGAAAGTGGACTATATCTGACACTGGATTTTGAATGTTGTACGTGAAAAATATTCTTCTGATCTGATGTGAGCCCTTATAATTATACAGTTGATCATCAAGTAGAATTGACAGCCTACATCAGATCATCTGGATCTGATTTCCTTTTTATGTTTCTGGAAAACGGGGTTTAAAGGTTTCAATACATGTTTATGAGGGGAACCTCAGGGTTCGATTTTCAGACCACTAATCTTTAGTCTTTATGTAAACCCTTAAGGGGGCGGTTGTAAGAGCGGATGGGAATTGAAAACATGCCATAACAGACAAAACAGACATAATTTGCCTTTGTGTTTAATGATTTCCTTCTACTTAGTTCTGCGTGCCTCACAGTATACATCCCCAGAGGCAGTTAGAGTGAACAACAAGTCAGAAGGTAATCATAGCAAACAGAAGACAGGAGTGGTCAAAAACGCTGTTATCCTGTTATCAGCTGAATTTCTTTGTACTTATATCAGCTTTACAACAAGAACAGTACGACAAACCAACAAATCTACCCACTTCAAAATTCAATAGCTCTCCAGTGTTAAACTCTTTGTTTTGCAGAAAACCTCAATCAGAGGCTTTAGTAGTTTTATCAGACAACATCAGATTGTTGCCAACCAGTCCAATATTCCCTTAATGCAAAAGGCATTGAGAACTAACCTCCTTATTTTGTTAAACAATAGTTGCAGTGATTTTCTCTCACAGTCATATAAAAATAAATAAATAAATAAATATTATAAAAAATATTTATATAAGATATTTGACACACGCTCAGTTTTTAGTCTTACTTGGTCATGGTAAGTGCCAGGTTGTAGTTGGCCATCTTGATCTTGTTCTGCGCTTCCAGGTGAGTCATCCCGTCTGTGCTGACTCCGTCGATGGCAAGAATGACATCACCCTGGATCAGGTTCCCCTGCGCTGCTTTGCTGCCTGGAGTGATCTGCCCATAAACAGAATTAGACACATTTAGATCTTACTCAACAAATCTACCATGACAGACACAGGTTTCATCGTAAAGACCCACTCCGATGAGAATCAGGTTTTTCTTGTTTTTCATATGTTTATATGACATTTTTCTGATGCTACAGGACATATCATGAGAAAACTAAATTCAAAATTGTTTTCCTGAGTATTTCTTCATTCAAATCACTGTGAATCTCTGGCAGACCCAAGAGGCAGAACAGTGATATTTCATACGTAACCAATTCAAGCTCCGACCTGGAGGCCCGCTATGCAGGCCACACTCTGCATATAGAGAAATACAGAGGACGATCGCAGACCAAGTGTGTATGCAATGCTCATAAGAAAGCTAATTATGATATTAACTTTCATCGTGTCCCTAAAGACGTTAGTGTCCGAGAGCTGAATGGCTCCTATGTTACCTGCCACTTCTGTTGCAATGTTAGGCTGATAGCTAATGTGAAGATGAGTGTGCAAAACAGCGCTGTCTCCCCCAACGACTCAGAAGGGAATTGCTAATGATCTACTGGAGCTCTGCAGAAGAAAAGCCCTTGAAAATGACACAGGTAATGTGATTTTTGGTAACAACTTCATAATCACAATTTAAAGACCACTGAGAACACTTTAAGTTGAAAACATTGGAGTAGGACTTTGAAGATGCTTTGGTTTTTCAGTTTGATTCCTACCTGCAAAACAAGAAAATATCTGCAACAAAGTCCACTTCATTTAAAACGAATACAATCATGCAAGGAAGACCCCAGACCAACCAATTTCTTTATTAAGAGCTCCTGAATGTGGGTTTCTAGCATGTGTGATAAATCCGTCTGGGGACATAGACCACAGGTCACTGCACATGTTAATCTATTTTCAATCACTTTACCAGGAAAAGCTGGATAACATGGGATCAATACTTTCCAGAAAACAATCAAATCAATCAGTCAAGTCATCAATGAGTTAATGATTATTAGTTCTGAGTGCTTTACTCACTTTAATCTGAAAATCCACTTCAGGGGTGGAGTTCTGTTGGTTTTTAGACAAGGGCTTAACCTTCATTCACAATAAAAGATATCTCCTCTGTTGATTAAAATCCCTGAAAAAAAAGTCAGTATAGAGAGTCTCAGACCATCAAAACAGACTTCTGCTGGAAGTCAGATGTCAGTTTTGGATCGCAGTTATATTTAGAAACTCAGAAAGATCTGGTGCTTATTCGTGCTCCGGGGCCAGCTCATCTCTTCAGCTCTTCAGCTTTAGCAGCATCAACAAACAACATCAATGCACAAAAAGTTTCAGCAACTGAAGCTGCTTTCACATAACAAGACTGAGAAGGGAATCTAAGGTCAACATAATGATGCTTAACACAGTCGTGAGTGGATCTGTTTTTTTTTTGTATCCAGTCTCCAAGGGGCAACAAGAGCAAACCAACCAAATACTTTCAAATGACCCAACTATGCAACAACAAAATACGATCATGATCAAGTCAGTACAGTAAAACTTCAGCCGACTGTCTAACCTGAGTTTGCTGACTCACTAGCACTCCAGCTAGGGTAGGCACAGGTCGATAAAGTCTGTTTATCTGAGTGGACTGGCTGGTTGTCTAGATTTTAAAATGACTTCAGCTGCCACTGCTGTCTCAGTGTTGATGAAACAATAATATTAAAACCAAAACATCTGCATTGTAGTGATGGTTGGTTTAATAGTAATAGTTAGTGTGACAAAAGTGATTTTTGTTTTGCCACACTTATTATATTGTATATGGGTATGGTAAACATGAGCGATTTGAAGTGTTCTAGGTATATATATAAAGCGTATATTTGTGTGTATATACATGTATATAGGTATGGATGCATCTATGTATATATTAGGTCTTTGTTTTAGTATTAATGATAAGTTAAATATACATGTTAGACTTTGAAGCTTTGGTTACTTTTTGGCGACATCAGAAATTCTAAAGACATGTAAAGGGTAAACTAATAGGAAGGAATGAGGGTAGGTACATATGAGCTAAATAGCTTAAACCTACTCCTTTTGGATTTCCAAAATAAATAGGGAATTTCCTGTCTGAAATTTTACTGTATGTATATTTGATCAAATAAACAATCTCAATCTAAAAAAAAAAAAGAAAAAAGAAAGTTGGATTCATCCTCAGGGAGCCATAAATATGTGAACTACTCCTCTACTGTTCATCTGATAGTTGTGAAGACGTACAAACCAAATATAATGTACACCTAGTGATGGTACAGAAGAAGTTAGGGAATCACAAAAGTGAGATTCATCCATTGAGGACCACAAATATTGAATCCAAATGTATGCGAGTACATCTGACGTAGGCTGGAATGAGTTAGTATAGATTTGAAACAAAGAGTGACTCACACCCTCATGCACAGTCACTCTGAAAGCTTGGTTAGACCTGATGATAAGTTTGATCTTAAATAAACAACGACCAGAACAACAAAGTACCTCCACTACTTCAAGGTAATGACTTCAGATGTTCGCTCAGACTCTGCTGATGGAAACATGGCAGCATTCATACGTGTGCTAACCTCGAGGCCTCTCTGGCGCCTCGATCACAATCATAGGACACAAGTGTTCATGCCGGGAGTGTAAAACCCTGAACAGCTGTCTACACACCTCTAACCCTCACTGAGCCACATCTCCCGGCTCTGCTGCTCTGTAATCCTTCAATTTTTGCTCCAGTCTGGGGACTGTGACCTTTGACCTAGGGTGGAGATTGAGGACAACAATATGTGCCATGCATATATATATCTGACAGGTGTAAAAAATGTGAACTTGTCCTTTAATTTTCTGTCTATTGAGAACATTTTCTGAACATACCTTGTTGAAAAACAAGGTCAACAGATTTAATTGAAACAGACACACAAACACACACACACACACACACACACACACACACACACACACACACACACACACACACTCGCACAATGTAAAAAGGTTAGCCAGCTCTTTGACACTTGCTGCGGTTCTTATCTCAGACTCCTCAGGTTGACATTTGAATGTGGGTTAATGGGCATAAATGACAACATTGTTCCCTATGCCACAGATCTGTCTGAGACAGGCTGATGGCTGCCTCTGCCCAGTCCCAGTTAACTTACTGGTCCTAGTCCAATTGGAGAAGTTCCTGTTTTGAGGACAGAGCTCAGAGTTGCTTATGAAACACATCAGATTATTGGTGTTTGATTTAAAAAAATATATATTTCATCAAAACAGCTTCATCATACAGAAACAGCATGTTCTTTTCAGTGATGTTGAACTATCAGCAAGGCACTGTAGCTTAGCTGGTCAAAGCACCTGTCTCGTAAACAGGAGATCCTGGGTTCAAATCCCAGCAGTGCCTCAAATGTGCATTCAAAGTGTGCCTCATAAACAGTCTGGTGTGTTTAATCACCCATACCCTGGTACCTCAAAGGATTCATAACAGGCCAGTCTGCCAGCTTTAAATTGTGGGTGGATGTGCATCATGTGTGGAACGGTCATATCAGCTTTATGGTCCCAGAAGAACAGAAATGCTTCATTTACACACCTCAGTCAGTTAAGATAACTGCCTTATTGGGTCGTTTCTTCAGTAATGTGTTACTTTCCTCATCACAGTAATAAACTCTGTGAGCATCCCATGTTGGTCGCTCCGTTCCTTGGCTCATTAACCAAAGGACAGAAACCTGTCTAAGGTAGGTGAAAGATAAGTTGGGGTTTTGGGGTTTTTAAGAGCAGCTCCCTTTCTGTTTGTTCCTTCACTGCAGTGAGACTTTTAGACACCTCATAATAACATAATAATCTTACAATTTGCAACCAACCATTGGAAGTGAGGTAGTTGTAGCCAATGTCCAGTAAGTGGCAAATCTTCACAATGTGTTGAAAACAAAGTCAAAGTCAAGTTGAACTTTAAACCTTCATTTTGTCATAAGGAGGCAGATGCTACACTGGTTCACTAAAAGTCTTCAAGTTAAAGCTACAGGCAGGAACCTTTGCTTTGGGTCAGTTTTGGCGCTTCCTGTGGACAAAGCAGTCTTTGCTATTTATTTCCTACACGCCTTCGTAGAGTCTACTGACAAAAAAAAAATTTAATTCAGCTGACATTTGACAGTTAAATATATCTTTTATTGTGAAAATTTATGCAAGAAAATTGAAATAATGGTAAGCTGTCTCGTGTTTTTTAGAATCCGAACTCCATCTACCAGTCCACTAATCAGTGACCTTCAAAATACTGTTCAATAGAATGTCTACCCCAATGATTTTAAATGACTCTTTAGATGACTCTTAGATTTTGTTTTGGTTTGATAATGAAAAATATTAAAAAAAAAAAAAAAAGGTTTTTTGTCATTGAAGAAAGATTTTAATTTCCTCAAAACTGCCAAATACATTAAATGTAATAAAATTATTTTCAAATCATTCAGATGTATGGGTCTCTTGAAGGGCTGAAACAATTCCTCAAATACCTCGATTATAAAAAATGATCAAGGAATTTAGCCCTTAAAGAATCATTTAATTTTTACAGCTTATAAAATAGAATTTCCAGTAGAATACAGGATTACTAAAATATTCAATAGCTGCAGCCCAAGTCTCTTGGAATAAATGTTGTACTGTATTTTATAATATAATGCAGGGAATAATAAAAGGAGGATACTGGGATTTGAACACAGGTTCACCAGTTTATAATTCAGGCACAAAGCCATAGCACGTAATTAAAGTATGAGAGAATAATGAAATATGAGAACAAAAGAGGAAATTAAAGGCCAGCCAGGTGCTGCTGAGGAATGAACCATGCAGGAACAGTTTGACTGTGACAAACCTGCTCCTGAACCTCACTTTTACACCTGTGACAAACCAGTATAATATTTCCTAATACAGCTCAATCCTGATGGTTTATTATCAGCTTATCTAATCAGAAGAATCAGGCAAAGCAAATGATATTAAAGTCTGACACAGAAGATCCTACTCAAACAAAACTGAGACAACTGATTTAAATTTATGAGTTCCCCTAAATTAAAAGTCTTCAAAAACATAATGGTGTCATAAACAAAAAGCTGCATTTGAGCAGTGAAAGATCAATCCTGTAGAACAAAGAGCAACACTTTCAGTGCAACATACACATAGACAGACACACGCAGACACTCACGAATGCTGGTGTGTCAGCTAAACCTCCGGCAGAGTCTGAAATCACAAAGAGCTGCTGAGCTCTTGATCAGGCAGAGCAAGACCACTGAAAAAATACAAGTGATCTATTTGCTTTTCCCCACAATGCACCTATCTGCCTGTTGGAGATAACATCAGACGGGTCAGTCAGCAGTGAGCTGTGCGAAAAGAAGACAGTACTCTCATTAATTTCATCTTTAGTCAAACAAAGAAGCAACATGGAGTCGACGGTTTTTGTGTTTATTATTTCTTTAATGTAATAATCTTTGACTTTCCTAAATTCTCTTTCGACCAAGACTTTGATGACTCTATTTAATCACTTTATTACACACCACTATGACCATTCATTATCTCTATGAAGGACTTGATTCTGACTGGTTATTACATAGCAGTTTTAGGACCAATGGTTTTCAAAAGCAAACTGTTGCTGTAACGAACATACCATTCTCAGGGTAACAGCTCTAATCATAGACTGACAAACAAAATCTGGCTTTAACTAGCCAATATGCAGGCTGTGGGACTGATGATGGCTCCAGTTTGCCCTGACTGATCTTCACACTGGCTGTGCTGTATGAGATGTTGCTGTCACCTCTGTCTAAGGCCATAAACTTTATATAGTTTTTTTTTTAGTCATACTGATCACAAAAAGACTGTTTTCTACACAGTCAAGTGCAAACAGTGGAAATTGAAGTCATCATCATTAATCTAGAACGCCCCCCTGAAGTCGGATTTCCAACTCAGAAAGTTGGACGATCCTTGCCAACTCCGACCTGACAACAACGTCATAATTCAAGATGGCAGTGCAGTGCGTTAACAGTAAAGAGTAACAGTAAAAGCTCTCGTAATGTGTTATTTATTAGCAAACCTGTTGTGTCTTTGTGAAATTAAATAAGTGGTATATGTTGTACTGCCCAATGTCTGACTATGAACATGGTGCTATAGAGTAAAATGCTGTGTTAAGTGTTGTTTACAACTGGTACAGTGAACAGCAACTAACAACCGCTGACAACGGCCAACGACAGCTGATAATCATAAACAACAGAGCTCTACTGTAGCAGCCATCTTGGTTTTCTGACTTGTTAACTGGAACGCTGTAATTCAGGTGTTACGTCATTCCCAGCTCCGACATCTGACTTCCGAGGTAACTTGAACGCAGCATGAACACATATGTGGATGCAAAAACAACTTCACTAATGAAGTTCAGGGAGAGACAACACAAAAGATGATTGTTCAGGGAAAATTTTCTACTTTCTTCAGTGTTCTTCCTACTGTTTGACTGTGTTGATTTGTTTTTTTCTAAGTTTTAGTCAGGCTTTTGTGCCTTTGGGCGGAGTGGAAATCTGGGCAGAGAGACACATGGCAAATAACAGCAGGTCAGGATCAAACCCAAACTACCCGCCTCTAGGACCATCGTGTCTGCATGCGATGTCCTTTTTTATTTTTGGCATGTTACAGGTTTCAGGGGTTTTGTTATCACACAGTAATCTTACTGACATTTAAAACAGGTGCTTGATTTACATATTTGAAGAACTACATACAAAAGAAGAAGAAGGAAAGGAAAGAAGGAAGCAGGGTACAAGAGAAAAGTCACACAAGAGGAAATATCACTTGTTACCTGATATCAAGTGTTAATCATAGAGCATAACCTGTATAATTTTTCACATTTTTATCAAAAGACAGTCCAGCAGGGATTCCAATAGATAGCGAGTCCTCTCCATTCACTGAATTACTCTCAAAGATAAAAATTTTGAGGATTAGGATTTAATATGAAAAGCATAGCTAGGCTGATGCCATACTTTATATTTCATGTTCCCAGGCCAGGGCTTATCGTACAGATAAAGACATAAACATTGTCCAGATAAGCTGTTTATTTTGGCTAAGAACTGTGTGTGGCTTGTAAAAGTGCAGGGTCGCCTTTCTCTTTATTATTTTTTTTTATCAGCATGTGAAAAGGCTCTATTTGTGTACATGCAAGCCAGAAGTAAAATAAAGCTGTTGTGTACACTCAAGCTGTCAAGTGTGAGGCCTGAGTCGATACCAGCTGAAACTGAGGAAACAAGGTGAGATGGCATAAGTAGTGCTGTGATGAGCAGAGTTTGCTCTGACACAGTCTGACACAAGGTCATTCATAAAGGTAGATACAACCAACTCCATAAGGATCCCTATCTGCTCTTTACCTCCGTCAACAGCCCACTGACGTATATAAATTAATGACGTGATAAGGAGAAGTGACCTGTAAGTTTTCATCCCTCTCTTTCCTCATACATGAGCGTTCAATGTTTTTCTGCTATGTCTCATATACATGTTTGTTACAGACTCTATGGACACGTAGTTTTTTACTTTGCTTTCTTGATGCATGTTGACGAGAGGGGTTGAGTAGACATAACTGATCAAGGAACAGATCTCAATGCAAAGTCTAATCACAGCTGAAGTGGCGCTGTGGCTTAGCTGGTCAAAGCGCCTGTCTCGTAAACAGGAGATCCTGGGTTCAAATCCCAGCAGCGCCTCAACCTGATATCTTCTCTTCTGAAGTGTGTCTTTAAACTGTACTACATGATGTTTCAGTGAGCTGCCTGCTTCGTTGTCGGTAATGTAACATTTGTCATTCAAAGCTGTTGGAAACGTGTCACTCTTCCTCCTCTGTTAGTGTTTGTTGGCTGACTCCAGCTGATCTCAGATTATTTCACCATGTCCGACGGGATTAAAAGTGAACGGGAGTTTGTCTTTCAGGAAAATGCTCATTGAGCTTGAACAATGTGCGGCCTGTCCAGGGCTGTGGAGTGGCCTCCTTTCACTGTGAGCCATTCACACTGACCCACATACACTTCACGCACACTTTATACACGGTGGACTTCCTGTGCTCACATTATACTGTCCACACAAATACACCTCCTCCTCCTTCTCTTCTAAACGATTAATATCTTCTGCTGTTTTTGTTTCAAATGAACCAAATGGCCTATTTTACTCTGGAAAAGTTTAGGACTTGGAATAGCTTACAGCCTGGAATGAGGGGTAAGTGGTGATAAACGTCTTTGCTACGATCCAAGTTCATCTGTATCCATCCAGCAGGGTTAAAAATGTGAATCTGGACATTATCAACCACACAGAGCCCCCGGCAGCGACTCTGTGCGTCTGTAACTGTAGATGTGAAGAGAGACAGAAAAGCAGAGGGGTAACTGATAAGACCTGTGTGTGTATGTGTGTGTCAGTGTGCGTCAGTGTGCATGTGTGTGTGTGTGTGTGACCTTCAGAGGCTATAAACAGCCTCTTGCCTGTCAGCAGTCGTAGCTGCTCGCTGCCACTCTGCAGGCTCACTGAGCTGTAGGTACAGGCAGCAGAAACAAATGTCAGAGAGCTGCAGGAGCGGCTGCTGTGATCACTGCAAGTTTCAGGGACAAAAATTGATATTATTCGTATCTAAACTTGTAGGTTTACTGAACACCTTTCTGTGCCGGTGCGATAAAGACCTGATTTATGAGCAGCTGCTGCATCTCAAACCCTGTACGGTGTCAGTGCTATTCCTCTCAACTGAAGCCACATCATGTTTTATCTGTGGCATAGAGGGAATTTACAAAATGTTCACATTATACTGACATTTTTTTTCACTCTGTCTAACCTTTTATTGTCTTCTGTTTGATGTTTGACATTTCTAGTACATCAATGATCACTTCTTCTACACTGCACGGCATTTTATAACCCTATCGTCCCTTTCTGGCTTTTTTGTGTGTACTTAAATTTGTTTGAATGCTCCTGGGAATGTTTAGCCCTTTGTAGGTTTGTTTTTTTCGCTTTGATGTTGTGCTCCTCCTGAGTGTCTTTCAGGTTATGTCATCCTTTTAGTCAGTTCGTGTTAAATTGGGGTCATTACAGTCTCTTTAAATCTGTTCATGGATTTTAGAGTCCTCTCATTTCATCTCTTCGTAGATTGTTGCCTTTTACTGCTAATTTGTGGTTTTGTCTTTGTCTCTTTGGGGGGTTTGAGTCTAGATTTTCTTCTAATGCTTTGTGACTTTTTTTTGGTTTGTAGGAATTTGACCTATTCCTCCCAGATGTTTTTTTTTCCAGTCACTGTAACAGAGCCAGTGGCCCAAGCAGTAACCTCCACTGTTAGAATAAAAGTCAAGGTAAAAGTGCAAAAATCTGACCTGCCAGTCCAAGCACATGTTTCATATGCAAAGGTTATGCCTCAGGTAGGATGTATTTAATCTCAGGCTCCCACTTTCCAGCATGTCACCCCTGGCTCCCTGTCCCCATTTTCTGCTCTATCCACTGAGCTATCCTCTTAAATAGACAACCTCCAGCCCCTCTATAAAAATACCTCTGTCAAAACTCAAGGGTTCCATGTCAAAATGCCCAACTTCACAGTAGGAAACGAACACATAGACAGCCACAATCAGGAAACAGTGTGGGTCTACAGAGCTCATATATAGCTCACCTCCCCACTCGCACTCCACATGTGGTTAAATCTTTCATAATGCTGCCTTTAAATAATAAAACAGCAGGAGATATACAAACATTCGCATTATTGGTTGACTGTCAGGTGGGTCAGCTGATTACCAGAGGGCTTGGAGGCCTGACTCAACTCCAGCTCTTTGCTTGACTCTAGTTTGACCAAAAGTTGGAATGAAGCAACATTTCCAATATGGTGCTGCCACTGCTGGGCATCAAAATGCCTCTTCATGCTTTATCAGGGTGACCATACGTCCTCTTTTACCCAGACATGTCCTCTTTTTTGGGGGGCTGTCCGGCTTTGTCTGGGGAAGTTTATAAAATCCTTCAAATGTCCGGGGTTTTGTATGGAAGTTTCGAGTTTGTGTAACATGGACTTAATGAGTTAGAAGCGCGTGACTTTGTGACTCAGCCCCCACGCTGTGGTGTCTGCTTTTTGGGGATTCAGAATATGGTCACCCTAGTTTTATTCAACTGAAACTACGGCCTGGCTAGGGTTCACTGACACCTTTGCCATCGGTTTCATCTCCCGATGTAAAAACATTTTTTTTCCCTTTAACAAGCAGAAAAATCATTAGCCTGCAAAAATTAACCCAGCTTAGTCCTTTCTAAAGGTTCACTGTGGTTCTCTTTGGTGATCCCTGACATCGAACCATTTTGGATCTTCTGATCAGGATGATCAAGTGCAGTTTTAACAGGATGAATTGTCATCAGGAGCTGGCTGAGAGCTGACTCAGCTCGCTGTGTTCCAGCTGAGGTCCAGTTACCAAGAGCTCGGCTTTCACACAGACTGTAAAACTTTCTCAGAGCGACTCAGAGCCGTGCTCCACAGCACTCTAACTGTCAGAGACCGACAGGCAGAAACAACATTTTTACATGTATCGTGCTACACTGCCCTCACTGAACTCTAGTAAAGTCTATGTTTTAATGACCTCACACAACTGTGAAGAACAAGTGATTGAATTTCTACAAAGAGTAAAGTCAACCAGGCCAGCCCCCTGTAGTTATTCTCTGAGGAATAATGTTATGCAGTGTTATGTAAAAATTATCTCAGCACTCCCATGTCTGTCTGTCTGCCAGCAGAATAAAATCAGAGCTGTGTTTGTGACATTTTCAGTTATGCCTGAAGCCTCATGTGGCTTTTTAGAGAAAATGTCACAGTGCTTTACTGCAGAGTTCAGCAGTATGACCAAGAAATGAAAATAGTCTTTCCAACATCCAGCAAGGCGGTGCAGGTTGGAGAGGAGAGGGCAGTAAAACCTGCTGGGACATCTCAGGCTGTCCATCTCTTGCTGAACTAAACAGATTGCAAATGAAAAGAACTTTTGAAATGAAAACAGTGTGAAATAATTAAGAGAGTTCTTTAAAAACGATAAATAAAAATGTGGAAACTTTATGGCTTTAGATGTAATCCAAAGCCTCCAAAAATGAATTCAGCTTTACTTATTTTATGGATAACATTAGGACTGCAAGAGGTCATGGGTTAACTGCAATGCAAAATTTCTGACATTAACATTATTTTAATCGTGAGCTATTTCTTCACCTTTGGCATACAAGTTTAAGAGGCTGCAGCAACTCTCTGCTCCCTGCGGCTGAAGTGAAGAGAAACAACAATGCTACTTTTCATTTTAAAACCTTTAAAAAAGCTTAGTTGAAAGCTCAAAGTGAAGAGGCACTTTGTGCAAAATAGAAGTAAAACATCACCAAAGTAGTCTGACTTTGAGCTGTTATCTCTGGGTTTGTTTTCCCCTGTGGCATCTTTCCTCCACATCATTCCTCACTCTCTCCCCCCTGTTTCCTGCTCAATCTATTGTCTTTGCCTCTGTCAATAAAGGCCAGAAAAAGCCCCAAAAATAAATCTTTATGTCATTGCATTGACATGGTTTCAAAATCAAGACTCTGGTTTAATTTGTAAATGCAAGCAGGTCTAAACACACCATAAAGTATGTGATTTTTTGCAATCAGCTAATAAATTCAGCCATTTATCTGGATTTAAAAAATCAATCTGACAAACCAAATTAAAATCCACAACAACAGTAGCAACAGCCAAGTGAAACTTATGAAGTAAGGAGTAGGGTTGGGTATCGAGAATCGAGAATCGATGGGAATCGAGACTAAAACTTCGATTCTTCTGGTATCGTTCAAATATAAAAATTTCGATTCCAAGTTTCGATGCCGGAGTCCGCCGACCGGAAGAAATAGCCGCCGAAGCCACGCAGAAAGTGAAGAGAGACAGAGAGAGAAAGTACATTGCAACCCACAGCAATGCAGCCGCTGTGGGTTACAATGTAATCTCTCTCTGTCTCTCTCCTCTCTCTGTGTGACTTCGTCTCATACGCTCCGTCCTCGTTGGTGTTCGGCAGCTTCTTCTTCGTTGGTCAAAAGTTTGGCTAACTTTAGCAGGAAGAATGAGCTCTTATCTCAATGCAACATTAGCAATACAGTTATATCATGCAAAGGAGGGTAAACGACAAACATGATTAAACACCTCAGGATTCATGGAGGAGAAATACCCGAGTGCTCGTCTTTGACGCGCTTAGCCGGTGTTATGCCATAGAATGCACCCCTGCTGTTGAATGCACCCCTGACGGGAGCGCGGTTGAAAGCACACAACAAGGCGAAACAATCCAAGTTTTCCTTACCGTTGGACGGAATCTAAAGCGTGTGCCTTTAATGATTTCATTCAGGCTATTCAGATATGCCGAAAACAACAGCCCTCTGATTCTGAATATTTACTGTCCGGAAAATAAAATGTTCTCTACATTAACAGCTTACTGTACAATTTATATACCCAAGTACACCTCTATGTGTGCATTTCTGAGACACAGAAAAACGAAACGAAAGTTTACTGCTCCATTTGACATGTTGTCATGATCTAATACCCGTGTTTTTTTAAATATGAGATCATTGTTTTCCACTTTAAGAAGCTAATCAGTGGAGGGGAGGCATTCTACGGCAGGGGTGCATTCTACAGCACAACACCTGTCTTCCGCTAACCAGTCAGGATCAGATAAGTGAAACAATAAATTACTTCTATCCTCTGCTAACTTTGAAGCGGTAAACAAATTGCACTGAGTACGGTGGGTCAACTTAAATATCCAACTAACGTTAGCCCTTGTACTTTTTCATAGACAAACGACCTGACAACAAAAAATGATATTTATATACTGGTTGAAAATGTGAGAAATTCATAGTAAAGTTCCTAAAAAGTTAATATGATTTAAAAATTCATGGAGAAGTTCAGAAATTACATCCAAAAAGAAGAGCTCCGGTTAGCGCCCTCATTCAAACCATGCTTTTTTTTTTATGATATCCTGCCTTTTAAAAGAATCGAAATAAAGAATCGATAGGAATCGAAATCGAAATGAGGAATCGAAATCGGAATCGGAATCGTTCAAAATCAAACGATACCCAACCCTAGTAAGGAGTGATTTGTTGACGATTTAACAAGCATGTAGGTCCAGCAAAGATGCTCAAGATATTTTAAAAAGTTAGGCTCAACCAGCAACATTTACAGTATTTCCCCGAGATCATCTCTTTCATCACCTTCAACACACAACCAGCAGACAAATGTGGACAATTGTTAGCACTGTATAAATACACAGGTTATAAGCGTTTAAAGAGAAGCATGTGTCTTTGATTGACAGCTGTCTGCCCATATCCTTCATTGTTAAGACTCTTAAGACTCCAGGGGCTGACAGCTGAAGCAGCTGCTACATGTGTTCATATTTTTCATGTCTTATGTTACAGTTACAAGCTGTTAAGCACCTCTGAACAAAAGAGCAGAGTCTCTTGTGATTTCAAGACCATTAACTAAACAAGTGCTAATTATCCCTCATCTGGAGCTGAAGATATGTTTCTGTTATGGTGCACAAGCTGTGAAATGTTACTGCCTGTGAGTAAAAGACGTGCATCTATGAATTTAAAACCTGCTGTACTGAATATTTACTTTCTGACCTGATGAAAAAACATAATATTCAGACTCAAACCAAAAGCATGTCTGTCCATTTTAAACATTTTCAATGACCTGTCTATCTCTAGCTCCAAACTCACCAGCTCCTACTGAGGGTTGAAGAGTACTTCAAAACATGGATGTATTTTTCTGAGTAAAAGGCAGCTCAGTCATTTCCCTGAAACGGCTGCCCACTGCTGATGTCAGACAAACAGAAAGAAAAGGGCATCTGCTGGGGTGGTGCAGTGGTAGGTTGGTGGATTTACATTTGAATTAGAATTAACTTCAGTGTGAGTATCCTTGCAGATCCTCTTTTTGCTCATGTTGAAAAACATACAGAGTAATTCCAGTTGTCTTAGGTGACTGCACTTTCACCCACAAGATATTAATTTGAACGCCAATCTTCCTCACACTGTGGCTCCCAGCAGCAGATTGAGCCTGATTCTCCCTCATCTACCCCGTTAATACCAGTCTTTCATATCTGTTCCCCGGACTCGCTTCTCTGAACCACTGAACCTGAGGAAACAATCAATTGCTGAGCCCAGAGGGATGCTGGGAAGCATCCACCATGCCTTGCACACCCTATAACTCTCTGGCTCTGTGATAAAAGCCTTCTGATTCAAAAAATGCTGCATTAATCCATCCTGCTGTCATGAAGAGAACAGATTATCTCCACATGGCAACACACACACAGAAATTATTTCCAACAGGGCTCTGGGTTTTTGAGCTGCTGCTCATGTGTATTAATTTTCATAATCATCACATTAAAAGTAGAAATGTGCAAATTTAGTCTGTGTGCCTAATGAGAAACTTATGGCAGAGTCCACAGTATTTTTCAAATGGTATAAATTATTTAAATGAACATATCTCTGGGACAGCACAGTGACCAAATAAGAACAAACCGTCAAGAAACTGGAAGAAACTCATCCAACAATTCTCTAAGGCTCATTTCACAACTTGTGGCAGGACATCATTAATATAGTGACAAAGAGATTTACGAACAATAAAGCTCATAAATGAGTTACTGTGCTCAGTTTCTGCAGTCTCCCACAAAATCACTCAGAATGTCACATAAAAAGCTGCAGCTGTCGGACACAGACTGTGCTATATAAGGAGTGGACGTGACTGTTGTGATGTTAATTTACTCCTCCTAATCTACCAAATGAACCTCATGTTGCAGTGACAAACACACAATACCAGCAACTGAGACCACAAACTCACTGCAGAAGAGTAAATAAACCTACAAAAAATAGGCATATGTTCTCAGACTTCAATACCTACCTTAAAGGGATATTTCTGCATAAAATTAGGTCAGTGTCAAACACACCGTAACACCGAGTTAGACATCCCCTCGTGAGATTAATGTTGCTGACTGCTTGCTTCTCTAGCTATACCAAATTAATTAACAACCACATGATAGCAATACACAGTGGTCTATGGATCCATGCGCAAACCTCATCCAAAAAGCCACTCTACAGCCACAAATAATGCTCAGAACAGTACCTAACTTCATCAACAGTACATATAGGGTCCCAGCCATAGTACTAGCCACCAAATATCTTTTTAGCTTTGCCTAATTTCTTTAGCAAAGAGACCAAACACAACTCACCTACTCTTCTCCAGCAGCCGCTTGTTTGTGGGGGAGCCCTGATGAGTCGATCACGGAGTGCAGTGGAAAATATATGATTATAACTTCATGGAAATGCAACCAGACTGAGACACTAAGGCAGAGAAACTACCGTATTTGCAGTGCACATACAAGATACACAAGAACTCGCAGTGCATTTCCATGAAGTAATGATCATAAATGTTCTTCCTTGAGCTGCGAAACTCCGCTGCACTCGGTGATCAACTCATCAGGGCTCCCCCACAAACAATGGGCTGCTGGAGGTGAGTGGGTGAGTTGTGTTTAGTCTCTTTGCTAAAGTAATCAGGCAAAGTTAAAAAGATGTTTGGTGGCTAGTGCTGTGGCTGGGACCCTATATGTACTGTTGATTAAGTTAGGTGCTGTTCTGAGTATTACTTGTGGCTGTAGAGTGGCGTTTTGGTTGAGGTTTGCGCGCGAGCAGTTGGCAACATTCATCTCTCGAGGGGGTGTCTAACTCAGTGCTACGGTGTGTTTGACCATAACTTTACTTTACGCCGGAATATCCCTTTAAGTGTCAATTAGGTAACTTCTGTTGGAACAACATGCTGTGAATAAAAAAGAATGGCTGATTTATTCCATGTATCCAGACAGATTCTACAGATTTTATAACCCAGCTCTCCTACAGCCAAGCTGTGCTCAAAGTCACTGTATGCTCTGCAGGCTCAATGTAAGGGGTGATGTGTAGTTACCCGATTACGCATAATGGAATCCTGACCTGAAGCACGGCCGTGGTGAACTATTTTCAGCGGAGGGTGCTGTGAGCTCAGCAAGAAAACATCTGACACTGAGGCATTTAGGACACTGAGTGCTGAAAACGCTAAGATGCACTGGTTTTATAAAGATTGTAGACGCTGCCAGTGCATAAAAATGCTGTCAGTGGAAACAGGCCCTTTCTATTTTTTTTCTTAACTACAGATTAAACTGAAGTTTCAACCCATTCACCTTTTGGACAGTCATTCAAAGACTAGTTTTGATATTTGGGCACAATTGCAACATCAACATCAAATTCACTTGTTTTTGAAGACAGAATCACCAGCCTGGCAGCAGATTGATGTGTTTCTATCTCCCCCAAGTCTACAGCACATTTTCCATCAAAATACCAGCAAACAACTTCCATTTCCTCATTTGAATGAAGCTCCATGCTATGCCCCCTGTGCTTGGTACCAAAATACCACACAGGCAGGTCTAAAGGTCACAGAAATGCCAAACTGTTTCAGCGCTGCTTATTGAGTAGTTATAAAAATAGGAAGCAAATAGAAACAAACTCAGAGGATGAGTAATACTCACAAGTGACACATTTGAGTGACACCTCACTGAACATTGATTCATGTAAAACTGAAGCAGACGGACATCTTTTTGACTCAGATATTGTACTTTTGCTGCCTCACTGTAGAGTTGTGTCCTCCTGTCAAAGTGTGACATGTGCTGATCAGTATAACATTAAAAAAGCTGAGTGTTCGTCTGCCGAGTGATGGAGTCATGGAATACTACACACCACACAGAGAGAGCAGAGGGGAAGCTCCTCGTCAGCTGTTTCTGAATGACTGAGACTTGTGTGTGTCTGTGTGTGTGAGAACAGCTGATGGGTTTCATTGTATCTGTTCAGTGGGACGTTTAGCCAAAAGTCCCGAACTGGAGACAGACAGATGATCCCATTACTGCCCCTGTCTTTATCAAATATCTGTTCAAACTTCACTTCTCATTACACTGGTGGATTCACTGACATAGTAGCAATACCAGCTACATTACATTATATGAAGGAGATACTGAATGATGCATCTGCATCTAGATTAGAATTGAAAATCCTTCTTCTGACATACAAAGATAAAATCCTCAGCCACCATCATATCCTGGAACTCATATTGACCTGGTACCCCCCTCCAGAACATTAAGCTCCCAGATAATGGCCTACTCATAGTCAAGTCCCCTCTCCTCTGGATTAATCTACTAGTCTGAAAGGCAAACATCCTCTACTTTTCAGGATAGTCTTCAATTGTTCCTTATTTGAGCCTGTTGTTAGGGCTGGGTCAGTCTTGTACCATCTCTTGATATTGTTGCTGTAGACTTGTGCAGGATAAAACGGTTGGAGTGAAGGAGTTTAGACAGTCCAACTATTTCTATGTCATCAGAATACATAGTAGTGATATGAGTAAGACAAGATAAAAGAAACAAGTTGCCTGGAAACGTTTATTCTAAACTGGTTAATTGGAGGTTACTTCTATCAGCATTCACATATCCAAACCACTGAATATATAAAGTCCAGTTCTTATGGCTGTACAGTGTTAGCTAGCTGTATAATTACAGTACTAAACTCCCATGGGGGATGTTAAACACCTGCTGCCAGAAATAGACGAGCGCAGTCGACACTTTACACCCACAGCTGTCAATAATCACATGTTAAATATGCTAATGCACGGTGTAAACAGCTAGATAGCTGCTGTGACTATTTTTATTATTGGTTTAAAGAATTCTGAGAGTAAACTTTGTCTTAAATTCCCAGGCTCACCGCAACCAATTTAAAGCTATTATGAATAATATCTACAAAAAGCAACAAAAAAAGACTTTTTTGGGGGGGATTTGGATTCAAACAATCTTTACCGCCCAGCAAAAAACATAAGAAGTGAATATGGAGTTGGAGTTGGGAGACAACATGAAAAAGTAGATTTTTATCTGCACTTACACAGACATATTTGCTTGCAAAGATAAATGAAATGCTAAATAACTGCCATATGAATGCTGAGAGTTTCTAGGATTGCATGGCAGCTGATGCATTCACTGTCTTTTGCTCTCCACAGACTGTTCTCCTCCTTCTTTTAGCCACAGCCTGCTGAAACAGTAGCAGATGGTGCAAAGACTACAAACACAAATCACAACACTTCTGACACTAAAAGTCAAGTTACTTGCCAACAGATTCTGCCTCCATTTGCAGTTATTTGTTTGTACAAAAAATACCACAAGACCCGAACTGACATATTTGAAGTGACTTTGCTGATTTGTGGGTCTGGGGGCTTTAAATGGTTTGCAGCTGTGAGAGGAGTGAGAGAAGTTGTGAGCACTTTCAAAAATGTTGAGAGTTAGAGTTAAGTTTAGAGTTGGGGACAAACTAAAGCTGTTTAATTTTCAACTGAATAACATCAGGTAATCTGAGGTGATCTCTGTTTCTGTGAATGAAATCTTTTCCAAGAATAAATATCGACACTCCTCACACCTTGAAGCATGTTTCCATCCAGCCGGTGTGACACCTCCTTCAGTGAAGGACGAGCGTTACTGGATTTTATCACTTGATGAACTGTCTGCCCCAGAGAGAGGAGGCTCAAAAGCACACAGATGTCTCAGCCACTTTAGAGGGGGAGAAACTGGATTTGTCCAGCAGCTACATAAAATCAATTTCAAGAGCTGAACCGCAAAAAAATATACCAAAAGATATTTGTTTTCATGAACCTTCAAAATAAAAGACTTCCAAGCAAGGACTTTAAGAAATCCTGGCATGTGTATGATTCGCAGAAAAATTATACTTTGAAAATCTTGTAAACGTAGAAATAATATTATTACATCAGCCTAAGCAACGTGTACACGAATGTCGTTTTCCGAGCAGACTGATATTGATTATAGGATAAATTTCTGTAGAAGTCAGACTCATGGTGAAGTACATAGCCATGTTTTTTAATCAAGCCTTCGATTACCCTCACCTAGATGTCTAAGAACTGCTTAGACTGCTGCTTATGAATAACCTCTAGGTTCTCAACTCCTGAATCGATGGCAAACTATCCTCATTTCCAATGTGCTATACAAACAAAAGTGAACTTACATCAATTACAACCCACACTTAAATCACTTTTTAAATCATTTAAGGACTAGCTGATTCATCAACAGAGAAAGCAGCTGATAGTTTCAGTCCTAATTATTGGATTCCTACAGTCTGCTCCACATGGATCTGTGTTTGATACGTGTGCTAAATCCATATTTGAAGCCAATAGGACACATTGAGGGCACATAAATGGAAGTCTCAGTTAACTTGTCAATAGTTTGTCATTTTAAAGCTACAATGGCAAAAGTTCACTGTCCCCTGTGAACATTTACTGATTTTCTATTTTGCCAATAGTCTCTTAGGGTTTTGAACCAGTAGTTGACCTTTCAAAGTAAACTAAAGATGACACTTTTCGCCAGCTTTATTTTTCCCTTCAGTCACTCAAAGCAATTTGGACATCAACCAGAGAGGAGATCCAAGGAACAAATGGATAAACATGCTGACTTAATGTTTTAGTGAACTTGTTCACCTGGTGCAACAACTCTCCAAAGAATTATCCATGATGTCTAACTTAAACCTGACTCGAACTAGCAGCCAGCAGGTCAAAGAATCCCAGTCGAGTCTCCAGTGAGCCCACTAAGATTGGTACAATGAAAAACTACAGTATAGAGCCAAGAAGAGATGTAGAGAAGTGATTTCTGTCCCTGCCTGTAGTCTATTCATTTCTCCTCTGTCTATTCAGAGGTGCGGCTGTGAAACCAACACCAGCTCCACTTTTAGGTCCCCAGCTCTGCTTTCGGCCTCTATGACAAATCCTGGCAGCCGTCTCACCCTCTCGGGGCCGACGGGGGGCCACAGATCTCAGCCTGACAGCTTCATAAGACTTTCTGAATCATCCACAAATGACAAGTTTTTCATCAGTAAGCAGCTGTGTGCAACATAAGAGCGTCAACAATCAGCATGACACGGGATGCAAAAGATGGAAAACAAGTTTCAGGGCCTCAGAGCAGATTTAAAGGGCTATGCTGCGGTTTGACCACAATATACAGCATGTTTCCATCATGGCGGTCAACAGTTTCCATTCATTTCAATGAACTTCAAAAATCAACCAGCAGAGGCTTGAGGATACTCGCAACACGAACAGTTTGTCTGAATGTTTCATTCAAAATCTACATGATCAATCCCTGACTTTGCCAATTCAAAATCTTCTTGTATTTAAAAATAATAATGTAGGACTGCGAATTGATAAAACACATGAACAAATCTGCCAACATAGTGCAAAACATTTCAATAGTTTCTCCTTATTTAGAGCAGTAACCTGCCCGAGTCATTTCACCTTTATATTTTCTTTTTTCATAGTTTTTTTTAATGCACTTCTAGATCCAAAGAAAAAACTAGCTTGTTTCCCCTTTCTTGGTCTTAATGAAGTTATAATTGTAAAGCATATTTTTAGATGGATAGGGGATGAAGAGGGATGACAGGAAAATGAGGACACAGGACCAAGCTCCCCCCACAAATCTCCCCTTTAAGCCGCCAAGATTACACGATACGTACACAGCTACGTAACAATCAGACACCACCCCTCTCTCTTTTTGTGTCAGTCATTGAAAATGATTTTGTTCAAGCTTTTTTTTTTACCCACACATATTTCTGTTACTTCTTTGCAGGTATATAAAGACCCATTTAGGAGTATTTAAACCTTTCTGGGCAGGAATGACTTGATAGGGTAAAAGAAAATTTAAAAAAAAATGAGAAACATGATGGTTCAGCTTGATAAAATGGACATAAGCAACAAATTAATATGTACTTCATTGACCAAAAAGTGGTTAAACATGGGATAAGTAGGCTCTTTTTCAGTGAGTGAAGCATCCATGTTCTTGGATCCAGCTGAGATTAAAAAAAATATCTCTCAATAAAATAGTCTTTTTTCCAGTCAGATTTCACAAGTTTCTTACCCTGGAGATGGTTAGCGGCATGTTGAAGTCTTTCCCCCCCTGTAGCCTGAAGCCCCAGGGGCCGGGTCCGGGTAGTGACACATTGTAGACACTCATTCTTCCACACACTTAAAAGATCCTCTGAGATAGGCGATGATGATTGAACCAACTCTTGAGTAAGCCCACAGCCACTGCAGGGATGGGAGGGCCAGCCGGGAGCAAGTAACCTCTGAAAGATGACAGAGAAAAGGTTGTAAGACAGGTGAAATGATGGAGAAAAAAAAACTGACATGAAATGAAAAATCTGTCGGATCACAAACCAGAAAAAGACAGAACAGAAAAAGCCAAGCAGGGAGGAAGACGAGGACTTGCCTGCTCAGAGGAGCTGAAGTGACAGCCTAAGAATAGCCAGAGATAGCCCTGTTGCATTGTGGGGGGTAGAGGGGTGAGGCAGGGTGAGGTAGGGTGAGGCAGGGTGGGAAGAGAAAGGAGGGGGGTGCACTTATATGGTGTGAAAGGGGACACCCGGTATGCCAGGCTCGCCGTGATTCACTGAGGCTAATATAGACCCAGAAGATTCTTCTGAAGCCCCATCCCTCCCTCCCTCCCTCTATCTCCCCCTCATCCCATTATGCCCAGGGTCTCCCTCAGACCCAATCAGGAGCAACGCCAGGAAACGTCTCATTATCTTCAACGTGATAAAGCACAAACTGAAAGGCCACAAGTTAAGTGGGTCTGATAGCGGAAAGGTCAGCGACAGATGGGTATTACAGCAAGGTCGCTGGTTTCAAACTGTAAAGGCTGGAAATGACACAGACTAGTGAACATTAATACAGTGTTAGATTTCTGAGCCTAATTCATTCATAAACACACATTTAAATATGTAAACTGAGACCAGGAGGAGACAGAATTGATCAATCTATAAAAACAAACATCCCCCAGACTGTAGCATATTAAAAGACTGAGGATAACCGCATGATAAAAATACCTCTGATTTATCACAGCTTACTCCAGCGTTGACAGTGTTTTTACAAGAAAAAGCGTCTACATATCTTCAACAAGTTGATGGTCTTTTATTTGGGCAGGTGCGAACAACAACAGGTGAGAATTTACACTCAAACACACAAACACGCTTTGACACTCTACGCACAGACACAGCTGAGTGCTACATAAAACTGCTAAACTGTTACTGAAAGATTTATAGTTTTCTTTCATTTTTTTTCCATAAACCAGCTCAGATCTTAGTACAACAACTGTCCCTGTCAAACGTTTGCCTCTTTATGATAGTTTTCCAGCTCCTCTGCCACACACTGACAGGCTGATCTCAGAGCAGTCTGATCTGCCCGGCCTGTTACCTCATCAGCTAAGTTTAGACACTTTGTCACAGAGACGAATCTGATGCAGACATTGTGAGGACACTGTCTGAGGAGAACTCGACTGAAGTTCTGTCTTTACATATTTTGTAAATATTTAAACTTGCGTACATTAAAAAAATAATTCCCTCATAGGTCCTCAAAAAAATGAAGTCTTGTTACAGAAGCACAAAGTTGAATCATTTTTTTCCTTTCTCACACGTTCATGTGAGAACTTTAACACACACAATTATTATCCTTAATGCTTCTGTGTCTGTGAAAGTCACGTTTGATCATGAGTCCCTGAGATCTTGAGTCTATGGACCTGCCACTGCTACCACAAATGTTATCAGTCATGCGAAACCCTCTAATGTGTGTTTGTGTGTTTTAAAGGATTATTATATTAAAAACTAGTCGAAGCTGCCTTTACATCTTTAGTCTTTAGGTGTGGTAAAGCTTTGTGTATGATCAGTCTTAGGGCTGTATTTTATTCTCTATTTATAAATGGTATTTTGGTAGACTGGCGCAGCAGTTCGCACGTCACCAATGACTCACAAGCGGGTTTCCACAGTGGCTGTACAATAAATAATCAACAACAATCTATACCGAGTGCAAATATCTGAGTCAGCACATACATTTAGATCTATTCTTATTTATTCTGATGTATATCTTATCTGATGAGTGCGTTTGGCACAGTTGTCAACCTGACTGAATTAACACAACTGAACCTGACTTACGCCGCACATGCATCACACTGCTGGCGAGGCACGAAAATAGAGCCCTTAGTCAGTCCATATACTATGTTACCTTTACAATGAACTCTACACTAGCATCATATTGGTGCATCACACAAAGCTATGGCATTTCAGAGGCATGATGTGTGAACAATCAGCACAGGCCTTTGTATGAGCAGACCCACTGCCCTGTCCCATCATGCTGGCTCTGACATTTACTGGGATGTTTTTCATGTTTTTTTTACCTCTGTTGTGCCTCTCTTACAACCTCTGATGGTTCAGCAGTGGTATCTCCTTGACAATATTACAGGCTGACTGCCAATGTGAAAATGTAAAATAAGTGAGTTGGCCTTACTAAAAGCTGACGCTCTGATTAGCACTAAAATCAGCGAAGGACTGATGGGTTTGTCGATCTACATTTAAGACTTTTTAGCTGGTTTAAAAATATTGACTACAAACCAAACCCTGACTCTAACCCTGACTTGGTTTCCAACTACAACTTAACTCCGGTCTTTCTTACACTGCTCTAAAATGAAGTGTTGGGTATTCTTAAGACACATGTAGGGCCTGTATCCAATAACTGCATAAGTACCTATTTTCCCTATCAACAGTAGGAGACCATCCAGGAGAAGAAACCAACCATACTTTTTGTTGTTTTTAAGGTACAACATCAGGTCTAGAACTGCTGCTAATGCTACTACACTGTGTAAATCAACTACATTGCACGCCACTGGCCACGCAGTCTGAGTATGTGTCCAATACACAGAGGTTATACCTCAGCATGGTCCTATCCTCTCATAATGTGAAAATTAAATTAAATGAAAATGACCAAAAACTGAAAACAGAAAAAAATAGTCACTAGGGAACTGGAAGTCGTGCCATAAGACAACCGTTGTAAACTTACAACAGCAGGTGCCAAACAAACTGAGGTCATACAAGCTGCAATATATGCTGTCAGTGGACACGGTCCCTTGCACAGGGAGACTCAGGGGCTTCCAAGCGACAGAAAAGGAGTAAGAGAAAAGTTGTACATCATAGGAAAGTTGTATAAAGTGGGAAACTATCATACCAAAATCCAGAAAAACTAATTTTTGAGATTTGGTCTCCTGATCACAATCCCGACAGACCCTAACAACACTTGTCTGTTCCATTTCTATTATTCCACAATCTCCTCTGAAGAGTAAACCCTCCAGGTTTGAACGACGAGACTGCAGGTTCAAACTCTTGGTGCTGTTTTCTGTTCAAGTTAAGAAAATGAACTGAGTCAATCAGAAAGCATTCACATCCAACGGCTACATGAGAAGGGTGTTAACTCGAGTGTGTGTGTGTGTGTGTGTGTGTGTGCGTGTGTCTGTGTGTGTCTGTGTGTGACCATTTGATGAAAGGGGAGAGTAGTGTGATAGTGGATCTCTTCCTCAGCATTAACAACCTAACTGACCTCAGGACACTTGTGAATAGTTTGTCATTTTAAACAGCTTCTTAATAAAGCTGCCTTGTTAAATCAAAGGTCACTTTACTTAACTCCAAGCTGGGGAAATGGCTGTGTCATACACACACACACACACACACACACACACACACACACACACACACACACACACACACACACACACACACACACACACACACACACACACACACACTCATACACACTCAAAGATGAGTGGAATCCTGCAAAGGCACTAAGAACATGTCTGAAGTACTAAAGTGTACAGCTCTCTAATTTTTCAGATGGCTTCTTTTTATATACCTGCATCTGATTGGTCAATATTCCATAGCAACACGCTGTTGTGTTGCTACCCTTCAGACCCCTCAGCCTCAGTCAGGGTTTCAATCCATTATAGCAACCCACTTACACATTTTCTGTCCCTACATTGCATCTATTTCTTTAAATCTGCAGAGGAAACCTGGTGTCGCTCCAGAACAGAAACACTGCACTCCTGAGTCTCATTTACACAACAGTGTCTTGAATCTTAAAGATGCTTAAACTACGTATGAACACTACAGGAAATGTTCTCCTTGTTAAAACAGCCAATTCGTCCAACTGTGCACAAGTGACTCAGCCACTAATAACAACAACTGCGGTTGAGACCTTTCCAACAGATATCAGAATGCTTTTGAAAGTGAAGATACGAAGGTATATGTTTCCGGCCACAGCAAGGGCATCACAGCAATGAAAATACACTCACCGGCCACTTTATTAGGTACACCATGCTAGTAACGGGTTGGACCCCCTTTTGCCTTCAGAACTGCCTCAATTCTTCGTGGCATAGATTCAACAAGGTGCTGGAAGCATTCCTCAGAGAGCTTGGTCCATATTGACATGATGGCATCACACAGTTGCCGCAGATTTGTCGGCTGCACATCCATGATGCAAATCTCCCGTTCCACCACATCCCAAAGATGCTCTATTGGATTGAGATCTGGTGACTGTGGAGGCCATTTGAGTACAGTGAACTCATTGTCATGTTCAAGAAACCAGTCTGAGATGATTCCAGCTTTATGACATGCCGCATTATCCTGCTGAAAGTAGCCATCAGAAGTTGGGTACATTGTGGTCATAAAGGGATGGACATGGTCAGCAACAATACTCAGGTAGGCTGTGGCGTTGCAACGATGCTCAATTGGTACCAAGGGGCCCAAAGAGTGCCAAGAAAATATTCCCCACACCATGACACCACCACCACCAGCCTGAACCGTTGATACAAGGCAGGATGGATCCATGCTTTCATGGTGTTGACGCCAAATTCTGACCCTACCATCCGAATGTCACAGCAGAAATCGAGACTCATCAGACCAGGCAACGTTTTTCCAATCTTCTATTGTCCAATTTCGATGAGCTTGTGCAAATTGTAGCCTCAGTTTCCTGTTCTTAGCTGAAAGGAGTGGCACCCGGCGTAGTCTTCTGCTGCTGTAGCCCATCTGCCTCAAAGTTCGACGTACTGTGCGTTCAGAGATGCTCTTCTGCCTACCTTGGTTATAACGGGTGGTTATTTGAGTCACTGTTGCCTTTCTATCAGCTCCAACCAGTCTGGCCATTCTCCTCTGACCTCTGGCATCAACAAGGCATTTCCGCCCACAGAACTGCCGCTCAGTGGATATTTTTTCTTTTTCGGACCATTCTCTGTAAACCCTAGAGATGGTTGTGCGTGAAAATCCCAGTAGATCAGCAGTTTCTGAAATACTCAGACCAGCCCTTCTGGCACCAACAACCATGCCACGTTCAAAGTCACTCAAATCACCTTTCTTCCCCATACTGATGCTCGGTTTGAACTGCAGGAGACTGTCTTGACCATGTCTACATGCCTAAATGCACTAAGTTGCCGCCATGTGATTGGCTGATTAGAAATTAAGTGTTAACGAGCAGTTGGACAGGTATACCTAATAAAGTGGCCGGTGAGTGTATGTGTCTGCAACATGTTCCCGTTGAAGTCCTTCAGCTTTGCCATTGCGTCCGTCAACATACGCAAAAACATAAACACAAACACAAGGTTTACATGAGGGAGGACGAAGGGTAACAGGAGGACAGAGGATGAGAAGGAGCAGTGGTAGTAATAGTAGTAGTTGTTCTGGTAATAATAATGTGCAAATGTCCATGGCTTTATATCTTACTTTTTATATGTATATACTTAATTTATCCCAAGTTTTATTCTATCTTTATTCTTCATATATATTGCATTTTTATTTCTTACTATTACAATTGTTTGGGTTTTTTTTTTCTGATGCTGAAGCTGCTGGAACTTAATTTTTAATTGGTAACCTTCCCAAAATGATCAATAAAGACTATCTAATCTGATCCAATCTAATATAATCTAATATAATCCAGTCTCAAGTGGTCTCTGCTCTGTGAATTCATGTAAACATAGAAGGTTTAACTGATGTTGGTTTTAAATCTTGGCCTAAACTATGATTCATGATGGTTTGATGTGTTATGACTATGTGAGAGCTATCACTGTTGTATTTATAGACTTTGCTCATCTGCAGAAAAGATTTGTGTAGGCAATAAACATATGTTCGCTGGGGGGATCTGGTAAAAGCAGAAGGGGAACCATTCATGCACCTTACAGCACAGTCATGTGCAGTAGTTTTACCCTCAAGAACTACAGTGAAACTTACAACCTATAAGTGTAAAAACTAAACAATTTTCAGTAAAAACAGTTTCAGCTTTGTTCTGTGATTTGTTTATGCTTTTGCTGTTACTTTGGATTACTACATCCAATAAAACTAAACTGCCTGTGTGTTTGTAATGTTTAATATTAAAAATCATCAAACAGGGGGAATAAATAACTACAGTATTTGTGCTCCATTTGCCAGCTGTGTAAACTAATTCCTGTTGCACTGGTGTCAGAGATAGCTTACGCTGACCACTGCTTATATTTTCTTGTCAACTTTGTTTTGATAGATCAAAACCCTGGGAAGTGATGTATGCCAGTTTTGAGCAAAAGCAGCTGGGACGAATAAAACTCCTGATCTCTGTGTGTATGGGCCATGAAAGAACCCTTTTATAATGTGGGGAAAAAATAATACTGTGCTGATACCATATTAATGTGGTTAATAATTTATCAGCGTTTCAGGCAAAATGGGACCGTTTTGGGGTAAATCTTATCTTCAGTCCACATGTGTTGTCCAACTTAACCAATTGGATACTTCATTCTTCTCCTTCTCTTTGAATTATCCCTTATCTTTTCAGTAAAACCAATTAACTATCTAGGAACAAGTTATAACCTTAAAAAAATGAATCCAACACTCCCAGTTCCTATAAACTGCAGATGTTGCGGTTTTCTGCTAAGCCACTGGTCTCCAATACAAACACTGACTAACTGTGAGTGGTCTTATTTATTCATAAAGACTTGTGTAAATTAATGTAATATTCACTGACATGTTAAAATATAATTCCTGAGTAGTCTGCTTTTTAGATAAGAAAATCAGCTGTTTACATTGATGCTTTTTGTTAATCTTTTCTAAAAGTCTAAAAGATTGGTCCAGATTGATTATAATTTTCATCTGGATTAAGATATGTATCTAATCACATAATACAAAAAGGATGCCTTCATTGGTGAGTGATATATTTGTCAAAAGTCATTTTAAAAAATTCGTTAGTCAACTTTGGCTCAATCTGAACTGACCACAACGACTGAATTAATACATTTATAATAATAACATATGATAGCTTTAATCTGACATCTCAAGATTCAAATTCAAACCAGATAAATGCTTATATTGCAGGTCATTCAGTTTTGAATAAACAGCTTTAAATGTCATGTCACCATGGGTTGTAATACATGTGTGAAGGCAGCTGCATTCACCTCTTGTTTCAGGTGATTCACTTCACAGACAGACACCGCCCACCTGCTCCTGCTGCTTCCCGCACTCTGCTCCGCCCAGCAGGGCCGCGCTGTGTGTAGAACTCAGTTCACCCTAAAATTAAAATAAGATACAGAACATAAAAAGCGCTAAAGAAAAAGTTAACTTCATTTGAGGCCTTCAAAGGAAGCTTCTCTTTCCTCTCAGAGCGGGTGAAAGTTGCTTGTGTGAACCGAGTTTAGAGCCGGGCGGTGTAACCTGTTGCCGGCTGGTGATGCAGATAAAGATGAAGGGATTAACTGGAGGAAGGCACGTGAAAAACACAGGAGTGAGAAACTGCTCTAAGTGAATACCTTCAGCTGTTTGTTTCTCCACAGCTCCGAAAACAGTCACACACCGACCGGAACAGCCTGCGGTGGTCCGGGGATCCAGCTCCGGTGCCCGGGCCGGGCAGAGTGCAGGAGGGAGGCCGAGAGGAGACGAAGGGGGAGGGCTGCTGCTGCCGGTGGATTTTCATTAGCGAGGTTTTCATTTAAAGAGGCAGGAGCCACGAAGGCCGTCCATAAACAGGTGAAAAAACAACAAAGTGAATAAATGTTCACCATCATTTGTTTTAAGGTCCTTCCACACCAGGGGCGTTTTTGTCATGTGATTATTTCGGACATCAGTATTTTTTTCAAACCCGTATTCTATCAATACAAGCGTTCACATCAGCGACGTTTTCCCTTCCTGCGATATTGCAGCATTTATTTTTTTCGGATCACAGACGATTTTTCTAAAGTTTCGCATACTGTGTGTCCACTTCTGACCAATCAGATTGCGTGTTGTTGTGACGTTAGCTTCACTGGTATATCCAACATGGCCGACCGGCTGATTGTTTACCTGTCTGAGAACAGAGTGCTTTTTGATAAAAGATACAAATATTACAAAGATAACAACCTGAAGGACAACTTGTGGAAAGTAATAGCGACGGATTTCTCATATGACGATGGTTTGTGTGCTTTAACAGTTTGCTAAACGTCTTTGTTTTAACTTTCATCTGTGCTAAGTAACTTTAGCTCGTAAGCTAACCTGTTCAGATGCAAAATACAATATGTATTTTCACTGTCTCAAACTCAATCGCATCACTGTCACAGCACAATTAGGTCTCAGTTGTTACCTTATGTTTATGGATTATAGTTTAATGGTCCGAAAAAGAAAAAATATCCAGTGAGCGGCAGTTCTGTGGGCGGAAATGCCTTGTTGATGCCAGAGGTCAGAGGAGAATGGCCAGACTGGTTCGAGCTGATAGAAAGGCAACAGTGACTCAAATAACCACCCGTTACAACCAAGGTAGGCAGAAGAGCATCTCTGAACGCACAGTACGTCGAACTTTGAGGCAGATGGGCTACAGCAGCAGAAGACCACACCGGGTGCCACTCCTTTCAGCTAAGAACAGGAAACTGAGGCTACAATTTGCACAAGCTCATCGAAATTGGACAATAGAAGATTGAAAAAACGTTGCCTGGTCTGATGAGTCTCGATTTCTGCTGCGACATTCGGATGGTAGGGTCAGAATTTGGCGTCAACACCATGAAAGCATGGATCCATCCTGCCTTGTATCAACGGTTCAGGCTGGTGGTGGTGGTGTCATGGTGTGGGGAATATTTTCTTGGCACTCTTTGGGCCCCTTGGTACCAATTGAGCATCGTTGCAACGCCACAGCCTACCTGAGTATTGTTGCTGACCATGTCCATCCCTTTATGACCACAATGTACCCAACTTCTGATGGCTACTTTCAGCAGGATAATGCGCCATGTCATAAAGCTGGAATCATCTCAGACTGGTTTCTTGAACATGACAATGAGTTCACTGTACTCAAATGGCCTCCACAGTCACCAGATCTCAATCCAATAGAGCATCTTTGGGATGTGGTGGAACGGGAGATTTGCATCATGGATGTGCAGCCGACAAATCTGCGGCAACTGTGTGATGCCATCATGTCAATATGGACCAAGCTCTCTGAGGAATGCTTCCAGCACCTTGTTGAATCTATGCCACGAAGAATTGAGGCAGTTCTGAAGGCAAAAGGGGGTCCAACCCGTTACTAGCATGGTGTACCTAATAAAGTGGCCGGTGAGTGTATAGCTGACTATGTAGTGAACTCAATCACCAGAGGTTTCGGACACTACATGGCGCGTAATTGCCGCTGGAGATGCCACGCATGACAGGATGCCCAACACAGGTGAGTGAACATCAGATGGTCACTAAATTTTGTAATGCTCTATGGGAAATTTTAAGGTCGCCTATTTGGGGCATTGAAATTGATCACTCAGGTTTTGGACACCTCTCAAAGTGGCGCTAACCCCCATATAGTCGCCTATATAGGGGATAGGGATCCATTTCGGGCACAGCCGTGGCCTCTTGGTTTGTTGTTTTCTATATAAAGTTGGCCCTGAAAGTGCAAACATTCAATTTTGCCATTTTCTGATTTGTTGATGTAAATATCTTCAATTGACCCTGGAGTGACCCGGTAACAAACAGAGGGAGAAAACCCCTCTTAGCTCAAAGCTTGACTAAATAATGTATGGACTCATGCATTTTAATTCAGACAACTTAAAATCTGCATATTTCAGCACTACCATTCACAGTAGCCAACAGATCTTTTTAAAGTGAACTCCACAATAATGTTACAATATGGCAAAATAGAGCAAATATCACCACTAGAAGGTTGTAGGCATTAATGTAGTCGTAAAATATTGTTTTGTTTTTTGCCAGAATATGGTTAGTTTTTCTTACTTTAGGCAGTCTTGTTAAATCGTGCAACTACTGAGCATATGGGATTGCCAGCTTGCTCCAGTTTATAATCATAAACTTTACTTCTGAAGTAGCACTACATGCCACCGTTGCTTCCCTAATGGATCAGCCCCTTCTTTTTACAACATGAACTTGATTTTTTAGCATATTCTGTTACAAACAACAAAGTATGATGTGTGATACTGTCTTTATCACTGTCAAAAAGAAAGAGTTCGAACAATAAAAGTTTTGCAGTAACTTTATTTAGAAAAATAAATAAAAGAAACACTGAAGTAACAAATCCATAGTTAACCATCTTCCTTTTTCAAACATCAGTCTTTCTGAAAAGTCACTTTAACACACAAAGATTAATAATACAAATACCTGCATTAAAAGTTAGTATAATTACTAGTTATTCAACACTTTGCAGAGATGTATGGATTTTTTGCTGCCACATTGTCATTTTACATTCTGCATTTGGATGCCAGGATAAACAACGCACAGAAACACTAAGCTTGTCAAGCTTAGTTTTTTTTTATAGTGTACTAACACTGTCAATCCTGGATTCTGGTTGGTTAAAAGAGATACTTTGGCTTAGTGATAGGGAAAGCTGCCAAATTATTTAAAAAGCTGTAAGCAACGAGATATTTAAAGACCTGATCAACTAGTTTTAATTTAGCATCACGCCAGCATAGAAAAGGTGGTGTTCAGACAAATATAACTTCTGCAATAAATAGATGAAAAAATTAAACATCATTTATCAGAGTTTCACTCTGCTAATGACTCGGCATCTTAAAAAGCTTGAGAGTAAACTTTAGATTAAGTATTAAAACAATTCTAGGTTGTCAATGACCCTGTTTAGCTGTACACGCCAACTAGCTGACAAATAAAAGCTAGCTTGCTATTGGCTAAACCTCTAATTGACCACAATGAAAATATTTATTTAATGTTAGCTAAGGGTCAATTAACTTAAAAACACTTGGGTGTATACTTTTAAGCTCCTTTGACATTTTGATATCACCAGCTAACAATTTAGCTAAGTTCCATTTGCCTAAAGTATGTTGTTGCACATAATAATGTTCTCTGTTAGTGAAGCTAAGAGTTAAGATCAACATTTAATCAGTTTGGTTTCACAAAACTAATAGTTCTAGTTTACAGCTTAAACAAGTTTGCTCAGGTTCAGTTGAGCTGTTAGAACTTCACTGATTAGATTTTTCTGCCAAATTCATTTTCAAGTTGTCTACCATGTTTCTTTCCGTGGCTAAATCAATGTGACCTTCCTCCCTGCTGTCATGAGTAGTTATATCTGAACTATTTTACAGTCTTGGGAAAGGTACAAAGACTTCACACAGACCAACAGGTTAGATTTGCTTCTCAAGCACTGTCTTACAATCAACAATTATGTCCCTTTATACCCCCCTAACAAACACAAACAACATTATAATCACGTTTCACTACACTACCCTTCAGCAAAATATACACCTTATATATGCAGTCAAAAGAAAGGAAAAACACAAACATAAAAAACAAAACAAAACTGAGAACACCTAAAAGCATGAAATCTTGACGGAACAACAACAAAAAGTTGTTTCTTTGTAAAAGTGCTTTTGCAGGCCTCAGAGCTTTCAGAGTTGAATGAGATGGGAAGCATTGAATTATTTCAGTCTGACATTTAAGATCCTGTACATTGATATATCATACCCAGAAATAACTCGAAATGAAAATGCTAAAGAAATTACATTTTCCTCTGTGCATACAGAGATACCGGTATGTTTGGCCTAGTTTAGTGCTAAAAACTGGAAGTTGAGGGAAATTGTAGCCTCATCACATCAAAAGTGGAAAAAATTAGCCAGAGGATTTTTCAAAATATGACACAATCTTTTTACAGTTGCTCTATTTCTCTGTGCTTGGATCTAGCCTTTGTATGGCTGTGATAACACGATTAATGGATGAAGAAGAACAACCAACAGTCATCACTGTTGCTAAGCAGAGTTTATGTTTGTTTTTTCTTGTTTTGGTCTGGTTTTTGTATCACTATTTAAGGGTATATCACTCCAAAGCACCTTTCACACATGTTCTGCACTCCTGCAAATACACTTGAACTACCAGGGTGGGCTGCATGTATAAACAAATATCTGGATGTCTAAAGTTTGGACAATGTTAGGACCTGATTGTCAGGAAATCAAGTGTGAAATAAGCTCTACATAACTGTCTTTCTACTCAGCTTATACAAACAAGCAAGAGAGGTTTGATTTATACCATATTGTTTGTAGAAGTTGACAGTATAATTCACTTCAGACCTTTTGTTTTGTGAAGAGAAGCTTTTTCAAACAGAATGCTCTCTTGGATAATGAATGTAATTTAGATAGGGAAAGCCTAAAAACCCTTGATCCAATGAAACAGGATGAGCCTGCCAATGTTTACCTTCACCTCTGGAGGCTCACCAAGACATAGGGGGAAATATTAGATGTTGGATATAAAAAACCTGCAATAAAACACAGAAAATGCAGGATATTATGCCCATGGCTTAGGAGTATTAGAGAGTAAAGGTTATTGAAGGCTAGCCAACCAGACATGCTAACGCTGCAGCTTTTGTTCAATAAGATAAACACACCGTGTTTTCTTGGACTCTTGTTCTTGTATTTTTAACTTTAGAGAGGGGATTTTCCAATTGTCAATTGGAAGGCCTTCTCTGTTTTCAAATTCAAAGTCTGGTTTTTAAAATTGTAGCTTATACATGTCCCAGCCAGAAAAACGTTGAACCCTCCATGTGATTCTGCACAAGACTAAGCTGGAAAATCACAAGTAAATAACAAAAAGCAACAAGAACACAAACAGGAAAGCACAGCTTTTGTAGAAAAGTAGCGGTGGGTCCAAAAACACCTCCATCTTAAATGAGTCATTAAAAAAAAAAAAAAAAAAAAAAACGTCAACAGGAGCTCACATAAAATGAGAAATACAACACGGGGAAATTTTACAACAGTGTGTCTGTTTGCATCCATCTGACACAGGGACAAAAAGCAGGAGTCAATACTCAGACAACTGGCTTTACAGAACTGTCACATATTATATGGTCTTCTTAGTCCTTATCAAAAGTGTTTCCATAGTAACACAGCTGTTTTCACTTACGCTCTGTTCTGAGTCTTCTTCTTTTTGTTAATCAGGGCGTTTCACTATTTTTACCAGCCAGCCTAGATATCCAGAATAACTACAAAGACCTGTGTGGGTGTGTGTGTGTGTATCAGTGTGTGTAGAGGGGCTTAATCAAGTTAAAAAAGGAGGGTGTGGGGGTCAATTAAAACAATTATTTTGAGGTGCTCTACACTCAGTATGCTATTTTTCAGATATTACAATATACTGAGTGAATGTACTCTGGTTGAAGTCTAAAATATCCAAACTAAGAATTATTATGTTTTTTGCTCTGGTCAGGACAGCATCATGTCCAATCCCTGACCTATTAGGACAAATATCAACGACACTCTCTAATGGCTTATTTGTTTCTGAGCATCAGAAAAACCCTGGCTGTGTGTTTCACTACTTTTGAATAAGGTGGTCTCATAGCTGCAAGTGATGGGAGGGGGTGGGGCTCTATCCAGACCCCGCCTTTGTGTTGTTGTAAACTGTCTTGGAACCTTTCCGTCCATTTGGGAGGAAAGGGCTGGTCTCAGAGGTGATGACGATGCTCGGGATTCGACCAATTGTGCCCCTCATTATGTGTGCTTCTCCAAAGTCCCCGTTCTGATAAGGAAAAAAGGGAGAGGTTAATCATTATCTCATTCACGGATTTGTTTAGTACCTTAAAAGTGTAATTTAGGGGAATCCTGTGTAAGGGTTTTTATTGTTTGCCTTGAACTACATAGCTTCTCAAAGGTTGGTGTGATCTGTTTAGGTAGTATTGACTGTGTCAGGTAGTTTTTGAGATGTGCTAGTGTGAAGTAAAGACTCAGCTCAGCTCAGACTGATTTATTGATGACCCAGATAGTTTTGATTTTATTAATTTTTTAACTCAAAACTGAAACTGAAATTTGAAAAAAATATTTTGGGTTTTTAATCAATTAAAGTCTAAAAAAGACTAAAACAGGAAAACTATCTTAAAAAAAGGCACAAATTTGCATAAGTTGTCCTGGAAAAACTCCTGGATTCCTTACAGAGGTGCCGGATGACAGACTGATGCCATATACTGCAGTTATATCATTGAATATGTCCCAATGAGGTTTTTGAGGCCAATACCAGTAACAGCAGTTTTGTCAGAACTGAGCATAAAAAAATTTCTGGCCATCCAAACCTTAATGTCTTTAACACATGCTTCAGGTTTCTTCTAGCTTCAGCGATTGGAGGTTCTGCCTGCTTTCTAGTTGCTTCAACTGTTAGCATCGTCACTCCACTTTTAATCACTGTTACAAAGCTAATGTTAATTGTATCACTTTTTGACACCTGTTGCCTGATATTGGTTTAACCCTGACCCCATTATTTGCCTCAACCCCACTATTATAAATGCCATCACTGCTATGCAGCATTTAAAGACCAGTTGACTTTCCTTTTTTGATAATTCAAGCTAAGATCAGTCTATTATCATTAACAGGCTATTAATATAAAAAGTTGACACACTTGTTTCCTTATCTTTGACACTGTAACCATACATCTGTATTTACTACTTCTGTGGTTGTTGTTTGTCTCTGTCCACCTCTCTCTTCCATCATCTCCCCTTATCTCCTCTCTAGTCCCAGCACAGTCTCAGCGGATGACTGTCTAACACGAGTCTGGTTTTGCTCAAGGTTTCTGCCTGATAAAGGAAGAATTTCCTTTCAACTGTATTTTGCTAAATGCTGTAAAGTGTTACATTCATGTAGATGAAAATGGGATCAGAGTTGGTATGCTCTTACAGGATGGGACTCAATCTTATCCCATACTGATGTTGGTCTTTGTAAATATACTGAGTCTGATCTAGATCAGCTCTTTTTGTAAAGCATCATGAGATAACACTTGTTGTGAATTGGGGCTATACTGCATAAATAAGGACTTATGTACTGATTGATTGATTGATTGATTGATTTACACGCATATCACCATCTAGTTTCAGATGGATTTTTGATTCCTTCATAAAATAGAAAAATACAACATTGACTGATGGAGTTTAGGCCAACATTTACAGAAGAGTGCATGAGAGTTATAGTAAAGATATGGGACTCAAACTAAGATTTTCATCACATTTCTAACATTGCTCAACAGCAGCCTGTGGCGTTTGCAGACTTTGTTTGTTGACTTTTTCAATCAGCCATGTGAGCACAGACATCAACCAGTGCAGATCTTTTTAAAATGCCTTTAATTAACCAATACTCTTTTCAGATTTTTAAATGTTTCACTGTGTCACTGCATGTTAAACTGTGTTCACAGCTCTGTAAAAGAATAACCAAAAATAGCTGCACTATACTCACATTAGGGATGCTGCTGCGTTCACTGACTCCAACCATGGAGAAATCAGTGTCATAAGACGTCTGGAAGAATAACAAAAACACGAATGTCAGCCCATGATTAGCAACCATAATCCTGCAGTGAGAGCCATGATTGAAATCCTCCTTTAACACTTCCTGTCAAATTATGAGTCAAAACAAAGATTAATCTGTCATTAGATTTTAATCAGCACGGCAGACAGGAAACGAGAGGACCATCCATCAATCTGTCATAAATCAATTACCAAGAATTTTAATTCATTATTTGAAAAGGGGAAGTGACAGTCAAAGTCAATGATTTATGAGAATGAAAATAGGATTTTCCACTGGAGCAGAAAAACTCACCCAGCAGATTAAAATCATAAAGGCATAGATTAAGATGGACACTGGTGTTGTGAAGGAAGATGCATGAACAGCCTTACCAGGCCCAGAATACTAATAACCCTCCCAGCTGACCTTCCATTGATAGGCTGTTGATAATATGGGTAAATAGTAAAACATTTAAAGGCATGGTTGACGATTGGTGAGATTGGTAATTATTTTAAACCTTGTTTATATGGCGATCATGGTCCTATAGTGCGATCTCCACAAAGTGACGAGAAAAAAAAGAAGGGAAAAAAATGCATTCACCCTAGCAGGTTCAGAGCTGCAAAAACATTGACCAGTGGGAGCCATCCATCCCAGACAGTTCCTATTGGTCAATCTCCTGCTCCACCTCTCCATCCAATCACCTCGCTGTATTCGACACACCCCTTTCCCGTAGTTCTAACGCATCCCCTCCCACTCTCCCGGCCCTCTTCGGAGCTCTAAGCGGCTAAAAGTAGAAGCTTAGCTACAGGAGCTGTGATGGAGAAGAACGGAAAAAAAACACACTTCTGCTTGTCCCACCGCCAAAAGTGAGAAGAAAAAGCAGAAAACCGACAGAAGACAGGGCAGAGACGAAGAGGAAATGTGACCAAGCGAGGAATCTAACTTGAATAAACATCGGGTCATCCTTTGAGCGGTGGAGAAAGCTCCTCCAGGTTTTGGGCCTGAAAACAGATGCCGAGACAGCAGAGTTTTTCTTGAACAGGTAATTTTTTCCTTTTTTCGTGGCACATGTTCCATAAATAACTCTTATTAGTCTCTGCAAACACGGTGGCTATCCAGGCAGCTGCAGATGCTGCTCGCTAGCAGAGCTGGTGTTTACTGCCGCTAGTCCCTAGCAGTCCAACATGGTGAATCCTATTTAAAGCCAGCGTAGGATCTTCTGCCGGCCGGTTTCTTGCCCTGCTAGAGGGGGTGTGTTGTGGGGAGCGCGATACAGGTTCGGGGGGGGGACTTATTGTGGAGCACAGAGGGGAGGGGTTTGTATGTGGGGGTGGGACACTTTCAAATAGCTCAGTTTTTTTCAACTGCTTCTCCAATCATCAACCATGCCTTTAAAATATCTCTTAGTGGAAATCCTCTGCCATCTCTAGTTTTCCTGCTTCTCAGCAGAGGTAGGTCACAACTAAACCTCATAAAGAAAAGTTTTTGTTTGAAACTACTACTGAGTGACTCCTCTCTCTAAGGTGCAGGACAGAAAGGTTCAGAAGATCTTTTGTACCCATAACCATCAGACTTTACAATTCTTCCATAAATAGTAGATGACTGTTTGAGACATGACCAGTGAGACTAAAGACAATTGAATTTCCCTTAAAATAAAGTTATTCTTATTTTTATTCTGACTGTGCTCCATTATGTTTGTACCATCTGGTTTAAATAACTCCATTGTGGGAGTTGCAGGAACCATTTGGAGAACTGGTCCTGAGTATTTGTTCCCAGCAAGCACTGTTTGGATTGTGTCTGCCAAAGATAACAGATAAAAGGTGTATATGCTTTAGATGATGCTGCAACCGATGATGTGACATGTAAAGTGTTTGAGGAAAGTGAAGAAAGTTTTTTTTTGACAACAGGTTTGAGTTTATCAAGACTGACCCTTAGAAACATAAAGGTTTTTGTAGAGACACAAACAGTAATCTGAAGGCACCTTGTGATTCAGGGTCAGACAAGGATAAATGTGGTAACCATGATGATGGGTTTAAGTGTTCTGAAATCTCTGACTCCATGGCAACTGTAGCTGAATAATGTGACCATTCACTTTGTGTATAGTCCTTAATTGACATTACTTCAGCTAACAGTGTTGAATGATTTATATTTTAGTAGGTCTGAGCTAGAGAACCTGCTCCTCTTAAAAAGTTTCCACTGTCTTTAAGAAGAGAAAAAAAAATCATCCACTTTTATCTCAGGCAGTTTGATTGACAGCGAAGAGGTGTTTACCCTTTCAAAGATGCCCGAGTCGTGGCTCTTCATCTTGGACTTGAAGCTGGAGGAGGGTTTGAAGTCCAGTTCGGCCGTGTCTCTGCTGATGTCACAGGAAACCTGGCGGCTGGCAGGTCTGGAGCCCATACTGGACAGATCAGCTTCAGTGTCTGTCATACCCTACAAAGATTAAAAACACACGCTTTGATTCACACATACCTGAGAATCTGCCTCGATTTCATAAACTATGGAACACCATCAAACCGCTCTACTGGATTCAGGCTTACCGATTCGCTGTCAGAGGCAGAGGAGAGGCGGGACTTGCCATTGCTCTGCCTTCTGAACTGGCTGCTGATGTCGGAGGTCTGGCTGGTCACAGTTGAGCGACGTGTTGACATGAAGCTGCTGCTGGTAGAGCGCAGGTCACGAGGATGAACACAGAGCAGGACACCGAGACAAGGGATGTACTTGGCGAGTGCCAACCTGGAGAGAAAGACGGACACAGAAATTTTCAACAGCTTAATGAAAGTCTAAGAAAGCGTCAGAGTCCCTTGCCCCAAACTACAGCTGCATTAAAAAAAATTCACCAATCAGCCAAAACATTATAGACAAATGCCTCATATTGTGAACACTCCTCTCCACGAGCACTGTGAAGGTGTGCTGTGGTTCCTGGCACCAAGCAGATCCTTTAAGTCCTTAGGTCGTGTGGTGACCTCTCCATGAATCAGACTTGGTTTAATAGCACATCTCGCAGATACTTGACTGGATTAAGATATAGAGAATTTGGAGTCAACACTGTGAACTCATGTTCCCCTAAGCCACCTTCAGGGTCACCGTTGCTCCATACTGTTCTTATGCTTCAATGCCCATAACACTTTGTTGGTGGGCAGGGGTCATTAAAAGCACCTTGGTCAGTTTTGCAGCTATAGTATTTTTTCCGACAGCCTTCTATCTGAACTAGGGATGGGGCCGATCCGATCCAGTACTGGTATCAGGTTCCCATACCAACCTAATTCAGGGATCAGAATTTTCTGATCCAGCCTGCAAAAGTTTTTGATCCATAAGTCATGTCTTTGCTTCAACTTTGTCAGCTGAAAGACTGTACAAGTGATTCTTACCGGTCAGTCTACTAGCTGGCCGCAAACTGCACAATGGATTTCCTGAACGGAGGCGTGTCTCAATATGACAGAGATGAGACATGCCTCCATTCAGGAAATCATACTTGCTGTAGAAAGGAGTTTATTACAGCCTCATTGGTTGTCTGGCATCGGCATAGTATCCGTATTGGCAGATATCCAAATTCAGGAATTGAGATCAGATCACAGGTGAAAAAATGTGGATTGGTGCATCACTAATCTGAACCAGTTTGAACTTTGTCTTTAAAGTGAGCTCAGTAGCCCTTCTGCTGGATCATGACTATCCCTCACACCCTACACACAGCTTTTCAAATGAGACACATTCCTCACAACAGACAGTGCTTTGGCTTTTAGCATGCGCCTCATCAACAGAGGCTATAGTCGTTGTCACTGGTTTGACTCCTGACAGTGACTGTCTGCTGGCAATCCTCCCCCACTACCCCACTACTTACTCCACATGTGTCCTGTCTCTTTTTAGCTGTCCTGACAAAAATGGGAACATGCCATGTGAGGAAATGACTCAAAAACTTTTTTTTTGCTTTCATAGTTATTACTTTATGGTTATTACTTTACATGAAATGTTTATATCTGAGGGCTAGGTATCACCCTTGGCCATCCATACAGTTATTACTTTACATGAAATGTTTATATCTGAGGGCTTGGTATCACCTTTGGCCATCCATGACCTTGTAACTAGTTCACTGGTTTTCCTTCCTTGGACCAACCCAGACTGGGAACACCCAAAACAAGCTTCGGTTTTGGAGATGCTCTTATCTAGTCATTTAGCCATCACAGACTGACATCTATCAAAGTCACTCACACCTGTATGCCAGCCCATTTCTCCCAACTTTAACACATCAACCAGGGACCAAATTGAGCATTTTGTTCACTTTTGGTCCATGTCCCATCGAGTGACAGGTGCACTTTAAAGAGATAATCAATGTTGTTCACTTTAAAACTGCCCCCCTGCTGAAATGTTTGTTCAGAGTCAGTGGGAGCTAAAAGACAGGTTGGTTTCAAAATGGTGCAGAGCTGTGTGGTACTGTGGTTTCAGAAGACACAGTCACCTGAAATAACATTTTGGGGCAGAAAATTGTCCAGAGTAAAGTTTTTATTTTAGGCCATAGCACTCAGTCTTTGCTTCAGTTAGAGCAGAATTTCAATTCAATTCAATTCAACACACAGCGTGCTGAGGGGAAAAAGTATGTCAGGCTTCTTTTTGTTTCTATACGTTTCTTTAGTAATGGGAAACGTGCGTTAGAGAGATGTATCATTTTAATGTCAAGTGAGTTACAGTGTTTTTCCTGTGTTTCTAGAGGCATCAAGACATAGACCGTTATTTTACAAAAACTATGCAATGTACATGCATATTCACGTAATTTTGGACTAAATATATAAAAATGATAATTCAAAGAATTTAAATTTTTATTTAAATTTAAGTTTTTTTTCAACCTCTCATTTAAACATATTAGTACTTGTTTATAACATTTGTATGTATATAGCCTATACAGACAAATTAAATATTATATGCACAACTATAAAATAAATAACTTTTATAACCTTGGAGTCTTGCGCAAAGTGGAAGTGAAACTGCATAAAAGTACTTATACATTTGAATACATAATTTTAATTATATTTTACTTTATCATTAGCACTATGAATAAAAAAAGGGCAGATTATGAATCAGCACCATGGAGCAAATTTGTGGCCGCACAGTATGTAGTATAATGGCATTATGTGTGTGTGTGTGTGTGTGTGTGTGTGTGTGTTTTATGTACATCAAATTGTAGTTTATAAATTTTATGTCATTCTGCAGAGATGTCTTGTAAGGATAGGAGGTTGAAACAAAACAAAAGGAGCTGCATGATGCTGTGAAAGGCAGTGGATCATTGGTGAGCTGGATGACAAATGGTGTTTCAAATGTGTGTTCATGTGCCTCTTTGAGCACTTGCCCCTCCAAAAGTCTCTGCGTGGCCCTGTTAATAACTAAACTCTACAATATACGGAATGTTTCACTTCATATGTCAGGATATAAAAAAAAGATGTAAACAGACACATATTTTCTTTTTACCTATCACTGACATCAGAGACTTTCTGCAGCTTTTTGTCCTTTATGTGAATTTTGAATCATCATGCTTTTTGTTTGTCATGAAAACAGTTTCAGCACCTTAACACTACATTTCTGTAAAACTAATGAGAGAAAATCATGTTAATTTGTTAGCCTAGCTTGAAATTCCCAATGTCTACCTTTCAATTCTGTATCTAACACACAAACATGAGATTTCTGAGTTTATTTCAGCCATGTTTATTTGCTGCCATGTGATGAACCAAGCCAGTGGGTTAAAAGGACACAAAAGCTCCTTTGCTAAATTTGGGAACTTCTATATTCTGTTTTAGAAAACAGAAGGAAAAGCCAATGTACTGCTCTCAGTGTACAGTAAGTGTATGCTTTATTTGTAAATATGTCATTGCTTTATCTTGCCATCATTTGTTTTCACACTCTTCTTGGATGTGGCACATACAGTACATGTTCTTTCACCTGTAGTGCACTAACGGATCTGCAGGCTTTGAAAAAAAAAAAAAAGGGTGACACTGACTGTGTTGGTGACAGTGAAGTTGATGTCGATGTTGACAGTGTTGGAAAAAGCACAAAGACGATGACAACGACACGCCATTCATTGTGGACACACAAAGCCATCTTGACGAGACTTAATGGACCCCGGGAGAGGAGGGAGACAGATGGGCTTTCTGATTGAAAAGTCAAGTTCAGACAAATCTTCAAACAGAGCGTACACCGACACCAAGAGCAGAGCTTTGGATAAAGTTAATGTCAAATTAGTTTAATGATGTGACAGAGCTGACCCCTTCTGCCTATTTTCTGTTCCAGTCCTCCAGCCGCTTTCTCGACAAAGCCTTTTTTTTTTTGTAAAGATGGTCATTTATTGCACTCTGAAGTTTAAAAACACGGATCTGGAGAGAAAACTCATGCTGATAAAGTTTTAGTGTTTATAAATTGTTAATTCATTAAACAGGGTCTGAATTGTAATTAGGAGTTGCTGATTCACCTGAGTCTGCGTGTGTGAGAACGTGTGTTACCTGTATTTTGGGTGTGTGATAGCATAGATGATGGGGTTGTGGATGGCTGAAGCCTTGGCGATGACTGCGGGCACAGAGTTCATGTAGGGGGTCAACATATCAGCATACCTGAAAAAGGAAATACAAGGAGAATGATGATACTGATGAAGGTTGTAAAAAACACATGCAGAATAGGTGAACCTTAATGATTTGATATCAAGTCAAACTCTAATTTAAACTCCATTTATGCAACCTGAAAACTGTCTACTTATTTTTTATTGTGGAAAAGCTACCTTCTACTAAGACACAAGACTGCAGTAAATATTCAGCCACACGTCTCTGATTTAGATTCCATCAAATATCTTCATTTTCAGTCTTGGGTAAGTTAGGGCTGGGCGATATGGGAAAAAGTTTATCATGATATATTTTTTTCATATTAGTCAATATAGATATATATCACAATATTTTAAAATTTAACTTAGTGCTTATTGGTAGCATGTCTTTCGTAATACAATAAGCTACTACATCTGTGAGATCTTTGTGTCTCTTCAATGTTTTGTCGAAGAGACTGTTTCGGCTTCACAGGTGTCATGGGCTCCTTGCTCCGCTTGGGTTTGTAACCTTTTGCATTCCGTGTGCTCTGCCGCGTGGCACTGCTTTAGGTGGTGAAAAAGATTTGAGGTATTCCCCGAATTTGGGAGAACATGTACTCGACAAAACTTGCAGTGCACATTACTCTGCTTCATGTCCAACCTCAAAAGAACAAATAACCTCCACACCACCAACGTTTTTGTGACAGTGTTGTCGACAATGTCATCATCTGTTGAGCCTTCATCTGCATTTCTGCTGGGGGTAGCACTCATTTTCTTTTTCTCACCATCAGTGCTGTCGGCTTCACGTGTTAAAGTGCTATGGTTGTGTGTAGCTGCAGCCTGCTACTACGCAGTTGTTTGCTACTTGGTTCTAAATCAGCACATGATTGGTTCAGCCTGAAGTGAACCCGGAGCAACTCCCCTTTTCATTGGCTATTTGTATAGTCTACTAAAACATGTAAGAATGCCGACTATTGAAAAGCATATTGACCATGTTTTATATTGATATTGAGGGAAATTAATTTTCAGTACATATCGTTCTATTGCCCAGCCCTAGGGTAGTTCTATTTTGACTTGGACCTGAGACGGTGACACTGACACTAGTTTTACTGGTGCTTCATGAAGTGTGTGCCGGCTGGTGTTAGTTTTACCCCGCAAAAGCCGTGAGAGCAACACTGGAGTATGGTGACCATGAGATGACGTAGAGTAGGATGACAATCAGAGCGATCTTTGCCATCTTCCACTCATTCTGCAAACGGTGAAAATTCTTCACCGAGTCTCTGCTGCTGCCGTGACCATGAACGCTGCCATTCATCTTCCCCACAGCCCTGAAAACACACAACACAAGTGTAAACGTGAGAACAGTGTGTGAAAAAGGTTTTTTGTCATTTAGAGTGGAAATAGAAAACACATGGATCATTCGACCCTCCAGATACATCTAAAAGTCAGACCTGCTGCTGTTTTGGCTCATCACACTGCCAGGGGAATTTCACAGCTTTTTCTAACACTGTGTTAACTCTAACTTTTCTGCTGCTTAAAGAAACTTCAGCAGTCCCTAATTTGATGACTTGTTATTCTGCAGCTGAAAACAACTAGAGGAATTTTTAGGGCCTGTAAATCTGTCTCCTGTCGGTCTCAAGCAGGCGGCTGCTGTTAAAGTGCACAGGTATTGGCATTAAACCAGGTTAAGAGGCACACGAATATCTCAAAATGATTGTGCTAGAGCTAGCTAATGAGAATTAATGACCAAACTTCAACATTAGTGGGATTTCCAAAGCATAAACTTAATATGTTGCTTAAAATAAAACTGAAGGTCCTTTCACACGGGACCATTTTTTTTCTTCGTGCGATTATTTCGGACGTCAATATTTTTTTTCGAACCCGTATCCTGTCAATACAAGCGTTCACATCAGCGACGTTTTCCCGTCCTGCGATATTGCGGCATTTATTTTTTCGGATCATAGTCAATTTTTCTAAAGTTTCGCATACTGTGGGTCCACTTCTGACCAATCAGATTTTGTGTTGTTGTGACGTCAGATTCACCGGTATATCCAACATTGCCGACCAGCTGATTGTCTACGTGTCGGAGAACAGAGTGCTTTTTGATAAAAGACACAAACATTACAAAGATAACGACCTGAAGGACAACTTGTGGAGAGTCATAGCCTCAGACCTCTCATATGAAGATGGTTTGTGTGCTTTAACAGTTTGCTAAACGTCTTTGTTTTAACTTTCATCTGTGCTAAGTAACTTTAGCTCGTAAGCTAACCTGTTCAGATACAACATACCATATGTATTTTCACTGTCTCAAACTCAATCACATCGCTGTTACAGCACCATTAGGTATCGGTTGTTACCTTACGTTTATGGATTATAGTTTAATGTGCTTATCCGGTACTGGCCCCGACTCAGTACATACTATCATGACAGACGGCCATCTCAACACTAGTGTCTAATCATCCAGTCAGTCTGCTATTGTGTCAGTCTTCTCGCTTCCACCCAGTGTATAGTCAGGGGGCATCAAAATTCTCCTCCAAATATTTCGTAATTTCGGCCTTGGTGTGTAAGGACCTTTAACCTTGCACAGTATCACAGTCTTTCAGGTCTTTGCAGTTTATATCTCTGTTATCACTCTGCTTTAGGTTTTCTCTCAGGTCTAACTTCTCACTCAAACACAAACTTTTTCAGAAGAATCAGAGGAATTTCAGACGTTTCCATGTGTTGTCAGCATTTTACAAAAGAGAAATTCTTTGATAATGGGGATTGAGCAAGTGCATTGTGACACACACTTGTAGTGCGGAGGTGGGAAAATGTAACCTGTAGTTGTAGCTTAACTTCTTATTAAAAGCAACTCCTGGGAGCTGAAAATCAATTCACTCTTAGACTAAAGAAAAACAAATCAAAAGACCCAGGAGACACTCCATAAAAACAAACAAACTCAACAACACGACAGACTCACTGGTTGGTGTTACGGATGGCACGGAAGATGAAAACGTAGCAGTAGACGATGATGAAGAGTGGCAGAAAGAAGACGAAGATGCAGAGCAGCATGGTGTATGCTCGCACTGACGGGGTGAAGGTCACGTAGTCCCACGTACAGGAAGTCAACAGGCCCTCTGGGACGTAAGCACCTGGGAGAAAGGAGAGACAGACACACATGCAGAGAGAGTTTGAATACCACTCTAAAAACCTTTTAGTCCCTCTTCTCCTTTGAACACGTCTCTTGGTCTATCTTTGTCCAATTGTCAAATATGTGTCCTCTGCTATGTGTCAATAGTGCATGGTCAAACACCGGACTGCACCTCCAAATCCCCATGAGTAACTCTCGGTTCGTAATCACTTTGGTACTCACCATGGACAAAGTAATGCCTCTGATCTCTTTGCCGACCTTTTCCTGAACACATGAACACGAGAGTGAAAAATTTCATCCAGATTTGATGTGTGACAATAACTTTCTCACTATAACTTTAAATATGTCTCTATCTCTACTCTCTGGTGGTCTTGTTTGTTTGTATAGGCCCTCAAGAGACATCAGTTTTCATTTCAGTTTCATCACGATTTAAAAACACTTCTCACAGGAGCTTTAAATACACCAAAAACAATAATACAAGGGGAGGATTCAGACTTTTCCTTGTAGTAAACCTCAGTATTATTTTGCATATAAAAGTCCTGTGGTGTGTACCTTATAAATTGTTTAACAAAATTCAATATTCTGCTCTTAAATTGAAATAAAATTGAAATAAAATTGACCTGCATTGTGCCAGTACCAAAAACAAAATGTTCTGCTGTACTAAATGACTACAGACCAGTGGCCCTCACTTCACACATCATGAAAACCCTAGAGCGGCTGATTCTATGCCTTCTGAGGTCTGAGGTCAAAGACTCCCTGCAGTTTGCATACAAAGAACACATTGGAGTGGATGATGCTGTCCTCTACATGCTTCACCGTGCCCTGTCTCATCTGGAGGAACCTGGGGTTTACGTGAGGATCATGGTCTTTGACTTTTCAAATGCATTCAACACCATCCAACCCAACATACTCAAAGACAAGCTCACAGAGATGGGAGTGGATCCTTCCTGTGTTTCCTGGATCACAGATTACCTGACAGGAAGGCAACAGTTTGTCAGGCTGGGGAACTGTGTTTCTGGGACATTAATGAGCAGTACAGGGGCTCCACAAGGGACAGTCCCGGCTCCATTCCTGTTCACACTGTATACATCAGACTTTAAATACAGCACTGAGTCCTGCCACATCCAGAAATACTCAGATGACACCGCTATTGTTGCATGTATCAGAAATGGACAAGAAGCTGAATACAGAGATCTAATAAAAGCCTCCAGAGACTGGAGTCACAAAACTGCCTCCTACTCAACTCCTAACTCTAACCCTAGATCTAATATATTGATATCTTCTTAAAAAATTAAATGTTCAAAAATCTCTACTTAAATGTACAGAGTAACATCCAATAGGAGTCAGTCTTTCCATCATCCACAAAATCCACAGACCTCAAAAGTCCTCTCAGGAACTTTAAAGGATGTTGTACAAGAGTTGGAGTTATATTAAGTTGAGCTCATTTGGAGTTTTTTTTTTTGTGTGTGTCTTTTTTTGAATCATGCAGCAATTAATTATTATTTTCACAGTGGATGAATCTGCAGATTACTTCTTTCCTTCGTGGGCTGATATTGATATTCAACAGCTGTTATCAGAATATGATCTTGATTAAACGCTATATTATTGCACACAGGGAAAAGTTCATTATCTATGGATGGTGAGTTTCTTTTTCCTGTGAAGATAACACAGATTGATTAATTTATAAAATGACTTTATACCACTGAAACGACAATGTTTTGTATTACTTTTTCCATCTTATGCTAACTTTCTTTCCCCCCTGTTTCCTGAAACACCCAGGGGCTGAAATGAACTTCGACTTCAAAATAACAGCTGGTCCCACTTTTCTCTGTTTAGACAAGATGCAAAAATATTCTGAGGAAAAATGCAAAGTGATCAAATTTATAGGAATAACAGTTCAGTCTCCTTACTGCTGTTTCAAAAGCTGACCCTCTCATGAGAGCATTTAGTCCCTCGATCATCTTCACCAGACCTGAACTCATACACTCAAAGAGAAATATTTTCATTTTCATTTCTCTCCTCTCTCTCTTCCATCTCTCCTCAAGGGAACACACAGTGCTCACGAGAATAAAAACAAGAATTGAGACACATACATCACAAAGTGCTAAAGACAAACTGTACATTGATGTGTAACATTTTCCACCTGGACTGAGCCTGGAGAGTTTCTCTTGCCGACCCAGGAAGATTAATGAGGAGATTTATGTTTCCATACATCGTGATTTACATAAAAGTGTGAGATACAGCCTGCTGAGCTGAATGAAAACCAGGTGAGAGGAAGAGAAAAACAAAACACATGTTAACGTATGTGTGTGTGTGTGAGGCAGTGTGAACTTGGCCTGAACCAATAAAAAGCAGGATTTGAAGGACAAATGAGCAATTACTTTGAGGTGATATGAAGAGCTTTGAGGCAAACCAGGCTAAGATAAAGAATAAGAACAGTACAGTACTCAACACAAGGCCACATGCGTGTGTGTGTGTGTGAGTGTGCGTGTGTGCATGTGCTCACTCCAGCCGAAGAATGGCGGCAGGCTCCAGCCCAAAGAGTACGCCCAGGCTGCCATGAGAATGAGGGAGGCTCGCTTTCTTGATAACTTGCCGATGGAGGTTAGAGGGCGTGTGATGACAAAGTAGCGATCAATGGCGATCACCGTCAGCGTGATCATGGAGCAGATCCCAAAGAGAGCGCCGCAAAACGCATACAGCTCGCAACCTAAACACACAAAAAGGAAAATCAAATTTGTGAACACTTTTAATAGTTTAAATGGTTGCGCTAGTGTGTGGGAAGTGGTCAGTATTTTAGACGTATATTAAATTAGCCTGAATATTATTGGACTTGCTCTTTATTGGTTACTACATTTTAACAATTCAAAACAACCGTCTGTTATTTCTCTATAGCACACTGTTGTTATGAAGGACAGACTGTTGCTAGGATGCATTTTTAATCACACAGAGCACAGCTATGAATGTGTAGATAAGAGAGCAGTAAATCTGACTTTGGTTTGTTAACACTGATGAAAACCTCAAACAGGTGTTGTGACGGTGTTAAAGGACCTGTTGACCTTGTTCTACTACAACATCAGCAAGTTCATTCATTCATTTGATCCCATTTATTCATTCATTCCTTGGTGCTTAAGCTTGAAGCCACAATAATGACTACGACATCATCCTTGGGGGACAAATGCACCCAGACTCTAAACGCTGCTGTCACTTTCCCTCTCAGACCAGGTGAGCTGCTGCTGGTTTATTTTTGCCTCTCTCTTCACATGTTTTTCTTTTCTTCTTTTTGTGTGATTTTGGTGTCAAAATAGTTTAGTTTAGTTTGCATGAAACGGAGCATTTTCATAAGACAACAACATCACAGAAAACAACTTTTGAGTCAGTAATAGACCTGTAATTCCTGTGTTCTGCAAGATAAAATTGCTACTTTTGTAGGGGGGTCTGGTTGCCATTAGCAGGGTTTTTGGACTGAGTTTACAGGCCCCTTATTTGAAAGAGGACCACACAGATGATAAAAGAAACAGCTGTCCATGTAAAAAAAGGCCTGCTAAGATTGGCTTTGTTAAAGGCACTAAATTTTATAAGGTCCAGTGGGGCTTGTTTTGTTACTTGCAACTGAAGCAGTCTACTAGAGCAAAACCGCACCTTATGGTACATGTTATTCATTTGTTGAGGTGGTTGCTAGTGCAGACTTTGGGCTCTATTTTCGTTCGCGCCGGTGAGGCGGCGGAGGGCGGCGAGCCCCGCGCAGTTGTATTTTCGTCTGGCGGAGCCCGGTGTAAGGCGAGTTTGGTATTTTCGTGGACTGAGTCGCACGGAGGCGAGCCGAGATCCGCCAAGCTGGGCGTGGTGGCGTGGCAGGGGGAGGTGTTGACAGAATCAGCTGGCGCAGTGACATTTTCGTGCTCGCCACTGGCGTGTAACTGCGCTGAAAGCTCGCCGATTCAAACCTGGTCAGCTTTCAGCGCAAGGCGGAACGCAGCTGGTCCAGTAGTATTTTGGTAGACCAACGTCGTATCGACATACGTCACTGATGCCTCACCGGCAGGTTTCCACAGTGTCAGGCAGATTTCAGTGCAATAAATAATGATCAACAACTATTAATCTGAGTCAGCACATACATTTAGATCTATATCGATATATTCTGATCTATATCTGATCTGATGAGCGCGTTTGGCACGCGTTTGGACACACAACCTGACCGAATCAATACAGCTGAAACTGCATCAAATTAAATTAAATATCTAGTAAATAAACACACATGATGAAGTTAACAAGATATGTAATGTGTCTCCCTCCTTTTCTTTCTTCCTCTTATTTCTCGCACAGCTCGACCTGGACACGTCTCCGTGTCCTCTGTCCGTCTTCCTGCTGCTGCTGCGGCTGAACAGATGATTTGTTTCAGTGCTCAGATGCGTTATCTACTTTAAGCCGACATACGGATATTATAAAATTCCGTTTTGTGAGCCAAATTTATTTTATATGCCAACATCTATGAAAGAAAGAGCCAGGCCACGGAGCGCGATGTGTCATTTACGCACAGATGGTTCCGATTTTAATGCCTTTTTGGAGTTTATGTTGTGATCTGTGCGCTAAACCCACCTTTGTCACGTGAGGTTTGAATATATGCAACTTTATGTGAGTGTCTTTATTTGTGGAAAAGGGTGTTTGTCTTACCAGTGGGTCCAACATTACGCACACCAAATTCATCTGTGCTCAGATGAGAGAGTGTGGAGGACACTTGTTGAGCAGCTGCCCTCTGTCGCCATCGTGTGGCATAACTTTCTTCAGACATCTCTTGATCTCTTTGACTACTTCATGAAAATACTAATACGCCTCGCCTGTGGCGGATTTAAAGGCGAGGAGAGGAGCTAATATGATTGGTGAAAACAGGTCTCGGCTGTGTTAAACCCCTTTACGCCCTCTCTCCTCCCCGTCTATGATTTATGCTGCCGGGAGGAGCTGAGTTAGGGAGGGGGGATACTTACGCCGGGCTGCGCGGCTCACCAAAATACCAAAATGTGCTTGGGAACGCCTTGTCAGCGCGGCGGATCTGATTGACTCTGCGCTTGCGGCACGTCTCCGGCGAGGCACCAAAATAGAGCCCATTAAGGGATATGCCGGTGTAAAATTAAGTTAAGGTCAAACACACCGTAACACTGAGTTAGACACCCCCTTGAGAGATTAATGTTGCCAACCGCTTGCTTCTCCCGTTGTACAAACTTTAGTAACGACCGCAGGATAGCAATACACAGTGGACCCAGGAGCCACATGCTGAACCTAAAAGCCACTCTATAGCCACAAATAATGCTCAGAACAGCACCTAACTTCATCAACAGTATATATGGGGTCTACCATTCTGCAGTGCAAAATGATTAATATGGTGATTATAACTTCAAGGAAATGATAAAGTTATGGTCATAAATGTTCTTCCTTGAGCTGTGTCACCCTGCTGCCGTACTGGACTCGCCTGAGCAAGCGGCTGCTGGAGGAGAGTAGGTGAGTTGTGTTTAGTCTCTTTGCTAAAGAAATTAGGCAAAACTAAAAAGATGTTTGGTGGCTAGTACTATGGCTGGGGCCCTATTTGTACTGTTGATGAAGTTAGGTGCTGTTCTGAGCATTATTTGTGGCTATAGAGTGGCTTTTAGGTTGAGGGCGTGGCTCCTGGGACCGCTGTGTATTGCTATCGTGCGGTCATTACTAAGGATGGTATAACTAGAGAAGCAAGCGGTCAGCAACATTAGTCTCTCGATTGGGTGTTTAACTCAGTGTTACGGTGTGTTTGCCCTTAACTTAATTTTACGCCGGAATATCCCTTTAATACTCCATACTCAGATGCTCCAATTAAACCAAGCTTACATGCAACAATCACTTTAACATCAGGGAGAGCTGCAAATGATTTAAAGTCGTCTTCATATCGCTTTGTGGTATTTGGGAGGACAGATTCAGATCTTTACATCCTGGTCAAAGTCCTTAAATATCCTGGACTGATTGATACCCTGTAACTTTAAAAAGTTCACATTTTAATCAAGGACAGACTAAAAACAGGATTCTGACTGATATTTCTTCTGAGAAAACAAAAACATAACCAGTTTCTTGAGGAGACTCTAAAGTATGTTTCTTTTTGTAATATGAGTGGACTGACCCTTTAAACAAAACACAGGTTATGAAATGACTTAATCTGAAATAATAATCTGTGCTTTTTTAGTCTCTCTTTTAAAGCGTTCACACCAAATTTTCACTTAAAATCCAATGAATAAAAAGCAGTTACTCAACACCTCCTCTGCTTGTCCTTCTCTTTTTCTTTTAGCTCTGGGAATTAAACACCAGCGTCCCACTCACTGTCATATTAAAATGACCTCAGAGCGGATCTCCCGGGACGCAGAGGAGGATTGACTTGAATGCAAACATGTCTGAGCTCAGATTGTCTGTTTCTCACTGTCAGGGTGGGAAATTAAAACTGATTTCAAGGTCTGAAGGAGAAGAGAGGGTGACGAGACAATCTTTACTTTCACGCTAACAATAATAAAGAAAGTCTGATAAATAAATAACTGCAGCGGCTGTTACAATGAGGTGTGTATGCAGTGTGTGTGTGTGTGTGTGTGCAGGTACCTTTCTCTCCAAAGATCCACCTCTTGTGCATGCTGGTGGTGAAGAAGATGGGTGTCTGGGTGACACACATTAGCAGGTCTGTGACTGCGAGGTTAATGATGAACATGTTGGCTGGTGTCCGCAGGCTGCGACTCCTGTAACACACACACAGAAATACACACACACACACCATATTAAAATCAAAAAAGCGGAAATGTTTCCTCGCTTTTTCTGGGGCATTTTTAACTTTTCAACAGGAGCAGGCGAAATAGGACACTGTCTTGACACTTCCTTACATATTGGTTATCATTCAACCAACATCCCTGCAGGTAGTCATCTCAAAAGTACATGTACTTATTAAGGAAACACTGCTGTAAGTCAGGTAAGTCAACGATGCTTGTCTTTTTCTATTTTTCACTTTGTTGATTCAGTCAGTATGGCTCGTAAAGTGTTTCTCGGGGTGCGGAGGAAAGACACGGCTAAGACATAAAAAAAACTGTGGGAAGATTTTAAGTGTTTGTGGTGACAAAAACCACATCATAGCTGTTCATGCTTGCCTTCATTTATGAGTCCTTTGTAAACAAAGGTCAGCACAAGTTGCTGAAACCTGGAGCTGTTTCATCTGTAAACATAAAGGCTATCCGTAAAGGATCAGAACCACAAGAAGCTGTGAATAACATCGTAACAGCAGCAGCTTGTGTAACAATAGCTAATGTATGTTATCAGGGCTAAATGAGGAGCGTAGTGGGCAATAACAGCTAGCTTCAGATGTTGTTTCTTTAAAGGCACAGCTTTAAGGTCATTTCATGGCTATAAAACTGTGTGGGAAAAAAACAGGAAGTAAGAGCATCATTGAGAAAGCAGCCAAAAGAAACATTTCAGGCAGAAGCTGAATAGTGCGGAAATTATGGTTTCCAAGGGCACCAGTATACAATATATAAGGAGTTTTATTGAGCAGCAAATCACACAAAACATCATTTTAGGTGTCCACACTGACATAATGATGGGTGAAAATGAGTGTGTCTTCCTTTAAATGGACCATAAATTGTTGTCGTTTGTAATTTGCAAATGTATAAAATCATGAACTTCAATTATTAACCTGAATTGCTGCTCTGATGGTGGTTGTGGTGCAAAGTGAGCAAAATACTGTCGGAGTAAAAAGTTATTTACTTACTGCAAGGCAGTGAAATTTAACCTGACTCTGGTCAAAATTATTAACTAATTAGGGCTGTAAAGTCCTAGACTGGTCAACTTACTGGTTGATACAGGCTGAGTTGACTAAAATTCTGATTGGTCGACTGGATTTTTTTCCGCGTCAATTTACAGTCTTTGGTTAATTTCATCAGGAGGAACGTACCCAGTGCTAATGGGGATGTTTTCAGAGCACCCTCATTTCACAGGTAACAGCCTGTCTCAGAAAAACCCCCTTGTTTTCACCATTTTGGATTCGCCCAATCAACTGTAGACCGGCTGGCGACAGGAAGACTGAAGAGCGTCCATGTTAATCAACGTCTGGCAGTCTGCTGAATATAATATTTGTGTTTAATTGCCTTCTTGTGCTGATTTTAGTATATTTTCAACCCTGTCGAGCTGCGCTCCGCCAAGCCTCGTCGTCCCCTGCCACAGAAGGGGTTGCCGTCAGAGTCGAAACCCCTGATTTTTTTATCAAAAATTTCAGGGTTTTAGTCGACCAAGATTTTCTTTGGTTGATTACAGCCATAGAACTAATACTTCAATTTTTACAGCAGTTATTTAAAGAGGAATTGATTCAAATAAAAAGACTTTAAAACAACACTGACTTAAAAAAACTGGCCAAATGAAAAAATAATCAGAGTTTATTGAACTACTGTGTTGCTGTAGCTATGCTCCCTTCACTTCTTTGGAGGTTAGTTTTAGCGAAGTCCAGTTTAAAGGAAAGTTAACATAAGCTATGCTCACTGTTATCATTTTCAGTGAGTAGGAGGTTAGAGTCAAAGCAAGGGAAAAACTGATCAAGATTTTGATTTAAAGATGACTACAAAAGAGTAGAAATTCAAAATATATTCATCCATACAGCTAAAACACATACAGCTCATTGGATCAATGTATGTCAGAACGTCCACTTATCAGATTTTATCAGGTCCAATCACATTAATGGTACATTAGACAAAGCATGGCCCTTAAAGTGTTGTGACTACAAATGTAAAGTGTTATGCTCTCTGATGAGTTAAAAGTAATTAAAAAAAAAACCCTGAATATGAGATGAGATTTGATTTATTGGTCCCCTTGGGGAAATTCATCTTCACTGACTGTACGTTATAGGAAAGACAACGACATTGCACATTACAAACATCAACAAACAGTAAGGACAGACATAGATAGTGTGGGACAGTGACAACAGCAAGAGGTGACAGGCTGGTCAGATAGGTCAGCGGGGCCTGCTGTTGAGGGCGGCGATAGCTGCAGGAATCAGGCTTTTCCCAAGACGGGCCCTCCTGAATTTCAGTGTTCTGTACCTGCGCCCAGAGGGTAGTGGACTGATGTGTCGGTGTAATGGGTGAGTGATGTCTTGAACTATTGTGTTTGCCAGTCGAATGATGAACCTGTTATTTAATTCTGTAAGGTTGGGTGTGGGGAGGCCAATGATTTTAGCAGCTGTATATTGTACATTGATTCAAAATGCTGACAAACTTGATGTTTTTGCCACACTTTTGACAGTAAGAGACATCAGCTAAAACAAGGCATTTTAAATGGAGGCTTAAATAATTAGAAACAAGACTTCATTTTAAATCTTGAAATCATGTAAAGCTATAAATGAGGCATAAATGCATAAAAAGCCCTCTTTAAGCACTCAGAGGCCCATCATCAGAGCCTATAAAGATGCTTTGAAACTTAAGTCTAAACCACAGACTGTCAGTCATCATAAAGGATTATGGGATAGTTTGGAATGTTGGCAAATTGGCTTTCTAGGTAGAAGACATGTCCCTGTTCACTCAATTGGACACTTTTTACTGGTGTGTCTGTTCAAGCATCAGTTTTTGTAAGAGAGATTGTTTTATAGGAGATAAACTCATGTCTGTGTCACATCCAAACTAAAGGAAAGGATATAGCTTAACACTCTAAAAAGACTGCGCATTTTTTATCACAATTAAGGTTTGGTCTTAAAGGTTAGGCCTAACTGCTGTTTTCTTGTATACTTTTTTTTTTTAAACAAAGTGGTCCGTAATGCACTTATTGACTAATATCCAAACAACCCCACTTACAAAAGATATTGGTGGTGTTTAAGAGATAGCCAGCACACAGAGGACGCTCTGCCAATACACATTACTGAAAATCTCCTCACTGCAACAGAAGCCCCTAAACACTAAGCCCAGAGTGTCTTTGACCACTGCTATTTGTCCTGATGTTTTGAGTTTATCAGCAATAGCAGCAGGTGTAAACACTCCTAAGGGTTAAACGTTTCAGGGGATGAAGAGTAGTCATCGCAAAAAAATCTCTCTGTGGTGCACTCTTCCTAAATTCAACATCTAATTGATGGAAGGCCCATCAGAGCAGGTCTGCGTGTAATGAAAAGTCAATGCCGGCTCTTTAAATTCTCTGATCAATGAGAGATCAGCGAGAGGGACTCACTTAAGTGCTGACACTTTTTCAGGGGAGTTAGAAAATGTTCCACTTTGTGTTTCAGAGGAAGACGTTTACTGTGATGGAAGATAAAAGACGGAGCACAGGGTCGATTAAAACCGTCGATTAAAACCACAGCTCAATACAGGTCTTGAGTGCTGCCGGTTTCAAACATTAAGAGATTCAAACCTGAGTGTGAAAACTCTGCAGCTTTAAAGAAGATTTACAGTGAAATCAGTGTTTGTCCCACTCGTGTATTATTTTTGGTTTTGGTTTCAACACCAAGACTGAAAAACAAAAACTCGTGCAGACTGACTGTCAGTCGAACCCCGAATTTCCACCGCAACCAGAACTGCTCCGTATAACCATATAAGCAGAAGATTGTGTCCTTCCAGAGGAGAAAATCTACTTTTAGAATCAGCATCTCCTCATCCATGGTGTCATCGGGATGAAATGCTGTCTATAAACCTTTCACTTGTTTGTCCCTGCCTGCCTGCTTGCATGGAGTGAAATACGATCTGCCTGAAACATGGAGTGTTTTGTTTTGAAAAGAAGCTGAATGTTTTATTTTGTGTCTGTGCCCGACTTCCTTTCCAGCACAGATTAATCTGTACTGAATTTTTCCGGCATGCCCCGGCATCCTGAAAAACAGAACTCTTGCGATCAGCTGCGGAGTCCGGCCATCCGCAGCGGAACGGAAAGAAGCCGGTGGAAATTGACACACTAACTTGAATGGCTACCATCAGCTACGATTGGCGGATACGGCCTTTTTGTAGCCGTTCTGGATGCAGTGGATATTGGGGGTAAGAGTTAGACAATAATCAGTTGACCATTCTTTTAGCTTTACAATGCTTTTTCTCTACCAAAAATTTTTAAATATTTTTATGTAAATATATGTAAATATTTTTACATATTACACCAAGCAAATGTTGTAAAACTAAAGCTTGTCTACATCCTTAAAGCAGAGAAGTATAAAAATAAGGTCTTAATAAGCTTAGCGACAGGAAAAAACGGAGTGCACACAGTCGGATTGCTGTTCTCTTAGTATTGGTTTATTATACATAATATGGTTGATGGGATGCTGGTAGATCCAATCTGTCCCTCACTGTCAGTATTCACAAGTGCTGCTACTCAGTGCTGCTACTTTGCATCAAAAAAAGATGGAGTTTCATTTTTTAACAGTATAATCAAAACCAGGCAGACCTGTGCCAGACCTGCCCTTTGGATGATGCTCATAAATACACAAAAGTTCTGTTTACATTCAGAGTTATTCATGAAAAAAGTCACCGTTTGTGTCCCTGAGCTCTAATAAAGTCATTTCCTTTTCAAAAAGTTTACAACATGGACCAACACAGAAATTCAGCTCTGTGGGACCAAATACAGCTCAGAAAATACAACAGATTTTCAGCTTAATTCATGACATGGCTCCTCTAAGTTAGGTTTACTGGCTCCTCAAACACATTTTATATGACTTAGATAAGATATGTCAATACATCCTCTCCCTATGTGTTTGTAGCCTGACTGTGAAGCTGTAGTTTAAAAGCAGAAAAGCTCAGCCACTGCAGTAACCTTTTGATTGAGCTCTTAACAGGTGTTGGATATGTACAGAAAAACCAACATTTGTTCTTGCCAAGTACAAATGGCACACTAGATTTTTATCAGACCGTGTCTCCATTGTCACTTCTAAATGATGAAGGCTTGTGCATTGACGTATCAATGTGATTTCTATTGAGTTCCACACAGGCGAACAGACTATTACAATAATTATAATAATTTTCCTTGCCTGGAATCAATCCTTACCTTAGCCTTGACAGAAATCATTCATTAAATTGCAGGTGGATTTTGCGTTTATCTTTATCTTGCAGGTGGATTGATTTGATAAATGTCACTGCAGTGAGCTGATAAGATTTAGTTCTTTTATTACTCTAATCGATCATTCATATCTGTAAACACCCCAAAAATAATAAAATGTTTCATTTTGTCGAAAATTATTGCTACAACTACAATAAGCTATTTCACTGTGCAAAGCATGCTGGGGTACAAAGCGACATGGAGCAGGATGGCGGCTTTTCTTTTTAATAGCTTTTCTCCCTCGCTGGGTAAGGGTTAGTAATGCTTTTATAGAAAACGGTGGGGTACTGTTGAGGAAATAACCCTTTGGAGCTGGTTCAATTGAAATCACGCCTCAATTGAAAACAGCAGAAGTAGGTGGCATGACAGGAGCAGTTGGTCTGTAGCCTAAGCTCTGCTTTTGTACTGATGGCAAATATGAATATTCCATGGCAAAATAACAGCTATAACAAAACACATGTTTTCTCTATCACTGGTGCAACGCCAGCATCAGCCTTCAATCATTTTATTTTTATCCGTGCTTATTCAAATGTTACATGACTACGTTTTTACAATTTCACTTCTACCACTTTCTAACTAGATCTGGCCGTTTTCTTCTCCAAGCTTTGAAGGATCACTGAGATATACTACTTAGCACATCCAATGACCTTATGACCACATGTCACATGATAACTTATGGATCGAGGATAAAAGACAAATATAATCAGATAACAGGCTTCATCTGTGATGTGTGGGCATTTAACTCCTGCAATTCTCTTTTGGCTGAGTTTTTACACTTGTCAACATACAGTGAAAGGCAACTCTAGTCCAAAACCAATACGGATGTTTTATAGTTGAAATAAATCAGCTGTGGTGGTCTAAGGCAGATAAATTTCTTGCTACAGCTGCTGTCTACGCTTCAGATCTTTGGCTGTTTTTGATGAGAGTTGTGCTGTGAGTGTGAGTCTCTGCAGGGTGACATATATTGTTTGCTTTAAAATTCTTTAAAGCGGTTGTGCGTGTTCGTGCATGTATCCCCGCACGAGTGTTTGCTTCTATTTTGGGCAAAAGGAAGGGGGCCCAAAAAAGATCTGCACCAGGGCCCATCACATTTATGTTATCCTAGTTACTAGAAAGAGATATACACTTGCACAGAGGCTACACTTGGTGGGCTTTGCTGAACTTTGTGGTAATTTTTACACAAGAGGTTAACTTGGAACTTTTCCTATGAGGGAACCCTGAACTAACTGTCTATTAAGCTAGTGCAACTTAAATTATAGATCTAGGAGTTTGTAAATGTGTCTTTTTTTCAACACCAAATCAAACGCCAGTCAAATAATCATGAACTGAAAACTGAGTGTGAGATTTTTGGTACACCAAAAGTGTTTCGGTTCACTCAATAAGTAGCAGTTTATGACTTTAAATGATCTTCTGAGAGCTATTTCTGATTCACAGGAACTATATGACCAAATATGGGCATAGCAGTTTTTCTTACTTGCAGAAGGCGTATATGACCAGGAAGTTGCCGACCACGCCTGTGATGCCGATGGCGAGAATAACTGAGCCAATGGTGTAGTGGGCATGGTCAGGCACATCAACCGTTGGGAAAGGATTAGGGGCCTCTGGCGCCATCGCCACCTGGAGGACAAAACAGAAAGTGACATGTAATTGTGTTGCTGCTGCAGGTTAGTAACAACAACACATTCCTGATGGATTACTTTCCTACATCAATGTACAGTTTTATTGTTTTTATTGCAAACATAACATAACATAAGCCCAATAATTCCCCCTGGAGATGGCACCACTCACGACAGTCACATCATCAAAGTGTTGGACAAAAAAAATCTCTTGGTAATAACTTATTTTAAGTCATTTTTTTAGAGCTGCAGTTTGATATTTCTAACTCTAAACCTGCTGCCGATTGGGACTGATCACTGTTATAAGACATATGCTGAAGTGACACAAAAGAAGAAGATTAAAATGACCTTCTCATGGATGACATTTTTATTCCACAAAATGATAAACCTTCACATCATCAGACCTCCCTAATCACTGGTCTAATTCTTTCTGAAAGACTAATATCTCCACAGGACTACACATCACTGTTTCTAATTAATGTGCCCTGAGCGCTGTCTCTGTCCTGCCTCATATCTCTCTATCCTGACTCCCTGTTGCCACGTTAACGGCATAAATTATGCATAAATTATGCATAAATTATGCATAAATTATGCATAAATTACTCCTGTGGCAGCAGAAACAAAAGGTATGCAGTTAATCAGAGATACATAATAGTTAAACAGATAACTGGAGTTTTAATGAAACACTTACAAATCTATGAGTGGCCTTTAGACTCCCCCTTTAAATGTGCCAAGCCTGCACAGTATATCATAAAGCAGAGGTTCACCAACACTTCGGTTTCATAATGTAGTTTGGTAACACTTTATTTGACGCCTATCTATATAACGCATTTTAAAGATACGTATAATGCATTAAAATCATGTTATAGCACTGTATAACTATAGTCATAAACACTCATAAATGATCATCATGCTTTACGACAACAATCATAACACATTATAAAGCATTTTATCAGGACTTACAAGGTCAGGTATTATAGTGTGTTATAACTGTTAACAACTCACAGACAATGCCCACACAGATAATGCATTATACATATATGTATGATGTGTTATAATTTGCTTATAAACTTGTATAACTATTATAAACACATTATTAACACTCATTAACTATCATAAGGCTTTATAATAAAAGCGTAACACAATACCTGACCTTGTAAGTCATGAAAATGCATTATAACGTGTTATGATTGTTGCTATAAAAGCATAATGATCATTTATGAGTGTTTATAATTATAGTTATACAGTGCTATAACCTGATTATAACACATTATACATGTATTTATGATGCGTTATAAAGATAGGCGTCAAATTAAGTGTTACGAATATTTTCACATGGACATCTGAAAAGTAGATTATGTTTGAATTAAACTATCAGGAAAGTAAATCTGAAGTATTTTTTCCTTGTTTTCTTATAATCACAGACTCACATTGCACCCATAAGAGAGCATATAGGCTGTTCTCTCTCATAGATTTCCTACAAAGAGGGTCCCCGAATAATGACAGCCCATACAGAATCAGAAAAACTCTATTTTAGAGTGAAATCTGATAACTACAGTTGCTTATCCATGTGTTATAATGGTAATGATATAATAATATAAACAGAGATTTAAATCAAAGAGAAACATTCATGAGAAAAAGTAGACCTGTTGGATAAGACTAACCTATTATGTTTCTATCCCCCTTCTTGCCGTGTTTTTATTACCCTTCTTTTCATTATTTATGGTGTAATTCCCCTGTGTTAATGCGCACTAGATTTTTAAGAAGGTTATACAGCCGGTGATAAAAAGAAAGGAATACAGATCTTTATTCAGGTTCTTGTATAAGTAATTTGATTGCTCGGTAAACTGTTGGTTATGCCTCAAAGATCCAGTGGAAAGGTTGTGCTCTGAGTCTTCTCTCAAAACAGACCAGAAAATGGTAAATGGACTTATATAGTGCTTTTCTAGTTTCTATGACCACTCAAAGCACTCGCACCACTTGTCACATACACACACTGATGGCAGAGGACGCTAATATAGGAAACCATCAGTACGAGCTTTTCTCCATTCATACTCATTTACGCTTCAACATGTGAGTGCGGAAGCTGGGATCAAACTGCCAGCCCTGTGACTCAAAGATGGCTAGCTGCCATTGAGTCACACCAGCCCCAGTACAAGACCAATAAAGGCCAGAGCTACATGTAAGTGGTTTCCCTGTCAAGCTTTCCATTTAGGCAGACTCTATCTTTGGCTTTACTTTTTAACGGGAGGTTATGGACATGCATTAGCTATCTCTAAGTACAGTCAGAGGTGTGATTTAACTGGCGCCATGCTAATATTTACTACACACCATCCAGTCAATCAAAACCCAGTCGCTGAGTGGATTTGTAGCGAGCATTCTTGTATAACAATGATGCTGCACATCTCCTGCAAGACAGAGGTCACATGCAATCTGTTCAGTTTTCAGTGTGCGTTAAGTTGTTAGCGCTCTGAGCTCCAAACAACAGTCAGCAGGTAGAAAAAGTAATCTATGAGGGACACGCTGACAGTGATGGAGTCTTACACACTGTGACAGGGTTGCGATCAGTGAGGTGAGGCAGCAGGCCACAAAATAATAACAACAGCTCAAGGACATGTGTCCAGCTGACTGCAGCCGCACACTGTGATTCAGCAGCAATGTCATTTTTAATAACAAATGCGAGCCACACATCACAATGATTCAGGGGAAATTTATCACAGTGATAGGTTTTGGTTATGTACGATGTACAAGGAGTTGTGTGTCAGAGAGAATCTGCAGGGAGCGTTTGTAGTTATTTTAACCTCTTCAGCCCTGGTTTTTGCTCAAAGTTCACCTCTAGCATTAGAAAATGTCAGGAGTACAAAAGATCCAACACATCCTCTTTGAGTTGGATTAATGCAAGATTCATAGCTGAGCAGTAAAACAACTGGACCAAGAGATGGAAACTTTAACTCCAAAGCAATCTCACATCCTTGTCCTCATTCTTGAAAATCATTCCACTAAAATTACATCGGATCATGCAAAATGTTGTTCAAAAGTCTTTATTCTTCCTGATTGGCAATCTTGCCAGATTATCCTGTTTTTCCACAAGACACTATGCAGCTCCACACATAGAGGTTTCTGATCGTACTGTAAGTATTGATCATCTTAAATATTTACAACTTCAAGTCAGGGAGCCTAAAGTCAGCATGATGATCTTGCAGTGTGTAACCCACTCAAGACAATTCTGAGTCATGACCGAGTCCAGTGCCTATTACCCGAGTCTGAGAGCAAGACCAGTTCTCACTGAATAATAAATGAATGATAAATCGGAGGACAACTGAATCACTCCAAACTACTCACTGCATGAACCTGGAAAACTGTGATCGATCTATTGGGCATAAGACGCATTTCATTTATTGATGTTAGATTAAGACTGATCCTGTCTAAGGTCTGGAGATTTAAATGATCAATGACGTTACAGTAGAGTGTGTAAATGCTCACTTTGCCTCAGTCTATGGGGATATACACACTCTTAGATTTTGCTGCCATGACACCGAATATCCCTTCACCTCACTTCTTTAATCTGAAATGTTATTAACCTAAATCCTTGACCTACAGGTTGAGTCACATAAGCTTGCTGTAAACCTACTGCAGCATCTCACTGACTTTTGCCAGAGCAGCCTCGACTTGTTATTATGAATAGTTTGAGCCTGCCTTGTCCTCTCCTTTCACATATCAAAATGTCGCACTTCACTTGTTTGCATTTGCTATAAAGTCTTGAAACCCAGATGCACAATTTGTGGCACCCTTACCATGAGTCTAATCCAAGTGTTTGAGATTTAACCCAGTGAGTCCATTACAGCAGTAGTTATCAGTCGCTTTTGCCATGCTACTCATCCACTGGTTGGTGTTTCCTTGTTACATCAATCCTCATAGACATTAGGGAAGCTGCACCTCACAAGCTTCATCACTTCTACAGAGAACAACAGCTTTGTATCCGAACCTGCCCTCCTTTGCTCTGGACATGGACATATTCCAGCCTCTTCTTCTTCCTCTTCACCCCATTAGTAAATCCAAATTTATTCTAGCACCCTGTTCAAGAGGAGGGAAAAGACTGAGCTGTAGGCCTATTATTTAAATCTGTGACTAGCCATGTAGCAAATGCGCAGTGTAGGACCAAATTTGCTGGAGATAAAAACAAGTGTTCGCATGCTCCTATGGTCTGTTGTCTGTTTTGGATGAAGGCTTCATTATGAAAATGTTTTCCGTCTCGTCGGCAGCCCCGGCTTTTACTTCATGTTTTGCTGCTAGGTCGCAAATCTCTCTGCAAATTAACTGTGGCATGTCGGGAGGAGCGTGGCCTGTCACAAAGGATTCAGAGTTTCAGCTTCGCCCACCACCGCTGCTTTTGACTGGAAGAAGACCCGTGTGGTCATTAAAACAGTCTGTCCGCTCCCTCAAGCCTCCGCAGTCTTACCGGAGTGGAGTTGAAGCATTTCTTCTGTTCTCAGTTACCACACGTAACATAACTGACACAATTATCTTAAGAAAACAAGCTGTTTTGAACCTGAGATAATGAGATACTTAATAGGCTGTCTCAGAGAAACAATATTCAGGTGAGAGCTGTTATGTCAGCATGCATAGAGAACATTTTTAGCGACTAATTAAAGCTTAATCCCTGGATCAAGGAGCACCTTTGATTGATCAACCACATAAGACTACCTTCAGTTTCCAATGCGAATCCTCCCCCACAGTCAAGGCAGTAATGATCTCATTACAGAAATACAACAAAATAGAACCTCGTAACTTTTGGGTCTATTCTGTTGAGACAGCGCAGAGAGAAAATACATAATGTTCAACTTAATCAGCTGTACAGTTCTTGTGTATATTTGGTTATGATTAATTACATTGCAGCAGCTTTATCTCATTTTAAACAACATATCTTCTTACTTGAAGTTATCGTGAGAAAAGAAGCTTAGTAATATCATAGAATAATGTATTTTCACGATTGTTTTAAGGTGTTGACATTATTTCTTTGGCTTTAGTCCAACACCTTATTTGGGTCCTTGAAAGTACAAAATGTCCTTTTTTCATTTCTTAGGAGCTATTAGCACCGTGGCCTTTTACCCTCTAACAGTTTTATGTTCTGTACAACACGCCTTAGGATGCTTAATTTGAGCAGTTTGATGATAAAAGTGAAATGATGGGTGAATGATGACGACACAAAGCAGATAACAGTCCATATTTGCCTGCAGATAGCAAACACATAATCCCCCCTTACACACCTTTCCTCACAGGGAGTGAAGGCAGCTATGAAGAACGACTTCTCTCAGACTTCTGTCAGCCGTGAGGAGGTGAGGAAGAAGCCTGAACTCTTCCTTAGAAACATTTTAATCTCTGTTCACAGCTATTTCTTTCAGTTTTATCTGAACAAACAGGAAGAAATATCGAGCTTTAAGATTTTGACTTTAACTCTATTTTCATCAAGAACATGGTCATGAGTATTTTATATCGACTTTATTGAACACTGCTGCTTTTCATGCCTGAGTCATTGGCTGTATATATGGATATATGGACTTCATCTCACTCTGTTGTGTAAAAATGAAGCAGTCTGGCAGGTGGGGCTGTGACGTTACACCGCTCTCACTCGTAATAGACATTTAACGTCCACATTCAGCACTTAACAATCAAAGATTATTGTGTTGATCTGACGTATGACGTTTGACATATAGTTTAACTTCCTAGTTAGCTCTGCACAGACTTGTGACTGTTTGTTGTCATCATTGCTGTCTTTGTGGCGTCCTCATTGTTTCGGTGAATGAATTAAATTGATTATTGCCCTCACTGGTTGCAAAACAAAGAGGTTGTAATTGAAAATAATCATTATTTAAAAAACACTACTATACTTACAGATCAGTTGATAGATGTGCATCATTTTATACAGAATCAGTTTAAACACAAAGGAAAAGTGGAGCATTTTTTAAGAAGCTTGAAACACAATTTTGCATGAAAAAAGCAGTTTTTGTAGAAACTACACGTTGCCAAAAAATATCATGTTATATAAACTCTTCATAAATTTAGTGAGAAAAAGTCACTGTAGTAGTCAAACAAAGTGTTAAAGGTAAAGGTGAACTATTTCTCTCTGAGATTTACAGAGATAAAGACGTTAAAATCCACATTTATCAGAGTTTTCAGAGTGAATACAACCCTGCTGACCTGTTAAGGTGTTTTCTGTCTTGTAATGATAAGAACTCAAAAGAGACAATGACGCAGCTGGTATTTCATCCAAGGTTAGTTGTGCGGTGGAGAGAACTTGGAAGCCAAAAGATGCTGATGGATGAAGTGGGATAAAAGGGTTCACGGTCCATCAAGTGGGTCCTATAGGATGATCTGACAGGCGTATGAGATAAACAACCATATGACCTCAGAGCCAAAGAAGTCTTACAGGCCATAATGTGATACGCCTACCTCAAGCCTACAGTTTTGCTTTCATTTACTCACTTAGAGGCTTGAAACATCCCAGTCCTGTTGAGCTGTTGGAAAAACTGCAGAAATTGTACAGACTCTGCTGAACAGTTCCTGCAGACCAAGAGCCAGCCTCCTCCTGTGTCATAAAGTGAAGTCCCTGCTGCGGCACAAAAGGCTGCAGTTCCTTGAGTGTCCACTTGAGGCTAGCTCCAAAAGCCAACAATCCACATAAGAGTCCATATTAAAAAGTTGATTTTTGCAACAGAACAATCACATTTGTAGGGTGGGGTTCATTTGATTACAGGTGAACATTACTGGCAAATGTGGGATTTTTTCATCAAAAACTTGGAACCTGGTTAAACTATGTGTCTCTCTGTACAGTATATAGTAGTTTAAGGCATCAAATGGTCATCCAGTAAGTCTCAGCTCCAGCTTTCCTAAGTGAGTTAAACTCTCGTATTACTGTATTGACATTTTGGGAATTTTTGTAGCCAATTTGCTGCTCTTACGTAGCCCAGCTTGACAGCTTGTCATAAGATTTTCTTTTTCCTGACTTTTGTTTGTCATTCGACCGAGTCTTAAGGGTTGAGGTTTCGAAAGCTTGCCCTTCACATAGTATGAAATTAATTGGCTTCTTTATACAGCAAAACATGAAAAAAGAATCAAATGGGACTGAGCTGCTGGAGTTAATTTAAATGTCTGCAGGGTTAATAAAATGGGTCTACACAGTCTTAGCTGTCATGTAATTGTCTGCAGGTCTTTGGATGTTAACTGGAGCTAATTACAGATTAACGAGGAGTGGAAGTTGCTCTGCTTCTCAAGGAAATTATCTCTCTGACTCCACTGAAAGGTCTTTTTTCTCATTACGCTCATTTTCATCAATTTTAACACCCCCATGTGATGACAAATCGAGTGTCAGGATGTAAAAACCTGATGCGGGGAGTCCATTTGTGTGCGTAAACTATGTACTGATCATGGAAAATGTGACATTGTCAGGACTTATTCACAGGCACCAGAAAAAAAAGTGAACTACATTTAAAAAATGTTAAACCTTTCTGCTCTGAACCGTCACTTCTCAACACAAACAAAGACGTCTTCTTGTTTACTGCAGGGTGGACGTCTGATGAGACACTCACTCAAAAAACAAAACGATTGTCCCAGGAAAATAAAAAGCAGAGGAAACACGGTCTGAAATAAAACAAGATGCCTCACTCGGATTTTTCAGATTGCTCACCTTGTGCTCATTGGAAAGAAAAAGCTGTGTAGCATGTCAATTTCCAAATATTTAATTTTTTCAGTTAGCAGTGATTGTATATTAGCTGTAGGGATGGGAGATAGGGGTTAAAAATATTATCACAATAAGTGATATGATTGTCATTCTGGCGATAACAACAATAGTCCTGATAAAAAAATACTACAATTCTGATCTATATTTTTGACTTATTTTGTCTTGAGAACACCAGCTGGAATATTTAAGTAAGATACTTAACCAAAAGTTTGAGTGGTAGGTTATGGAGAAAGCTAATGACATCAAACAAGTCTCAAATGTGAAAACATTTTCAACATTTGTTTTAAAACTCTTATTGCGCAGAGTGAACAGCAGCAGATCCACCGTCCGATGTCACGCATACCTGATTGTACTTATCTAAGCCCCAGTCTTGAAGGAAATCCCTCATGTGGAGCCTCATTCAGTAACCAGCTGCTCAGAAACGTCTTCTTCATTACATTCAGCCATGTTTGTTTGTTATTCTGATCTGTGTGATCAATTGACTGCGAGTCTGTCGCTCTTGCTTACGTCATCAACTTGCACTTATTTTATTTTTCATGAGATGGCAAATATTTATCATGGAGGATTTTTCTGATGATATAACGTGAACGATAATTTATTCCCCATCCCTAATTAGCTGGTTAAAAAAATACAGTTATGATGGCTCTGAAAACATAGTTCAAACTATAAATTTGGTGAGTGTATTTTTTTTAAGAAAACTTCCAACAGAAGATGAAATACTATATAAAGGATGTGGAGATATACAGTAGAGTATGTGTAACATCATATGCATGGGTACAGATCAGAACACGCCGTTCATGCAGCAACTAACAGAGCATGAAAAATAGACAGATGGATGGCTTTATATCTGCTCATTCTCTCTAAAATGAACATGCTACATCTTTGCTTTACATTAAAATGGATATGTATAAACTATGTCTCCACATGCTGTGAATGACACAAGCAGGAGATGAGATTCATGTGTCAGGTTTTTGATCACCGGAAATAACCCTCTTCTGAAATGTCATTGACAAACTACAGATAACATCATTGCAGCTCAATTCTTGCTTACCTACCTCTCTCATTGACTTTCCCTTTTGAGGATCAATAAAGTTCTTCTTACCTTATTGTTTTCATTTTGATCCACACTGAAAGAAACGTTTTCATAGTTTTACCTTCACTCAGACTGAGTTTGTGTTACAATTAAAACAACAAAGCAGACATCACACACACACACAGAAAATTCAAGGGAGGTGAATTGAGCAGCTATAGCAGAGATGTCAACCCATGGCACGGTATAGATAATGACAGGTTATTTATGCAGGCTGTGAAAACTCTTGTGTCAACAACAGCATTTCTATTGTTTAATGAATTCTCATCAGGCAAGTTTTAAACTCATGGTTTAAGCGCAACCATACAGGAGATGGCGATTATGCAACTCTTCAACCTCAGAAGTTATTCTCTCTACTCTTCAACCAAAACCATTAATCCCACTCTGCACTAATGCAGGCTGTGTGTGTGTGCCAAGTGTGGGGTTTCAGTTTAGAGTGCGTAAGACTCACTATCACAGCCTAAACCTGAAGAAGGAAAATGGTGAACCAAATGGAGAACTTTCCAAACACTTAGATAGTTTTGTCATCTGTGAATCAAATCAAATGTTCTGTATCTGTGTCAAGATGGCACAGGCAGCATAACATTTCCATTTAAGACCTTTAAAGAACCACAAATGACTCATTTCTTTGGTTTGTTTGATACAAAGTCACACCAGCCTGAGTTGGTGAGCTGCCCGCTTGGTTCTCTTACTCTTCTATTTCCTGACTCGAGTGGTATAAAAAGTCAGAGCGGTTAGCTCATATAGAAAAACATTTTAAATTGAGTTTACACAGCTTAAGTTGAAATCCAAGAGAACTAGTAATTAAGAAAAAAAATAATCAGCCTGTTGAATTCTGGCCATAACTTGGTTTACATTAATCTACACAATGTTAAAATGTAAAATCGTAAATCACCTCTTGTCTTGTCATAATGAGTTTAACTACCTCTGGATGATGTTCGGCTCCATTGAGCCACAGCAGACATTTTCCTGTTTCTTCTCCTTGCCATGAAGACAGCATGGTTTAGCACACATGTTTGGAGCAGAAATAGCAAATCTTCCCTGAACTGGATCTAAACTGGATCAGTGATTGCTCACAGCAGGCAGGAATCCATTTCTACTTACATTATGTAACACAATTACACTGTGTACCTTTTCTCTATGCAGCTGACCCACATTATGGTTCTCACGTTGTAATTACAGACGTGTTTAAGTCGCTCTGGATGTAATTAAAGTTTCCACTGCTGAATATAATCATTTTTCATCTCTGCTTTGAGTCACTTTTCTCATTACAGCCCCCCCAATGATGAAGTCATCTAACCACTTTAAACTGAGACTGTGTTTGTCGAAGCTGAAGCTGGAGGCCTGGAATTTGGACAGAGGAGCATTATTGGAGGTTTGAAACAGGATCAAATATTTATTCACTGCTGTGTGACTTAAAGATTATCATGAAGAAAAAAAAGGAGCAAGATCAGAGAGTCAATGAATGACTGCACACACTCACTGATAAATCTTCAATACTGTAAAACAGTGACATCTAGACAACACCAGAAGCTAAATTAATGTTAAATGATCTGAAATGTGCGGTTGAAGTCCAGGCCACCCCAGACTTTTAACTCACCAAGCAAAACATACAGGAGGGTTAGCACGTCGACAGTAAGTGGGACCACCCTGACCGTGGCCACAAAATGACAGAAAAATTTTAAAATTCATCTGGTTGAGATAAAATAAGAAAATTCAATTTAAAAAAAATGTATCATAGACTCTTTTCAGGCAGCAGGAGAACAGGTGAGTTAGTCCAGAGGGAAACTGGTGGAGCAGAGGACGTTCGAATAGCTTGAAATAAAGACAACAAAACAATAGAAAAGAAAAACACGCAATGCTCATTAAGAGATGAGTCAGATTAAATCGATTTCATTCTAAGAGACTAAATAAAAAAACATCCCTCAGAGGGATTTCACTTTCTGCCTGCTGTTTGCCATTTAAACCTCAGCAGGACAGATTAAGATCAGAATAACTTTCAAACACATAAAAAGAATATCATATTTTTTTCATATTCAATAAAGAGATTGTTTGGTGCTCTTTCTTGAAATAATAATACAATAAAAATCAACATTTAGTTTTCAGCTTCTTACAGCTACAAAAAAAAAAAAAAAAAAAAAAAAAAAAAAAGACAAGAGTCTGATACTCAAACACTGGCAATCCACTGTGGTTGCACAGGTACATCAAATAAACTGTGTCCTTGCCCACACTGCAGCTACATTAACTAAAATTGTTTCACCACAATATGATGACTAATACCTCTTTTTACACCAAAAAGTGTTTATGAGCAACACAGTAGCTATTGGTTTATCTGACCTTGTGGATTGATTGGTTTTATCTAACTCATGATTGGATCATTACGTTGTTTGTGTTACTGTTGCAGCGATTTAATCTTTTCAGATATTGGTTCTGTTTGTTGCAAGTTCATCTACTTCAGTTTAATATAAAAAATATGTTTTAAACCTTTACAACTATTTAAAATACAATATTGCAAAAGTGATTTGTTTATACCAGAGTAAGGATATTTTTTCTCCAGCATCCTATTACAGAGATCAAAATATGCCAAATCCATGTGTCTGATTTTGAATAAATTCATCTTGAGCCGAGCTATCTCAGCATCTGATTGATCAGTTTGGTAACATGTGAAGAGTACCAAGTAAGTGCTGCTGTTGCAAGGAGAGGTGCTGATCAGCAAAAAAGTGAAGGCCTACAGTAAGTGACGTCAATATACCTGATAAATCAACTCCGAGTGTCTTCATGTAAACAAGTCTGTTCTCTGGAGATCATCATATTTTACAAACTCTGAGAAAACTGCCTCAAAGTTAAACACAGAATCCAGACAAAAATCAACACAGCTGCGTTTGCTGAATGCAGGAAGGACTGAGAGGAAACAGGAAAATGTTGAGAGTCAATGTAAAAAGTGAGGTTTTTCCACCATTTGTGCATGTTATATCTGACTATTATCACTCCTTTTTATTACCTTAAACAGATTTGTTGCTCTGATTTATACTTGTGGTGTTTATAACAGTTTTAGATGCAGCCCTGATGGCATCAATCGGAGCAAAATCCAGATAAATGAGACAAAAATGAAAACATAAATTGAAGCCAAAAGTACACATAAAATATGTACATCTAATAACTAAGTTACCTTGCTGTTTTCTCTGTTGAAGGAGGATGTTGGATGAGCACAATAAAAAACTTAGACAAATATTTTTCACGTGCAAAACAGCACAGGTCAGCAGAGTGTGCCACCAGCATCTCCCTCGTGATGTTTTTATAAATGTCGCTGCTGGTTTGTGTCCTTAACGGTTTGCATTGGTGTTGATTTGTGTCATGTCTTGTCACGTTTTATATCACTGATGGTTTGTGTTGTCAGTGACTTCTGTTACTATTATGTTGAGCAGCCCTGCAGTGACTTGGGTCAGATCTTAAAGGATTCAGGCGACAAGAACATAATGGGAGAAATCACGGGATGGCGTGAAAAAAAAAATCAGCACCATGTGTCAATTCAGTTTCCCATCAGCCATCAGGAAGACACCGGGAGGGGGAGGAGAGAGATGAGAGGTCAGGGGAGAGGAAAGAGTGTGAATGTATTTCTATTAAATGAAGCAAACAGCTCCTGTCACAACTGTTCCTTCTCTCTATCTGTGAAATTGTGCTTGTAATTTGCAATAAAGCCTAAAGCTCTTAAAGCCAACAAGTCTCTATCAATAATACGTCTGTCACAGCAGAATCTGTGTGCAAAATGTTGGCTCTGAAAGTGTGATGGTTTGCATTTAGAGTCATTTGATGCAGTAATGGTGTTCACTTATCTTTTCTCTCGACTCCAAATCCATTTATACTTCCCAAGTTATTAGCAAAGGATCCACAGATAAACAGGAGCCTTTAGAGGTACATTAACATTAAAAGGTGGGGTAGGCATGACTCTGTTGAAGAAGCATCTTTTTTGTGGAGTATATACAGTAAAGCTTTTAATATCAGTCAATAGCTATTGGTTATTGATGACATTTGAGAACACCACGATATTGCTGTGTTCTGTTATGTCTGTGTAGTCAACATTTTAAATTTCTTGAGAGGCCCGGTCTTTCTGACTGCAAACAAAGCAATTCTCCGCCTCCCCCAATCTGATTGGTTGTGAGGCAGACGCTGCTCCCCCATATTGTGAAGCACGGTCCACATCCTTGAATGACGTTCACGAGCCCAAACAAAGTTAGCGTGCTACAATATCGGACAGCAGAAACTAACCAGAAAGTACAGAATTTTGTTAGAATCCTCCTTTGGCCATGACTGCCAACACAAGCAAGAAAACCAAGTAAATACTCTGGCGAAATAACGGGTGCTTAAAAAGGAGGTAGAACACCTGGTCAAGAACTAAAAAGCCAGGTCACCATCAATGCAGCATTTGGAGGACGCTTCAGAATCTTACGGACCCTGTAACATTTATGCTGAACAGGTAAACCGCTTTGACAAAGTTAGCCAAGTGTCTGTAACAGAAGTGTTTCTTGTCAAACGGGACCTGCTGTGTGTTGTAGAGCAGCTAAACTGTTTAGCTCAGATCCTGGACTATCACTTTATCCTAGTTGTAGAAATCCTGCAAACATTGTGTTTGCTGTTAATCTGTTGGCATCTCCAGTAGCACTGAAGATTAGGGATGTTCTGAAGTGGCTATAACCCCAATCAGTTCAATGGGGGTTTAAATTACAACTAACTAACTGCTTTCCAGGGGAGAGGTTTAGATCCTTACTGCAATTTGAAAAAATAATGGTCTTTATCCAACACAAGTATGAAATGAAAAATTTCAATAAAACACTAATACTATTTATAATTTGTGTCTTTAAGTCAATTAACACTTCTGGATCAAACCCCCTTCTCTTCTATCACACAGTGTTCAGCACTCAGCTCTGACACCTGCATGAAGACGTGCTGAGCATGATGTGTGTCAGGTTATATGACTGCGTATTCTGCAGTATTCAAATGATATGCTGCTCAGCTCTACATGGGATCATAGAGTCTGTGGTTATTCAATATCCAACTGGTTAGCTGAGTAACATTAGCACAGTTGCCCCCACCGGCTGCTCGCAAGTTAACATCTACACAACGACACACTGGGGTTATGAGGTCTGGAGTCAAGTGGTCCTCACAAAGACAGAGCACAAACACTCAAACACACACAAACACACACACACACACACTCACATCCCATGTGAGCACACACACAGCTGATGATTTTAACATGATCAGACAAAGCCAAACTGTGTAGAAAATTCAAATTATCAGCTTGATGTGGTTTCAGTCGTGAGTGTTTGTATGTTCGACTTCAGAAGTGAGGATATTTTGTCTAATGTTCTCATTGTTCAGAGCTGCGTGAGGTTTGGCTTCTGGGGTTGAAGATCACAGGATGTCCAGAAAAAATCAAATAGAGATGATTTTGTTGAGTCTGTAGACTTAAAATATCTCCTCTGTTTGACCAATTTCTTTTATTTCTGACATTATTTTGATTCAGGAAATTTACATGCAGCTGGAGATACTTGCAGTATCATATTACTAAATTTCAGAGCTGCCAAGCTTCATGCTTTGAGTGTGACAGTCACTCAATTTGACCCATTCTCACACCGCACGCCACTCTTGACATTTCTCACACTTATTTTTCCCCATTCAATACTCTGTAATTATGTTTATTATGATAATAAACATGGCTTGCTGTAGTTCGAGTAACTCTGATTGACTGTACTGAGATAACTAATCCCAGACCAGTCCATCAGTCCTTTGTGCCTAAATCTAACCAACCACGGAAGGCACCACGCAATATAAACCAATCAGAAGCAATGTAAGGCAGGTCTTGGCATCTCTAACTATCTTTCACACACAACAGGGCAGACATTTAAAACCCACTTTCTAATTTCTGGTTAATTGAGACTAGCATTAGGAGGCCACAGTGCAGAAAGAGCAGCTGGCGTGAAGGTGAGGATGTCAGTCTTGAGTTATAAATCGACGTTAAAAAAGGCAAAAAAAAATTCACCAGCGGGCGAACACATCGTAACGCTAAGGTCTCACTCTTGTTTCTGAACCTTGGAAGCGCTGAAATATGTTAACTGTATTTTGTACACCTAGCCCTTTGTTCAGGCTTAACCAGTAGTTTCACACAAGCAACAGTATCTAGTAATTCCATAATTGCAAACAGGAAAATTAGCTCCCACTGTGTTGACATGAGCTATGAACTGAGGGTTTGAGGCAACATTATAGAAATAGAGTAATTAGCACAGAGAATTAACACTATACAGATGGTAAACGACTGTATGTTACAGGAAAAGTGAAGCCTCTCTTTCTACAACTACAAGGAAACATCCTGCAATCCATTTCCTGCTCGGCAGTTTCAGGTAAGTGAAATGACGTCTGCTAGAAATGCCTAAAAGGTTAACGGTTAACAGCCCCGCTTTCTGGCAGAAAGTAATAAAAGGTAATCATCTTCTTCTTCTTCTTCTTTGAGCTTGATATTTTTGCTCAAGACTTAATGGTAGGGAGAGGAGGAAGAAGATACTGATGAAAAAGCAGGGAGGATGGAATATTATTAGGCTGGATGTGAGAAAATGTCAGACTTGATTCTGGTGGTGAGGGAGCGCAGTCCAATGCAAAATACAAAAGGTGGTACAGCTGGTGCAATGCACTGGGGCCCACACTCTTAACAGGAGTATCTATGATGTTCTTTATCTGTCATTGTAATGTTGTGGGGAATATAACAAAAAAATGAAGAATAAAAGATTATCTTACGTGTATTCTTGTTTTTCCCTCCAGCCACTCATCTGCTTGTCTACCTCTACACCTCCCCCCCCCCCCCTTACCTTTTCTATCCTCCTCAAGGCTTGTCTGTAACTTTTGTGTTGTTGCTTGCAATGAAATGTTTTTTTTGGGGATTACATAAAAAAGTAAGCACCTACACTATATATGTTTTGAAATCACATCAAACTCTTCAGAGGACTTTAAACAATTACTAACAGTATAATTCCTCAGAGCATTGACAAATTCACAATATGGCTATAGATGAAATACCACATTCAGAGAGCTGAACCCAACACTGATATGCAGAGAACTGCAGCATTAATCTCTATATACAGCAAATCCGACTTCAACCTTGACTCAAGATGGAAGACAAAAGAATTGAATGAATTGAGTACAAATAAATCAGTTAAAGGAATATTCTGGTTAATTAAGTTGGGGTCAAACACACAAAAACACAGAGGTCATCATCCCCTTGAGAGATGAATGTTGCTGACCGCTTGCTTCTCAAGTTTTACCAACTTTAATAATGACCGCAGATAGCAATATACAGTGATCTACGTCTCCACACGCAAACCTCAAGCCGCTTGTTTGTGAGGGAGCCCTGACGAGTCGATCACCGAGTGCAGCGGAGTTTGGCAGCTCAAGGAAGAACTCCAACCCCACAAACAAGCGGCTGCTGAAGGAGAGTAGGTGAGTTGTGTTTAGTCTCTTTGCTAAAGAAATCAGGCAAAGCTAAAAAGATGTTTGATGGCTAGTACTATGGCTGGGACCCTATATGTACTGTTGATGAAGTTAGTTGTTGTTCTAAGCATTATTTGTGGTTATAGAGTGGATTTTTGGTTGAGGTTTGTCCATGGAGTGATAGACCGCTGTGTATTGCTATCTGTGGTCGTTACCAAAGTTGATCAACTAGAGAAGCAAGCGGTCTGCAACATTCATCTCTTGAGGAAGTGTTACTCTGTGTTTGATCCTAACTTAATTTAAAGCCAGAATATCCCTTTAATTACTCGGCAGAAAAACTATTAGTATCAGCTGCTTTTTCTAGATAACAAGCTAAAAATCAATGAAAGAAAAAACTCTGCAGTTATCAGTTTAAAAAGAGAGTGACACAGATGTATGTATGTGTGTGTGTGTGTGTGTGTGTTCATGCACTTTGATATGTGTGTCCTCTTTTCATCAGTCAACCTTGCAAGCTTCCCACGCCACAGTTGACTGAACCGCTGCATCACATGACAGCCATTGACTTTACGTGTGTGTGTGAGTGTGTGTGTGTGTGTGTGTGTGTGTGTTTTCATTCTCTCTTGCACAACAGGCACTGCAGAACTGATTTAGGCCAGTGTTTAATCTCTAACAGATCAATGAGTTCTGCAGCACTGGTAGGAAAGAGAGGACCCACAGACTTGACTGACAGATTCATAATGAAAAAAAGAAAAGAAGATTTTTTTTTTCACAGTATCAAATGTACAACACAATCACTTCCTAAATGGATATTACTACAAAAAAAAATCTGTTTTCAAAAATACTTATTTATGGGTCATTTAGAAACAATGCAGCAAAGATACCACTTCAAGAAATCTCTGTATTACAGTCTAAAATGCTGGATCATTTTTCTGTGAGTATGTCACTTCTTGAACTACAAAATACTATGATTTTATCAATAGAAATCAATTCTGCTGCACTGATCTAAACAGGCTAAACTGGCTACCACCCCACTCTCCACCCCTCCCATCATTGCTCTCTCCCTGCAGAGGATTTGAGCTCAGTACCATTTTTTCTCAAAGGCAGCACCTCTAACCACCAAACCACATACCAGCCTGCTAGAGCTAGCCTTCTAAGGTCTTGTAATTCAAAAAAACGTCTTGTTATATTGTAATTGCACTGGTTCACTGTGCTTTTTTAAAAGGTGGACTCAAACTTCAAAGTGAAGGGAACATTTTATTCATAGTTTACAAGAAAATCCATGTTCTGGCTGGATTTGAATCCGGTCATATAAATAAAATGAAGCATCTCTTTTGATGATTGCCCTAAAACACAGCTCTGACAGCTGAGACAGGAAAGTTTTCAAATCTACCTCACGTGAAAAGTCCCAAGCTGGGATTTGAACCATGTATCACTCCACTTAAAAACTGGGTTCAGACTGCAGTATGGAGACAGCATTTCAGTCCTGGTCTGCATGGAGACCCTGTACAGGATTTGAACTGCTGCCTTTCAGTGACCTATTTCCCTGAAAGGTGGCAGCCCTCACCAATAGCCTGCCCATTAGAATTTATTTATCTATTTTTTATTGTCACCATTTTATCACGGTTTTTAAATTTTGTTCACCTGGAAGCTGCTGTGGGTCTCTGCATTGAGAAGCCACAGTGTTCTCCAGCACTAGACGTTAAACAGTTAGCACTAGAAGGACAACCACATGACTGACAACAACAGGTATGTAAAGACATGATAACTGTGTCTACTGTAGCAGCAAAACAAAAATAAAAACCTCTAATCGCGCTCACAATGGGAGGAAAGTTCAAACCCAGGGACTTTGAAATTGCAGAACCACTTTCAAGGTTTTCATGTTTTTTTGTCCTTGTGGTCCAGCATTCAGTGGATAAACCAAAGGACCTCTGAAACAATAGGTATCAGAGCACAAAACAGCTATCTGTACAGGTGAAATGGATAATAATGCAACTGCAGAACATTAGACTGACGCAAATGATGATTCACCTTTTTTTAATAAAGTTTATGGGAATGAGAAAATCACAGTGCTTAATAGAGGAGGTAATATCCTGAAGAGAGACATGTTTTGATTTCATATGCTCAACATAATAATACTGAGTGGACTAAATGATGATTCCAGTTTCAAATGTTTTTCAGACTCTGTACTTCTTTTCTGATACCTCTTTAATAGCTTTACATGATTTTCAGATTCAATAAAAAGCCTTGTGTTTTAAATACCATTATTTTAGCCTCTGTCTGAAGCTTGAAGTTTCTTTGCTTAACCAAACAAGAGGTCAACAGTCTTTGACTATATTCATAGGATGCAAGAGATGACAAACAAACCAAAACTTCTGTAAAAAGACAGTGAATAGGTGGCTCCCATACTGGCAGGAGAAGGGTTAATAGTTAAGCGCAACATGGACAAGTAAGAGCACACAACAACAATCAACATTACAGTCTTTCATAAGCTGATTAGGATGAAGTTTAGAGAAATGTGCACTACACTGAGTTAGGGGATGACTCTGCTCTGCTTACGCTGTCTTTGAAGATGAACATGAACAATGAAACAGCAGCGTACAGAGAAAATAAACCTTTTTCAGTCACCCAAGAGATATGAGGCTATATGGTAGCCTTTGTCATATGCATTATTACAATATGACCCAGTTTAAAAAGCAGTACAAACACAGGATTTTCACCAGGTACAGGGAGGAAGAAGGGCTTTAACCATCAGGTGTTTTCATAATTGATTTATGCACTTGTTTATTTACTCTATATTTTTATCTATTTTTTGGTAATATGCACTGTATGTTGGAGAGACTGAATGTCAATTGAGTAGCGGAGAAGAGGTAGGTTGAAATTAGCATAATGCTTCATCTTACTCCGTTTCGGACATGTCGGGTTTACATTATTCTTATTTTCATCATGTTTTATTAAATTTATTGATTTATTTATTTATGTTGCTTTGTCTATTGTTGTTTTGAATATTCTCATTGGTTTTGTTTGTTTTTCTCAGTTAACTTTCTTGTGTTACACGTACATGTTTGAAATACAGCATTTCATTTCATACAGTAAAATGATAGCTCCATAACAGTCCGTGTTCGTGGTGAATTATACCATTTCTGTCTCTTTGTCAGTGCAGCAGGATGGCATCAACTTTCTGTGCATGATCTAATAACTAAAGAAATCATTTATGTGAGAATAGATATTTTAATGATTCAAACTTATGTTAAAGGGAATAATAGAAAGTCATTGTTGGCCAGTTTTGAACATCCCTACGAGCCTCTGGCCAGATCTTGCAGTATAAAAGGCTGCTCTCCAGAGATGAGAGGCCATTAAGAAGAAAGGGAGTATAATTAAATATAGACTGTGAATTTAAGGAACGATACCCTATCATCAAGATGACAATTGGTGTTGATTGAAAATTCACTCTTTTTACCAAGCTGAGTGGTTCTTAAAATAATGTGAAACTCAACTTATAAAATCTCTTTTGTTTATGGGCAGATGGAAAGGTTTGTGTTTCAGTGCATGTGTAATTTTCAGCTCTAAACCAATCACCATACAGACATGCAAATAGCTTAAGAGGCTATAGCTGAAAAAACATTGGCTATGATTGAAACAAAACAATACTTTAAGGTAATCAAACAAATATTCTGAGGCTCAAGGATTTGTTGGTGATTTCCATGACTTTCCTCTTCTTAGTTTGTCACTTTTCATATATGAATCACTTTTTACTACTGAAGGAAATACAGATTAAAACATGAATATCCAGAGAGTGAGATCAGGGTTATCCATTCTGTTTGCAGCGACCTGACAGATCTCACAAAGACGCCGCTCCAGACTTTATTTGTATGACTTTTGCCTCAGAGAGTGATGTAGAGTACTCTGAGTCTACTGAGCCGTATAAATACTTTCATTTATTTCATCTACATGTCAAACAGTATTACATGTCTGCTGTAATGCCAGACTTCTTACACTCATTACAGAAGGAAACTAAACTTCTGGATGGATGAGATTTTTTTCTATTCTTAGACCCTCACCAGGAGTCTGATTCCAGACATCTAAATGACATCCCACAGCTCTCATTTCATCTGTCACTCAAACAGACCTTATGTTGACAGGCTCAGTACCTGATAGTCAGAGAAAGACATCACTATTAAAGTGTGAAAGACATGTTTGAACACTGTTGCAAGACTTCACAAGAAGGTAATCAATACTGTTCTTCAATCCACTTTCAACAGTTAACTGCTTACATCCAAGTAATGGACGGGTCAATCATGTACTGCTGATTAAATGAAGAGAAATCAACCTTTAAACATTTTTACCTTATGCCTTTCAATACCTTCTTATTCTGCTCCAAAGAAGACAACTCTGTACTCATTAGAGTCCATTCAACAAACACAAAACATGTCAATGGGGCTATTTCCGACTCGTGCACTTATCTTAGCCCACTGCATTTACAGAACAAGAGGATCTAATCACAAATGGAAGTACGTCACAGAAGAAGTTATACTAAATACAGGCAATAATATCAGTTTGATGACTGTGTGCAGAAAAGTCACAAAAAAGCTACTGAGCGCTTTCAGCCAAAGCTCTCCTGCTATTTGTAACAACATGCATAAGGTGTAAAATACGTAAGGTGTACGTTCCAAAGCATCTAATTAAAAAGTAAAGATTTTAATCTTAACTAAATGGCTCGTCTAAAATCAAATGAACACCCCTTAACAGTCTAAATTGAGCAAAATGTATCAATCAATCCTACACAACCATGTAGCACAAAGTGCTTAACACAAAAAAAGGAATAATAGAAACAAAGAATACCCAAATCTACCCCAGCCCAACCCCTCATTCCCACCCCACGATCTAAGTGCAACAGAAACAGTTTTAAAATGCATTAACTTAAAAGAGCTTGATTTTGTGGAAACAGGAATGTGGGTACTGGGACATGTTAATGAGCATATCATTACAGCTAAATATGAGCCCACTGTGTCGAGATACACGGTCAAATGGGTTACCTGTGAATGGCTAACGTTAGCAAAGCTAGCATCACCAGCCATCAGTTGTGTAGTTAGATGACAGTTTAGTTTGACAGCCAACCTGCAATGTTATATTCAACTGAATACTGCCAGTCATCTGTGCTTTGTCATGGCACTTTGGCAGCAGCCTTTATTCATCAAAGCTACAGAAACAGCTTAGTATTGGGTGCCTATGCAAGAGCTTAAATATGACATATGACAAGCATACTGGGTCACACTCAGTGCATTTACATGTACAGCTCAATCGGACTAAGCTCATAATTCTTTTTTTTTTTTTGGCAGAATCGGACTTCTCTCCTTGTCCATGTATACATGCAGCTGAGAAAATCAAATTATTGACGTGAAAGTGTCCTCTCCCCCCAAACTGTTTCCGGTTGACCCCATACAACTGTCCACAACTTCGAGTGAAGCCGGCGTCTCCCATCTGGTCAGCAACTTTTTTTAAAGAGGTCTCCGTTCCTCATTTTGCGACCATCCATATACTTCAAAATGTCCATTTCTTTCAGGAGGGAGAACATAGGGGCACTCTCCTCTTTGCTCCAAAAGTGCTTGGAGTACTGTACACTCTTTTGTGCTTCATGTTGCAGTTGCTTCTGAGTCGAAAGTTCTTTCAATGATACTGCCACTTCTTCTCTGGTGTTTTTGTTACAGGGTTGTTCAGGGCATGGTGCACGTATACATGCATTCATACTCTGACCACGCTGGTTATATGGTAGAGAAAATTGAATTCCAATTGCATTATCTGGGTGTCTTAATCTGAGTTCTCAAACTCTGATTATAGTCGGACTAAGATGCTTACATGCACTTCAGTTGTTTGGTATTAATCTGAGTAAGGCAATAATTTGGTTTTCTCGAGTGTCATGTAGACGTACTCACTATAACTGACTAATAAATTAATCTTCAACTCAGTGACCATTTTGATTATCTGACTTTTCATTCTGATTCGAACAAGTGAGGCTATTAATGTTCAATGATACAGTTTACAAAACATTAAAGTTCATCGTTAACTGCATTAACTCTATAAAAAAAGAAACTCTCACTAGTGTGGCTCATTAGCAGATGTATTTTATTTACTTGGAATTCAGACAATCTCCCCTGATCACTGCTCAGCAGATGCTAAAACCAGAACTATAGCATGAAAAGTTCACTGGTTAGATAACAGTCATTTCAGGAAACATGATACCAGAGTTGGACCAGTAAACCACAGAGGAAAGACACGGGATAGAAACAGAAAAATGTAGATCATCACTGTCAGATTATTTCTAACACCGCTGTGCCCTAAAATTTCCTCTCCTCAAAGATCAAACCCGCAAAAACACCGGTTTGCAGTTAGCTGGATTATGAGCAGGCCTTTTGAACCTGACCCATCGGTGAACTTCATTCCACAGAAAAGAGACAGGGCTTTATTTCAATTACAAGCTTTATGACACCAGGATCCTTTGGTGTTTCAAAGATGCAAGTTTTAGGGCCAGAGGGGGATTATTCAAAGATTACTAGCGTGAAAAAAAAAGGTCTAAAATTTAGTTTTGACTTGTTCCCACGTCCTCTGTGGACCAGCGGCTCCATGATCCAAACAAACCACAGACTGTTAGCTGAACAAAGGCAAGACAAGCCATTTTGGGCCTGATTCTTCAACATCTCAAGGTATTAACACGGGGATAAAACTTTAACAGGTTGGCATTTGTTGGTTTTTCATCTCCAAAATCCATCTTTGGACTAACAGTTTCTCCGTCTTGTTGAAGTTTTGGTTGCTCAGATTTCAAAAACAGCCGTTGTGAACTCACATTATCCTGTTCATCATGTCTTTGTTTGCTTATCGTTTGTCGTCTCGGTTTGATTTTCTGATTAATGAGTCTGACATAGAAATGCTTTCTGGGGGCCAACTCTCAAATCTGGAAATGTTCTTGGGTGTATCAACATGGCCGGTTATCAAAACAGTCTCTTTTCATAACTGCATCATTAGAGGACATTGACAGAAAACTAAAATACAGAAGCAAGAGAAATAAACACATTAAATATATCCTGTACTTTGAAATGGAAAGTTTTGCAGGTTGGTTTCACTGGATTTAAACAAAGGAGGATTTTAATGAAAACATCAATCTACAATTCAGTTTTCATAAAGATCAACAAGACATTGAGTTTATGCTTTTAGTTGGAGCGAAAAATGTTTAATCTGCAGTTCCTAAACCAATATTTCATGTTCAAAAACTTCAGATGATTTCAGTGAGTTTATCAGACATGAAGGAATTATGTTTATTCCCCACATAAGTAGAAGATCCAAACTAACACCACTACAACACTTCAACAGTATTTGAAGATCCTGCAGTGTCAGGGCTGCATACTGCTAAAGCTGACAGTAGACTGTACCACTGGGTGTAAGGTTGATTATTACCTTTCAACCAATCACAAGGCTGTGTTATCTACTTGATTCAGATTTTCCTCTATGGAAAGCTGCCAATAGTGGTTGATTGAAGTAAAGTCATGATTGGTATCTATAAGGGTGACCATATTCTGACTTCCCAAAAAGAGGAAGCGACTACACAGGGGCGGAGTCACACAAAGTTAATTTTGAGAGTTTTTCAGGTCGGATTGAGTGTCTTTTACACGCTTCTAACTCAGTAAGTCCACGTGACACAAACTCGAAACGTATGTACAATACCGCAGACATTTGAAGGATTTTATAAACTTTCCCAGACAAAGCCAGACAAACCTGGACAGCCCCTAAAAAAAGACGACATGTCTGGGTAAAGGAGGGCTAGTATCTATACTTTGGATTCAGTGTGTTCAGGAACCTTCTGAATCCTTAGTTGTCAAACGGAGACAATTACTATAGGTCATAGCAGAGTCCAACGGATGATGGGCACCCATGGGACAATGATTTTTTAAGTTATGTTCAGAGGGGGTACATAAATTTGACTCTGTTGCTCTTTATTCAACATATTGAAACTATTTTTAAAACAATGTTTTGAGTTAACTTGTTTATTTCCATGACTGGGTTAGGGTTTGTTGAACAGCTGAGGCTATAGGAGGTTGCGTTTTAAACCCACAGGGAACCCTGACCCTATCTGGGTGGTTGATGTGGGTTTTGCATTTGCATTTAAAACGTTGGCTTCCATTGGTTATGAATACCAAATATTTCAGAAAACATAATAAATCAAGATTAAATATTATCTTCTCATCACTTATTTAAAAAAAACAGCACCCCATTTGTCTTTAACTGTCTCAAAGCCCAGACTCTTCATTCTGCTGAGAACTACCTGAACCACGAATCTGTCTCCTACTTGTGTGAAAAGTATAAACACAGTCTCCCTTCGCAGGTATTCTTTGCTGGTCTTGCCGTATTTTTTTCACCCAGCTGTCATCCTCTGAAATGTTATCCTATTTGCAGTCCACCATCTGCCTGAATTTATGAGAATTTTGTTTACTTCCAGCCAGGCTGGGACATTTTAGATTTGTCACCAGCCAAGACTTGTGATGTTTAACGATCTTCATCTGCTTGCCTCCAAAATAACTGAGACTATACGTTTTTGCCATAACCAAGAAGCCTAACCCCAGCTGCTCAAAAACTTAGTCATAGAGGAACTTTGAGCTCCTTCCTTAACTGGCAATGAAACAGACTTAAACTTACACTAAGGCCTCTTTTTGACCAACTAAGTCTTATATTTTAAAAAGATACAGTTTTTACCACAGCGGTGCAAGATTGAAGCATCTATGGTAGGGGATCTGCCACTTACTAAATATAAAAGTTAAAATAAAACAAATGCTTTTAATCTCTAAAGTTTTTACACTGATTTGTATACTTTTGAGCAATAAGTAAAAATAATTATCGGTGATAATCCATTTAAATTCTGTTTTGCTAATTGCAGCCAAATACAAGCTCTATTTTCAGCGGTTGCCTGGTAAGAATCTGATAAAGTGAGTTTCAAGCTTGTTTACATTTTCTACAGCAAAGACTCACGAGAGTTTTAAATGTCTGACTGTAAAGACAGAATGAGATCTATCAACAGAAAACCCAACAACTTACACACATTCAGGACAAGATCAGCAAAGAAACTGAGTTTCTGCTATGACCACAAGGGGGAGCCAAAATCACTGCTAACTGAAAATCCACATAGCAGCTTTAAGCTGTTTGATGGAAAAATAACACAAAAATTACAGAGTACAAATGGTGCTGTGTACGAGTAAACTTAACAGTAGTCCATTTCTTGAAACCTGTTTCCCAGCAAATCAGTCGGTGATCAGATTTGGGTTACAGGTCTTTGGTCTTCAAACAGTTAAACCAGAAGACCCTTTGACCCTAGTCCAGAGCTTCACCTGCAGGGAATTATCTAATAACACCAAGTTTACTTCTGTTTCATATACCTTGCGGCCACAAATCCTTTCAGTGTGTGTGAGTGTGTGTGTGTGAGTTACGTGATATACATTAGCTGCACATATTTGCTTCTATCGTTTCATCTTTTCATCCCTGCAGTCTGTTTGCATTCCCTGCACCTTATATAGCTTTTTGTTGTTGTTGCTCAAAGATGATTTCCTGGGCACCATGAATCTTTTTCAGCCTCCAGACTGAATAACAAAACACTTCAATACTTGAGTATTTCTTTCTTAAAAGGCCTACAAGAGAGTTTTTTTAACATGATGTTCATATCAGCGGCATCATTGAGACTTTTTGAAACTGTACAGACATTGTTACAGAAAGAATTTGTGTGATAGCTTTCTGAATAACGATGAGATCCTCCTTTTTTCAGTTTAATCTCTTTGGCATTTGGCTTACAGCTGAGGAGCTCTTCATTTAGAAATTTCAGTCTGGCTATTAAAAGGTGTTTGAAGATCTTTCAAAGACCAGAGGTGAAATATCCTCAAAAAATTCAGCCAAATGCTTTCATCTCCTGGATCAAACCTTGAATTACTGCTTCTGGACTTAAATGTTAGCTGTAGAAACAGTTTCAATCCTTTGTCATTTTCAGCCATGTTAGGGCCAGAGCATTTTCAGTCACCACAACCCCAGCTAAACATGACACAAGGCCAGACGTCTGCCTGCAGAATCAGTGGAGTGTCTCACATATTGTCAGGGAGCTGGAATACTGAACATCTGCTGAAAATTTATAAAGCCTGCTGCTGTGTGGGTCATAAATATTGACTCCAGAGACACCAGAAACTCCAGAGGAAGTCTGTGATACGCACTTCTGTAAGCCAACGATTCATTTTCCTCATTTCACAAACACCCCTTCATCCTACTCAAGAAAATTGTTCGCCTTCAGAGGTGAATGAAGAAACAGAGTGGCAAGACGGATGTGATTATCTTTAAATTTTGAGCTGCTTAACAAATTAAGGATCTTTGCATTCTTGAATTTCTTATTTTTAAGGTTTATGGAGTTGAAGGTTATTTGTTATCCAGAGGAAAAAGGAAAATTGATAAACTTACATTTGTGTAAAAGGTCCAGTCCATATCTTCTAAACATGTCACTGTCACAGTCCGGGGTTCAACAAAAGGGAAAGGACCCAAAATGCAGACAAAAAAGGACTTATTTAAAAATAACTAAATGAAAAGCAACAAAAACTTACTTTAAATGTAAGTTGGTTCATACAATGAACCAACAAGGACAGAGGGAGGACAGGGACTATATACACACTGGGAAACGAGACACAGGTGAGGCAAACGAGACACAGGTGAAACTCATGGGTGATTAACGAGGGAGGGAAGACTAGGGAAGTAAAACCAGACTAGAAATACAGGGAACAAGCTACTACAAAATAAAACAGGAAACACTGAAAACTGACATAAAGAATAAAACACAGAGAACAGGAGGGAAACACAGTCAAACAGAAACTAAAAACTCACAAGACAAGACTACAGAGGAACAGGAACAATAGGGAACAGAAACACTAGGGACAACACAAAGAAAAATACACTCAAATCACAAAACCAAGGAAATACTTAATCAACGGAACATATCATGACACTCACAGCACTAAAAATTCCTCCTCCACACATGAAGTTAACTTTTGCCTCTTACAGCTTGTTTCTTTTTATGTACACCGTCTACTCAGTCACTTGTAATGACCCCTTTGTATTTTCAAGTATACTGTGGTTGTGTTAAAGCTAAAACTTACAATAGTATATCAAATTAGAAGTAACCCTGGTTTTTAAATGTAACTGTTTAATATATCTATAGTAAATACATTTCTGCCAATCTGTTTACTTGACAATTTTCAGTTTGTATATCAAAAAACTCCCTTGAAAACCAGGGAGTGGTGACAACATGGTGACTTTCAGGTCATATGATGGACACCATTCGGCCAGAGATGATACTTTTGCATGTGTACACATTGCAAGTGCATTATTCAAAGATATCTCATGCAGCACTATAATATGTATTCCCAAGATGTTTCAAAAATTATCTCACACACATTTCAGTCAACAAAGCGATGCCCCTCATCAAGGGATTTTTTGTGCTGAAGTGTAAACACATTCATCCTGTTGGAAAAATGGACATTTGAACACAGGAGCTAATGACAATCAAAGCCCCTGTCAGGACCCCTTTACTGACCGTTAAACAGACTGAAATTGATACAGATGCCTCTTCATGATCAACAAAAGCAAACCAGATCATCTGCAACAAGACTGTCAGTTTTTACACTAAAAATTTTGCTGTCTCGGGCAAGACGACAGACAGCATGTTTGAACAGACTCTCTTAACTGCAGACACTCATGAGAAGTAATACAAAAAAAGCAGGGAGACATATTAGATGGAAGTTATCAGATGGAAATCTTTGCCAACAGAGGGCACCAAATTCAACCCAACGCCACAGTTCCTCAAGGAGATCTGACACAGAGAACTTCCCTGTCCCAAAGGTGATATTTGCCTTGGGAAACAGAGCAAACTAAAAATACAGCCAAGTGCCACCTAAAGCAACAAATATACAAGAAAAGATTCCTTAAGAGATGGCAGTATGTTGCACTCCTGCTTTGGCTTCATTTTTTAGCACCCAAGGTTGCTGCTTGGCCTTTACTGGGGTGTTTTAAAGATGTGCTCTCACTAATGTCATCTCACTGTGTCAATAGTTGAATGGCACCCTCAGGAGAATAACACTTTACTTTCATAAGTGGTGAATGGAAACATGAATCTGGTTATTTGTTACTTTGCTGAAAGCTTGAATACATCTTGTGTAACATTTAATGGAAACCAGGTGAGGGTTTGGGAATTTCAGAATAAAGAAAATACTTTTTGTTGACTGGCATTTCTACCTCTGAAAGTGGAAACATTCATGTGAAGCTCTGTACATAATGTTCAGAGCATTTTACTGCCTCTGCAGATATATTCAGCCTTTTTGAAAATACTTGATTGCCTTTGACCTGTAAAATGAATCCTCTCAGGAACCTTTAATCTTTGCCATAAAAAAAGTCAAAGCACCTCTCTATGGCAGCTGTGGCATCAAAAAACAAAGTCGTCAAACAATGCAAAGCAAGATTAACTGTAAAATATTTCCATATGCACCAGACTTAGATCATATGAGTCATTTTCCAATAACACCAGTACCCACAACAAGCAGTTTGTATGATCTGAGATGTCATCTTTTTAATATGTTGAGTGTAAGAAAGAAATACAGCCATGAAATGTCATCCAAATGCCATCACTTTACATTTCACTGTGACATTAATGTGTCGCATCAATCCACATTTGTGACTGCTGCTTACACAAACTCTGTTGAGATTACAGTTGTCTGCTAACATACATGTCATGTGTTCACATCAATTAACAGCCTGCAGGCATATCAGCCTACATAAATCTAATCTATGGTTTTAACGAGACCTGCTAATATTGATCTGTTTTTGCATTTGTCTTTCACTAACCTCCATAAGGGAGATCATTGGTTTGGTTTCTAGTCATTTTTAATGTACCACCTAAATCTAAACATTTCTGCTGTTTGTCATCCTCTGATATCACTCAAAAGCAGACAATTGTTTTGAGGAATTCATCCGTTCATTGTTTCCATTTTCATTTCAGTATGCTGGCCTTTTCTCTTGTTTAAGTAACTTTCAGTTCCTGCTGTGTCTGCCTATATAATTGACCACCACACCCTCATCAATCTCTCCTGTTCCTCATTATCCTTCCCTCCCTGGTGTATTCAGTCTGTTCGCCTCCTAAGTCCAGTTCATTATGGGAATTCTGCAGACGTCTTACGCCAATTCCACACAGCTAGGACTGTTGCATCCTGCTGTCCTGTGTTAGCTGTACGGAGGCAGAATGGTGAGGCGATGTATCGCTTTTTAGCCTGCAGCAGATAATGTTCCAGTGCCAGCAGGATGGAAAAACCCTGTGTATGTGTATGTGTATGTGTATGTAAAGCCTGTGTTGTTTGTGAACTCGTCATATCTGTTGGTCTCTCGATCTCTGATTGTCTTTCTTACAATGTCAAGTTTAAATTTAGCACATTTAGTCCACTTCATACTGTTTCAGCTAAGTTACAGTCATTTAAAATGTAATAATGATGCAACAGCTTTAATACAGAAACTTTCTGACAAATATCTTCCTCTATAAACAACCTTAGGCGCTTCAGACATGTATCTTGAAGGGACAGGATTAGAAACATACCAATCCATGAGTGCCTGCAGACACAGAGCTCTGGAAGCACATCCACAGTGGGAGATTGGACCTTCAACTTACATACTAGAGATATCTTTAACTTAATCAACATTTAAAGGGTAGGCTGATCAAGAAAAGGTCACCGAAACATCTAAATAAACACGCAGGTTGAGAGGAAGATGCACCCTCCTCTCAATCCAAGTACCAACATTTAACAAAAACAACAACAAAAAAAAACTAGGGCTATTCCCTGACACAGATGCATTAAGGCCCAACAATTGAGCTCCTGGGATCATTGGGACACACAAACCCCTCCACCATGATAAAGTGGAAGCTCGAGGAGCAAAATAATTAATCACTGAAATAATGAGATCATTTAATTTCCTTTAAACAGCTGAGAAGTGAAGGCCCTTCTTCCAGTGCACACATGCTTTCCAAGCTCTACGATGTCTGCCCAGGTCCTTCTCTACTAATAGTGAACATGGAAAAGTGTCCCTCCAGCATGTTGTCATAATCCAGAAACTCTGAGAAAACTACGACATGAGTAAAGGAAGAGGTAAATCACATATGCTACTGAAGACTGAATTCAATACAGCTGCACTAGCAAAATGAAGGGGGAACTATCAGAGAGGAAAAATTATAGAGAGGGTATGTGAAAATTAAGGCTCATTAGATCTCTTTCACATCATCAGTATGAGATAGATTAAACAACTCCCAATTATTTCCTTGAATAAATGTGCTGCTTTAATGCATTCTGGTGAATTGTGTGACAATTTGAGATGTTTTATCTCAGCTGCAGTTCAGATATAAAATGGAGGAATGGGGAACCAATACAATAACCAATATGGAAACATGTTTTAAAGTGGCTCTGTGTAATTATAAAATTTACTAGTATAATAACTGAACACCTGTTTGTATACATCTCAGGTGTTTATTGTAACTCATGTATGTATGTTGATTATTTGATTGATAGATTGAATTTGACCAAAAAGTGAAATATAGCAGATTCTTTAAATGTACCTACATGTCAACATTTGACTTTAAAAAGTAAGACAGACAACCGCTGAAGGTTTTTCACATCAGAGCATTTGTGTCACAGATGCTGATGCCAGAGTTTGTACCTCACATGTAAGACTGTTGCAAAGAATTTTCTCTGTATCTACCTGCACTGTCACACAAAGCTGCTTGTAATATGCAGAGGTCACAACATTGTCTGTGAATGAGGATGTGGCTTATCGATCGATTGTCTCCAAACAGGAGGAGACACAAACTCAGACAGACTTCTAAATGTTTGACACCAACACTCTCAGTATGGAACGGTGCCTTGAGAGGAGATGGATGAAATGTGTTACATGTGACCCTTTAACCCTGAACTATGCCTGGCAGGAGAAACAACAGTGGTGGATTAGGAGCAGCTGGGTGGAGACGCAGCGGACAGTGAGTCCCCCATCTTGAGCTCCTTATCTGCATCAGTCTGTGAGACGGATGGAAGCAGCCGGGCAGTGACTTTTCTGTCAGGCGACAGGTTTGAACCATGAGCGGCTGAGTAAATACCAACCTGCCGGCAGAATATCAACACAGATTTCACAGATTTACTGTTGCAGCAGCATGCCAGACCACCACCCGCCTATAAAGGCCCTCAGGGACCCACGGACTACCGATGGTTTGTTTCATATGAATGAGAAGCTATCTTAAATCACATTATTTTAATGATCCCTGTGGATGGCAGATGTTTGCCAGCTGCTGTAACAGTCAATCAAGGTGGGAAAAATCAACTAAAACACCGTTCATCAAGATACATCTTCTAAATGAACACCTGCACCTGCTTCAATTACTGAATCACCAAAGGCTGGAGCAGAACAAAAACAACCAAAATTAAACAGCCAGATAATCTCTTAATTATTGCTAAGAAAGTCTCAATAGCTTAAAGATTACATCAGGCCTCCTGCGGTAACATGTCTGCAAGACTGAGACACCAAATGCAACAACATATTGTCTGTTTATTTAGCATGCATAGCTTACAGCACAATTCTGTGAAAGTGGTAGGAGTGTGGCTTCAGTTCAGGAAAGAAAACAAGGCAAGGTGCAGTGCTAGGAGGAAGGTAATTAGCTGTCATGCAAAAACTTTTTTTAAGCACTTGCACTATGAACAAACATTTTACAAAATGTTAATGAAAGGCAAAATAAATTACTCCTTGCCCCAAAAATGATGCATCACCAAAATAAAAGTATCCTCATTCATAATCTAGAGAAGCTGTCAGGTGGTGTGTATCTGTGAAGTGTGTGATTTGTATCTGTATTTTTTAACTTTTGTTCTAATTAAGTCATTTTGTGGGTGTCAGTTATTGTATAGTGCCATGAAGCTTCCTGTTAGGAGTCCGCAGGTGAGGACTGAATGGAAAAATATACATGTAGGATCAAGGTTTCTTCTCTGCTCTCTTTCTAATACTCCTACATGTAGCATGTGTGTTTTCACAGAGGCTAAACGACTAAATAAAATCACAGTATATTCCAAGCTATCAATAGACACAGGAAATTATATGATTTCAGTGATACCAATGCCATAATTGATTCTGCCTCTTCCTTTATCAGTCTGGATTCTCTGGATTGAAAAAAATAGGCCTTAAAGTGTTGTCCGTGTCAATAACAATAACAACATGAATTTTGCTCTGCCGTGATGAAGCCTAGCTTTGTGGGTGGACTTTTACAGGTCAGCTGATTAAAGATATAGCCTCTGATTGGTCAGCATGCCCAAAAAAAAAAAAAAAGCTTCTGTAAGCTACCACAATTTAAAAAAACACACAATTTCACAAAAATTTGAATATTAATCATCACAGACTATATTTATTTTTGGGGGTTGGATCCAGGCAAGATCTCTGAAAATACACCAATCTTGGGGCGACCAGATTTTGAATCCCAAAAAAGAGGACAGGGGCGGAGTCACAGAGTCACACATCGTTAATTCTGAAAATTTTTCGGGTCTTTTAATGTACTTTTAATGTAGTTTTTAATGCACTTCTAATTCAGTAAGTCCATACAACACAAAGTCAAAACTTTCATACAAAACCTTGGACATCTGAAGGATAATATAAACTTGCCTCAGTAAGCCAGACAAGGCCAGACAGGCTGGACAGCCCCCCAAAAAAGGACATGTCCTAGTAAAAGAGGACGTATGGTCACCCTATTTATCTTCTCTTTGGGATAGAGAAGTCCCTGGATGTGACAGAAACACACAGTAGAAACCAGACAGTGTTTCCAGCTCTTCAATAATGAAAGTCGCTGGCGAGTTTCCGAGTAGTTGTTCAAGTCACGAGAGGATGCATCTTGGATGCCTACTTTGCATAATTTTCCATTTACATGTGATAGTGATTTTTCCCCAAATACACCCCCCACACCCCTCAGTTCTAAATTCCCACCCCTACCTATGAATTCAAAGTAAGCAGTGTAGTGGTTGTGATGGTGGGAGCAGCAGACACACACAGCAGGTAGGAGAAATACCCATGCACTAATGATGGATTTATTGTTAATACAAAACAACCATGTGGCCCATCTGTCGACAACAACAGGACTTTTTGCCGCTAATTATGTAAGAAACAGAAAAACAAAGAGGAATGTGTTTATGACTACAAAATCAGAATACAACGTAAAATGCGAAACATTACAATCTCTTAGCATACACACCAATAATACAAGCACAATAGTCAAAGACTGGTATCCAAATGAGCAGGAAATCAACTGTGGAAAGGTCTTACTCACCCATTTACCTCACATTTATACACTGATGGCTGAGGGTACTACAAGAAGGAACCATCAGCTTTCAGTAATTATTATTGTATACATTCATATCCATATCTATTGAAGTTCAGCCTGTTCAGCTGTTCAGCTGTTCAGCTGACAGGCCTGGAAAAAGTGCACAACTTTTGCATGACCACATGTTTGACGGCCACTCCAGCTGCATACACATTGTTTTGAAGACTCTGACATTTGACCTTTTTGTAGTTTTAGGAATATAAAAGAGTATTTGACATTATTGGTTTCGTGAGTGAAGTCAAAGGCAATAAGAAACAGCACACACACTCGTTCAGCTTCAGCCCTGCATCCAAACCACATAACAGAGTCTTAAAATGCTGCATGAAGTAAAAGTAATGCTGGTTTCTGTGAGTCATTTTACATATAACAACAGCTTAACAAAACAGTATATGCACCAGTGTCAGATCAATACAACATTAGCAGCTGTTTGGAGCTGGGCTCTATATACTGTACATATGCCAATATATGTTTCCCAAACAATGGGCAGAGACAATCAATACCAGACACACAATGTAATCCTCCAGAAGGCAGGAAATATGCAGACAGTTGTGTTATCAGTCCTCCACCGATCACCTGAACATCCTACAGGAGCATACAGCTGCATCACCACCCAAGGAGAAAATAAAGTCAACCTTTCAGGTGTGAAGCGTGATGTCTGTGCTGCTCTGAGGTGTTGTTGAAGCATTTCTGCACTGACTCTTGCACCCCTCCACGTATCTGTTTATGTGAGAGAGTGCATGCATTTGTGTTTTTCAAAACCACAAAAGCAGAAGTGGTTTCTAACACATTTTTCTTCTTGTGCAGCTGAGTGTAAGAGTCATGTGTAAGTGTTTCCATGTGGCACAGAAGGCTTGTGCAGTTTGTCAGATAAACCAAGCGAAGCCCTCAGAGGAGGAAAGTTGCATCCATGCATTCATTCAAGCTGATATGTCCAAGAGACACAATGTGCTGTTAGCACAACCCTCTAAAGCACTCACTCTGCCTCTCTCTCTCTCTTTGTCTTTCCATACATCTCATATTTTCTCCGTCAGTGAATCTTACATTTAAAAAAATACCAAAAACCTAATGCGATGACTCTGGACCAGTAAAGTTACAGGACATGCAGTCAAACATTCCACTTCAGCCCTAATATTTTACTTTTGAACAAATTAAATCAAGAGCTGAAATCAATCAGTCTCATTTTAAGTGTCAGTCCTACATGAGAACCGTTTCTTATCATCTTAAAATCACAGTCCTTTCAGTGATTCATCATCCTTTTTGTTGTTACACTGAGTCATTCAAATTTCATATTATTTCATCAGTATTAGCCTATCACCTGGTAAGTTTGCAAACAACAACATGTGACAAAATATTATACAGCATATAGATTGACCTCCTGAGTAAGCTGATTGAAAAGCCAAGTAACTCAGGACTGATAGAAGTCAAATTACAGACACAAAAATTGGAACTTAACATTAATTTTCATATGTGGATATGTAGTTAAAATAATCGCTTTAAAATGCGATTGCACTTTAACCAATATGACCAAATGCACCATTCGGCATGACTTAAATAACTTATCATCCCATCACAAATCTTGTAGCTTCTGCCACATTGGCAGTGTTTATGGATGAGAGTGCTGGGCACGACAGACAGATACTGTGTAGGAGAGAGCCTTTTAATAGAATCTCAGTGTTTGTTTACATTTTTTTCTGTGTCTGAATTAAAGATAAACTCTCTCTCTCGGTGGTTTTCCAACACTATTTCTCGTTGTATCTTTAGGTTCTTGTCGAATAAACATATAAACATAAAATTCCCTTACTTGATGACGATTTCGTTAACAAACTATCCGGAAAGTCAGCTGTTTCCACACCTTTAAAACATGAGAATGAGTAAACTGAGCAGTGACTCACCGTTGAGGCAGCCGAGGGGGCAAGATGACGCTCCACGAGCCGGTATGCATCCACCGCCGAGCCGTTGGCGCTCCACGCGGATGCTGCTGACAGCGCCAGGGTGTCCGTGCCTCTCGCCGTGCAGTTCGACTCGTTGCACGAGATGATGCTCTGCCGCGCGGAACGCAGCAGCGCGCCTTTCTCGCCGTCCATCCTCCTCCTCCTCCTCCTCCTCTTCCTTGCTCCTCCTCAGAAGCTCGGTCTGAATGAAGAGCGGAAGGAGTCGTTATGTGTGACAGGTAATGGATTTCAGGTGTTGCAGCTCATCATGATTTATAAGCTTATAATGTTCTATAAGGTCACATTTCACCTCAAGCAGTGGAGAAAGGTAGACTTTGTCTTCAAGCAATAACAGCCACAACTTGATAAAAGCCCTACAATCTCTGTTCTTTTTTTCTTTTTCCTTTTTGGGGTGTCATTATTGCCATAATAGCTTTTACTTTTGAATGAACTGAGCTGTAGGCAACCTTGAATAATTAAATCTTTCTCTTTCTCAGTTGCCCAGTGGTACCGCCAGGCTTTTGTTTAATGGTCTTACTCAGAACTGTGAGGGCTCGATATTAAATATTTCAAGATAAATAATTTGAGGATCTGCTAGAATGGACTGGTAGCAACAGCTGCTTAGAAAGTAGTTCCAGCTTTTCTCCAGGTAGAAAATTAAAGATATTGGCTTATAATCTTTTGAACAACTTGTGAGTTGTCTCGTGCGTGGATCACAAAACCATTATTCCTGAGTGTCTACAAAAGCAATGAATGAACAACTGCATCTAAAGCTTTTTAAAACTAAATCGAAACTATAGCATGTTTTTTGTTTAATGTTGTCAGGTGGCCACATGGGGAACTAATTAATGTCATGTGGCCATGCATGGTAAATACCCCAAAGATTATTTCCAACCTAAAAGAGATATTCCAGCGTAAAATTAAGTTATGGTCAAACACACTGTAACACTGAGTTAGAAACCCCATTGAGAGATGAATGTTGCCGACTGCTTGCTTCTCTAGTTATACCAACTTCGGTAGTTGCAGTTGATGGACGCCCCCGGACGTCTCGCAACAAACAAGCAGCTGTTGTAAGAGAGTGGGTGAGTTGTGTTTAGTCTCTTTGCTAAAGAAATCAGGCAAAGCTAAAATGATGCTTGGTAGCTGGTACTATGGCTGGGACCCTATATGTACTGTTGATGAAGGTAGGGGCTGTTCTGAGCATTACTTGTGGCTATAGAGTGTGGCTATAGCTAACTGCGGTCGTTACTAAAGTTAGTATAACTGAAAAAGCAAGCGGTCGGCAACATTCATCTCTCGACAGGATGTCTAACTCGGTGTTACAGTGTGTTTGACCCTAACTTAATTTTACGCCGGAATATCCCTTTTAAACCTTCAGAACTTAATTCTTCAGGAACTCAAAAATAAGATGTCACTACCTAAAGACCCAACAAAAGAAAATGTACCAGGTTGAAATGCAAAGATTGAAAGCCTGTTAAAACACAGTCTAAATGCATTGATTTATTAATTAACTGACCGACCGACTAATTGACTGATTGATTTGGCAATGACTAAGAAGTACCTTTGACAAGACAAATGGCGATTCATGACCCGAGATTAGGATTTGGGTAGCCGTTGGGTTGCCCTGTCAGAATGAAGTATAGCATGAAGTTACATTACTTATGTCTACATGATGATGTATCATTTATTTTCCCTTTCTGTAATTGTTGTTTATGTCTATATCTGATATGGCTTCTAATATTAAAGTATCAAACACGTAATATTTATGTGCATGTAAATTTTTTGATTAAAAGAGTGACCGATGATAACATTTAAATTGTTGTGCTGTCATCAAAAGCCGAAAAAGAAGATGTAGCTTTTGTCCAAAAATAATAATTATAATGCACTCATTGTAAAAAGAGATGTGGCACATCAAACTCCTTCCTTGGCACTTCTTTTATTATAGCTACTAAATCTCACAACAAGCGTTGCATCTGTACGGAAAAAAAAATCCCAAAAGCCATAAACAACATATAAGCCAATAGCTCAGCCCCTGACAGACTAGCTACGATCATTAATTTGGCATTGGTTTGTTTATAGTTTGAATAAAGAAGGTTGAAGACACAAGGCTGTTGTTACATTTTGATGATTGAAGTGGTACACATCAGGATCAAGAGCTTTATGGAGATGTTTCTAAAATTTTGTTGACTAAAAAAGATGCATTGTAAACACTAAGTTGTATTTCTAGCTGTAGGAGTAAAACTTGTGAGCAACTTGAGCATCATGCTATACATCATGATACACAATTTGTTTTTTCTTTACCTGAACAAACCTTTCAAGGATGTGAAAGTGTAAGTGAAAATTCAGGTCCAGGATTAGTACACAATCAAGTCCAACGAAGCTGGGACTAGACACTTAAAAAAATGTGCTGCTAAAGTCCAGTTTACCTTTTAACTGCTGGTGGGTTGTTTTGCTCCTGACTGTCGTGGAAAACTCTGATGGACAGAGGAAAGTAGCATCCAAGGACTGGCTGTTCAGGAAAATTCTCACACCTTCACTCCAGATTTCTTCAAGAAACCTCAATGTGTCAGCCAGACAAAAATCAACAAACCAAAGTCGTAATCAGCCCCTGCAGCTCCAGTCTGTGTCCTGATGACAAATATTCAGTTTATTGATCCATAAAGTCGAATATTCATCATTGTATTACAGGGTTAAAAGCCGGAGGCGGAGAAGGTCAGAGAATGAGGATATGGATTAACACAGGTAGACGCATTTATACTGGAGACGAACCCAAACAAACACACACGTACTCTCAAAGAAATACACACACAAAGACATACACACAGATATGATCTATGTAGGTCTTTAGGTCAGTGCTCTGATGAAAAATCATTACGTTGATTATCTGCTGACCTGCTGCAGCTTTGACTTCACTCACATCAGAGGACACAGTGAGCCTAGGACACAGCCTTCTAACTGATGAACTGATGATTACACTGTGGTGGGTTTTAGTTAAAGTGTGAACTCTCACAGACCCTTTAGTCTGATTACTGTAATGGAGGACATCAGGGAACAAACAGCAAGTCTTTAAATGTCTGTGGACATCTGCATCCCTCAAGAAGATGTGAGTTTACTGAGATACAGTATCAGCAGAAGTGAATGGTTCACAAATCATTAAAACTCCCCACTGAGCATTTTTTGGTCTAAAAGAGGTCTAATAGACGTCTAAATGTAGCCATACAACTGGTCTAAAATCAGGTTACCACAGGTGTAAAAATGAAAGTTTTTTTGACGTCTAAATTTAGACCAAGTTTGGACTAGCCAGCTAATACAGGTCTACACTGTATATTGCGCAACAGCTATCACAATTATTTTGGTTAAGTACTTGGAGATCAGTTATGCAACTCACAGTTGCCTTTTGAAATAATGAGTTATCGAATAATGGGTTAAAGTGCAACGGCTAAATTATGTCTAAAAATATACAGAATCTAGACAGTTGAAATTAGGTCTAAAAAAAACTAGACGTCTAATAGCCGTCTATTGTTCATTGGGTCCATATCGTTTTAAAAACTGATACATTTTATTGTCTCATGACAAATACATGTTAATTCTAAACTTGATACTTGCAACATATTCCAAAACAGTTCAGACGGGGTCAAAAAAATACCAAAAATTTCAGGAACATCTTTGACCCAGTTATTTTGTAACAAGTACTTGATTGGTGTATAATGGGGATCCCAGCGGGACCAAGTCTCTCAGAGTTAAAAGTGAGGACAGGTTCACCACTTGGTGTAAGATAAATAAATACATAAGTCAGTGACTCTGAGATAGTGCTGAGCATAAAACTGAAAATAACTTGAAGGTTTCATCACAAATATTCAAAAAAATTCTGAGAATCTGGAAAAATCAAAAAGGACAGGGCTGATAACTGATACTGGATGGCTGTGATCTTCAGGCCCTCAGGGTGGAGCTGCATCTAAAACAGATATGACTCTGTAGTGGAAATCACTGCATGGGTTAAAAAAAATTACTCTAAAACACATTGTCTGTGAGCACAGTTTATAGCTGCATCCACAAATCAGGAATATCCTGATACAAATTACCGTTCCATGCAAACAGGAAATCATGGATAAATATGGTCTTGAAATCAATATTTGACACTATGTTTGGAAGTCATGGGTGCATCCTATGCCCCTGAGAAAAGAGGGACCACCCAGCTTGTTATCGGCACACAATTGGAAATCAAGCATCTCTGAAAGGACAAATACGTGCCCTGTGAGGGTGTGGATGCAAAACGGCCTCCCTGCAGTCCTGGCTTGTCACATTTGGTGCACCATGGCACAAAAATTGCGGCAAAGGAGACCCTGAACTGTTGAGCAGCTGAATTCCAATATCTAGTAAGAAAGGTGAGATTTTTCAATTTCCAAACTCCGGAAACCGCTCTCCTGAGTATGCTGATTCACAGGGGGTTGTTAAAAGAAGAGGTGATGAATCACAGCAGTAAACACGACCATGTCCTAGTTGTTTGAAATCATGTTCCTGGTGTTGAATTTAAAAGAAGCATGTATGGTTTTTATTTTTTATATAAAACAAAAACATTTTTTAACATTTGAAATCTTGCCCAACTTACAAAAGTAGGTTTGAAATGCTTCACAAACCACTGAATTATATTTTCATGAACATTTTAAATATTGTCTCAGCTCTAATAGAGTTGTACTACATTGTTGTACATTTAATCGACCAAATACATAGAAGTTAGAAGTATTCTTGTATGAATGTTTGACGTCGTTTAACCCTAGAACACTATCGCTAAAATTAGTAACACCATCACTATCGCCGGGTGATTTTTACCCGAAATAATATACCCAAGAAAAAGTATTTGTCATCAAAATAGGACAATACATTACACATTAGAATAGTTTTCTTTTCTTTCAACTTTGCAATGTCCAAAGAGAGGAAAAAAGTGCCATGAGGGGACCATATAAAAATACAACAAAATAACTGAGGTTCGGCATTTATGAACAAAAAATTCCTAAAAAAAAAAAAAAGAAAAATATAGAAATTGTAAACTTAGTTTCTTTTCCACCTATTCCTGGAACGTGTGAGTCTTCCCTGGTGAAGACTCAGGGTCCTTGGCATGATAACAGCTGCAGGAGAGAGAACCAAAATATGGCAGATTCTGAGCGAGTAAAAATGACCAGCTGACTAAAATATTTCTTATCATTATGTGAATTCCCTTCAAAATCACTACTTTGTGATAGTTATTTATAACCACTGTGCCAAATTAAGATAGCATGCAAATTCCAAGACCACTCTTACTGACCTTATTCCCCACATGCAGCTATCAAATCCACCCAAACCTACTTTACCCTCTCTC